ACCACAAAGAGAAGTAAGACTTAGCTAAGATACTCTATGTGAGCGATTCATGTGACGCATTGTTGCCTTTAATTGGCATCAATGTTTTAGGTTAAAGGTCGACACAAAAAGGTCAAGGGTCATCGAGTGAAATCGGCCGGCGTAATGTGCACTTGCGTTAACGCTCCTCAACAGTGGCCCTTTAAAAATCCCTATGACGTCATCTCGTATTCTGATTCTTTTTTTTTAACTTTATCTTCTGGACGTGTGACATAATTACGGGTCAAGATACCACACTATGGACAGCCCCGCTTCTATCCTGTCTTCTGTTGTGTGTGTCTTATGTTTATCTGCGCCGGCAAACCTTTTCTGTCGAGAAAGGACAGTGAAGGAGGGATAATGGTTGTTACACAAGTGACTGTGATTATCAGGGGAATTGACCCTGAGTGAAAGTGGTAAGGCGGAATCCATACCTGCTCCCTACATTTTTCTTTTTAAATCACTGTCAATTGTGTCATGCATATATATATTTTTTTTGCTGCGAAACCTTTACAAGTGTTCAAACGCGGAATGTTGTTCGATTGGACTAAGCCCTTACAAACCAAAATAATATGGATGTTTTTTTTATAAGTAAGCCTGTACCAAAAAGCAATTCACGTTATCATTGTATGTTAGAGATGTGGTTATGCGAAATCCGAAATTGGAATCTGTCGGCTTAAGAGTGTGTGAACGGTGCATGCAGCAAAGTTTCCTTGAAAGTAGATTTAGTCCTATGCGTAAAGTTTTACTTAAAATGCTATTTGGAGTTTATTTAGGTGCAACTAGAAAATGGATGTGGACATTCAGGTAATGACATGACTAAATCAGTTGCATATTTTCATAACTGATTCCTGAACGTATTTTGTAATTTTCAACTAACATCGTCCTATGTGGGTTTGCTTGCAGGTAGGTTAAGCTTGCTGTAGGATTTCCCATCCTCACCAGGCCTACACGTAAAACATTGTTTCTGGTTGCTCAGATGTCACTAGGACACCTTTAAAGTATTTGTTCACGTTACTGCCCCTTTAAATCACCCTTGACTGCATCTGAAAGCTGTCATGTCAAATGTGAAGTGGGAAGTCTGGTTCCCAAGAGAGAGACAAAACTCGAGACCCGCAGTGCGAAGTTGGCACGTCAAACCACCGTGAACCACTAAAGTCTCACACTGTCACGAACCGCCCAATCCCAGTGAGAAGGGTCATCAATAATTCCTTAACGATTTTGCGGTGTTTTGATTTAGATGTTTTTCTTCCATCCACCCCCCCCCCAATCGGCCCCAAAATTGCTACAGTGGCAAGAAGTAGCTAATTTCTTGACCCCTTACAACAATGGCCGTGGAATTTGGCAACACTTCGGTAGTTCTTGTTGCACCTTGGGGAATGGGGAATGTGACGATGGGTTACTAGCGCAACACCGCGGCACCCACTGCCCAGTGGCGTAAATCTGTGCCGGCGAGTCGGGGGATGGGGGATGACCAAAACTTGCCCGGCCGTGGAAATTCGAAAAGGGGGGGGGGGGGGGGGAGCGGACACCACATTACACTAGGGGGCGCTCTTCAGGATAAAGATGTATATAAATATGTATACTCGCGCTTACATCAAAACGGCGCATTTTAAAAGCTTTTGTACTTTCTAGTGCTATTGAATACATTTTTGTTGTTGGGATGTTCGAAAAATACATGTACCTCGAAATCCGCATCACAGACCATCTAACCACGAGCTATTTTACGCCACCGAATGCATGAGGCCAACAAGACCAGCTCTGACGCGACAAAAACCAGATGCCACCTTCTTATCGGTTTTAAGAAAGTCAAAAAGGCCACACACAAACTGGTATTCTATCCCTGGTTAGAGAATGCAGCGGCCGTGGCAATATCGCATCAAGATCGTTTTTCGCTATGCATACGCTGTTATCCAAGTACAGGCAATGCAGGCGGGCATGGGTTGGCTGTCAAGACTTCAGACGGCAGTTTGGTTTCTTCATCAAGGGGAGGCTACACCGAGTATTATGGAGGGGGATCTGTGTGGATTTGAAACCTTAGCCCACACAAGCGCGCGCCTAGACGTCTGCTTAGATCAGGAACGGAGATTTGGGAAGAAATAATAGAATAAGTGACTTGTGTCGAGTGTCAAAGTCGGTCGCCGCTCGGCCAGTGATCGGGTCGAGCTGGTCTGAGTTTTCTTTCTGCGGGGACGATAATGTGCACCAAATTTTGACCAAATTAAAATATCTGATTAAAATATGGCAAACGATGAGGAGACAACTTCAACTGAATCTTCTATTGTAGCCAGTATATTGTGCGTTTTACCAATAACTTTCTAGCTCTTGCGGCTGACATGAAACCCTGAACTAACATGGCTGCGTTTCGCTCAACTCCTACTAACGATATAACGTGGTGGTTTCACAAGAAAGCACAATGACGTAAGAAACCGCGAGATGGGTCATGGATAGGGACCCCATAGTTCTATACAATCTAAAAACAAGATATGCAAATATAGCCACGTTTTAATATTCATATAGTGTTGTATTAGTAAATGAGTTATCTTATTATTCAGGTTTTTTGTCCCTAGATGTTTGGACTTCAGTGATTAAAGTCTTCGTTTCTTGGAAACAAAATGGTTCCTCAGTTAATTCGATCAAAGCTTGATTTGTCTTAAAACCGCGAAAACAGTCATTTTCTTCGCCCCTTAAGATGTAAACACATTTTGGCAGTCGAAAGGTTTTGACTAATCTTAGAGTCTTTCATGTTTCGATAGGGTGGGTGGGGTTACTCTCACAATAGAATTATACAAGCACGTGATAGTTAAGAATTGTTTATTTCCAATATATTGGAAATAAACAATTGCCACTTATACTTTGAAGATCGCAGAATCGTTATTGCAATAACGATTCTGCGATCTTCAAAGTATAAGTGGCACTTTTTTGATTTTGGTCAATGAAGCAATTCAATTAAAGTTCAGAAAACCTTTGGATAGGGTGTATATAGGACTATTCATGATTACTTGGGGAAAAGCTTTTACGGTCAAGGGTCATCAGACACAATGGCCCCGTGCCAAACAATTTGATAAGTGGACCCAACGAGTTTAAGACGGGGTCAGGGGTCACGCCCAGATATCTTAAGTGCATTTCGAAAGAACTAAGTCCTATAAATGTCACGAGAGGGCGCACTTCCCTCCCTGTGCGTTGTACGTTGTGGCAAAATTATTAATGTGGGTTAAAATTAATCATCGTTTAATTATTTTTTCCTTTATTTAGCCAGAAAATGTTAAGAAAGTATATAAAAACAAACATTTATCCCTTACAAATTTAAGAAATTTAATAAAAACACGTAAAACAAGAATACATCAAAAAACAAACACTCCAACATAATGAAAACGAACATAAAAACTGACAGATACAATATTGCAAGTTGTTTTGTTTTTCTGAATGTGTTGGTCCTTTAACTTTGTTAAACTTTGGAATTTTTGCTAAAGTGGAACTTAACCTTCCGTTTTTGTCGTCTTGATAAAGTATAATTTCATGGCATTGTGATAATGTAGAAAAAAAATCCATTTCACAAACCGTATATGGTTCTGAGTGGTCCATGCAATTACATCCATTTTTTTCAAAATCACACGTAATTTTGTATCTATACTTGAAGGAATTTGCTTTTTAAAAAACACCACAAACCTTTTTACAAATCAAACGATTTAAAACAGAAAAATACCTAACTGGTACATGAAATTAAAAAAACCTTCAAAAATGGGTTAAAAACCGTTTAAAATCGTCCCCCCTCTCCAGGAATAACACCTCACCCTGCGTCTGTGGTATGTGGCGAAGCGATTCCAAGTAAAACACCTTTTTATGTTTTGTATTTTTCTTTTTTATATTCGACGCGATGAGAGAAATACCATAAGATGTTAATGGTGGAATTCTGCGGGATAAATCTACTTTTTTTTTTCCTTCTTGGGGAAAAAAAAGAGCGAAATGTGTGGTAAACAAGCACATAATTCAAGTCGAGGGGTGGCAATAAAAACTGCATTTAACTGCCCTCAATGTCATTTGTAGCTCGCACGGGATGACTGCCGCAAGGGAAAATTGCGCGCCTTTTTAGTGGCTTGGTGAATGAATTTGGGATTGGGTTGGAAGTCACATTCCTTTTTTTCAAACCAGTTTGAAAGAAAAGAAATCTTGACTTCGGTATATAATAGAGTAGAGCAATATTCAAGTATGGTTCTCGTCACTTTTATATCAAAATGAATATCAAAAACTTTGTTGAAAAATAACAGAAACGGAAATGGATGTTTGAATACATGACCAATTGACAAACATCTGACCAATATTGGGAGTTATAACACTGTGGTCAAAATCACCGGCATCGCTAGAACAAATGACGACTGACAACGTAACGAGGGACATAGCGTTAATTACTTCGAAAACTGTTCCGACCGTAGAAAACTGAAAAAGCTCCACCGGACACTATTTAAAAGTATTTAGTGATCGTGGAGCTGTCAAACGTTCTCTATGCCACCCGTCCGCGTTTCGCGTCCTTTCAAGACAGATTCTACCGTTGCCTTTTGAGTATTTTAGTCACTTGGATTAATTTTACACTTTCGAATATCAATGCAGGTTTTTTTTCGTAAATTATAAATTGTTTTGTTACAAAGAATTTAAAAGAAATCCGCGCTGTGTGTAAACTCTCTGTTTATATCATGTAGCATAATTTTATAATCTCTCATGTCTCCATGGTCAAATGTCTTAATTCACCATGTCGTTGCAACACGTTTCCTTGAACTTTTGAAAATCAAAGCTTTTCACTTTTTATTGAAGATTGATGAATTCAGCCTTAATCTCATGATCCGAATACCCGACAGGTGTAACGAATAATATATTTTGTATCGGGACAAAATTTGTTGTAAACGTGCCACACGTGGGATCTTATTCCTTTTTTTCCCCCAAAAGTTGATTTTTAATGAGGTTATTTTGTTTCTCTATACATACAGCCAGTCTCCAAGGAATGCGGAATGTGATTCAATCGGATATGAGCGACTCCTGTGATCGGAAGGGCTTCTTGATGTCCGCTCAGATACAGCAGACGATGCAGGGCAACTACTACGACAAGTGTGCTATCTAAATTACCGGAACGGACGGGTTGGGTCGATCGACAAGCACCCAACAACATCAACAGCATGCAGCAACGACAAGGGAGTTTTTCCCCGGGAGGGTCTCCTCACTGTGCCCCGGTACGTGTCGAGCCAGCACGCGCCGGTGTCACTTGAATCGTGCCAACGTACGCACGGACTGCCCGCCAACTTGTAACAAAGATGGATAAACTCATGCGGACGGAGGAGAGACAATGTTTTAATTTACTAATTGTCCAGTCGCGTGAAAATGCAGAAAATTCAACGTGGTTGAAGAACATGCACATTACGTACGTACAGAGAGCTCAGAATGGCACATGAGGTTACTGGGAACTTTAAAGACTCTTTCATATTTAAAGGAACATGGTCCAAAATCAATGCCTGATGAGTAACAGGGGGAAGTTTTCTCCAAGAAGATCTGTCTTGCATTTAAAAATATTCCAGTGACTACAATAATTGAGTTCAATTCCTCGCTGTTTCATTAGATTATAAATAAGCACGGTTACCAACGGAAACTGGTATACTGACGGGTGCGAGAGGGTTGAAATATAGGAACAAATTGATCTCGAACTCTCTAAAAAGCACCAAGATTCACTGTTCAATCGAAAACAGCTCCTCACTATAAGCCTATGTGGAAATTAACCTGGCTGTATGGAACGAACTTTTCGATTGGTTATAATACAATACTCCGTTTTAGACCAATAAATATCTTTTTGAAATTTGCATCGCATTCCGGGTTTGGATGACAAACATTGCAAGCTTACAACGAAAGCACAATCCATGAGTGATCCAGTCAAATTTTGGGGGCGGTATTTTTTCTTTCGATTTTCTAAAATGATTGATCATCATTTCTGTTATGAAAAATACTGTAATTAAAAATAAATATTTTAAAGCTTAAAAAGAAGAAAAGAAATGATATTGGATATATATTTTAAGGGTACCAGTCACCAGGCACGGAAGATCAAATGTAATTGGACGGTGTTGACTGAGGGAGGTTTTAATCCTGATTCTGGTAAGCTAAATAGCCTCTTCCAGTTACAGGGTAGTAAGGAATCCTAAAATGTCAATGACCTTAATTAATTAAATCGGCTTCTATGCAAAACTGACGAGGAGTAATCAAATGAAAAATGTAACTGGTTCACGGTGTATAAATTGCCTGGTATAATTATGTGTGTCATCAAAACCCAGAATGCATTGCGAATACCAAACAGGTTAAATCTTTTTTTCTTTGGAACGAATTCCATCGTTGTCATTTTCATGGGTAAATAACACCCTCCTTTTTGTGAATATTCAATGTTTTAATACTTGTTATAGTTGTTTGATTATACAAAATACCAAAGGTTGTGACTGCTTTTTGCATTTTGGTTGGCACAGGACGACTAGTAATCGAGGCAAATTATGTAGTTCAAGGCGAATACGGATTTTGCCTGGTACTTAGCCGGGCTGGTCATGGCGGCCATATTGGATGCTCGGAAAAATCACTGACCAGGAAAACAAAACAGAAGTTTATAGGTGATGATAACACGAAGAACATTGAGCTCCCATTTTGGTGTTAACTCACCGGGTACCAATTCAACTTTTTGTGTGGGATAGTAGTTATAGTTAAGGAACCGTTGTAGATTCGAGGAAAAGGGTCAATATTGGTGTGAGGAGGCCACAAACTCTTATTATGCAGGTACCGCAATTCTGCACGAAAGGCCATCAAGAACCCAGAACAAAACGTTACTGGTACTAGCAATACGGTCGTTCTTTTAAACGTTTTATTTTGCAGCTAAAAGCCAATTGAATGAAATTTGAGCTAAAAGCATTCAGATATACGCCGGCTTATATAGTGGCAATGTCCGAGCTGCACAAATTTGAAAGGCATGCATGCCAGATTATGATTTTCCAAATTATGATAATTTTGGGGGGATAGGCAAACGTAACATCATTATATATAGACAAAAAGCTCAGATGAAAACAAATTTAACACAGAAATAGAACATTTCTAACAAATATTATTGGTGTTAATTATCAACAATTTTGTACGGCATCCAGAAAATTAAACTTATTCATTAATCCAATAAAAGAAAGGGTTTTATTTTGAAGGATATGAGAGGTGTTATGCATAAAGTTACCACAATAGTTACCACTAGAGAGATTTGTACTCTGGGGCCTTGAAAAATTGCCGACACCGCACCACTTTCAAATTCCGAAGGTTGTATAATATAAATAAAAACATGTCGGTGTATGAAATAATAAATTCAATTCGTAACAATTTGAATAAACTGTCATTCTTTATGAAAGACGTTCACGCCAACTGCGTTGAACAGGGAGATGAAAGGAATAATATTAATATTCCCTCAAGGTGGGTTTTTTAACTAGAAAGTCCTATTTGATCAGATAGATTGACCAAATTTTCTTTGTTTGTACTTTGTGTGATTGTGACTTGTATACATCGTGGTGAGATGTTCTGTATATAATGATGGAATGGACTCAGCAGCTTATATGGTTAATATTGTATTAATGGTAATAATTATTATTTGTATCTCGATGGATTTAATGTGGTTATAGTGATGGCGTGAATACTGTAGATCCCAATAAAAAAATGAAAGTGATCATTTTAAGCAGATGTTGCATTATTATTCAATATATAGAGCTGTAACGTTGGGAACCAAAATGGTTTGGGTTTAATTTCTGTCAGCATTGAAGTGTCGGAAGCTGGGTCAAAGGTCCATAATGATACATAATCATAACAAACACTTGAGTTTGCAATCTGTAAGGGTCGTTGGAGTAACTTTTAACGAAAGAGCATTATGAAATTACCCCTCAAAATGATCGGGTGTGCTAGGAAATAATGACCCCGGTTCTCCAGACCATACAAACGTATTGCGCATGTATAGAATGCAGAACAATGGAAAACAGACTTAAAAGCTAGGCATTGAAACCAGAATTCATCCAAGTCCATTTTTACATTTTGACCCCAATATACACAGCACATGAGCAGTTGATTACTGAAATCACGTGACCCTTTCGGGACAAACTTTGAGCAATGTTGCGAGGTGTTGCACTATGAACTATAATTATTTTCTCAACAGTGAGTGAATTCAATCGCCAAGGGCCTAATTGGTGGGCTGTCGTTAATTACTAGACTTAAATAACAAGACCCAGTCCGCCGTGCGTAATTGTTCCTGTCCAAATGCGTGGTATTCTCCGCCTGATTTACTTGCGAATGCGATCATATCGCTTGCCATGCAGAGACAGCCGAGGTACACCTACATTTTCTTGCGCGGAAAGCTGCCCTCACCGGTACATATATGTCTTCACAAAGTCAGCCATTGAAACTTATCGTCTTGATGACGCTGTTTTTCAAAGCAATGATAAGCCATGTAAATATTGCGTTCCTTCCAAAACTCTCAAATGCATTATGCTTTTCAAGTTGTGCTGAACCTAGGCTTGTAACCCGCAACACTAGGTATACATGTAGACCCACATCTACTTGTAACCATAGAGCTATTGTGCGTCTAAAGCCTCTACCAGCGACGCGTTCTTTGAAAGTGACCCACCCGCACTTTTTTTTCAAATGTCACTTCAAGTTTGAAGTTACAAATTTACAACAATTATATCGTGTCCCACCAACGACAATCATGATAGATGGACAATGCGACTGTTGAGGGCATAGTCACCTATGGGCTGTACCATTTTGAGAATGATCTCCATACACTTGCTGGTAAGAGAGCATACAGTCATGTGGCAGAATCGCGCATAAAATTGTCCTTAAGCCGAGCAATATCCAATATCAGTGTAAAGTATTACACGCCCGCGCAAATTGAAAGTCAGCTTTGTATGGTGTTGATTGACAAACAAATACCACTTAATACCGTTCTGGATGATTTTGTATTATTGCACGGTAAGACTCCGTTCATCTCCGTGTGTACAGCGGTAATGATGTTCGTATTGCATTACCATAATTGCCCACGTGTAAGACACACTGTATGATGTCCCATAGGGACAGTAAAACCATGACTGATGATTTACAATTAGACATTAATAGGAAATAATTACATGATATATAAGACTTTTTGATTTCCTTCTTTTTTGGACTAGCTTTTCGGTTCCTTTTTCTTGCTTCAGTTCGGCTGGAATCGTGCCATAATCTTCTTGAATATTTCTAAAATCTCATGCTGTTGATTCGCTTATCTTAAATGTTGTTGTGAAGAGCTGAAGTTCCAAAGTTCCAAAAATGAAGAGTTAACCTCGCTTTTCAATTTAATATGGCCGACGGACTCTATTGGTGGCGCTATTGTAGTGACCTTGCCTTAGGGGTTTGCGCTTGACCGCCAGGTGCATGCTAAAAATAAACCCCAGCACAATGCGGGTATCCGTGTAGCAATTATCAAGTGCTTAAGATTGTCAGCCGGTCAGATTAGCTGTCAGTACTGTCATCTCTCTCACTCACTCGCCAATCGGAGAGGTGCCATCTGCCGCGTCTTAAGATGACGCAAGCTTCTCGCTCCGGCAGAAGAACAGCCAATTATTCCAGGATATATTAATAGATCGCTGGTAACCCAACGTGCTGACAACATGACGACAACACCAGCTAAAATAACGTCATTGCCGAGTTGCGATGATGATGATTGTTTCGTGCAGACGGCATTCTGTGGGCTCAATAAACCGTGAATGTGCTTGCACTCTCAACGATATCTGTCATGAGTGCCTGTTTGTTTGTCCTCAGGAATGGCAGATTCATCCAACCTCGTTCTGGGTAGTACGCTCCTCACAACATTACGATTTGAATCATTTGTGCAAGTTTTAAAACAATCGGGACTACAATGTCAGCTCAGATGCACCCTGTTCAGTATCCTTTGCAGCACCACACAACACTCTGTGCGTGAAGAAATTGTGCTTACTTGTTTAGGTTATACATGGAGGAAGGATGAGCGGTGTCACTGCGATCCAACGCAATGTAAACTAACTGGTTCGATTCACCTCCAAGAAGAAAACGAAGCCAAACATTAATTTCATTAAGTGGAATTTACATACTAACTGTCAGGAATATATGTTCTTTGTTCCACTAGTTCAGTGCATTCGGTTGCTTCCTTAGCTCCCTACAGCATCTCTCGAAACCTATGAATTGCTGCAAAATGAATGACGTTCCCAATAGAGGTAGCTCAAAACTCGTACTACGATATAAGTTTAAATGCCAACAAACATTGACCCACCCCAAGGAAAACGTGAAGTGTTAGGAGTAAGCTAAAGCATCAACTTCAAAGCCCAGCTCCTTTTTTATAGAATATCAGAACACACTGATCGAAACATTAAGAGTTTATAATTTTCCAACCGGTTTAACCATCTACAACTCCGATCAAAAACATGTTCTCAGATCTATGCTACTACTTTGTACTAGTACTACAAACCTTCACAGGTTCAATTCTCCATAGTAAATTCATTTTCAATTCAATTATTAATATTACATGTATCATGGATTTGTTTATTTCTTATTAACTGGGTAGCCCATTCAGTGGAATCCACTGATCTCCCATGGGGCCCAGTAAAGAGAAGACAATGTGAAGAAATTACAGTTTTAGAGGTGGGAGGAAAACCTCAGAAGAATATTCTGAGGAAAACCCACGGAATCAGGCAGGGACTGAAAACCCAATCCACATGTTGGCCCAGGCAGGATTCGAACCCGGGTCACAGCGGTGGAAGGCGAGGAAAGTACCACCCCGCCAACCTGACTCCCCGATTCCTTCCTCCATGATCTCATTACGGATTCGGCGAACCTGCTCACATGGTATGCGCTCACTGATTTCGCTATTTTTATCCTCAGACCCAATTTAATCACCCAGCGACACAACATTTTTGCTTTTATTTGAGTTGGGTGGTTTTTGTTTTAGGTGGGTGGTCCTCAACCCGACGTTATTTTGGCCGGGGGCTGCACAACGAACCCCAGGGCGAAAGAGCGTCCCTTCGCCACTCTCCTGCTTATCACATCATACACCGCGCCGCAGCCGCGGTGTAACCGTTTCTACCGGGCCGACATGCGATGATACGCGGGCAACAAGGCCCCGCTTTACTCGCTGTTGACGGAGTGTGTTTATCAAGGTCGTCGTTACACGAAACCCCCAACGAGATTATTTGGGATCAAAACAAGGCGATTGTTTCAACTTCATTGGCTAATAAGGGCGTGGGTGATTGGGCAACTTGTGGACTTGCATGTTTGTACCAGGAATGGTTAGAATCCCATGTCGACCCTTCACCCTTCTACTTCTGGAGACAAGTTGACCAAAGTAGTGCGAAAACTGATGATGAAGGGGCAAGGAAGATTACATTTTGGAAAATAGAGCTGATATATTGTTCATCGGGGTTTCCTTTCATCTTTTGTCTTTTTCTTGGGAGAGGATGACAATGCAGGGCTCGGGAACTAGTCTACACTCGCGGTGTATCTGTTTGCGCGTAAAACCATAGTGGAATAACAAGGAACATTGTAAAAGACTTTTCGGAAGGTTGCCGACTCCAAAAACAGATTGGAAATACATGTACATATATTTCATTAAAAAAACACGTTAAAAATCGTTGAAGGAGAACAAGATTGGGGGGGGGGGGGAGCATGCAACCAAGAATTAGGCCTAATGATTTCAAAACAATAAGATGTTATGGCAATCGCGCCATCTGTAATATACTCTTCAAGTTATTGAGTTTGAAATGTTATATGTAAGTTTGTTTTGATGAGAAGACGTACAAGTCAAAACGTGACGTCTTTAATTTAAGGGCTTTTGGGGGAAGGGGTGTTAAAAAGAAACGACATTTTGGTATCATATAACACTCGAAAATATACTTTCTTTTGCTTTACAGAAAAGAAAATGCAAAGACAAAAGCCGTAAATTTGTGGGGTTTAGGAGATGCACGTGCATGATACTGGACCCCTTACATACAGCAATTAGTCCGGAGTTACCCCGTTGTCGTTAATCACCGTGACTGTCCGGGGTTGATACGGCTGACTTGCCCACGACCCGTCCAAGCCGCGCTCGCTGATAGCTGGCTTCAAAACCGGAGCCAGTTCACGGTTCGTCCTGATCGACAGTGTTATGAAATGCCTATTAATAGGCATACATTAATTACCGAAACCTGCGTATCGAAAGACACAAGTTGGGCTGACCCGCTATATCATGAACAATAAGGAAGAAAAAACAAGCCGAGGTAAGCCCAGTAAAGCTGGTCACAGAGCCCACACAAGTATATTCATCAATATTGATGCAGATAATATTCACTGGAAGTCTTTTGATGCACGTGGCCTACTCAACGGGCCAGTAGCCCATTCGTTGGTTTTTTCTTTCACAAGTGCAGGGGAGACAGTCGGTCGGTCAGTCGGGGAGTCAGTCAGGGAGTCAGTCAGTCAGTCTGGGACCAGCAAAATGATGTCATTTCAATCATTTTCAACAGCACAACAATTTTTGAAAATGTCATTTTGCAAAGGGAGTACGTGTACGAATTGGAACAAGGGTGCTTTTGTATTCCCCGGCCCCCTCGACTATTTACCGCAATTAAAGAGCAGTGGCGTAACTTGGGTTCAACTTCGGGAGGGGGCACATGGGGTTGCAAACAAAATTAAGGGGGGGGGGGGGGTTACTGGAGGCAAATGATAGGCCTATGGACCCCAACCGGGGGCGCACGGATTATGTTGGGGGTCCCCCGGCCGTACTCCCGGAGTCCTGGTCCCTGTGGTTGTACGCCACTGTTAAAGAGGCAATCAAATTGCGACGTTTTAAAAATCATCAAATGCGAATTTGTAATATTTTCTGTAATCATTTATTGTTTTACATGTTTGTAATTTTGTTGACAGGACATTTCGGTTTCGGATATACGACTACCGTTTGTATGAAAAAACACTGAGAGTTGAAACGACCCATCTCAGTATAAATACTGCAGTTGATATTTGCACAAATATTAAAGGGAATATACATCATTTGCTTTTGCTGTAATTTTCAGAAATGGATGGAATTTGGGGGTTGGAAATATAAAGCAAATATAGTTACACTGACTTTTTGGAGGTTTTGGGTTCGAAAATGCTATAAAAACCAAGAAAAACGATCATTTTCCTGTAGTCTGGTTCCCTGACTCCATATAAGAAGAAACAGAGCAGTTTACATACATTGGGGAATTGTAAGGTCAGGGAACCAGTCTAGCTGGCTCGTACCCGTTCATAGGTTTGTAATCGATTGCAAACAAGTGCAATGGTCAATTGGGGCCAGTATTTGAAAAAAAGCCAGTTGTTTCCAACGCTGATCGGCCGATCAGCGTTGGAAATTGATACAAAAATACCACTTTTCTTGAAAATGACAGTATACCAGGTGCCATAATTTTACAGGATGCTTTAGACTGTCATTTACCAACATCCTGTTAAGGTATTTCGCAAAAACTTGGTAGTTTTATTTTTCGATGTTTGCAAATGTTGTATATTCCCTTTAACTGAAGTTGGCCATCTTGTTTCGTTGGCCAGCTCTTTTCTTTCGGGGATGATCCTTGAAAATAGCAGAGACAGTACATCTTTAACGCCCCCCCCCCCTATACGGCTGTTGAATCCTCCATCCCTCTAGCTAGCTGGGCGGTCACACTGGTCGTTTGTCCAAAACACAAACAAACACGAAAAGAATTAACCGGCGACTATCAATCATATTAATGTCCACTGCCCTCCTCCTGCCCTGGCACGTTGAAGTCTCGGCTTCCACAACCAAAACAGTCGTCAAATAGTACATTTACGGGGCATTTTCCCTCCTTTTTTCCTCCTCCAGGTGCACCGTTCGTTGAGCCGCTTTCTTTCCTTTCTGGAGGGGTGATTGATGATGACAAAACTGGCCCGGTGTGGGAGTCTTGACAGCACCACGGTCATAAATAACGCCACGCTAATTGCAAGGGGCGTGTTAAACTTGCCTTGTTCATCTATCAACCCGATGTTGCATGCAGGAAGAAATCTGTGACGTCATCACACTGCTGGGAGAAACTCGCCAACAGAGGTCGCCCCCTCCACAAAATAGAACCCAACCGTGACTTCGTCAAGGCATATGGTGAGGCCCCTGCACTCTGCGACGTAAACTGACTTGCAAATCGCACGTCCATGCCAATTTCATTACATCGGGCACTTAGGATGGCTAACCATGCATACTCACCGACTGAGCTTGGACTAGGTGGAAATCGGAAATCTAATCAGCTTGTTGGAAACGATGCATATATATGGGGCCTACAGATTATCTTGTTTCTACCTGCACGCATACGATCTGAAATAAACTAAAATTACAGCCTCTACGTCGGTACGAAATCCAAATGTGTCAGGAAACAGTTTCCTCCCTCGAATGTTTCCGTTTCGTTTGCTAACTTTATTGATGTGTACCAACTGCCCTTTTCTTCTGGCTAATTATATCACATTGATTAATCTCTTGAAAGCCTATAGGCAAAATGTTCCATTGTTAGTATATGGTTTACCAATTAACAGAGAGTTTTTACGAATAGATTACATGAATACGGGTTACTCGCAATTCAAGAGTACATTGATACAGAATATATCCGAATGGCATTAACATTTAATGCAGATATTGCTGAAAACGTGAAGTTACCATAACCGGTAAATCTAACCTCGAGACAAGTAAATCTAACCTCAACAATAATGCAATCCGTAGCTCTAGATACTCATTTCGGGCACGGTCTCACTACGGTACTCAGAACTTTGTAATTTCCGCTCAATTCGCTCTGTGGCTTGTCAAACATCTACAGGGATCCAGCTGCACACTGGTTTAGACCCATTTTATGTGCCTAGCTTGTGAGAAAAACCTTTACCAATGCCAACATAATGATTTACAACCGTGCCGATCGGAATCATTAATTTCTCAAAAACTTTTCTTAATTTTGACATATACCGCTATGAAAAGCGCTCTTCTCCTCATACCTATAGGTCTCTGCTAAATAATGCCTATATATACATTATGTGACACAACAGTTTCTTTTATATTCCTGAGTCGCGTCCTTAACTTTTTTACGACGGAAAGCAAGCAGTTGCTCTTCATAAAAAACATGGGCGACAGGGAAAGTTCCTTTAAATTGAATTTAGACTTGCTGTTACGATGTATGGCCTCAGGGGAAAGCAGGAACGGTCGCTCATCGCAAATCAAGAGAGCGTACAATTGAGTTTGCTTTGTGTCGATCGATGCACTTGAAGATTAGTAAAAACTCTAGTTTGCATATATGAAAATGCACCGATACAACGTCACTTCTCTCACTGTCAAACAGTGTCAATTCGGTTTACATAACCACCACTGTTCATTGTCCAGTTTACAATCCAACACCTTGCTACCCATCAGTGGACGTTTACTTTGGTATTCTGCCTTGTCCCGTTTTTCAAGACAGCATAAAAGTTGGCTTATCTAAACTCCAGCGATATCAGTCGTGCATTTTGCAGGAATGTCTGAGGCAGCCAATATGTCGTTTAATACGAGTACGAGTCTAAGAACCCAGCATGATTTCACCGCGAAGCTTGAGGTGGCTCGTTGGATCGCGTGTGCTCTCTGGTTGGTCTATTTTACCGTCGGTTTGCCAGGGAACCTTCTGATTCTCTTCGTCTACCGGGCCAAGAGATTCCGCACGACCACTCATGTCTTCATCGGTGGACTGGCCGTGGCTGATCTCCTCACCTGCCTGCTAAGGTTAGCAGACGCCGTGGCCATGGCTTCGGTGCGTCGGTATCTCGACTACGACCGCCAGAGTGCCGTAAATTTCCTCAGCCGGGGCTTTATGTACACCACGGCCTTACTGACCACAGCAATCGCTCTGGACCGCTTCGATGCCGTCTGTCGATCCCTCTGCCGTAGCATAACACTCAGACGCGCCAAGATTGGTACTGTTGCCTGCTTCGCTGTGGGCTTCATCGGGATACTTCCGGAGGCAGGTCATAAGATCCACGAGGGTCTCCAAGGAGAAGTGACGTCCGACACATTTTTCATACGATCCGTCGTGAAATTCATCCCCGTGTCGTTGTACATCTTATCTCTGTTTGCTGTTGCCATATTCTACGGTATCATCTTTAGGTTTGTGCGAAAACGCGGCAGGATTGTTGCTATGTTGCGGGAAGCTTCTACGCATCGTGGCGAACACGCAGAGTCAGAACTGACCGCCGGTTCGAATTCCCTCGAAGTCGCTTTCGTGGTCAGCAGTGCTAGGGCAGTGCCGTCTACCATGAGCCAGCAATCACCAAGTCAAGATGAACGGGGAGGTGAGGGGAGCAGCATCCGACCCAATCCGCCTCAAGCTGCCAGCAGTCGTGTCACCACCAGACCCCATCCTACCAACTCCCAATCCCGTACCACCAAGATGCTGTTCATCGCTACCTTCCTGTTCTTCGTCCTGTGGTTTCCAAATATCTACCTGAAATTCTACGCTCTCGGCAGTCTGTTCAAGGACTTCTCCAAATCCTCTGATCACGCCAACGTGGTGGCTGCTTTGCTTGTCCTCAAAGACATCGTATACTTCAACAGTGTAATCAATGCTTTCGTGTACAGCATAGCCAACAAGCGATTTCGAGTTGAGTGCCAGATCCTGATTCGACGGATGCGTGCGCGATTGTAAGCGGACAAACGCGCCCATTATTTCAAGCCCTGTACAAAAAAAAAACATTATAACATATCTTAATTCATTAAATGTAGTAAATCGTTTGTTCCAGAGGGTGTTCCATTACTTCAAAATGTATCTTGCACTTTACAAGAATGGTCAATGACATAAGTGTTCAAGGTACAATGTAAATCATAACAACGAAATCTTACGTTTGTAGAGTACATCATTTGTAATTTGTGTATTATATGTTCGTTGGAAGCAACAAAAAATTCTCAAAATCCAAAGGGTGCTTAACAACCAACCAGGTGAAGTTTTAGCTCATTGAATGCTGTATATTCCGTGAAAAACAGTTTTCTATGATCTCGTTTCAAATCAAAAGTTGCCGCGTCATGTTTTGAATTGCACCCGAGTTCAGCGTCCGGAACACGTTCTCATTCAGCCGACTGCAGCTACGCGATCGTCGTGTCAACGCTTCAGCGCGCGCTTCGCCGAATTATATACGAACTACTAAATGGACATTTCCAACGATAACGGCCTTCATCATTGTTTTCTTCAAAATGACAGCTTGCCAGAAAGAATAATTTTACATAGAGTGTAGTCCCATTGCTATCCTTATACTACCAAGTATGCTTTTCAACAATAATTTCGTCAGTTACTTTTTGGATAGCTGTATATGATGGACTGTAGCTTTAACAAGCACAGTTATTTTGGGGGTTATTTTACGGATAAGCGGAGTGTTCTTTATTTGCTCTGTTAGCTAGGATACGTTTGTGTGGTTGGTTTTTGATTGGGTAGACTATATTTTTGGCGGAAAGCGTCGCACGCGTCCAAAATCAATGACGGAAACGCTGGGCTACAGTTTTACTTATATTTAGGTTCCACTTTTAAATCTCTCACTTCAAATCGTACAGTATCTTTACAAGTTTGCTTTTTGCACTCTTTTGGCACGGATATATAACAAAATACTGCATGTTATAAATATGTAAAGAATTTAAAAAATAATGACATTTATAGCGGTTCAATTTCTGTCGCTACTGATGCCACGAAACTTCAAACTTGTCACTTGATTTGATGATGTACGTCACAGGAGAATGTCAGTGCGTCAATAAAAATGTAAATTGTTGTAAAGAGTTGTGAAATCAATCTAACCCTGTATAGCAACCGCCGTCTATGCTACTTGATGTTAGACAACTACGATAAACAACCTCTAAGATAGCATAGGCCTACTGGATCAGCAAGAAATTCAAGGAAAATGACAAGTTTTTAATACATGTTTGTCTTAAAAATACTTCTGCAGACCTCCTGCGCTTTGCGTGAAAAAAAAAACATTTGGTAGAATTTAATAATGAAAATCGTCAATGCCGAATTAATGATAAACGATTAGTGTAATGTTACACTTACATAATGTGCGCGGGAAGAGGAATTACATATTTCGTTTGACAAGATCGTAACAGATTTGTTTTAATTGACATTCAAAAGTCAAGAAATTATTGATTTCTTTGTGACAAAAATCAATGCCAAACAGGGCATCTTCAGAAAATAATGCACTCTTTTCGACGATGCTCAAATCTTGTATCTGTGCTTTATACCAAACCAGGAGAGTATCTTGTAGATCAGCAGAAGGCCGATTTTACCATCCTCACTTGGCTCCTGGTGTCTCCTAAAATAACCCATGTTTCCGTTCAAGATAGAGATCAGTATGTTTAGCAGAAGGAAGGTAGCCACAGCTTGAAAGATGACCACCAAGATAGGAGCTGTGATGCCTTTGACATCGAACAGCGCATCATGATCGTATTCTCCGAGAAACAATGCAAAGAGGGACTCAAAGGCCAAGACAAGAGTGCTGTAGGTGGCCAAGTGCCTACCAAAGCTGAGCTGGAAAAGTAGAGCAAAGGCACACATGATTAGAGCGATGTAGGCAGCAAAGGCCCCAACTTCATTGGCAGAGGAACTCAGCACCGATGTCAGCAGATACGTCCTAGGATTCAGCCTGAGCAGGTGCAGGAACTTAATGGTGCACAGGATGAGCAGAAAGCCAAGCAGATACTGAAAGGCTTCTGCTATAGTGGCAGCAGCTCGGAAGTCAATGAACTCGCCGGGTTTTGTCCGAAAGATCTCTAACAGCTTCTCTGTGAAGACATGGCGGTAGATGTAGAATGCAATGACTACAATGCACGTGAGAACTATGGCAATCTCAAACCAGTTCCAACCATCCTGCCAGTAGCTGCAGCCCTCCTTGTATAACTTCCGTGCCTCAACCACAGCATAGAAAGCTGCGAACATGGAGAACAGTATCTCGATGCACAAGACAAAGAGCTGGAATTTGGCCACGTACCGATAGAACCGAACAGCCTGGATATGAGTAGTCTTGACAAATCCGCCTGAAGCCATGATCTCCGTTAGAAATGTGACCACAACAAACAGGTTGGTGTTAGCATTGTAGACTGTCCATTCTACGGCTAGGGCTTTGGTGTGTTCATCCAGCCAGTGGTCAGCCATCAAGTCCATCAGCACTTGCCTGGCTACCGTCTGGTTCAGACCCAGGATGACCACGTAACCGCCTCCTCCGTAAGATGTCACGTGTCCCCAGAGACTGCTTGCAACATTGTGCTGGTACCTCCAGATATCCTGTTGCTCAAGGTAACTGCCGTTTGCTGTCAGATCATCAAATGGTTCAGTCCATGACTTATTGTAGGTATCAGTATCCTCTGTGTCCTGAGAGTACGAGAGTGTGCACCTACTGATGATGCCAGTGACGGAGCTGCTTATATCGCATAAATCTGGAAAAGGCAATCATTGGTGGAAGAAGAGTTAACAAACATTTATTTTGGCATCCCGCAGAGTTTAAGATGCACATCCTTTCATTGAAAATTTTAAGTTGAATTGGTGAAATTCAGATTTATTAGTAAACGTTGTGGAAACCTAAGACATATGAATTACAAGTTGGTCAGAGGATTGTAAGATTTATAATTAGTTTACCTGGACGGACCCTGAGCTGACGGATCCGGACCCCGCCAACAAGAAACGACATGGTGTCAGTTGTTGCATCTCCTTCGTATAGGCCAGGGAGCAGTGTGACATCTGCCCACTCGTAAAACCCGCCAAAATCAGTAATCTGGTATTGAACCAAGTTGCAACATAAGTTGTTTTCCCTCACTATGCTGTGACCACATCTGATCAATGCACTTTGGGAATTTTAATCTTACTACTTATCAACGTATATTTGAAAGGATATGTCTAGTCCTTATTTTGATACATCACTCAGTTTGTCTGGTCTATTATGTTCCCATCAATTCCAATCTTTCCGTTGTGCAAGATTTGTCTAAAGGCCAATCATTTCAAAAGCTGCTCTGGTGATTAGTAGCTCATTTTGTTGATTTCGGGTTTTAGTTCGGGTTCTTATTGACTTTTCTACTCGTTACAAGACATTGAAACAACAAAAGAAACGCAATACTTTAGATCAAAAAGAGTTGTATAAAATCAAATTGCTGAGGGTATGCATGGTAAAGAATCAAAGAAAAATTGTAGTTTTTTTGAAATATTGTTTTATTAGCACCATATGTATCTCTTTTACCGGTTGTATGGGGTTGTTAAGAGGAACATGTTCACTTGACTGTTGAAGTGTGCTTTTATGATTTCCAGGTGAAACACAACTGTAACAAAGCAGGTTGCATAACACGCACCGAGTCATACTCATCATTGCTGAAGAAAACATCTCTGACGTTCTTGGTCAGATAGTAGGCGTAGCGGTCCCGTTGGCTGTAAGCGAGGACCAGGACTAGCCAGATGAAGAGTAAATATCCCACAATCTCTCGCAGGAGGGCGTACATCTTCCTCTCCATGTCTTTACGCTGTCGACTGGTGTTGACCTCTGTCATGCTTGGCGGCCGGTAGTGGGTGCCCTTCCACTTGTGCAAGAGCTTCTTGTAGATGGCACCGGCATTTTCTGGTTATGACGGTGATATCAAAGTTCTTTGCTTAACTCCTTCAGGATTGTTTGTTGTAACCTCAATCCATTAGAGGCCAAGACCATCCAATTGGAATGCATACAGGCACTTATCTTGTACTCCGAAGGATTTAAAATTGTAACCCCAAACACCTACTTAAATAGCCCTACACCAGTCCAAACCTAAGTCCAAACCATTTGATTTTGTTCTTACATTCAGTATCTGCTAGACTAGTTACGGGAGATCCAAACCTTCTTAAATACAGGGAAAAAAAGTTTTGACTCACCAACGTCTCCTTCTTCAATGTCATCACTTCCATCATCATCCGCATCCCACTGCTTCATGACAAGAGCCACAAAGGCAGCAAGAAGCAGAACCTTCAAGGGTTGTATGAAGAATATACTCTGGAAAAGGGACACCACCAGTGACACCAGCCAATCAATTGAGCGTTTCTTGCCATACTTGAGTCCGTACAGCATGGTGAAGTAAGAGGACACCAGCGTAGTGGAGAACACCAGGAACCAGCCGATGTAGATGAACCAATGAGGGAGCCCATTAGGGAGAAACTTAAATGAACACTTCCAGAACGCCGTCTCTGATTGGCTGCTGGTTTCGCTGGCGTCAGTGGGCGAGGAGCTCGGAGTTCGAATAGTCATAACTGTGAGCAGGATGTTTCTGGCCTCCTGCCTAGCAAGAAAATACTGCTCCACTGACGAGAAACACTCTGGAGACAACAGGTCCAGGTCATCTACGATCTGGTCCAAGCAAGAACACAGGAATCTGTTGTGGCTGAATTTTGCACTGATGTCTGAGGATGATGTCAAGTTTATTGTCTGAGTTGACTGGGAAAATCCTGAGGTGGTTTCATTTCCAGAACTTTCAGGTTTCCAATTTCCTGTATTTTCAGTGGAATTAGCCGTTGTGTCTGTTGGCATATCCCAAGAGGTCTCTTCTGTGGACAGCACAAACCCAGAGGAGGATGTGTTCTCCCTGAAATTTGTCTCGTGACAAGTGTAATATTCCGAGTCTGAGGACTTTTCTCCTCTCCTGTAAGAAGACAAAGATGAAGAGGTCCCACTTGATGAAACACGTGGGGGGCCTTTAATCGTCTTGTAGGGTTTGGATTTCCCCTCATCAGGGGGCCGAGCATATCTGAAGATGGACACAATCAGAAGGTTGATGGGAAATGAAAGGATGGAACTCTCAATGCCGATGAGTATCTCTGTGAAGGTAATCCTGAAGGCACCAAAGTCCATTGTCTGCTCAGCAGGGTCCGTGGGTACTCCATAGAACATGATACTGGTCAGCATAACGCACATGAGGAGAGAGAGGCAGCAGGAGACACGCTGAAGCCGGGTGAAGGAGCTGCGAGCTGGCCGGCTGAAGATGGAGAACCACAGGTGGCCGTCCTGCATATCCCGGATGGTCCGGGTGGAGAAGAGATGCTGGAAGTTTTTCAACTCATTCTCAGTGGCCGCGGGGAAGGTCTGGTCAATAAGACCCTCACCAATGTCCACAGCTAGCCAAGAATTGCACAGGATAAACCACCACTCGTCTGTCTCCAGATCGTGCACTGCAATCCGGCTAGCAAACCTGAAGGGGAATAGGGAGTAATATAATATCTCCAAGAATGATAAAAGCTTTTGAGTAATGCTAACAAATCATGACATTGAATCCTAGATATTCAGGAACTTGTTTTTGTCAGTGAGAGTATTAAAGCCTCCGGAAGTCTCCTTGATAGGTCACTAGCAGCACACAGCAGATCTTGTAGCAAAAGATCAATTAATTAAATGGGGAGTCAGGTGACTGCACAGTTATATTATTCTCGCCTTCCACCATTGTTACTCCAGTTTGAATGTAATCTGCAACTTTTCAACTCCTATCCAATAGACTGATCTGGTAAGCCCCGCCCACTGCACACATGCATGGACAATTAACAAGCGCGTCATGATCATACACATGTGCACACATGTCAGAGATTTTGTGCACGCATGTCAGGCCAAATTACAGCTGTGATTGGTCAGAACACCTGTGGGGGTCAGGAAGAGTGCAAGGTTCCCCCTGTAAAATTAATACCTTTAAAATATGCATAAAAGATACCTCAGAGCTGCTTTTATAGCCTGTATATAGCCTTCATGTTAGTGGGCTTCTTGCCTAATTCAGTTCTCACACTGGATGGCTGTACTGTCCATTGCTCTGTAGTCAATGCTAATGTGAGCCAGTGAAATGTAAAATATAATAGTATAATAATAATACTTGCCATTCTGGGCTGTCTCCTCCATCGTCATGCCAAATCCTGACTTCCGTCACCTCCCCAAGGCTCTGCTTGGTCGTGATGAGAAAGGAGTCGACTCCGCCCCTCTGCAACACCTTCCGTTGTTTGTCCTGCAGGACATGTGGCCTACTCTGTCCCTGAGTCCCAATGAGGGTCAGGGTAGAGGTTGCTGTAGTGCCAGCCCCCCTGCGCATGCCTGTGACAACGGTGACATCGTAACGGTATCGGGCAAAGGGGTCATTGTCCTCAAGGGTGATGACACAGGCCTGAGAGAGCATATCATTAGAGAAACCTGGTCATCTTGTGATCCTTACAAACAATGTAAGTCATCCACACAAAGTGACAGGTAAACCAAAAGTGTGATCAAGCTATTTCTCAGTCATTGTTTATTCCCTGTTCCATGTGACCTTCACGTGATTTGACTTGTGATTGACTTGTGGTGGATTTACAATAGACCGATCTTTCAAGTGACGCTCAATGATGCTTTGATCAACGACAGTCATGACTAACCCAACCAGTTCTGAATCCTCCAAGTTTAATCTGATTTTCACACACTCTGGGGAGTAAGGGTTAATGTCCATATGATGGCATGTGTGCACTTGTGTCAACCACGTGCACTGCTTGAACTTGCAGTGTATTGGGGAGCAGGACCGTGTTGTTGCCAATAATATATGTGCACAGTGGCCGGGCCTTAATTAGAGCCAAGTGAATTTTACAGGGAACTTGGAGGCAAAAAATATAAGGGAACCATTTGGAAGAACAAAGTACATTTTTCCATCAGTTTTATGAACATTCTAAAAAACGTAATGGGGAATTTAAATTTGCCTCATGTTTTTTTCCTGGAGATTATGTGGAAAAGGGTGCCTGTAAATTACCTTGTGTGGCACGACCCTAATAGCTAGATCAGTTTACCTATGATGAACACAACTATGCCTATGACTATATGACAATGAAAATAACATTTAAACTTTAAACCAAATATCTCAATTTGCCAAAGCTGTACCTTCAAAGTATCTGCTTTATCCTGTCGGCGTGCCCACACTGCGACACCGACGTAGAGCACCAAGATGAAAGCGACCGTGCTCACCACAACAGGATTGTCCAGGAAGGTCAAGAAGAGTCTGGTGTCAGCTAGGAAGTCGATCTTGTTGGGCATGACCAGGAAGCTGGAGCCAAAGAATGTCAGGTGGTTGCAGAGACACTGGGTGACCTCAGGAGAAGATAACGGCCCCACCTGGGTCACCAGAGAAAATGATTGGGTTGAGGGAGTTAATTAAGACGGTTCCATTACGACACAAGAAATTAGTTTTTACAGGCTGCCAACTGTTAATTTGAAAAATAGCCAAATAAAGCAAAAGCTTGGTGGCATTCTGAAATGTATATTCCAGTTTTATTCATCTGGACCGTTAGCCCATCTGTCCCCAGTTGACAATAAGTAAAACCGCCTCCAATTAAGAAAAGTTGAACGTCTTGACATTCCTTACCTTGCAGCCTGCACCGTCCCATCTCTCCTCCTCCTCATTCCAGAACAGGCACTGGGAGCTGTAGACACCAAGCAATAGCGTCAACGTGTCTGGTTCCTCAGCTGGTACCCTGTCCTGGTTGCTTGCTGTGGAATCTGGCACTGAGCACAATGTGTGGTACGTGCCTACAAAAGTTATAAAAGTGGGAATTTTGAAGAAAAGATATTTTAAGAGGGATGTAAGGTCGGGCGAGGGTAGTCTGCAGAATTTCCCCTTGCACAAAATGGGTCTATGATATGCAAGCAGATTCGGCGAATAATTATGCAACCTAGAGTTCTGACCATACAGCGGGCACCTTCTACAGGGTCTTCGGTAACCCGTTGTTATCTTACAAAATCATGGCAGCCAAATTGACCAATTAACAGCTTAGTCCACATTTCTGATTGAATGACGTCACACTTTCTTAAGTCCACTCAGATTGGCTGATGCACAGGGGTCACATAATACAATGTACATATCAGACATTGGTTATGGAAAGGGCTCCATTGGACAACGAGTGATACTCAGACTAGGGTGAGGGTCTGCAGCAAAACTGCCAAAAAGAAACTCAAATTTGCCATGTGGAACTATATATTTTCCAAATATGGCACTTCTAAAATAAACTAAACTGAACCAAACACAGCCGTGAAATTTAGGTCTTCATTTAAGAATTGCATAGTCGTACCTTCACCCTGTAAAGAGTGTGGTTCAATCATCCACGTATATCTCTGCTTCAATTCACGATCTGCGTCATCGGCCGGCAGCTGATACTTAGACTCCTCTCCAGGCAGTGTGACATTGACATAACAGTCTGACTTGCTGAGGTTTCCCAGTGATTCGTTACCCTGGTACAGCAAGCAGCATGCCAATAACTCACTGGCGACTGATGGCAAGGCTAGCACACTGATGGTGGCATTGGGATTGGTGACTTCAAAGGAAACTACCACAGTGGTGCTCTGATTGACAGTGACCTGCGTGTTGTTGGCCAGGGTAACAGTGCGCTTTGGTACAAAGATCTGGATGTCCTCAGGTAGGTTGGAAACTTAGGACAAAAATCAAGGGAAACAAATGCATTTATTGCTTAAACTTATTAAATTTAGAGCAACATCTCAAAAAAAAAATTGCATGACTAAAACTGATGTACAATTTGTCAAGTTGACATTTTTAAATAATACTACTTATAATACTAATGGGGTACTAATGCTTCTCCACACCCATTACCCATATTTCTGATTCCTAGCTGAACCCCTACACTCACCTTTAATCTCTTGTCGGTCGACCGTCTTCAACTGAAGCCCCACTACTTCAGACGTGACATCTTCACTCCCTTCACTCCAGACGAATGGATCCATGGCAAACTGAACCATCTTGGACAACAAAAAAACAGAGCAGATTTTGTTCTCTTAATAAAAATTTTTCAGTTTTTTTTCAAATAGCACTTGCTAATTTATCCTTGATTGATTTTGTTACCATATACCTGTGTGTCAATGGCATCCGTGTAATTTGCTGGGAGGATGCTTCCAATGGATGCAGTATCCGGCAGAATGAACCCAGCTGGCTCGGCCTTTGTCACGCCGATGGACGTCTTACCCAGGGTGCCTTGCTCCTGCCTCTGAGACGTCAATGTCAGCACCGGTGACTGGATGACTGTGGGCTCCTCGCCTGGAACCTTGTTGACAATGAGGGCGTCCTGCACATCACTGATGGCAGCCAGGGTTGCCTTGGCAACCACTTTGCTCTGCCAAACGTGAAAAGGTTCAGTAAATAGAAAGGTGGCATTGCCACGCTTTGGCAGCAAGATTGGATTAATTGTCAGATTTAAAATCTGAAAGTTTGCTGAATTCTTCCCTAAAGGTTGAAGAGTCTGTAATACAAGTCTTAGCTTTAATTTCCCGAACTTTATTCAAGTAACAATTATTTCTCTCTAATAAACTCTAGTTGAGCTGTAATCAAGCCATCACAAGCCCATTGTAAATTTGAAGTCAAGTGACAAGCTATTCACATCAACTGTCACAAGGGCATTCCTCATCAGGATTTGACTTCAACTCTGTACAAAGTTTAGGCTCAAAAACCCATATATAAATGTTATGTCACACAGGAAGAAAAAAATGCAACACCTTTTCCTTGGCCTCCTGTTGTACAACATTATCATCAACTTCCGCCTCATCAATTGGCGTGGTTTCATTTCTGGACACAGTATCATCTTCTGCAGATACTTTGGTCAGTTCATCCACACTAGCCACTGCGGCATCTAAGATATTGGACAATCCTGAGACGAGATTCAATGCAGCATCGTCAATGGAGGTCTGACAGCTCTCACAGTCTGTCCTCTCAACAGAATGCTCCTTGAGGAAGGCACCCATCTTGACCAAAGTTGTGGCCGCAGTCAACTAATCAAGAAGAGAAAATTAAAGATCAGTTCAGCAACCAGTAACCAGGAGGAACAGCCCCCCCCCCCCCCCCCCCATTGCATAAGTTCTAATTATGAGTAGGAGAACATTAATGTGCAACGTTACTTGAGTTTCCTGGGTGACTTCTGTTTTGTCCTGTGTGATAGCCACCAGAGCATAGGATGACTGCTGTAGGGAGACCACTGATTCAACTGGCATGTCGGCTATGGTATTCACTGTTGAGGTGCGAATCTGTCATAAAAAAAATTCAGTTGTGTCATATTTTGTTATTATTATTTAATTAGTTTGCAAGCCTGATGAAACATGTGTTTTACAGAAGATTTTTTATTATTTTCTATGAGAGATAAGATCTCCATGTAGTTTAGAGATAGAAATATACCAGAAAACTATTTGGAACCCATTCGATAGTATTAGCAGGATGTTTCTGGAAATGGAGGGGGACAATATATAATACGTCTCTGTTGTCGAAGATCCAAAAGTTGGAGGAGAGGGGGGGTCAAATTAGGTGAAGAATAACCCCCAGGTTACATAGTCATTGATGAGGTGGTCCATGTGCAGAGACTTATGGCACAATGCACTTGATGAGCTTTTCTCGCTAAAAGCTAAATGATGAGAGTGGCCGCAAAAAGATGCTGCCCCTTCTTGGACTTCATCCACCATTTCTTAAACAAAAAGAGATAGTATGAAACCAAAGTATTAGTTCCTGATACACATGTTTCAGCAAGACAGCACCCTCATCCTTTCAAAAATAAGACATAATGAGGGTCAAAATTTGCAGAAAATCATTTAGTGTGCCTCTAATAAACGGGGTATTCCCACACCACTGATTCCATCCCTAATATCTCTTCCCCAACATCAGTCAAATCCTCCTGACCTCTTGCCTCAATTCCTTGGTCTTCAGACTCTCAGTATGTTCCTGTTCCTGCCCTGCGCTGGTATGATGGCTATCCAGTATTGAGCCCACGGCACCAATGATCTGCACCGCTGTCTGGAAGTCTCCCTGGTTGATTAACTCCTGTAGCTCCGAGTCGCTGCCGCTGGTCAGGTTCAGGAGGACGTTGCTGGTGCTTTCATCATCGCCCAGGTTGACTGTTTCGGGTGGTCGTACCTGAGGGTGACGTTAACCCACAAGCGAGTATAATGCTTTAAAGATAAACTCCAACAATGAACAGGATACATACTGGTTTTACTCATTAAAAACAAATCCAGATTATATTCTTAGCATGAATTGTCCGTTAACAAACACTTTAACAAAACTGTCCAGAACAAGCTCACTTCTGAGGTCATAGTAAACAGCACAGATGCACCGTGTATGTCAGCAACCTCCACAGCAATAGTCACCAGGTAACCGTTGGATTCATCTCCCAGGGGAAGGTAGACAGACGGTGTGGTGGAGGCCGCCCCGCTGTACAGCACAGGATCTGGGCGCACATGTAATAAGGCAAACAGGATAGCACTCAAATCAGTCAAATGAAAGAATGATTTAGTCACCTAGCCATACGTAGAAGATGGATTACAGACAAAAATCCAAAAGGTTAAATGATTTTAGTTTCCCCTCAATGCTGACAAAGAGAGAGTTAGTCAGAGCTAAGAAAACATTGCAGCCGTATTCCTGGAGCTCATGCTTGGATAGGCACGGGAGGCATGTCCCCCCCCCCCCCCCCCCCCCCCCCCCCCCCCCCCCACCCATTGGATGTCCATGCCCCTCCTGGGTGCTCCCCATTTACAATCTTAAATTGAAAAAAAAAATTGCAATTTTGAAATGATGCAGTTCATTTGCCCCCCCCCCCCCCCGAAGCTCATCAGTGTCCACACATGTCCATAAGTGCAACATAAGACTATCAACCGAGACAAGTCGCAAGCTATCCAAACAACCGTGCCCTTCCTTTGTCTCTGTTTATCCCCTATTACTCCAAACTGGACTTGTGAATATAGCCATTTGATTTACTTGCAACTGAACCCGTGATGGACTTGTGTTGGATTCAACTTCAACTGTGGCTATAAGATTCATGAAATATCTCTACTCAGATTCACCCACCAAGGTATTGCAATGCAGCCTGATCTTTGTTGCTGAGTACTGGAGGCACACGAACAGTGTACATCAAGTGGCCTTCCTCATCCCAAAAGTCCACGCAGTCAATGATAAAATGCGTCTGCAGGGCGTAGCCGCTGTCAGGATCCAGGCTGCAGGTACCTATCCTGGGTGGTGCATTCAGCTCAAAGGTGTAGTCAGCAAAACCTGGTGGGCTGTCAGGATGGAATCCTATGGCATGAGAAAACACAAACCAGCATGGAAACTCTACATATAGATAGATGAGGGAAAACATTTTACAGAAATAAAAAAGTAAATAACTCCAGAGTTATGTGAAAGACAAAAAATCATAATATCTCTCATGTCAAATCACACGAGTCATATCAAGTGACAAGCAATTATTAAAATCAACTGTGCAAAAGGCATCTTTTGTCATTGTTCATCTCAATAACCAGAATCACAGCTCCTGAGATTCTTTGTCACAAAAGGCAAAGCCATGGACCCTGTGCACAAGTTCTCCCTCGTCAACGGTTCAAACGAGACAGAGATGATGGACACTAGAATGCAACTGCTCTACGGTCAGGCATGTTCCTCTGCTATGACGCTTCAGGTTTGTGCACATTAAGGTGATAATTGGTTGCTCCTTAATCTATGCCAGTGCTCACAGGCGGAGTACCCCACACACTGGCTGCATAGCGTTTATAATGGGCGGAGTGGTCAAGATCAATTTTTCAAACTAAGCAAAAAATTTGGATACACAAGAAACCTTACACACACACCTGTCACCCTTACTGATCGTTGCCTATAGTCACCATCATCAAAAGTCCCGCCTACAATCACAAGATACGATGAGTATCTGCCCGTTGTTGTCAGCTCATTCCAATCAAATGCCTCGTCCGGAACATTATCTCGCGTGAGTACATCCCAGACAAAATTGACCGAGGGTGTTGGTGATGTCACGTGGAGTACAACCCTCTCGCCAATGCTCAGCTTTTCATCACAGTTTTGCAGACAACTGCAGAATGACCAAAACACAAAGAAAAAAACATCATATTAAATACCAAATTAATACTTGAGCTGCAATTTATTACCGGGAAAAACAATTATTACTCTTCAATTTCAAAGATCAGAATCACAAATTCTTTTGTATACCTTACGCTGAGCATTGGAGGGTCTTGTGCCACCACAGTGATACTCTGAGATGCCGAAGAGTTTCCCCGTCCAGCCAAACTCACAGTCAGTACGAATCTGTAAATCTCGTCAGGCACGAGAGTGTTGGCTGCCATCTCTATGGAGTAGTCAGTGGAGGGTAGACGATAATCATCATCAAAGCAGGGAATCGCTGGAGATGGAGAGAGCAAAAAGGGGGTCAGAAATCATGCATCATTTAAACATTAACAGTATCTCAAGAGGGCTTTTATCAGAATCATTTGCAATAAATCAATCTGATAATATATATATTTTTATCAGCAAGCCCAAAAACTCAAAAGGACATAGTTGGTTGCCGACCCAGGATTTTTTTCAGCAACGAACCCAGATTGGCAATAATGTATGAGATTCAGGAAAGGAATTTTGTAAGAGTTTTGCAGGAATTGGTTAAAGGGAAGGGTGTGGTTTGCCAAACGTCTCCCCCCCCCCCTCATCCACCCTTAATCCATGTCTAATTAAAGTCACATTCTCTGCAAGTACATCATCACACATGCCCAATGCTACAGATGTATATGAATATGTATCAGATATGAATATGCATCAGATATGAATATGCAATTTACCTTGTGATCCATGATCATGGCCATTTCCTAATGAGCAAAACCACTCGTACTGCAGACCACTGGTTGGCTCCAGGAAATTATCAGGATCAAACGACCCACCCCCGTCCAATATCAAAGATGAACTGTAGCCTAAAAGTAATATTTAGGAGAGTATTAAGGAAGAAATACACCCAATGTAAATGACAGGTTTCCCATAAAAAAACTGTCATAATAAAAATGAATACACCAGGTTATTGCAATTGCTAACTGTAATTCTTGTAACTACTGAAATACTAAAGCTTGAAACCTTCTTGAATCCTCCAAAATGCACTTTTATACAGGAACGCAAGCTCACAATTATTTGCAAGGGGCATCACAGGGAGTCAGTGGCTTTAATTGGCTGTGCTTTCGGAGGCCCCACAAAATCCCTGAAACCTTCCTTGTGTATTTTGAAGGATGTGTACAAGTAAATGTTGTGCTAAACATTGAGCAGAACTCACCCACTGACCGAGCAGACCCACCCTGAATGATTGCCGTCAGGAGACTGGGATAGATCCTGACCCACACACGGTCACTTCCCCTGCCGATTACATAGCCATATCCACTATGGACTGCCACCACGGCTTCAAACTGCAACACGTGCAGCCCGTATTCGAGGGCCCCTTTTGGAAAGGTGATTTCTTGCAGGTGGGTTGCTAGACTCTCGGGGAGTGCAACAGAAGTCTCGTTCCCAGTGGCATCCACTTGGGAGATGGTCCAAAGAAGACTGACGTGAAAGGCGGTAAGATTACACAGCACTTCTGTGTGCCCCTGGAACGACAGGTGTACGTGACGTGGGAAAGTCAGCGGTGAAGACGCGTTGGTTTGACGGCCCGTAATATGGACGTCTGACGGATTGCAGGGAAGGTTATCTGGGTCCTGCATGGAGAGATTGGGCGATAATGTTCAATAACATTTCAAAACCATGTCATGAATTAAGTCCGAAAGAGAGCACTAGCAACGTACTTGACTTGTCACATGATTCAATTAACATAGTTGCTCAGACAAGAGTGGTGTTGATGGTACAGTGTCTCCTATGTTACAATTCTAGTCACACTAGAGTTGTAAATAAGCCATTAAAATAATCACAAGTCGTGACTAGACAGTCACAAGTCATCACAAGACAGTCACAAGACAGTCACAAGTCATCACAAGTCATCACAAGACAGTCACAAGTCATCACAAGACAGTCACAAGTCATCACTAGATAGTCACACGTCATCAGTCATCAAACCACACAGAAGGATTTTTACAGTGTTGTTCAATTTGTAATGGCATTCATGAGAAGTAAAAAACGAGGAAATCAGCACATCCGAGGAAAAGTTGCATGCCTGAGTTCTTAAGTCAAGTTACAGGCTATTTATATGTATGTGACTTTGCATTCCTTTGCTCTTGTGTGCTTGACTGTGACAGCCTTCATAACACCCGAAATTAATATTTAATAGACTGAACACCACTCCTCCTTTAAACTCTTCACAAAGAATACAAGAATTCACAGGCAGCAAAAGTAGGTGATATATCGCAGGTCCACTCACAGTATTATTGATGTTTTTTGTTCAGTAAAGCTAGGATGGTTAGCCTTTTGCAAGTGAATGCAATCTTCAGAGTGCTCAACTTACGAGTATATTTAAAACCTTCGTCACCGGACCAGTGCTTGATATTCTGTTAGATGCAACGACACTGGCTGCATATGTGCCTGCTTCACTGAAGGACCATTTCATAGTTGGAGACTCAGTCACTGTTTCGTTGCCCCCAAGGTCCCACAGATAGTCTACGGCAATGGTGCTGCCTGATAACGATGCATTCAACACCAGAACCTGACCAGTAAAGAAAATCAAGTCTGCCGGATCCGAAAACACTCCAGCATCTGTGTACACAAAATATAGGTTTGCAATATACTGATGTTAATAAGAAAAACATTTGGCTTTTAGTATTTTTAGATTAATCAATACTTCTTTATTTATTGTTCACAAGTTGGAATGTGATATTAAGAATGAACATGTTCAGCTGTTTAATGAAAGATAGATTTTGTCACAATGTGATGAGGTATGAGAAACCCTTCACTTATAGATGCAAAAAAATAAGTTGACACTGCATCATTTTTTTTAGATATTACAATGACAGTACTAGTGTTCAATTTCAAAGCCAAGTTAATACTTTTAGATTACCTATCTTTCATTCAGATAGCCAGTGTATAATTTAATTTAAACACAGAAATTGTTTCAGGTATGTTTTATCAGAGCAGGAAAAGAGCAATAACCAAAAAACAATTCCCTGTTCCTTGCTTTTTTGCTTTTTCCAAATTACCCCCCCCCCCCTCCCCCACGGCCCCATTGGCTCCTTAACCCCCGGTCTCACTTTGAAATCTGCTCCTTGCATCCATCAAATTTCCCTGACTGTTTTAAATACCTTCGCTTCCTTCCACGGCCATAACCAATGAGAGGGCAGCATCTTCCAAAGACCAGACAATGCATATCTCTTGTTGAGCTTCAGTACTCAAGGACGTCACGTTAAAGACAAACTGGAAGCAGCCAACAGCTTGGTAAATGTGAACCAGATTTAATACTGGCTGGCTGGCATTCAAGAAACAGTCAGCTGTCACAATAGACAACACAAAACAATTGTTTATTATTTCACCATTTGACTAATAAAAAGCTCAAATTGCAAGGTAAACAACATTGGGCCTACAGTAACAGAACAACCACTCAACAATTCCTGTTTAGACTTACCCCTTGTCAAACTTTATTTCTAGTCAGAACTTCCAACGAAATACAGTAAAAAAAATATTCAAAGTGAATTTCAGAGACTAATATAACAGCACAGAAAAAACATATTGTGATTGGTCGATGTTGGAGGCGTGAGCTTGAAATCTTGATTCTGATTGGCCAATGTTGGCAAAGATATTTGCCAACATTCTTCAGTCTATATAAACTTGAAATATTGTTGTTGGCCTGTTTCCGACTGGAAATGCAAAAAAGACCCTTTGTTCATACTTTTTCTCTGAATATTAAATTAAAAAGGCTACTTTACATAAAGGGTCTTTATTAAAATGTCTCACCTTGATGGCCATCACCGTAGGAGATGGAGCAGTCATCTTGCAAGACGTCCCCTTTCAAAGCAGCAGAAAACCCCACAGTGATATTGACTGGAGTTCCTCCTGACTCGAAAAGCACATAGGAAGGTGCCTTGACCGTGAGATTAGCCGGTGGTGGGGTCGTAAGCTGGGTGGTCGTTGGTGGTTCTGAGGTGGGCGTGGTGGTTGTGGGTGGTGCTGTTGTGGGTGTCGTGGGTGGGGCTGTAGTGGGCATGGCAGTCGTGGGTGGGGCTGTCGCGGGCATGGCAGTCGTGGGTGGGGCTGTAGTGGGCATGGCAGTCGTGGGTGGGGCTGTAGTGGGCTCATTGTAACCTTCAAATACAATATCAGGAAATGGGCAACTACAGATTGAGAATTAACGAAATAAGCCCAATTTCCTTCAGTGGTTAATCCTCAACCCCTTCGCAAGGTTACCTGTATTGACTGGGTTTAGTAACTCTATGTTGCACAGAGCTGACCTTGTTTGCATTAGTTTATCTAGGTGTTCAGTCCAGAGGGGCAAGATTCGGCCCAACCGTTTTGAGGAGTTCGTAAATTAAACATGGTTAAAAGCAGGTGGGTGCTTTTTTTTTAGCCTTAATAGTGTGATTATTCAGTTTCTTTGTGGGAAAAATGGCACAATGTTGCCGGCAAGGGGGGGGGGCAAGTTGCCCCCTCGCCCCAACTGAATAAGCCACTGGCTGTTTGTTTGGGTTTTTTCTAGCAAATTTGACCAGTTTTTTTTTATTGGGAGAGCAAAATGACTGGCATATAGACCTAACTACATTATTTTTGGGAAGAAAGATAAATTTTTTAATTCAAGTACGAAATTAAAACAATATGGGTTCAGCTTTTGCAAATGAACACTCACAGCAGAAATAGTTGATCCTGTAGATGTTGCTAACTGTTGTCAAGTCATTGCCATAGTCGATATACATGTCGCATGGTTTGCCGTCAGGACACGTTTCCTGAATGTACTGGAAACGAAAATATATTATTACTCACATTAAGTTAATTGTATACAATATTATTAAGGGAATGATACAATACCTCAAACAGTTAGGCCAAAGTCATGTTCAATTGCGAAGGCCCCTTTTTCAATGGCGAAATCATTGTTATTGTTCGGATACTCCGTTATGGGGCAGCAGGTACTCGGTACGCATAGCTTGCATGCGCAATGGTTCCGCCATGGAAGGGGGCCTCATCTGTGTACAGTGACACGTGCCTGGCTTCGTCTATGTACCGCAACTTCTCTGGTGACTGTATGCAGCGCAACAAAATTGTCCCAAGTGTGAGAATATACATTCAAATTTAAACGCAACACGAGATATCAGAACGAAAAGTCGGTTGTATTTTTCAAGTTGTTAGTTTTTGCGTTGTTCGAAGGTGACCTCCAAAATGAAGAGTTTTAACCATTTCAAAGTTATCAATCGAGTGAAGAGCTGGACAAGATAAATGCCACATTCTTTTCATCCAATGAAGCTGGAAATACTCTTTGCACAAAAGTTGAAGCAGGTCAATAAAACAGCCTGAAAACTGTGAAACATGTACAGCCCGAAGTTTTTGTCATTTTCCTGCGAATTGTGTTACTTCTCTCTTTAATTTTGCTTTCTCACGCGTGTATTCCTCTGAAGCACGTCACCTACTGAATAATTCTCATCCAATCAAAATTCACAATATTTAACACGCAACGTCATACACGATAGCTCAGTTCGTGACTTCGTCATACACGCGCACGCACCACTTCAGTGACGCCCATTGGCTAAACTCGTCACTTTGCACTACTTCCGGTTCCAATGGTGCCAATGATTTTCAATGCCACTCCGTGTGTAGTATTGGGCGTGGTCCTTAAGTTGAAATGACGTCACACTTACAAACCATAGACCACGTTACCTGTGAAGTCATACCAACGGAGGACCAATGGGCAACCCAAACATTTAAGCATCTTCTGCATGTTATTATGTCACCGCTTTTACACCGATCACATTCCAAGAGTTACACATGCAGAGCAGCTAGGCCTAGCCTATACAGAATAGAACGGTTTGGTGAAAGTTAACATTATGTGACCGTCACATCCAAATATTGTCAACCAATAATGTAAGCTGGGCTACCCAACCTGTTTGGCTCCCATTGATGTGCATTGGTCGCTGGTGTTCCATGTCCGCTCCTGACAGTTTGGGATGTAATGTGTGCCGAGATTCTGCAGGTATACCTCCAAGACATCGGAGATAAACAGGTACTCGTTGGCCGTGGGGCATGAGATTGGCTGTAAGTCATCTACACAGGCCTGCTGATCGGTCACTGATAGAGTTCATACATGTAGATTAATACGTACGCCAAAAGTAAGATCGATTTTTATTGCATGATATGAATCATTATTTTTTATTTCATTCGCACTTACTGTTGAACAATCGGTGTGTTCGGTCGCGCAGATATGCGCATATAAAATGCACCGTAGTTTGACCGCACGAAAAAAATCTGGACCCAATTTCATGGCTCTAGCTGCTTAAGAATTCCTGCATGCTAGCATATTTTCACAGGTTTATCCTAATGTGTAGAGTTAGCACAATCTTCTTTTTTTGTGCTAGCGCTGTTAGCACAGAATGGTGATCGTATAAGCGCGAAATTCTGTGGAAATCATACCAGGTCGTGAAATTGGGCGGCCTCAATCTGTATTGTGAAATAAATCAGAATGATTCATTACTATGTGGTGAAAGTGCTGCGCCGGCAGATGGTACATGTAGTACAAAATGCGTATTTATGTTCAAAGATGAACATTTGCCCACGAAATTAACTTTCTTGGACGAACAAAGTTCGGGACCCATCAAGGCTTCAGCACGCGTTAATATCGTCACTTGACTTCAGCAGCACGATATGCGCCATCTTGCTCAGGCGGGGCAAAAAGAACAGGCGTCTCTGAGCGCGAGCACTCACGTCAATCAAAAACTGTTACTCTTCATAGCAACGCGCGTTCTTTTTTGCGCCGTGAATTAATGATGGTGCGCATTGCCGTGAAAGTGCTTGAAATTCTGCCACTGTGATTTCATTTTTCAATTTATGAAAGTCACTTGTTTGTTTGATGACCAGTTATTCCAGTATAGTCTAATAAGATTCAGTTTGGGCCACACCGCGATTTGTACGGAAGAGGTCAAAACTTCAAATTCATTACCAGTTACATGTCCTACCGCCATGGACATGTAGGCCTAATATATTCAATGCGTTGCTCTTCCTAGATCAATTCAATTCATTTCCATGCTTCATGAAAACATTACAAACTTTAGGGAAATGGTTAAAACCATAAAGCAGTAAATATCAAATTAACAGCAAAATAAAAGAAGCAAATAGAGCACGAGGCTGGAAAACAGCCGGTAGGGCAAACAAGGCATAACAATGGGTAAGCTGACATGAGACAAGGAACATATAACGCTAAGGCAAATTATTATGAAATTTGGTAAAACTAGTAAAAGGCTGTATAACTATAATTTTATAAGCACCCCCCCCCCCCAAAAAAAGATTAATCGACTGAAAATATACAAGAGGCCTAATACAATGTAGGCTACACGTCGTCTTTGTGGATGCCTTACCTTTGATTTCAACGACCAATGTTGCTAAGATAAACACAATCCATGCACCGTGGGTTCTTCTTGGAAGTTTCGCCATAGCAGCTCGGCGGTCTCGACTACGAAAGTTTGGTTTTCATCCAAAGATTATCGGGCATCTCAAGAGTCCAATCGGGTTGCAATGGCACACGGCGTTTTTTCGAACTCAGTTGCGTTGCGCTGTAGTTGTCATGCAGACGTAAAGCGCGCCAATTTCGTGGAAGACGCGTATCGATGCGCTTTGTCAGAAATTCCGTTGAAGACACTTTGCTCATAATCAGAAGAAGTAATAACTAGATCGGAATCGCGTTTAATACGCGCTTATTAAATTCTTCTCATATGGCTTTACTCCACTGATCGTCATTATGACGTGATAAATAGATGGATAATTGCTTGCGCACCAAATCGCTGCCGTATATAAGCGCCAATCAAGAATCGGTTATGACGCCATTAACAATACTAGTGCAGCGTCTAAAATGTTATGTTCGGGAAGCGCAACTTGCTTTGCCGCTGGTATTGGTTGCATGCTTGAAGAGTTTTTGAGAACTGCTCGTGCCAAGTTTGAAGTTGTTTGGGCGAGTGGTTCTCAATAAAGCTGCAAAAAATAGCGCAGATATTCACCCCTACTGGACAATGGTATCGCCCTTCAGTAAGGTTGCTCAGTCGACCGCCTACAATCCATTTTATTACAAGTTTCTCAATTTAAAGTTCTGCTGGACTCAATTCCATGCACGGATGATGAAACAAACTACATGTATCCTTTTCATGCCAGGTTTGAATAAGAACCGACCATGCCTTGAAGTAACTTTTTTTCGTAGGTCAACTAGTTAGTGGAGCTGATAAGCGAGAAATCGTGCACTTTGTGGTAAAAGCATGAAATTTGGCAGGTGGGGTCAAAATGGGCTAGAAATCATTTGAAGATCGGGACCCATCTTGGATCTTGCCCATTATGGGGGCGGAGCTTGATTTCGTTTTAAAAAGGGGGTGCAACCAATAAAAACTCATAAAACTGTACTTAACATCCATTTCTTTGTTTTTCTATGCTTCGAAATAAAAAAAATAAAAAAAAACACATTCTAGCCTTTTAACACCCGTTATTTTCCACCCATTTTGTGGGCGTGACCTAAATGTGTAAAATACGCCCGTTTAAGCAGTTTGGTTCAAATATGGAAAATATCATGCAGTTTGGTGGTAACATCCTGAAAATTGGCATGTCTAGTTGAGATGGGCTGAAAATCATTTGAAGAGGTAAACCCATCTTGGATCTTGCCCATCTTGGGGGCGGAGCTTGATATTTGAAAAAGGGGAGTGCAAAAATAAAACCTCAGAAAACTGTATTTAACATCCATGGGCAAGATCCACGATGAGCCCCGATCTTAAAAAAAGCGCACGATTTTGGCAAAAAAATAGACCTAAGCAGCTCCACTAAGTCTGTCTAGTGATAAGCTTTCTAGTGAAAAAATAAAGCTTGTGCTTATCAGCTCCATACGAGTGTCCCCTGACATTCCTTCCAACCGCCAAGCACAATGCAATGACATTTATGAAATTATTGACAACTTGATTAAGTGACCAAGTTCAGTGGTAAAGCAAAAAATGGCAACATGCAAGTGACATCAGTGCGCGACGATAAGCTGTATGTGATACATATGTTAATTCCTGTCAAACGGTGATTTGTTCCCACGCGCATATCGCACGCTCTCTTATACATGTATATGAGTCCGCGTGTGCATTTGGGAAATCCTATTGGTCATCATGACATCATCAATTGTTAAAAGTTTTTAAATTCTTTTTTCTTCTAAAAGAATCGTTAAAATTTGGATTATTCTTTAGAGCGTAGTTAATCTTTTTCAAAATAAAAGCTTTCACAAAATTTCACAACACTTCATTTTTTTTACTTCTTTTTGTTCTCCTATCCCAAATCCCATAGACTTAGTACTTATTTTTTTTTAAATATTTTCAGCATATCTCTCGAATAAAACATGCAACTATCAAAATTATTTTGTAAAAGGTTTGTTAGGTCAAGGAAATATTTTTGGGGGAAATGTGCGACGCCATCGTGACATCATTTAATGGGATAGTCTGATCGTCATCAAACTTGATGGGTACCTTGATTACAGTGCTAATATGCAGAATCGGAAATGACGTCATAATGACATCATTTGTGGGATGGACCACCGTGGGATTAGTCATAGGTTAACTGCATGCATTATGAACAAACAGCTTGTATTATTAAAACTTCAATAAAACTTCAATTCGGTCTCCTCTGTTAATACCGATCATGTTCTTTATTTCGAAAGTTCTACTAAAATAAAAAACAACTCTGTTAAGCTAAAAAATACAAGAACAAGAGCATATTTTATACAATTTTCCAATCATTTAGGACAGCTGACAAAAAGAATTCACCGTAAATTTCACTAGCATAATTTTTGTTGTAAAATAGTCCAGTACCAAACTTTGCTTCTCATTTACAGCTAACAATATCCTAATCGTCCCTTTTTCTCCCCCTAACAACAATCTGATTTACTGAAGAGATTTCCAGCATTTAATGACAAATTTGACATTCATTCGTCTTTATTCATGAGCTCAGATGATTCCAACAATTCAGATATTTTAACATCATAAAACTAATCAACAGTCAATCGCAATTGTAAACAACATGGGTTGTTGAAACATCATCTGTACTGGCAAGTTGGATTTCTAGTCAATGATGATTTGGTCCAGCAGCAATGAGGAGAAACCGATGATGAAAAGATGTAAATATTAAGGATCTTAATCCCTGAACATTTGTTCTCTACCGATGAAATGTCACGCCATATACATGTACGTAACTTGCACGTGATAACCAGTTATCACACATTCAAAACATTGCCTTGTCTATTCATTTACAAACCTCTATGAGCAATAGTTTCCTCCTTGATTAGAACAGCAATGGATGTCTGTACATAGTATATACAGCACCAAATCTGTGCAGCTTTTTGAATTTCATCAAGGCAGGAAAAAGGCTAAGCTAACAAACCTACCCCAGCTTCATTTCTAGATGATGATGATTAGATAGTCAGTCAGATGATCTACCTTAAACAGTGAAATCAAAAGTCCTTACATACCAAACAAGTCCTTACAAACCAATACAGGAAAAAGAATATAATTCCAAGCACAGTACGCAATTAAAAATTGAAAAATCTGTACAAAAGAAAAGAATACATTCTAAAAACACGGCAGGACTTGGTGATCCAAAAGTCACGCAAAGAAATCTGTACCTCAAAAATGCATGATTTTCTTGCTTTTTGGAAAAAAAAGGAAAGACTGCACATACTAGGAAAAGATGCAAAGCTTTTACTGACAGGTGATCATATGCACAACACAGATGAAAGAAAAACGTGTGGGACAAAAGCCATGGAAGAAAGAATCTAAGACATGGTAGAACACATGCACATTGCTAATCTAGTTAAGTGTTTGCAGCATCATAGCTATACTGAGCATGGCATAATGAACATTACTGGATCTATACGAGCAAGCTCATCTTACGCAATCAAAAATTGGAATTCCAAATAGGGGTTTTGTTGCAGCTGAATGCTCAACCTAACAGATTTTTTTGATGGAATAGCTATCTGGTTCTGGAAAATGGTAAATAAACGACTTTTATAATATGGGCAGACTTACAGGGACTAGCAAGGAGGACATGTCTTATCTTATTGCCACGGACGGCAGGATTTGGTGTTAGTGCCAATTACACTCCAGTTAACTTACTATGGGATCCGTACGCAGACAAGTGAGGGCGCTTATATACCACCTTTGAGAGCCCATGGACAGGACACACAGCATGCACGTACTGGTTCTCACATGTATGGTGCTTAGTAACTTGTTACTTTGAATGAGCACAAAGCCAAAGCCTCATTGCGTGAGCGTCGACAATGCGTTTGGATGTCACTCCAAATGGTCTCCCCCAACTCTCCCCTCCTTACCGTTGAGGGGGTACTTGTACAAACAACCCATACACTTGCCAAGAAGATGTTTTGGTATGAAATTGCTTCCTTTAGCTCAGTCAAATCTGAGTAAGTTTCGTGTCAATCAAGAAATTCACATAATACTTCAGTGGATATCTTGCCACCATTACTTGAAAACATATTCAAAATGATATTTGCAAGCGAAGATGTACGAAAAACCTACTCTTACCCAAGGTTTTTTTCTCCAACTACCAAAAAAAACCAGCCCAACCCTTCATGCTCAGGATGATATCTCTTTGCAGTTTGGGTCACATCAAGTTAAAGAGCACAAAATCCCAATGGTAACTGAAAGCTTTGTTATTGCTAGAACCGGACTATGAAAATAAAGAACAATGTTAGCATGAGTATGAGTGGCATACTGTGAGTGTGACGGAAGCAGAAGTACATCCAAGCATTTACAATTAGTAGCTTTTTTTGTTTTGTTTTTAGTGCAAAAAAGGAAAAAGCTGCACATGTTTAAAGAAAGAATATGGCACATTATAAAAAGAAACATTAAAAAATACCCAAATCATACTGCAGATTAATTTCCCACTAAAAACTACAGGATTTAGCAAACCACGCAGAACTAAGTCACAATCAACATAAACTGCAAAAATAGAACATTGTCAAGTAAAATATTGCAAGGCTAGACTGGGAGCACAAACACACAAACAAGACACAACAAAGTGACTTTTGGACCACCAAGCACATACTTACACACCACCACCGCTGCTGCAGCAGTTAGATTCCTTACAGCACAGACATCACACCCTAGCGTCTGCGTCCCCTGCTACGTGAGCGGCTGCGACTGCGACGTCGCCCTCCACCACTCCGCTGCTGCTGCTTCTGCTGTTGTTCCTCAGCCTTGGCTGCCTGTTCTCTTTCTTTCTCCTCTACCTCCATCTTCTTCCGTCTCTCTTCCCGATCCAGGACCCGTGCTTTCTTCTCCTGGACTTTCTGTTCAATCTATGCAAGAATGGAAGAAATCCTTTCAAATTATTTTCAAATTAAACATCATCGAACCCATTGCACAGTGGCTGTGAGAGAGAGTCTACAGTAACAAGCAACTATTTATGAAAAAAACCTCATAAGCAGCAAATATCATGAAATGGCTTGTATGTGACCTGCTCCCTCTAAATGACGGCAAGGTAACCTAGTTGCTGGTAATTTTTTAAATGTTCATAAATACCTGAGACAGTTGACCTATTCCAATTGGTCGAGAGACAGTCGACCTATTCCTATTGGTCGAGAGCCTGTCACGTGGGTGGTTTTAAACCACTGTTTAAACACCGTTGGAAAGGTGGCCCCTGATTCAGGACAATAAATTTCTGCTTTCGAAAATGTATTCTTCAAAGTTTGTAGGTTTTGAAGTTCAAAAAAAAAATTTGATAAAGCAAATAAGGTTATATCATTTTTATTCAAATTTGTCTTAGAGGAAGAATACATGGCTATAGATACTTTGGCTTGGGCCATTATCGGCCACCAGACCCCTACCCGGATTTACACCAGACATTTAAAACCGCTCCACCACAGAATTATTTCTTACTTATGCAGGCCGAATTCTGTAGAATTGAAGGACATCTCAAACGAATCACACCTACCAACACTGTACATCAGTGGTGTCAAAGATCATCATCTTTTTTCACTCTGTTTTGTACATGATATGAAAAATCTCCTGAATTGTTTCCTTTTTCTAAAAGACAACATTTGCAACAGTCATTCATAGGATGTTCTGTACTAGTCTAGTTACTCCAACATAGTTATTTGGGGGTCTTTTGCTGGATGAGTTTTTAAGTGATGATCACACAGACCTACACAGTCTGGTGCCAAATCTTGACATCGTCTTCCCAGCCAAATACCCACCTGTTCCTCAGTCAAGGGCAGCCAGTAGATGCACGGTGTGGACTTGGTCTTCCTAAACAGGTCATCTAGGAGCTTAGCGGGAGGCTCTTCTGCTTCTTCTTTAGCTGAGCAAGAGACAGAAGAGCAAACCTTTGTTTAATACGTACAGGCTTACTTGAGCTGGTTGGAATTCAGTTAACAAAACATGCTTGACAAAAATCATTTATGAAATATGCCCATGACACCGTTTGTCGTGGTCTTAATCTGAGTAAGCATGGAACTGTTTCCCATAAACCATTTTACTTCAAACGAAAATTTCCTTCATTTCAGAATAAAAGCACAGGTCTATTTATAACTCCTTTTCTAAAGATCAGTTGTACCCATCACCCTATATTCTGTATGCATGAGTCAAGCGCACAATGACCCCAGGTCATTAGTACACAGGTATTCATCCAATGAGAGCTCCAAAGAAATTAGAAATCACCAGTACCCTTGAATTGGGTAATGGGAATGAGAGAATACGATAGCATTTGAAAGCTGAATATCCAAGGTTTAACATTATATAAGCATCATAAAATATATTTCAATATTCCAAGGACACAGAGCCCGTTTCTGCATGCAGCATTTTTTTGGGACAGGCTGTATTACTCCAAGTTTGGAATTTAATGACACAACAACAGACACCAGCCATATTGAGTTCTGCCTCACCTTTCTGTTCAGCTTGTCGTTTCTCGCGTTCGCGTCTCCGCCTCTCTCTAGACAAACTTCGCTCCCTGTCCCTGTCCCATTCTCTCATCGGGGGTCGCCCCTGTCTGTCTCGCTCCCTCTCCCTGGCTCTGTCTCCCCCTCTGTCCTTGTCTGGCCCCTCCCTTTCTTTCTCTGATGCCCGGCGTTCTCGCTTGGGTCGCTCTGCTGGGGACGGTTCTGGCTTGGGCTCAGGTTTAGGGATGCTTCTACCTGTGTGTCTATCCATCTGGTTTCAAAACATGCATTCCATTTTCATTAACAATAAGTTGCATCTACAGTTGTTAAATAAAAAGGTATGCTGACTAAATACGCATCAAAGGGGGCAATAGCTTTTGGGGCCATCCATTGTTCCACAAGTTCGTACGCAGGAAATGCCAACTTTTTAGGCACCCCCCCCCCCCGACCCCCACATACGCATTCCATCTTTCTTTTTGACTTTTCAGACTACCCTATTCTAGCATCATTTAATGTTACAGTAAACCTGCTGTAGTAGTGTGATTCACATGTCACATCCAAAGTCTAAATAAATGACAAAGTTTGACAGAAAATATCTGGCGTTGGCACTGGGAAGATAAATCTAAATGGTGTGGGTGAAGGCTACAGTGTTATAACGATTTCAGATGCATAAAAAATTGTCCTGGTAGTTATTAAATATGAGAAAGTACATTGATTCATGACAATTTATGAAAAGGAAATTATCACTCTGCGTATGTACGCATTAACTTGGACCCCCACTCCTCCCCATGTGTATACATGTTAACACCTCCCCCCCCCCCTTTCGTTCGTACGTACTTTATGGATGGTTCTTTTCCAGGAGACTTGCAAACTTCTTACCTCTTCTATGGTTGCAAAGTCCACACGGAGTGTCTTGGGGTTACTGCTGGGCCATTTGGTGCCATGCAAGCTGTCCCTACAGGCACCTGCCTCCTCCACTGTGTTGAACTGTGTAAGGCAATAAACATTCAATTGATTGGTGGTTTTATTTGACTTAGAACTACAAGTGAATTTATTGGTCTCTCAAAAGTAGCGTAAAGCCCAAAGAAGCCTTGAGTGAGAAGATGATGTAGAAATGTCTCAGTAGTCAAATGACTAGGCTTAGGTCAGCAGTAACGCATGTGTCTATGGGAAGAAGATTCAGGTACTATCCATAGATGTGTGGGTAATTGCCAACCGTAGCCAAAGAATTGTGATATGGTGTCACATACAAGTATCACTTTGAAGTAGGATCAGAAATCATATGCTGTAGAAAAAAAAATTGGTCTATTTTGACCATCTACATTGCACGTAAGTTTGGTTGATACAAATTCAGTTACAGCAAAATTCTGGTCAAAGTGTCCATAATTTCCCTGCATTTATGTGCACAATGAAATACAAAATTCAGATACAAAAAACTTTGGGGCTAAGTGCGGCCGAGTTTATATTATAGGAGTCGACTGTACTGTAGTATTTTCTGCCCTATAATATTGGGCCCAGGTCTCCCAGACACTACACTCACCACAGCAAAGCAGTGGGATTTGATGTTATCAATCCAGAAGCCATCCTGGGCTTGAAGCGAGCCGGAGCGGCCCAGGAGCTCCTTGAGTTGATTCAAAGTGTACGGCCGGACCAGGTTCATCACATGGACTATGTTACTCTCAGGTTTACGAGAGGGGCTGGGCTTGCTTGGCCTGCCATCCACACGGATCGGATCATCGATAGAGGTACGTACGACCTCCCGAAGTTTGGTCTTCTTAGCACGCAGAGTTTCTGATAAAATAAAAGGAAAAACGCAATTCACCAAATAGTAATTTGGATAGATGAAGAATTGAGGGATTTTGTTTGATTGATTCAGAGACTAAGTTTTAGTATAAATGTTGAGCGAATCTGTTGATAGGTGCTCCCAACCTTGTGCCTTTTCTTCTTTCTCCTTTGCTCTCTCCATCTTGGCTTTCTGCTTGGCAGCTTCTCTCTCTTCCCTCCTAGCTGCCTTCTCCTTGGCCAGTCTCTCCCGTTCTTCCTTCTCATCTCTCCTCTCTTCATCAGTCTTGCCATCCTCTTTCTCCCCATCAGACGCCTTCTGGGTGTCTTCACCAGGGTCACTGTCACCGTCGCTGTCACTGCTATCATTGTCCTCCCCGCTGGACTTGTTTGCCTTTTCATCCCCTTCATCGCCGCTCGAATCCGCCTGAAATATTCAAGATTAAGTAATTATGCAATGAAAAATGTAGTCAAGTGTATCATTGGTCAAATCAATCAAATTAGGTCACTAAACAAGTAACAAGGGACTACCTTTGTCACAGGTCACTTAAATGGCTTGTCACGTGACATATGACTGGATGACATGTGATTTGATTTATGATTGACATGTAACGACTTGATTAGTACTCTGGAAGAAAATTCATTGCAGATGCAGAAAGATACTTTATTTAGTAGACAAATCCGAGATTCTCTTAAGGCTTTGCGTCCAGGTCCCTTCAGACCTCTTAAGCACATGTTCTACTACATAAGCATGATCTATACCACACTATGAGGCCAATGTCTTTCCATTTCATTTGAATGTTAGAAGCTGCTTGTCGATACTGGAGTCAGTGATGAGGCCAAAGGTGGAATCAAAGTTAGGTAAACCATGGGCAAATGTCCGCCTTATTTTCTCACCTTTCCATTTTCCTCTTTGCTTTGTCTCTCTGCCTGTCCCTCTTCATCAGATGATCCCTCACTCCCATCCAATTCCTCCTGAGCCACTACCTGGGTGATGGTGCGGGTGATAGTGGGCTCCTTGCGCTTGGGTGCTGGTTCCCCATCATCCTCGTCTGAGCTCTCTGATGAAGATGAGCGTTTGTCATCTGTTTCCATGGTGACACTGTCAATGGAAGTCTGTTTCATCTCAGGCATCATCTCCTGCAATGTTGGATTGCATTGGTTGTGGTTTTAGTTTTGTAACAGAGATTTTTCTGTAATTTTTAACTTACGTATGTCTAAAAAACATTAAACAAATGTCAACAATGTAATCTTTTACCTTTCATACACTGAAGGGTAAAAGTTGGATTTGCGCATCACTTCCTCTCCTGTACTGCGAATCAGTTTTTCTGTCTTCTTGTGAATCATTTGAGTTTTTGGAGTGCCCTCACAAGTCACTTTGTGTCCCGCGCCGACAAAACGACCGCTTCAATTTTTGAGGGAGAAGGATACTCCAAATAATAAGTTACAAGAATTCCATCAGACTTGCCACCATTCCTACCTTGAGCATATCAGTGCTGATGTTCACATTCAGCTTCTTGGTCTGCTGAGTCAGGTTCTTTGTAGTCCCCCATCGTCGCTTCCTAGTTGGGGGCGGAGTTACCCCCGGGCTGGTCTTGTCAGATGGACCGTCTTCCTTGTCCTTGGAGGCTGTTCGAAAGTTATGACATCATTTTCATTGATTAAAATTTGCTGGAAACTTTTATCTAAAAACGCATCAAACAAAGCATGAAATTTGATGTAGGAAATGTTGTATCACCCTAGTTCAGGATTGAGGAAGGTAAAATGCGATTGCCATGTTCATTTCTTTCTTTGAGAGCAAGAGAGAGAAGCTAGTTAGAGATGTAAGATTCAAATACCAGATAAGACTGCATACACAGAAATCTCAGCACGAAATCAAGGTACAATCATGGAACCTCTAAGTAACTGGTGAAAGTATTGTGCACAAAACAACTGCTCCATGGTAATTACCATACAAAATAGCTAGCTAAGTACTTCAGCCATCACTGGGGCCTCTGTGATATACAGTGTGTCTCTAAAAAAGTAAACCCAACTTCAACGGCAAATTTTCAGAAAACTGTAAAATATTTACACATTATTTGTTATGGTTAGATAGTCCAATAAGTCCTCTGTCCAATGATACCACGTAGGTTATGTAACTCTCATGCATGACTGAGCATGATTCAACTTAGTGAATGGGTGTGAAATCATCACTGTGGCAAGTTAGAATTGCACTTTGATTGGAAGTTCATCAATCAAATGACATAGGAAATGTCTGCTCAATTGTCAACTGTACCATGTTTGGAAAGCATGTGAAGTGTGCCTGTGTTAGGAACAACCTTTGCTGAAGTTGTTATGTAATCATAGGCCTAACATGTGACAAACATTTAACTGCAAATAGGCCCTGAATGCATGACAATAGCGAGAAATAACTTGCCACAGTGATGATTTCACACCCATTCACTAAGTTGAATCATGCTCAGTCATGCATGAGAGTTAGATAACCTAAGTGATATAATTGGACAGAGGACTTATTGGACTATCTAACCATGAAAAAATAATGTGTAAATATTTTATAGTTTTCTGAAAATTTGCCGTTGAAGTTGGGTTTACTTTTTTTAGAGACACCCTGTACAGTGACTGTTTGGTAACATTTACTGACGTCCCCTACATTCCTAATATCCCCAACTTACAGCCCAAGGCAATCCTTCTAGTCTTGACAGCGACAGGTGGCGGTTTGGATGACTTATCAACCTCCTCAACTGGAATCTGAAATGGACCAAATAAAACTGGTTAATTTGTAAGCTGAAACTACACAGATTGAGCAAAACAAAATAAATATATGGGAATGAAGAGTGTGATGAATATTAATTTGATTTTAAGGAATCTTTGCTCTGATATGGGTTTGCAGCAATTGCATTCTTGCAGTTTTGGAAACACCCTTACTCAAATTTTTGAACTGAGTCTTGTGAGGTCTAATAAACCCCAACGACAAGACTCTTTAGTCTTTACTCATGAAACCTTCATAATAGATGAAACTAAAGTTGTGTCAGCCAGGTCATGAAAACAAAACGGAACATTATTAATTTGCTCATTTAGCTTTTTTTCAGGCTGCACACTATTATTGTTTCACTTTTACTTTCTGTTTGAATGAATTCAGCAAAGCATTTTTCCAAAAATTCAAGAATGAATTGGCTAAAGCTGTCCGTTAGCTTTGAGATACAAGTTTCAGAGAACGAGATATTGTGTTCATACAAAATTATGGGCAGGGGCTAATCCTAATCGTTTTCATATTTTTGTTCTTATCAATGAATGAGGGGTCTTTTTAGTGCGTCATATTGGGACATAAGGTTTCTTTGCATGAAAATTAGCCTGTAGACCATCAGACCTCCAGCCCATCAGCACCTCCACATCCACAGAAATGACTAGGGTAGAAAGGCTGCACCAGTATGGGGCCCAGGCTATCCGCATTGTCAGTCATCCGATCAAACACAGCAGTTATGCGCACAGTTGTGATGACCAAACTACAAACACTGTTCCACAGATCCAGCATTTTGGCAACCAGTTGTATAGCATTCCATAGTCCTTGACGCAGACTAATGAATATGTAACATGTCCAAGTAGGTTCCTCCAATCAGGTTATAGCTGACATGAATATTAATCAGCTGGTAAGCAACATAGTAGATTTCAACTGCTTTTGCACTGTGAAGATGATGCAGTGCCAATTTACGTTGAAGACAAAGTTCCTCGTTCTTTGATAGTTATGTAAAGTCTCACTGGTGAGTTGTTTCCTCAGTAATAAGGTCCTTGACAAACTGCCAAGACCTCAATGTTGCAGTTCACTATGAATGAATTCTTGTCGGCAAAACTGCGCAGATCAACTTTGTTGCTGACTTTTGATGATATATGCAGTAAGTATACGTTCTTGAAAGGGTAGGAATAAGTCAGGTTTCCTCACTGAAGATGACTGAGCAAGGTTCGAGACTTTGTATGAAAGTCCACGGTGTTGCTGTAGAAAATTCCACTTTAATAGCTTGTTGACAAAACCGTCCTCGTATTGTGCAGTGCTGGTGTCGTTTCCACTGACTTAAAATGACTGCTTTCTTTTGCTCAAGTTCTTGGAGTCGTGAAGACAGCAGTTTATGAAGTTTCGTTGAAGATCAAAACAGTGAAGCTCAGACAGGGATGTTCCTAAAGACAGCAACGATGTTACATTTTGTACAATGACAAAAATCATGTCAGTTCTTCCGGTGCAGTGAGAAAATGTTACTTTCCATGTTGATAATATTGGCTGGCTTTGGGCTTTACAATCTTTGTGAGTTCTACATGATCCATTGCAGAACAACATGCACCTGCTGTGCTTTCCACTTGTCTAACAACTGAAATTGTTCTTGGGTTTCTGAAAGTGTTCCATGTGAACAAACTCCTCTCACTCTTCTCCTCCTACACGAGCGATAACTTTGCCTGGCACACTTATGATCCGGGATGACTCTTGGGTCAGTCAGAGGGACTGAACTGGGCATGCGCACGGGCGCATTGACAGGGTCATCGCACTCTCAGCCTGTTTCCCTGGTCCCACCAGCTAAAAGGCCCTCTGGGTTCCACTACCGCTTTGAGCTAAGTGTAATTGGGTTAGGCATATTATAACATTTGGCAACAACAACACAAATCTGCTTTTAGCCTCTTTCTCTTTCAAGAGGGTAAAAGTGAAATTAAAAAAATCTAGACGTAATTTCACAAAAAAAAATAATTATTGCTCTACAAAAATGGGAGAGATAGTCTTTGATTCATTGACTTTTAAAGATTGATTCCTTCTAAACAGTCTGCTCAATAAAAGGAGCATAAGGAACACATAAACAAAAAAACCTGTTTTATTTGGGAATCAGGTAAACAAAATCTAGTGGAACTTTGATTTTCAGGGCAATTAATTAGGCCCTTAATAGGTTTGAAAGTGCACTGTTCAAAAAAATCTTTGTACAGTTCAAATAAAAGACTATCTTTTTCAAAAACGTTTAACAGAAGGAAAAGCTTTGGCCCCAAACAACTGAAACTATTAAATTATTTCAAGCAGAAAACTAAGAATCGGGCTCTTAATTTGGATATTATAATTTAGAAATTTAGCAATATCCTATTTTTTTAAAATGTTTTTAAGGCCACAGCAAATGTTTTGATTATTTACCTTTTTCTCCGAGGTGACCATGTCTGACTTCTCTTTTACTACGTTATCTGCACTTTCATCGTTTCTAGACTCAGCTACTTCCTCTGTCTCCATAGCAACTGGCTCTTCCACTTGGTCAGTTTCATCCTTGTTTTGAACTTGCTCGCTGTTTCCAAAAATCATAAAATAGCTTGCGTGAGGTTTGAGTTCTTGATGAAACATTCAAAATCAATTTACAAAAATAACTGAATCCACATTTAATAAACATGGCACTCAATCTTCCTTGATCACTTGATCACATGCCAGGAAGTTTCATTGATTTTTTTTAAAAAGATTAGCAACTGTGTATGTTGTTTCAAACACGTTCACAGGGTAAGCTCAATGTTCAGTGTCAGTGTCTCTCCCAATTCAATATGAACTGTCACTGTGGAAGGTGGATACCTTTGTTAAGTGTTGGCTTAACGTTTAAACATATCAACAGTGCATGAAAGTTTTGCTAAATACTGTCAAAACATGAATCCCCATCCTTTGTTTGATTAAATTAAATTCTAGTAAAAAGTGCTGCATTCTCATGTTTTTTTCCAGTGTCTTTGGAAAATGTCTTCTTTTTTATTTCAATAGATCTTGCTGTGAACTGACTTTTTTGTTGGCTCTTCTGAACTCTGCTCCGTGACAGTTGACGTTTCAGCTGCTGAGGCATTCTCATCACCAGGCTTGGGCTCCTCAAGACGTCCAGGCTTGGTCTCCTCAAGACGGCCAGGCATGGTCTCCTCAAGACGTCCAGGCATGGTCTCCTCAAGACGGCCAGGTGTGGTCTCCTCAAGACGTCCAGGCATGGTCTCCTCAAGACGTCGAGGCATGGTCTCCTCAAGACGTCCAGGCTTGGTCTCCTCAAGACGTCCAGGCTTGGTCTCCTCAAGACGGTCTTGCTTCTCAGGACTGCCCTCATCTGTCTCCATTGGCTGGTCTGAAACCTGGGTGTCCAACCAGTGTAAACAAGTGAAATTTCAAATACAATTTTTCTATCAAAACAAATTTTGTCATTTTCAGAGAATAATTGGGGGGGAAAAAAATGGGGGAGGGGGTTGGGGGGAGGGAGAAGGGGAGGTATCTTAAGTGAAATTGTCAGTATACCTTTTCCTCTGTTGGTGTTTTCTCCTGGTCTTGTTTCCCGACTCCCTGTACATCCTCTATGCCCTTGTCTCCATCTGTAGAATGTGCGTCGACATCTTTGGATTCCGTCACAGCTTCTTGGTTGCCTGACTGCTCCAGTGCCCTGGGAGAGGCAGACTCTTCTGGTACCTAAAGCACCAAAAGATGTTTTTTAAAGATGTATTGATGTATTTTAAAATGCAATTCAACATTTTAGCTGCGATGTTCAAAGTGAAATGAACCATTAATAATAATATTTGGATTAATTTGTTTTGGTCATGAATGAGTAGCACTTGATAATCTGCAATTGCGGACAAACAGAATCAATCCTAAGGCTCTGATAATGCTGAGTCAAATCTTTATCAAGTCTACACAATCTAACCTCATCATCTTTCTTGGCAGCTTTCTCCTCTTCTTGTGTCTCTGATATCCTAGACCTCGAACTCCTCCTCAGGCTTGATCGAGACACTCTGCCTTCTCCCCTCTCAGCAGTCTCGTCCTTCTCAGATGACTTTGAGGACCAACGTCGGCCTCTCTTGGGAGCAGCCACAGGCTCTGGAGAAGGCTCCTGGTCTGGCTCAGGCGCGGATGCCTTCACATCTCCACCATCCTCTGACTTCTTTGTCTCTCCAACCGTTTCTTCGGAAGTTTTTGAGAGGTCTTCCTGTTGAGAGCCGGTCTCCCCAGATTGGTCTTCTGATGGCCTACTGGTATCTACCTCGTTCCCCACTCCCTTCCCTTCCTTGTCATCCTTCTCTTGCTCTTGGATAACCTGCTCTTGGATATCCTGCTCTTGTTGTGGAGCATCTTCATGAACCTCTTTGCTCTGCTCTCTGGCAGCCTCACTTTTCTCCGGTTCTGCTTCAACCTCCTTACCCTCCTTCACCTTTACTTCCTCCATCTCCTTCCCAGCTTCCTTTCCTGTCTTCTGCTCTTCCACTGTCGGCGGCTCCTGGGTAGAATCTGCTGCTGCCAACTCATTACTTGACTCAGCTGCAGGAGATTCTTCCGGTTGGGGCTTCTCTGTTTCAGGAGCATCATCTTCTTGAGACTGTGCCCGGGAGAGTGACTGATGAAGCTCTTCCACTTGGTCTGCGAGGGCTGCCGGCACTTCGGGGCAGTTTTTCCTTTCTTCTTCTTGTTCATGTTCTACCAAACAAAAAGAGATGACAACAGACAAGAACATAGTGTTTTAGTTGAGTCTGACGAGCAGAGGGTGAATTAAGAACAACAAACTGCTTTATGGACAAAATGAACCAGTGTCACTGAATGCTAGTTGACAGTTAGTTGGTTAGTATTTGCAGAAAAAAATATTTAACTCAAGACTGGGCCTGCTTTCTCTTGCAAATATTGATACCTTTATCAGTCTGCCCCTGCCTGAGAAGTTCCTGTTGCTGTTGCAGATACTGCTGGATGAAGGAATTAGATGCCACTGATTCATCTACAATCTGCAATTGGAAAGTAAAATAATAATGCAAGGCAAGACATTCTGAAAAATCGACCAAATGCATACCTAGGACAAAGATCAAGACAGTGGGTTGATCAGCTTCCTTCACCAATACGACCTGGTAATCTTCTTAGCATTAATCAATTTATAATTGCTTTTAACTCTTCACCGAAGGTCTGACTCCTCACAGACGTGATCATATCTGCTTGAATTTAACACATTCAGCAAACAGCCTCGTCCATACTTTTCAATGTTGTTTCATCTGCTACATTCTCATACCTGTTTTTTTGTGGCACCATCCTCCACGCTCTCTTGCTGCAGGCGCTCAAGGTACATTTGCTGCAGAAAACAAATGTAACAAATTAGGCCCCTAGCTTTTTAAAATGTATCCTTTTTTTCGGTTTAAAAAATGAAAAAAAAAAGGAGGCGACCTCCAAAAAGGTACTGGAGCGGGCGGGGACGCTAAACATGTTTTTTTTTTATTTGGCCTAAATGAAGTTTGCCAAATTTGTGCCCAATTTCTGGATGCCACCAATTTTTAATTTCGGCCTAGAAAAAGGTCATGACGCTGAAATTGGTCACAAGAGTTCAACAGCAAGCATTTAATTATTAAGGCAAAAGATTTAAGTACCAGTATTTACTATTTAACTGCCACTTCCCATTGACCCGTGTGTTATTTCCAGCCGTATGAGTAGCCAAGTAATTCAGACGGGGTCTAAGTTCCAAAAAGCAAACACATCATGTACAATGTTGGTACCCGTGGAACAGCACTACATGACAAATCACGAACGTTTGGTTACCAGTGAAATCACAAAACAAGCACGCGGCGCGTGTGCACGACAAACGGCAGTCGCGATTAAGTGAATGAATGAACGTTGTATTTCAACAAAATTTATGAAGCAAAGGTGAAATTTACCGCTGTCAGTCTTTCCACCAGAACACTCTTACTGCCACTTATTGATAAGCCTCGCTTTTTGAGCTCTTGTTTGAGGTCGACGACCCGTAAACTGTCGATAGACTTGCCATCGATCATCGGTACCGCGTCTTCCGAGTCCGCCATGTTGAATATGCGCCACATAGGCTAGGCGCATGCGCAATAATCGTCCAAAACACGGCGCCGCGGCACATTTACATTCGGCTTCGGTCCAATATATCATGATCTAAATCCCTGATTGTCAACCTTTGTGGCTCAATACTAGGAAGCTTTTCTGCTACAAAGACATGAAATCCTACACATGCGAGAATTTATCTCAGTTAGTTTGGACATTGAAAGTCTCGCAATTCGCAAAATGTTCCGAGGAAAGGGACTAAACCGAGGCTGTAGACAGAGCCAAGGTTTAAATAACGGTTCATGCACGACTGTTAACATAAACAGCGCCACCAACCTTGCAATATGGAGTAAAGTGTAAACACCTCAGCCCGGTCATGTGTCAACCAAAAACGAAACTATAATTTCCTGAAATTCTCAGTAATCATCCCCGCATCTTCACAAAACATCAGTTCATTAACGTGGAAGTCGATGGCCGATGCAGGTAAATATTAAGCCAAGAACTGATTAGAATATAATTAGGAAAGAATGTTGCAACCTGAGTGACAGTCTCTCGCCACTTTTTATGTCCTCTCATTCAGTCATTGCAAAAATGTTCAATTTAAAAAGGCATGAAGCTGTGACTGAGAAACATTTCAAATTACTCTTCAAATCATACTCATAGACTTGGTTTATAAACTCTAGATTCTAGATTCTTTCCTTTAATTAATGTAATGTGAGGCTGGCTCGAATGGCTTCTCCGGCCCGGCCCCCTCCACTGGCAATTTGCACAATGGAGCATCAGTAACTAGGCTAAGTGGGTTAATCACTTTGTGGTAAAGTTTCATGTAAAGGAAGTTAAACCAAGCCAGGCAGTTAATAGAGTAACCTGTGTCTAAAATACTTGACTTCCTCAATATAAATGGAGGAAGTCCAGTATTTTAACTGAACTAAAATGTGATTGGCCATAAGCCTACTCAGTCATGTCAGTTGACTGCAAAAAGTAACTGAAATTATGGCCTTTTTTATCTGAATCATTCAGCCTGATATTTGGAATGCGGGTCCAGATTTACTCACCGAAGCATCACTTTTTTCACTATAAATAGATCATTCTTGGGTGAGTAAATGGTAAAACTGCATGCCTAATATCAGGCCAAATGATTCAGATGAAAAAAAATGACAACAATTAGTAAGTTTTTGCAGTAAACTGAGTATGACCGATAGCACAGAGTTTAGTCAAGTGTGTGTCCGTAGAATGGGGCTACTATTGGGCTAAGCTTATGACTGGCTTGCAAACTGTTGATTAAAATACCTTTTTAAATATATTCAATCACCTGAAATTTATGATGTTCAAAAGGGTGTTTTGAAGTTGAACTAAGTTACTTGGAAGGCAATTGGAAGGGAGGGGAAGGGAGGTAAGGGTGTCTATATGTATCTGTATCTGTATCTGTTCGTCTATGTACCAACACCTTCTTTTGGTTGTCGCATATGTTGGTCGGGTCATGCAGTGGCGGTTCTACGGGGGGGCTGTAGCCCCCCCCCCCCCCCCCAAAAAAATATTTTTTGTTGTCTAGCCCCCCCCCAAAAAAAAATTCCAAAAAAAAAAATTGCACTAGCAAAATGTAAGAATGTGACGTACATGCGAATGTCTCCCCTAGATAAATAGTCGTGAGAAGGGTGCATTTGTACACTTTTAGTTAATATAGTGTGCCTGATTGTAGGATTTTATTTGCGCTCCCCATTGAAAATATGGCACAAGCCCCTACGAGCCCCTACATTTCAGCACGCCTCCCTGAAAAAAATTCTGGATCCACCCTGCTAGGCCCCCCCCCCCAAAAAAAATATTGGCTCTAGAACCGCGCCTGGGGTCACGTGCAAGTCTCACATTAGGTTATGTGTGTATACAATATCACGCTGTCTTGGCCCTGCTCATCATATGACATAACTTTAGCTTATGTTTTGTTAATCACAGTTTTTGTGTTGAAATAGCTCTTTGTATGCTGCTGATCATCCGTCAGTCCAGTTTTCAGTGAAGACACAAGCAGCATGGAAGGAAGCTTACACACAGCAATGAAGGCTGTTGGCCAGGCTATCCAACTGGATGGTGCTGGCGACAACAAGGTAAGGTACCAGACCAAAAGTCTTACAGTAAAGAAAATTTAAAAGAAAAAATGACACTGAAAATGAGTCCAGGTGTAGATGTTTCCAATTTTTCATTTCCAAAAATTTAACATTCTTAATATTTTTAGCATAAATTATTTCTGATTTGTTTTTTTTTCCCCTTTAGGAGGCATATTACAGATACTTGGCTTGCATCCAATACATTTCACAAACAGTACTGGAAGACTCTAAAAGTCAAGGTAAATAATTAGTGGAAAATAAGAACTTGAGTCAGTACACACGTTGAAAGTTTACAGAAACAGAAATAGGAATAACAAAATCTAGAAAAGGTTCTGAAAGTGTAAGGAACATATAGGAAAACAATTCAGGATTTTTAAAAAGTAGATTATCAAGAGTGAAGGTAGAAAAAACGGTACTTGTGTCTCCCAGCCACAAAAAAAACTCAGCTCTTTCTGTCTGTGACATACATTTAGTACAATACTTCGCTCCCCACTGACACAAACACAGGTTTGTAAACGGCACTGGAAATCAGAACGGCAAGCTGTCTGCTGAAGTATTAATACACACAACCTCAGTAGTCCAAAAATGGAGTTGAAAATGGCTAGTGTTTTTTTTTGGTTTTCATCAGGTTACCAAGGGCCAATCAAGACCAAAGGTACTGCCAAAATGCTGAAGTTGGCCCAGCAGTGCATGGATCGTGTGACTGCAATCATGGAAAACACAGGTAAACAAAACCAAAGTGATTGGCAGGGTTAGACAAACATTGAAGTAAAGTCCAGTCAGAAAATCTAATCCTCAGTGCTGCATCTCAAAATCTCCAAAATCCTCCACTTTGCATGAATCCAGTGGCCTACGTGTATCTGTTTTATTCTTTAACTTTAACAGGTGTAGATAAGTCTTATAAGACTTGAAGAGCATCACAAGACATTCACCTGCTGTTTCTTCAATTTTCAGAGGAAGGCGATGCTTCTCATCTGACCCCACCACCTGGTGACCAATCAGGTCGCTTTAGTCCATCCATTAGGAGCTTTACCTCCTCTCCCGTGCCATCTGAGCAGCCTACCAAGGCCTACGAGCCACTGCCTACAATTGGCACAGCTCCTAAGCCTACTGAGCTACCATCAGCCGGTGCTTGCCAGGTGGTAACTCCAACAGCTTCACTGCCTGTTCCTGTTGGCTATACCAGACCTCAAACAGCCAGGTATGTTCAGTGTCCATCCTTGTGGAAACCCCTACAATTTAAAACGATAATCCATGAAAAGTTTGGAAATGATATTACATAAAATAAAGATATGGATTATGGGACATGTTTCTATATTCAATGCGAACTGATCAGCCGACCCCAGCAAACTCAGTAGTCCAGTGGTTAAAGCAAGTGCACAAGTAGCCTAAGCCCAATGTTAACATTCACATCACCCCAACATAAATGCCATCATATACATAAATTTGTTTTACATTTAATTAAATCTACACTATATTTGTAATTATTGCGTAAACTATGGTTATACCCGTGGGCTGTGGCAGTGTGTTTATTTTGAATGTTACAGGTAGATGAAGGCAAACATTCTTTTAATTTCAGTTCAATAAAAATAAATTAGCAAATATATGTGTGAACTGTAAATTGTGTGATTCTTAAACAGGAAGGATAAGTTGACGCCGTTGGAGGCAGCATATCTAGAAAACCGACGTTTGATAAACTCCTACAAAGCTAGACTGGTTCAATTGATGGAAACAAACAAGGGCAAAGGTCAACTTAACAAGACGACAATGGTAAGCAGTCACTAATTATCAGATTTCTAAACACAAGTTTAATGAGCATGCTGAAATGTATCCAAACAGTAATCTGGTGCTGGCCTATGTTTGTTGTGGGGTGTTTTTGGAGGCGCTACTTTGTTGGTTTTGTTTAGTCTCTATTTATTAATATTTTTTTTGGGGGGGGAGGGGAGAGTGCAACACTGAGATTACAGTGCATATAAACAAGCTGAAAAACATTGCAAAGTCTGTTGAGCAGATTCTACATGTACATTACAAAGATTGACACTACCACGTAACAATGTATGAATACCTTTTTTAAGAACCGTGCATGTATGAAAACGTTGGCATCCACAATGACATGTGATTGTTAAGTTTGCTTGACGGTATAAATTGGTCGGCTGGCAATAATGTGTGGAATGGGTGTCTTGTGTAATGAGACATCATTGAAGCAGAAATGAAATGAGCTGTCAAATAGGGCCTGGGTTTTGTTTTTTCCAATTATAAATCTGTTTAAAGCATTGTGTACTTAACAGACACATGGTAACGCATCACAACAGGGCCCAGGCCAGTGATGGATTGATTGTATTTGTATGACAAGTTAATGATCCATTTTAATAATGCGCGGAATGAGCCATGAACACTCTACTTATGTTCTCCATCACATTTGGTTACCTTTCTGGGGAAGGTAATAAAATACAAAGAAAGTGAAATACAAAGAGACAAAAAAAGGACACAATTGGGAAAAAAAATATTAGATATTATGCAAAGGACAATAGAGGAATGGTCTTATTTGACCTATAGATATCAGCAGTGAATACCGGAAAACAAAGGAATTATCAAAGCCTAAATGTGATCATCATCATTTCAAAAAAATCAGTGTACATGTAAAACGTACAGTGTTCATGAGCCTGAGAACAAAATGCATTAACCATTTACTATCTGCAATCTAATTTAGGCTCGTGACACGTAATTTTGTAGACAGAATGATGGTTTTTATGGGCAGATGTCAACTGTGTACATGTGAATGCATATAATACTGTGGGAGGATACTTGTAAGCACTACTTATTAATGGGATAGCGAAAAGAAGAGCCATTTGCGTTTGCTGATGAGGATTGATGCTAATGAAGATTTATGAACAAGCGCATCCGTACTAAAGTCTTCTTTAATGGAAAATGCATAATTGCCTCAGACTGACAGCCTTCTAAAAATTAGCGGTACTGACAGTGCTCTATAGGCACAGCAGAAAGCTTTAATATGAGAAGCATCCTGATTGGTCAGTCCTACAAGTCGAGTGATGAGGATCACAAAGGGTTCGGTGAAGCCGGCAGTGTGTGTTTGAGATTTGCTTTGCCGTGTTGTTGTTGAGGGAATTTGAGCTTTGAATTAAAGCTTATGAAAATTTTATCGTCTGAGTTTGTGCATACTGCATGAAGTGCCTACTTGTTTCATGAAAAGACAGTTTTTACAAACAGCTGGACGATTGTATGTACTTTGTTGATGTCTGGTACAGTCTACAAGTTTATGAGGAAGATCACAAGGAGTATGGCCAATTGGACTGATGCGGAGCTACCTCCGCCTTTAGACAATGCCAGACGTATCGGCTACCCATACATCTTTGATCTCAGCGAAACTCCCAACTTTAAAACCATCTTCTTGGCCTTTGACTTTGTGGCCATTCTTAGCAGTGGCTTAGTCTGTCTGGTTTTCCTGACACGACCTAAGAGCCTGAGCACTTCCTTAACCCTCTTACAGATCAACCAGTTTGTCGTTGATTTTCTTTTCCCCATTTGGATGGCACTCTACACGCTGATCCCCAGCCCAAGAGATCTGATCTCATCAAGCCTTGGATCTCAGTTGATCTGTTGCTTATGGATGTCTCTTTGGCCCATCCCGCTGATCTTTCAGACCTGTCTCATCAACTTTATGCTCATGGTGGTTGAGCGCCACTTTGCCATTTGCCACCCTATTAAGCACCGACTGTGGAAACTTCACAGTGGTCGGAGGGCTAAGATTGCCATTCTCTGCACATGGCTGATTAGTTTGGTCTGTGTTACAGTGGACTTTGCAGTCGCGCTGGATCCAATCCCTGAAGCTGGTTCTTGTCAAGGCTTGAGGCGGTCATCCCGAGACACTATCCCCACATCATTTCTGGCTTTTCTAGTGATAATGGTTTCCGTCCCCATCATCACAATTGTCTGTTTTCTGCGCACCGTTTTAAAGCTGCGTAAGCTTGGCAGTCAACATGGCGTCATCCACGGCAATGCATTACATAGTGCAAAGCGTAACTTTCTTGTTGTCATGTGGGTCACATTCACTGCAACCATTGCAACACTTGTACCAGTGTGTCTCCTGTGGATTGTGGACGCATTGATTGACTCGAAATCGGAAAAAAAATTTATTTACTTAATTAATGACATCATTATCTGCACCATAGTGATCAAGTCTCTTAGTGTATCCTTGATCTACATGACAGGCAGCCGCAGATTCAGGCAAGAACTGATCAAATTACTGAGAAAATACAAGAGGAAGTTGTGGCCTAACAATGAGATCATTCCACTGGATAACGTCCATGTTTAAGATGCTGCACAAGTGGCAGTCATCAGCCAAGTCACTTGCTGTTGTGCCTTTGTTGCAGTTACATGATGAAGTCAGCAACTTTGTTTGTTTTAAATGACAGTGAACTTTTGTATTCTTCTCTCAGTGGAAAAATGACAGACTCATTTCATGCATCTAAAAGTCGACAAAAATTCTGTTCGTGAACTGGTCTGTGAACTCTCTGTACAGATGATAGAGGGCGCTTTTTAACCTGACAATGTAATTGTGTGAAGGACATTTCTCTGATGCATAGTTCATTGTACGTCGGGTACCAGGAAGTCAGATAGTGTCCAAAGGTCCTTCAGTTCCCATGTGCACTGTTGATGGGGGTGCTTGTAAACAAAGCCCATTGAGTTATTGGCACAGGGTGCCTGTGGTCATGGAAAACTCGGAAAAGTCGCTGAAAAGTCATGGAAAAGTCATGGAAAAGTCTTGGAAAAGTCACGGAAAAGTCACGGAAAAGTCATGGAAAAGTCATGGAAAAGTCATGGAATTTTGTTGTTGTCCTTAAGGTGCAGGAACCCTGTTGGCATTGACATTTGCCTTTTGCTTGAATTCAGAATTTTGCTTGTCAAGCCACTTCATTGTTGCAGAACAAATGGTGTAAAAAGTGACTGTTTAAGAACCCTATGACCAGGACACATTCAAATCTTGTTGGACCCTCCCCACTGTATGTTGCAGCTCCACTTACCTTATTAAGACTGCATAACCGACAGGAACCTTCCTAATTTATCTAACGTAGAGAACCCACTGTCATTGTTTCGTTTCAGAATTGACAAAATTGAACTCTTTGTAAACTGTATGAACATACTGTTTTACAGTTCAAGTACAAATGTAAACCTTTAAATAACCCTACCACATAAATTTTAGAAAAATGGTGTCAGTCTAGATATTTTGTTTACATATGTATGTTCTAAATGTTTTTTGGGTTTTTTTTTTTCAATTTTCTGGAATTCATTTTGAAATGTGTGGAAATACAAATATTCTGAACAAATTTGAAAAAATATAATCATGCTTACAATTGTCTGCAATGATTTAGGTTAGATGCAGGGATGTACATATAATTCCTCCTGCAATGGCCTGATTTGATGCGTTATCAAATTGAATATATTTAATAAGCAATTTTGAAGGGAAAAAACCTGCATGATTTTTTCTGCTACATGCCTCAATGTTCAGGTAAAAATGTCAGGGTCCACTTTCATCCCTGTAGATGATTAGCGTAAATGGAAAACTGAACAACGTCAGAGTCGGCAGACCTTTCAGGGCAGAAAAACGATTGGAGCCCATCAAATTATCCTACTTTTTCTTGCCTTATTGTATATAGAATTTTTTTAAAGCAGCAACTAAAATACCCTTGTGGAGGAACACCATGTATGCATCACACATTGTCTTTTAAATATGTGTGTAATCACCAAACAGTAGTCACTAGGTATGCTTGTACATTAGCAATTTGTGGCAGCTCTACTTTTTGATAAACCCAGATTTTTGTCCGAAGATTATCCACTGTTGGACTGGACACATTTTCGGTCATTACTGCACAAGATTGTGCAATTCCAGAATATTCTATTTGATGTAAGATAAGGTTGTGATTTTCTTGCATAGTGTTATCACTTCACGACATCAAGGTGTGAAGTTGCAGGTTTTATTTTCCCCTGGGACAGTTGAAAAACTTATTTTGTAATTGTATACGTGCAAGATTGCACATTAATGTATACCACACATGGAAGATTCAAGCACGCATGTAATTTGGTTGAGTCATTCATTGTTTGTTTTCAAAGAGACTTGAAACAAGTTATTAAAAAAAAAATACATTTGGTAACAAAAGCCTTTTGAATCTTTTAGCCTTCATTACTTGTTTAAACCTTCCAGTTTTAACATTCACCAAATCAAAAATCAATTTCACTGCCCTACATTTAACCAGTAAGTGAAAACAGTTCCTTCGTCTCCCCCAAAGGATTGCTATCTGCCCCCCTGGCTGTCTACCCAAGACACTGTATAGACCAATAACCAAAGGAAGGATCCTCAAATATATACACATGTACATGTATGTAGCATGTATTAGTCATATTGTATCATTCTGTCCTGCGACTCGACGTATTCTGGGTTGGGTCATGCTGTGTGAACCATGGATATTATCAAATCCTCGCTGGGTAACTTCTCTGCATTCTTGCAGGAGGTAAGTCCACCTAAAATGCTCTTAATATTTGGATACTTACAACCAGAACGTGATGACAGTGATACCTGCTTGTTTAGTTTTGCTGTTTCTCAAATTTTAAGGATGGGTTTGAACTTATCGTAGATTGTCTTTGAGAAAGCTTTGTATATATGTACAAATTATTTCAGATGAAGCATTGAATTGAAAACGTTACAATGCTGCAAGTTTTCTACAGTGAAGTGTTTTAAATGGTTTAAGAAAGTTTTGAAGACTGATTACAGCATACGGTGTTGGCATGACATTTTCTACCCGAGCTAGAGCCAGGGTTGTGTTTTATTTGTGTAGAACACTGGACCCATGTAGAAACTATGCTGGATTCTTGCTTGTGTGAAAAGGGCTCCAGAAAACTCTTGTGGACCCCGGTCCCACAGTACATGGAGTTTGGGGATAGTGTGAAAGGTTTCATACTTCTTTACACTTCATAAAGGTAGCGGCCTTGATAATATGGTGTTCACTCAATGGTGTGTGAACATTTTCTTAAAACAATTATACATTGTACACAGTTGATGACAAGTTGCTATGCAAGAAATCTGAACTCGGACTAAGTAATTAAGTGCCCTAAGCAGGAAGTGACATGTCACCACAATGGCAAAAATTTAGGGAGTAAATGTCTGATAATCACAATATCTTTGTCCTTAGTCTGTTAGTTACCAAGCCGCAACTTGACAAGGTTGTGTTAGTGCAGTGAGGAGTCCACAAGATGAAAATGTGTTGTTTCATAAAATCATATGTATAGTGTACGTATGTTGAATGTGATTAAATAATTAAATTGCAAATGTAAGCTTACTGCCCAAGTGTTATTCGTTAAATTTTAATTAAACACACTGTTCCTTTTTGTATTATTTGCCACCAAAATGAAGAAGCACCATACTAGGAATCCAAGAGTAACATCATTTTTATATTGGCTGGCTTTTTTTCTTTTTCTTGGTGTGTCACCTTCGTGAAGGCCAATGTGTCATGCCCAAACACACCCCTCGACTCACAAGGTCTTACCCTCTATTGTTTGTACCCAGCCTTGGTCCCCAGTCACTGATGACACATCAACAGGCTGTTGGGATCGGACCGACAACGAACAAATTCCCGTATTTTATGGCTTGTTATGACTTGTTACGTATTACATGGCTTGAAGACACCGTGTTTGAGCGTGTCACCTCTCCCAAAACTATGCTACATAAAAGTTATCACATTACCAAGATCGGGTTCGATAGACACTTGCTACTTTGTTATATTAGCTGCCTAAGACTCCTGACATTCATGGAAGTTATAATAATCTAACTGCAGTAGTTGAGACCAATTGTTGTGTGGTCATCATCACTGGTTCAGCATGATATTTGTGCCATTGTTGTGGTTGCACTCTCCAAGACTCGGACCACAATCTGCTGGGGTTGGATTAATTTTCCCATTTTTTGTATCTTTTGTTTTCCTTTAGTTATATTGGTTTTGTTTCCTTTTTTAATTAATAATTTTTTTGACAGTTTTGCTCTTTGATTACAGACAAGATTGCCTCATTTAACTAGACAAAATTCAAACAATGTGCTGTCCGTCAGTAAATTGGCTTGATGTCTCTAAAGGCCACCATTTTGAGCCCATGGGCTCCAAAGTACACGAACAAGAACATGCGCGAACATCCCATGAAAAAAGGCATCTTTTGTTGCATCCATTAAAACAGAGATACATGTATACAAGAGAAGACTCTGAAACATATATCCATGATCATTAGACCTTTAAAACAATTACCAAACCTTTCTCAAAAATTCAGAATGTATTTTTCCAGCTTTGATGAAAACATCTTTCGTATAATTAAATCTGTTCACTGCATTTTAACTGAACATTTTGAAGAAAAAAAATCTAAGTTTGAAAAATTGCTACAACCTGTTTGAAATACTTAGTACAATTGCCTCTGCAACAGAAAATTGTTCACTGATACAAACCTACACTACAGGTAGGTAGAAATGAAATATGAACATTTTGTATGTGATGCCCAATTCGTATTCATTGTTTGTTGTATTTTCTGATTTGTGTAGAATTTGACACTCCAGCGGAGGTTAATGGAAAACATGGCCATCGCTAGAGCAAGGGAAGCTGCTGTATCCTTTCCATTGGTTACTTTGTGGTGTCTGGGTTTATATTCTTCATGTAAAAGATGGTTCTTTGTGGCCTACCTTACAAGAGCTCCATGTGTGGTACACATGCCTGTAATGATTCTCGTTCTCATGACCAGTGTTCATTCCAGTGTGCACAAACCTGCAGCGTTAATACATTCACGTGGATACTGCACCCGTTGCAGCTATCTAACAAGTGTCTGTCCTCTCTCTTGTTGTATTCCTTGTGGGGTGCTTGTGCATTAATTACCTCCATAGCTGATGATTGTGTTTGAAAAGTATAAAGTTTACTAAAAAGTCAGTCACTTCCTAAACTTGTTTGGATCCCCGTATGCAGAACCTGTCAGTGTCCAAAGCAGGCATTCAGACCTTTGATTGTGCCTACTATCGTATATATACCCATGCTTGCAAGTGGCAAAGACCTAGACATAGCACTAGACTAGATATTCAGATATAGTCTCAGCTCTTCGTTTGACCTTTCACCCTTGACCTGACCAATCAGCTGGCTAAGAAGATCCAGGAGCGGCACCAGCGCTTGCAGGAGGAAGCAGCACGGAGATTCTCTACCACCGGGGAACCAACGAGGGCTGAGATTGAACTCCGACAGATGTATGCCAGCGTTATGGAGTTTGAAAGTAACGAGGTGGGTTTATACGATATTGCGCTTTTGGTTAAAAGCCATATCCTGTCCCACAACTTCCTGCTTAAGATGCTACAAATGATGCTTAAGATTGGGCTCAAATGCATCAAATTCCTAACTATTTGTATAAAGCATATTGTGACCTTTGCAACTTCAGTTGCCGTTTACCAGAGTGGGCCACATATATTCCCAATGCATCTGTTTACAATTGTACCCTTTATTTATTCATTTTTTTATAATATAAGAGCTGGTTGTTGGAGTGGCGACACAAGCTACAAAAGTCGCCCCGAGACCTACAGTTCATCCATGCTCTGATTGGTCACATCTTAGCCTGCCCCGCCCACCCTTTCACCCAGCTACTCAAGAAGTTTCAGTTTACCGTCTACCAAACCCTGCTGCCGCTGGTGCAGAAGGACACTGACACACTGGAGCAGATCAAAGTGCCTTACAAGACAGTGGAGCCTCTGAAGCTGGCTGGTGGGTATCTGGTCTGTGCGTGGCCCCTAGAGGGCGCTATATAGGCTAAGTTGAAAACAACCAAAGGCAGCAACGTAACATAATGCTCATGATGATAACAAATAGACTTCTCTGTAGTAAATTCAAACTTTGTTTCAGTAGTACACAACCTTTTCCTTTAATTTCCACCAAATTGTGGGTCTGTTCCGTTGTATTAGAATTATTTGGTCGTGTTAAATCCCTAATTAACAGTCACGAATCCTTCAATTTTAATATAATTCACACACCTAAGAAGTTAGTCTTGAGCGACTGCATATGACTGACATTGATTTCTGCCGTTCACTGGGAGCCAATGACCGCATACACGACTGTATTCAGAGATACGTGTACAATGAACGTCACTAATCTTGGCACAATTCCAATAATGATGTCATCAACCCGAGCCCTGGATGGCATTGCTAGCCTGGAGGGGTCGATGATGTCACTAACGATGTGTCATGACTATGACAACAATGCTTGACAACGACCTGAAATGACCTGGAGACACACATTTAATGTGAAGTGAACTTTAATTGTTTAATGTATCAATTCAATTTCTTTAAGTTTTGTCATCAGATTATAGAAATACAGCTACACGTCAGTTTTGATCAGTGCCTGTAAACAAACAGAAAATGAATTCAAAGTGTTGCTTAACAAATCATGCACTAAAAAATATAGAAAATAGAGAACAAGCAGTTTTTGCAGAAAATAAAACATGCCACATGGTTTTTGTCCATTGGACTTGAACAATCAAGACAAACACAACTGAAATTAGCGTTAAGGAATACTTTTTAAAAATAGTCTGACTTGGACAGATATTTTTGTAAGAATTAGAGAAAAAAACATTGGCTTTTTCCACACAAGCTCCCATGCCCAACCTGTTGGCTAATATCCTTTTGATGGTATTTTTTATCTCTCCTTTGGCATCAGGCTCTGAGCGGAAAGTTATTCCCCCTAACGGTTTTGCAAACCCCGGAGACCTGATGGACAAGAGTCTTGATGAGGACCTGATGCGTCGACTCCATGCTCTGAGGAACTCTAGCGATGATGAGAAGAGGGAGTCCCTGTATGGTGACATGCTTGCCTCCTCCTCATCCCTGAATGAAGATGAAGAAGATGATTTGTGGGATGAGCTAAATGATGGTGATAACACATTAGAGGATGGCATCGGGGCGGAGTTAGAGGATGCCAGAGAAGGGGGTGGGATTGCATCGAACTTGGACAATGCCTCCATCAAGAGCAAAGTGTCTGTTGAAGTTGAGCTGTGTGACGACCGGGATGACTCTCAGGTCAGTCATCACAGCGACGGAAATGGAAACAACGATGAGGAGAATCTTGGAGATGCAACTGTTAGCAATCAGGAACACTCTGTTGATGAATGCGGGGATCAGGGAAAAGGAGGAGAGAATGGTGTATCGCAGGAGGAGGAAGAAGCTAGAATACTGGCTGCAGAGATAGAGGAGGAGCTTGGAGATGATGATGGTGAGGATGTCGTCAGGCAGATGAAGAGAATCAGCGCTGAGGTCAAGGAAGATCTCCAGGAGGCACTGGCAGAAGGGGAAGAACTGAGAATGGAATTGGAAAAACAGATTGCACAGGACACAGCTCAGGGAGCAATCCCTCAGAATGGAGAAGATAGCACTGAAGAGACAGCTGACAAGTCTCAAGATGATCTGGATAGAAACTCAGATGATGGAGAAGTTGACCAAATATCATTGACTCCATCCTGTGAAGGTGAAAAAGTAAGCGGTGGTGAACCTGAAGAAGCAGAAAGCAATGGTAACAGATCCGATTCTGAAACCAGCCCCAAGCAGAGAACTCTGGACGATTCTGAGCAAACAGATGACAGGAGTCAAGGAGGAGAGAAGGAAAGACAAGAGGTCAGGGAGGCAAAGCAGATGAGCAAGGAGGAGGAGGAACAGCAGAGGATTGCCAAGCTACAAGAGGATGCCTTACAGAGGCATCTCAAGCACATCTCCAAGGATATCCAGTCTTATCTAGGTAAGATTAGAACAGATCCTTCAATGTGTCACTAGTTGAAAACCCTAACATGTCGAGTCTGTACTCTCAATATGCACAAAATATGTGAACTTTTATCAATCATTTTTACATGTTAAAGCACAGTCATCTTGGACAATGTAAACAAAAATGAAATCACAGTTTTGATAATGAAATGCATATATACTCTTCAAATTCTTAAAAGCCCTTAACAAACACTTCAAAATACTTTACATGAATTCAAGTCCTACCCCCAAATTCTAGAGAGTATTAGTCACGCCCTCCTGGTTTGTGTTTTTGTAGATAGACTGCAATCCCTATTGGTTGCTATCTATGAGGAGCTGGATTCAGCCGTAGCCAAAGAGCAGTGCATCGCTGTCATTGAGAAACATTTCTTCCATCTCATATGGCAGCCACTTCTTACCCTCTTCAGGTAAGACACAGGCATGGTCCTAGACTAGTTGGGGGGGGGGGGAATGGAAACATTTTGCTTATTCTGATTTTTTTAGGACCTTTTTTCAGTACACTAGGAAAATGTCATGGGGGGTTTGGTAAAAGATAATGTTTTAAGAATTTTTAAAAATATTGAGAACAACAAACAAAATTGGGAAAATTCTGTTTACTTACCATGAGGAAACGTTTGCAGAATAAATCCTTTGGGGGGGGGGGGAGGGAGGGGGAGGGGTAGGGCTCCTAAGCTTCCTCTCTCAAGAACTATACTTTGCAAACATAACTTCTTCATATGTATTCTCAGCAAGTAAAGGGTCAATCTGAGCATTTTTTTTCTTTTTGGAGATTGTCAGCTGACCAACTCTGATTCAGATTAAATGTTTAGCTTAAAAAACAGCCTTTTTTTGTCTCACAAGAACACTCAACTAAGTCTCCCAATTCCAAGTCCTGCCAGATATGTGGCCCTCAGAAAACTATGCTGTTGGACAAAGTTACCAGACTAAATGGAAATCAACAAGACTCTTGGATTAGGTCTCTTCCACATTCTCTCCTCTTTAACAGGCGAGCCAACCTGCATAGAGAAATCTCTGCCGCCACAGCCATGACCAAATACCAACACGCCCGGCCAGAGAATATCGGCATTATCAAGAAACTCTGCCTAGATGACGAGAGTGACCGCTACCCATACCAGCTAGCTGTGGAAGAACTCAGGAGAATCAGTGGTTACTTCAGCCCACTTGAGAAGCTTGAATGTGTAGGTGGGTACAATAAGGAATAAGTGTAGGCTTGCCGAGTTGAACTGGACATCAAAGTGTTACATTTATACTGGGTGACTCAGTCAGTTATATCAGATAGTCAGTCAGTCACACAGTCAGATGACAATAAGCTGGCTCTTCAAGTTCAGCCAATAACCCTCCTGCTACAGAATATTTCCCCTCCGCGTCCCCAAGTACACTAAAAGTGTTAGGTGATAAGGACTCCCTATAAGAACATTAAACAACAACGTATGGCCTGTTCACGCGCAACCCATTGATTGAGACACATCATGTGCACAAGCTGGTTCCCAAGCAAGTGGCTCTGTTACAATTAACATTGCAAAGTGCTTATGTATAAATCCACATCACAGTATCATTGTATGGTACTTTTCCATTTAATACCAGCATTTTCTCTTTTTTCTAGTGAAAGCTTCTCGTGCTATCGTTACCTGTGTAGGCGACTATTATGAAGCTCAAGGAAGATCAAGGGAAAACACAGAGAATGCTGTGTGAGTTTTATTTGATTTTGTTTACCTGAATGATCAAGATTGTATCAGAAATATGGTAATTAGAAGATTGGGGCATTTTGATGTTAACTTTTTGTCCTGCGTTACTGTTAAGTTTTTTTGGACCAATTGCAGTTGGTCCTAACCTACAAAAAAAAATTGCACAAAACATATCCTTTTTTCTAAAAAAATTTTAAAATCTCAATAATTTAAATGTTAACCTTCAAAAAATAATTTAGTCCACCCCTCCAAAAGCTTAATCCATCCACTTGTATAGCTAATTAGTGAGCAAATGTAGAATTGTAATTCCAAAATCACCCATGTGGCTGTCACAAGAGTTCAAGTTGCAAAAACACCCCAAAAAAACAACAAAATAACAACAAAAAGGACCCAAAATTGCATCATTGTACACTGTGTTAAATTATATTGCATGAAGCAGCGATACTTGCAATCTTGTCTAATTCATTATCTATAACACAGAATACATTCAGAATGACATCATCATTCATGAGATTACATGTTTTTTTCCCTTCAAATGTTCACAGGGGTTGTGATGATTTGTTGCCCATCTTGAGCTATGTGGTCATCAAGTCAGCCCTGCCGCACATCGTATCTGAGTGTAGCATCATGGAGGAGTTTATACACGAGGGGTGAGAACACAGATCCCTGTAGTATGATGCTTAAGACAAGATCAATCCTTGTACCAGTCAAGGTGTATTGCACTCTCTGGCACCACGATATACCATGGCTGTGCTAAATTGAAATGCTCTGCATTAGCATTGTAATCTCACTGAAACATAATATAGCCAACGCCATGCCTCATGATGCTGCTATGCAACTTCAGAGGTTGAATTTAGGCACAAAAAATGACTGCTTTCTGATTTATTTTGCTGAAGCTCAATTCTTTGAGCTTTTCGTGCTGTTTTGTGTGTGCTACTTTACAGCCTGTAGATGATGACAATTTAGTTAACACAGAATGTAACAAAGTAATTTATTGTCATCGCTGTGACTTTCTCTGTTCAGGTATCTGTTTGGGGAGGAAGGATACTGCTTGACGACACTACAGACGTCGTTGGGATATGTTCTCAAGCTTGCTGAAGACTGATAATACAATACGTGGATGACCATAGCGCAGACTGATGTACCCTGTGTATTGACCATCATTACTGGGTGGCATGTGATAGGTTTGTCCATTAGCCTATAGATCCTTAATATAGCAGCCATGTTTGAGGTGAGTGCTTTTGTCCAACAGGGATACACATGAGTAAGATCTCTAGCGCATTCATTGTTAATGAATTGAAAAAACAAAACTCCAAATGACTGCTGTCTGCAAAAGGATCTTTATGAAGCGATTTTTTTCAAGCATAGTTTGTGGTCAATATCCAGAGTTACATTGTACACCTAACTCTATCTCTGTTACTGCTGAAGGAGAATTTGTGTAAGGAGTCCAAATTGAAATTCTACAGGGTGAGTCGAAAGAAATTGTGCTGGATTAATGATTTTTTTCCCCTGAAAAAAAAAACAATTAAATTTGACGCACCCACCAATGAAGTATGTCTTAAACGGGCATGTTCTTTCACTCATGTGAAAAAAAAGAATGACTGAAAATTGATCTATGCTAACAGATGTTATGCATATTTTACCATGCAGAACCCATTTTTTTACAGCTGTATGCTTAATGCTTTGACGCTATTGAGCTGAATGAGAACAAGAGATTACACACAGGCATTCAAATACAATTGACATTTTAATAATTTGAATTAAGACTGAAACATTTTTTTTACTGTCAGAATTTTTGTTTTGTATATATGAGGAACATATCAAGTCTGTTTCTGAAATGATGATGGTGCTTTTTGTCTGTTTTCCTTTGCAAGTTTGGCTCGTTATTTAAAGGGTATTCATCAATGCGTATCGGTAATTGATCAGTGGTGGACAGCTCAATTTTGTGATATTTCTATTAATATAGAAATAACTTGTGCATAAATTATGCAAATTATGCAAAACTTTCACAGTTACTAGTCAATAGCATGACATCTTTATGAAATGGAGTGAGTCACATGTTTTTTTAAATATTTTTTTCTAACTCGGTCTCTTTCTTTAAGACTCGGTGTACATGGACATAATTTTGTCAATCATGTATATACAGTTCCTTTTAAATATAAATGGAACGGGATTTTCTTTTTAAAAAAGGGAGTTGTGGTTTAGAAACAGCTGTCCGAATTTACATTTAAAAATCCACTATTTCAACGTGGATGAAATCCTGAAATTTAACAAATTACAACAGGATTGTAAGCTTTTTATTCCACTTAGAAAGGGCTGTGGTTTTAAATATAAACTACTCCAATTATGATGGTAAATTTGGTGATGTTTTTTCACCTTGAAATAATGCAGATCAGGATATAAAATCTTGCCAATGTTTCGTATGAGTTACGAGAATTATTTGTTATCAAATTATAGAATTCAAATTCAGTCTTAAGCAACTCAACAAGATGTAATTCAAGTGTAATCATGTTTGTAAACTTTATCATTTAATTTATTTTGAAATACAAAAGCGGCTTACATATATTCATATTTTGAAGAAAAAAATCAAAGATTTATGCGCATGCCACAAATGGTTTAAAAATAGGAATGCTTTCTTGTCAGACTAACCTCTTCCAGAAAACGATGTCGATGAGAATTCCAAATCATAACCTTAAACCTTTTGTATGTAATGTAAATTCATGATCATTGTATGCGGGAAATCAATAAGCACTTTCACGATAATATGCGCCATCTTGTTCACAGAGCAAAAAGAATACTGAGCACATATTGGAATGACGCATGATGACTTGGAAGTGCAAAAGCTTTCGATTGATATGCGTACTCGTGTTCTTTTTGCCCCATCAACAAGATTACTGTGAAAGTGCTTATTGAATTGTTTAATGTTTTTTTCTCTGTATAAAGTTCTTTGAAAATTCATTGAATTTTTTGTCTTTTTCTCTAAAACTGATTGCAATAAATGAAATATCCTGTGGAGATGAAAGTCTCTACAATAGACTTGCCTTGTTGAATTCAGGATTATATTATATATTATATATGGTTTGTCTCATGAACTGAACAATTAGCCCATTAATTATTGATTTGTCCAACTCCAGGCACATTTCTGAAGGGAACGCAATCGTCTTCATAAACAAAATATAAATCACAGTTAACTTTTCTTATCCAACACGTGAATTTTAAAAAACTTCTGAGAAAATCGCTTGCATTTGTATATCCTCACATTCAAATTCCAAATATCTTATATCTGTCATTGATATGCCTGTGCTCTTTAACCCATTGGATTTGTTTTTTTATTAATAAATTTTCAACTTGTATTTTTTTATTCCAACTTAAAAATCTCTGCCTGCAACCCGAATCGAAATCGAATTGGAATGTGTTCTAGGGTCTTTTAGGCATCTTTTTGGCAAATTTCAAGCAATTCCATTTTTTGGCCAAAATTGAAAAAAAACACAAGGGGTTAGCCTTACTTTTTTTATGAAATTTGGCAAAAAAATGACTTTTCTCCAAACTCCGCAGAAATACTTTTAAAGGTGAGAGGAGCATCAATCAACATTCAAACACCCAATATTTTAAAGATTTTGGCCAAAATCATCAATATTTGGAGAAAAACCAATCAATATTTTAGACTGATTTTACCGCAAACTTTTGTCAAAATATCCTTTTTAAAAGCTTATCAGTCCTGACATAGCATTGGAATGTGTTCTAGGGTCTTTTAGGCATCTTTCCAGCAATTTTCAAGCAATTTCATTTTTTGGCCAAAATTGAAAAAAAAAACAAGGGGTTAGCCTTACTTTTTTATGAAATTTGGCCAAAAAATGACTTTTCTCCAAACTATGCAGAAATACTTTTAAAGGTGAGAGGAGCATCAATCAACATTCAAACACCCAATATTTTAAAGATTTTGGCCAAAATCATCAATTTTTGGAGAAAAAAACAATCAATATTTTAGACTGATTTTACCGCAAACTTTTGTCAAAATATCCTTTTTAAATGCTTTTCATTCCAGAAATCGAATTGGAATGTGTTCTAGAGTCTTTTAGGCATCTTTCCAGCAAATTTCAAGCAATTCCATTTTTTGTCCAAAATTGAAAAAAAAAACAAGGGGTTAGCCTTACTTTTTTTATGAAATTTGGCCAAAAAATGACTTTTCTCCAAACTCCGCAGAAATACTTTTAAAGGTGAAAGGAGCATCAATCAACATTCAAACACCCAATATTTTAAAGATTTTGGCCAAAATCATCAATTTTTGGAGAAAAAAACAATCAATATTTTAGACTGATTTTACCGCAAACTTTTGTCAAAATATCCTTTTTAAAAGCTTATCAGTCCAGACATAGCATTGGAATGTGTTCTAGAGTCTTTTAGGCATCTTTCCAGCAAATTTCAAGCAATTTCATTTTTTGGCCAAAATTGAAAAAAAAACCAAGGGGTTAGCCTTACTTTTTTATGAAATTTGGCCAAAAAAATGACTTTTCTCCAAACTATGCAGAAATACTTTTAAAGGTGAAAGGAGCATCAATCAACATTCAAACACCCAATATTTTAAAGATTTTGGCCAAAATCATCAATTTTTGGAGAAAAAACAATCAATATTTTAGACTGATTTTACCGCAAACTTTTGTCAAAATATCCTTTTTAAAAGCTTATCAGTCCAGAAATCGAATTGGAATGTGTTCTAGAGTCTTTTAGGCATCTTTCCAGCAAATTTCAAGCAATTCCATTTTTTGGCCAAAATTGAAAAAAACACAAGGGGTAAGCCTTACTTTTTTTATGAAATTTGGCCAAAAAATTACTTTTCTCCAAACTCCGCAGAAATACTTTTAAAGGTGAAAGGAGCATCAATCAACATTCAAACACCCAATATTTTAAAGATTTTGGCCAAAATCATCAATTTTTAGAGAAAAACCAATCAATATTTTAGACTGATTTTACCGCAAACTTTTGTCAAAATATCCTTTTTAAAAGCTTATCAGTCCAGACATAGCATTGGAATGTGTTCTAGGGTCTTTTAGGCATCTTTCTGGCAAATTTCAAGCAATTTCATTTTTTGGCCAAAATTGAAAAAAAAACCAAGGGGTTAGCCTTATTTTTTTATGAAATTTGGCCAAAAAAATGACTTTTCTCCAAACTATGCAGAAATACTTTTAAAGGTGAAAGGAGCATCAATCAACATTCAAACACCCAATATTTTAAAGATTTTGGCCAAAATCATCAATTTTTGGAGAAAAAACAATCAATATTTTAGACTGATTTTACCGCAAACTTTTGTCAAAATATCCTTTTTAAAAGCTTATCAGTCCAGAAATCGAATTGGAATGTGTTCTAGAGTCTTTTAGGCATCTTTCCAGCAAATTTCAAGCAATTTCATTTTTTGTCCAAAATTGAAAAAAAAAACAAGGGGTAAGCCTTACTTTTTTTATGAAATTTGGCCAAAAAATGACTTTTCTCCAAACTCCGCAGAAATTCTTTTAAAGGTGAAAGGAGCATCAATCAACATTCAAACACCCAATATTTTAAAAATTTTGGCCAAAATCATCAATTTTTAGAGAAAAACCAATCAATATTTTAGACTGATTTTACCGCAAACTTTTGTCAAAATATCCTTTTTAAAAGCTTATCAGTCCAGACATAGCATTGGAATGTGTTCTAGGGTCTTTTAGGCATCTTTCCAGCAAATTTCAAGCAATTTCATTTTTTGGCCAAAATTGAAAAAAAAAACAAGGGGTTAGCCTTACTTTTTTATGAAATTTGGCCAAAAAAATGACTTTTCTCCAAACTATGCAGAAATACTTTTAAAGGTGAAAGGAGCATCAATCAACATTCAAACACCCAATATTTTAAAGATTTTGGCCAAAATCATCAATTTTTGGAGAAAAAACAATCAATATTTTAGACTGATTTTACCGCAAACTTTTGTCAAAATATCCTTTTTAAAAGCTTATCAGTCCAGACATAGCATTGGAATGTGTTCTAGAGTCTTTTAGGCATCTTTCCAGCAAATTTCAAGCAATTCCATTTTTTGGCCAAAATTGAAAAAAAACACAAGGGGTTAGCCTTACTTTTTTTATGAAATTTGGCAAAAAAATGACTTTTCTCCAAACTATGCAGAAATACTTTTAAAGGTGAAAGGAGCATCAATCAACATTCAAACACCCAATATTTTAAAGATTTTGGCCAAAATCATCAATTTTTGGAGAAAAAACAATCAATATTTTAGACTGATTTTACCGCAAACTTTTGTCAAAATATCCTTTTTAAAAGCTTATCAGTCCAGAAATCGAATTGGAATGTGTTCTAGAGTCTTTTAGGCATCTTTCCAGCAAATTTCAAGCAATTTCATTTTTTGGCCAAAATTGAAAAAAAAAACAAGGGGTAAGCCTTACTTTTTTATGAAATTTGGCCAAAAAATGACTTTTCTCCAAACTCCGCAGAAATACTTTTAAAGGTGAAAGGAGCATCAATCAACATTCAAACACCCAATATTTTAAAAATTTTGGCCAAAATCATCAATTTTCAGAGAAAAACCAATCAATATTTTAGACTGATTTTACCGCAAACTTTTGTCAAAATATCCTTTTTAAAAGCTTATCAGTCCAGACATAGCATTGGAATGTGTTCTAGGGTCTTTTAGGCATCTTTCTGGCAAATTTCAAGCAATTTCATTTTTTGGCCAAAATTGAAAAAAAAAACAAGGGGTTAGCCTTACTTTTTTATGAAATTTGGCCAAAAAAATGACTTTTCTCCAAACTATGCAGAAATACTTTTAAAGGTGAAAGGAGCATCAATCAACATTCAAACACCCAATATTTTAAAGATTTTGGCCAAAATCATCAATTTTTGGAGAAAAAACAATCAATATTTTAGACTGATTTTACCGCAAACTTTTGTCAAAATATCCTTTTTAAAAGCTTATCAGTCCAGACATAGCATTGGAATGTGTTCTAGAGTCTTTTAGGCATCTTTCCAGCAAATTTCAAGCAATTCCATTTTTTGGCCAAAATTGAAAAAAAACACAAGGGGTTAGCCTTACTTTTTTTATGAAATTTGGCCAAAAAATGACTTTTCTCAAACTCCGCAGAAATACTTTTAAAGGTGAAAGGAGCATCAATCAACATTCAAACACCCAATATTTTAAAGATTTTGGCCAAAATCATCAATTTTTGGAGAAAAACCAATCAATATTTTAGACTGATTTTACCGCAAACTTTTGTCAAAATATCCTTTTTAAAAGCTTATCAGTCCAGACATAGCATTGGAATGTGTTCTAGAGTCTTTTAGGCATCTTTCCAGCAAATTTCAAGCAATTCCATTTTTTGGCCAAAATTGAAAAAAAACACAAGGGGTTAGCCTTACTTTTTTTATGAAATTTTACCGTAAACTTTTGTCAAAATATCCTTTTTAAAAGCTTATCAGTCCAGACATAGCATTGGAATGTGTTCTAGGGTCTTTTAGGCATCTTTCCAGCAAATTTCAAGCAATTTCATTTTTTGGCCAAAATTGAAAAAAAAACCAAGGGGTTAGCCTTACTTTTTTTATGAAATTTGGCCAAAAAATGACTTTTCTCCAAACTCCGCAGAAATACTTTTAAAGGTGAAAGGAGCATCAATCAACATTCAAACACCCAATATTTTAAAGATTTTGGCCAAAATCATCAATTTTTGGAGAAAAAAACAATCAATATTTTAGACTGATTTTACCGCAAACTTTTGTCAAAATATCCTTTTTAAAAGCTTATCAGTCCAGACATAGCATTGGAATGTGTTCTAGAGTCTTTTAGGCATCTTTCCAGCAAATTTCAAGCAATTCCATTTTTTGGCCAAAATTGAAAAAAAACACAAGGGGTTAGCCTTACTTTTTTTATGAAATTTTACCGTAAACTTTTGTCAAAATATCCTTTTTAAAAGCTTATCAGTCCAGACATAGCATTGGAATGTGTTCTAGGGTCTTTTAGGCATCTTTCCAGCAAATTTCAAGCAATTTCATTTTTTGGCCAAAATTGAAAAAAAAACCAAGGGGTTAGCCTTACTTTTTTTATGAAATTTGGCCAAAAAATGACTTTTCTCCAAACTCCGCAGAAATACTTTTAAAGGTGAAAGGAGCATCAATCAACATTCAAACACCCAATATTTTAAAGATTTTGGCCAAAATCATCAATTTTTGGAGAAAAAAACAATCAATATTTTAGACTGATTTTACCGCAAACTTTTGTCAAAATATCCTTTTTAAAAGCTTATCAGTCCAGACATAGCATTGGAATGTGTTCTAGAGTCTTTTAGGCATCTTTCCAGCAAATTTCAAGCAATTCCATTTTTTGGCCAAAATTGAAAAAAAACACAAGGGGTTAGCCTTACTTTTTTTATGAAATTTTACCGCAAACTTTTGTCAAAATATCCTTTTTAAAAGCTTATCAGTCCAGACATAGCATTGGAATGTGTTCTAGGGTCTTTTAGGCATCTTTCCAGCAAATTTCAAGCAATTTCATTTTTTGGCCAAAATTGAAAAAAAAACCAAGGGGTTAGCCTTACTTTTTTTATGAAATTTGGCCAAAAAATGACTTTTCTCCAAACTCCGCAGAAATACTTTTAAAGGTGAAAGGAGCATCAATCAACATTCAAACACCCAATATTTTAAAGATTTTGGCCAAAATCATCAATTTTTGGAGAAAAAAACAATCAATATTTTAGACTGATTTTACCGCAAACTTTTGTCAAAATATCCTTTTTAAAAGCTTATCAGTCCAGACATAGCATTGGAATGTGTTCTAGGGTCTTTTAGGCATCTTTCTGGCAAATTTCAAGCAATTTCATTTTTTGGCCAAAATTGAAAAAAAAAAACAAGGGGTTAGCCTTACTTTTTTATGAAATTTGGCCAAAAAATGACTTTTCTCCAAACTATGCAGAAATACTGAAAAGGTAAAAGGAGCACCAATTGGCAGCCACTGATTCAAAATTGTACAGTAACTAGTTCAAGAACTATACATGATTGTTTTTCAGTCGATTTCTCATTCAAAAGTGAATAACTTTTGTATTGCTAGAAATATTGCAATTTAATTCAAAAAAAGAATGGGAGAATACATCTTTAAAATTTCTATTAAACTCGTTAAATCATTGCAGAACTCACCAAGAATTTGTGACATACAAACTAGTTTATTATAATCATACACATGTACAGCACAAACGTTCATAGAATAAGGCACAATTATAAAGTAAGGCCAAATAAACGCCGAATTTGGCAATATACTTAACTACAAAGACACTCTTACTGAGTAATAAAGAATAGCGATTTCATTTTAACTAAAAAGGGACCTCTGTAAGTTCCATATTTACAATTTATCCTTGAGAGTATCTACAGAATATTGTACCAAAAAGTTGAATGAATGATAAAAAATAAATAAATCGGTACAGACTAAAATATCAATACAAATGTCAGACAGCAATCTCAAAGTATATGAGAGTAAGAACAATCATAAACTAGACAATGCTCTGACATGATTATGTATTATTACATAACAAATTAACAATAGACACTGTAAATTATCTCATGTATCATTACAGTAAAAGGCAATTTACAACATTTGCAAACATCAAAAAACAAAACTACCAAAATTCTTATGAAATACCTTACTTGACTGTCTGAATAATAGTCTGAAGCATCCTGTGAAATCATGGCACCCGGTGTGCTGTCATTTTCAGGAAAAGTGAAATGTTTGTATTAATTTCCAAATACTGTCCCCAATTCATCAAATTTAGTTAATCAACATTTTGTTTGCAGTTGGTTACACATCCTGAAATGGGTGCAAGCCAGCTCTGGTTTCCTGACCTGACAAGTCCGCGACATCTATAAATTGCTCCGTTTCGTCTTTAGTAGGGTCAGGGAATCAGACTACAAGAACAGCATATTTTGTCTTGGTTTTCCAGCATCAATGAACACAAACTTTTAAACAGGTCAGTGTAACAAAATTCGATAAAATGCTAACCCTAAATCCATCCATTTCTGAAAATTACTGCCTAAGCAATTATTGTATATTACCTTGAATTCCTAAGCATAATTGTAAGCTTTCTGGCGGTCAAGTTAGGCTTAGGTTGCTCATGTCTGACAGGACAGTGCTGCGATATTTCTTAGCCAGGCTCTGCATGTAGTCAAGGTGATCTGCAACATGAAAGCCTTCGATACTCTTCTCCTGTGTTGAAAGACAAGAAAAGAATTTACATCAATGGAAAAAATAGGGAAAAAAATAGTTCCTTTCATCTGATAACGGAAATTATCTCTTGAACAGAGAACAGTTCTTGCTCTTAATCAAAGAATTGTTTTACCCAGCTTTGTGAGATTTACACAAACCATGAAAATACTTTCAATTACTTACTCTGTACAACTACACCTTTAAGGCCTTCTTTTGCAGGACCTTTAGTTACACAGATTTGGTTAAGTTACACATTTTGTTAATTTACACATATTTTGTTCAAGCCAAAAATGTTAACCGTGTCAATCTCGAATGCTTTAAATGTCCAGTCGCATTAGAGTTGCTATGTTTTTGTACTCAATTAATAGTTTTAGTAATTTGTTTGTTTTGAAGGACGGTGACTTTTAATGACACTTAATATTCTGTACTTCAAATGGTGTTTGTTTTGGGTTTTTTTTTGGTTTTCTCATCGAGTCAACAAGTTTTGTAACAGCAATTCTGCTCAAGCAAAGGTCTGTATACAATTTTGTACTCTACAGCTTGTACAAAATAAATCATTCACGATATAGGCAGCATTAGGCCAAAAAAGAAAAGTCTCCGGTTTCTGGTATGGAGCTTGTCCAAAAAGTGGTGCGGCGACGCGGCTTTTTTTTTTTTTTTACCCGACTTTTTTGCTTCAAATGTCGGCTGATGACTGCAAATGGTGCCCGACTAAACTTAGTGCAAATATATGGGAGTCCAGAGAGGCCACATAAAGCTTATTCTCGATCATAACCCCATCTAAAAACACGTTGAAATTGCGCAGCAGCAGAATTCCAGTCAAACCAGTGAGTTTGGCGGTTTTGAGACATCATCTTTCATTGAAAAAAAAACTTTTTCATTTTGCCAACGCGCATGGCTACGGCGACGAGCGCGCATACCAGAAACCGGAGACTTTTTTTTTTTTGCCTTATAAAAACAGCCAGGACCTAACATAGTCATTTCTCCCTGGTGTTTAGCTGACCTTCAAGAAGACCTGTAGTTGCTGTTTCTGTGTATGCAGTAGGATCTTGTGCTGTAGATACATCAACACAGCCACACACATATAGACCTGATAGTCAGCACCCATGATGATGCACAGTGCTATGTAGTGACTGATGTCTGGCCAGTCGAGGTAGTTCAAGAAACACTGGCAAAGCCACTGCTGACAAATCTAGGGTCAAAAATGGTCAAATCAGAGGGTCAAATGAGGATCAGAGGAGAGGGTCAAATGAGAGGGTCAAATGAGAGGGTCAGAGGAGAGGGTCAAATGAGAGGGTCAAATGAGAGGGTCAAATGAGAGGGTCAAAGAGGGTCAGATGCGAGGGTCAAAGAGGGTCAGATGAGAGGGTCAAAGAGGGTGTTTTAATTGAGAAATCAGGCAGGCATGTAACTGAGAATTTAGAAAAAAATGAGGAAATCCTAAACCACTCCAGACTTTGTACAGTATTTTTCAATTGTAATGGCATTCATGAGAAGTGAAAAAAAGGAGGAAATGAGCAGATCCGAGAAAAAGTTGCATGCCTGATTAAGGAAATGATTGGTGGTGTTGAAGTGGGACTAAGAGGACGATACAGTGGACGGTGAGGCATATTTTTAATTCATTTCATTTAGAAACCTACCTCCAGACATTTTCCTCCTTCAATTTGGTACATTTTAAGGCTTTCATTTTAAGGGACATTGCAAAAGGTTATACAACTAAATTTTAAAATAATGAAAGGGAATTCTTTGTACCTGTGAGGGTGTGTAACCCGACATACGGAATGCCGAGTAGACATGAGGAACCTCTGTTTGTAGAATCAGCTCAACGTTGTGACTGGTGCGATAGAATACTGGGTGGATGCTGCTAGCTGCAACATCGTAGGGTATATGGACCTGAATACAAAGTACATGCAGCTAGGTATTAGTGAGATTGTTAATTATTGGCTGCAGTCCTGTGGAATATGAGGTGCATTCTATTACATTAACAACACAAATGTTGCCATATAAATAAACTGTTTGCCAATATAAAGATTCTGAGATTGCCTGATATTTTGAAGATGCTTTTATCTTTATTTCTTTAATAAGCAGGTGAAAACTCTCAAAAACTCAGTCATGGGCAATTTGATTTGTGCACCATAACACATGCCAGCTAAACTAACCGCTTAAGTCATGCCATCGTTTGTTAAGCAAGTCACAAGCTTATGTACAGCATCACTTTCTTAAAATGATCACAAGAAATTCCCCAACACAGTTCTAAACAAGCAAAGTTTCATGATATCGTCTGCAGGCACTTATTGGAGAATCAAATACAAACAAGTTTAATTTATAAGTCCTCACAAGTTTCCAAGTCTCAAGTCAAGTCTCAAGCCATTCAAATGAACTATGACAAAGGCATTCTATTGAGATCGTTCATCCCCTGTTACGTGTGACATGACCTGTGTAATGCACTCATGATAGACTCAGCTACATCATTGATTGGAAGGACATCACTCTTACCGAGGCATGAAGGCGAGCCATACTCAGATAACCAGATGACAAGACTGAGAAGCATTTATGCAGCATGCTCCACGCCTTATCCCGATTGCCAGACAACAGAAGGAAGATGGTGGACACAAACCAATCATGCCCAATGTACTCGCCTTCTAAGCAGCCTGTGGGAATCGATGCATTAGTTAAGGAATGGATTGCATTTAACTCATGAAAAAAAGATTCCCTTCTCAAGACAGATCGTGGATTATTTTTTTGTTGGGGGGTGTGGTTAAATAAGAAGTTAACTAAATCATTGCAGAAAACATACAATTTGATTACTGTGGGCTGTTTTGCCTATAAAACATACCTTATCATTCAAGAATCAAGATTCAAGATTTGTTTTGTCATGGTTAAAATTCTATGAAAATTGATTTCAATTCAACTTCTTCTCTGCACCAAGCCTTGCTTGCAATGTATAAAATGATATTGCATTCATTGTTACAAACATGCCACATGAGATTTTAACAAATTTGGTTTGACATAAAAATAGAATCTTTTGATTGGAAGGATACGCATATTGGAGTGAATGCTTCTCTGTTGACTGTTCAGATAGTAGCGACACGTTTTCAGTAACAGACTCAGGTTGTCTATTGACTCATTGCTGTTGCTAAGCAACCTCAGATGCTGTCCGTATCTGGCAAAACAAAAACAAAAACAAAATCGAAATGAGGCAATTCAGAGGCATTGGCATGCACTGTATTCAAGTACTAGGACTTTTTTCCTTCAGGAAACATGGACTTACGTATATAATCACACACACAAAAAGAAATTCCAAGTTAATACACAACGAACAAAATTAACGAACAAAGTGAGTCCTTATGCAAAAGACAGACAGTTTAGCTGGTCAACTTTTTCCAATAAACCAGTCCGACATTTTCAATGTGCAAACTCTCATGAACAATGCATTTTGTGGATAAACAAAACACGTCAAGCTGTCCTTGACCAATAGATAGCAAACCAAAGCATTACGTGGGTTTGTTTATATACAAACTGCATTGTTCCACATGAGATGTTGAATTGGCGTATTAAATGGCCTATCTGTAGTATCCTCTTAGTGACAGTCAATTTTGTGAGACATATGAGACACAGATTTGCCCACCGACCTGACCACCATCTTGACTCCCAGCATCTGTAGAGCTGGCAGCTTCTGTCCCTTAAGGGCGATATCAGAGACTTTGCAAGGCTTCAACTGGAACACCTCATTCCCAGGGATGTGAAGCTGGTTGCTCAAAACTTGGTCTAACAAGTCGGCCAGTACTAGTATGGGTACAAGAAAGACACCAAGATGTGGGGTTTATGACGGGTACATTTATCAACAGTTATGTAATGACTTTTAACACCTTGTTGGTTTTTCACATTTTGCTTTGAAGTACAAGTCAATAAATACTTCATCATAGAGACAAAAGCCCATTTGACAGCATTGTTTTCTAATTTAGTCTGTGATACTACCAAAAACAAAACAGGATGCAGGAAACGTTTTAAGTTTATATATATTTGGCAAGGGCTTTCACAGTTTTTTCCAGGTAACAAATTTATGAAGACCTGTTTTGGACCATCTTCTGGTGTTGTTTTTTTTCGTTGTTTCAAATTCACTGCCATTTACTTTTATTATAGGAATAGGAATGTAATTCTTTTCCTTTTAAAGCTGATGGTGTACTCTTTGTAAATCTGCATATTATTAAACTGATCTCAACAAATTGAATTTACAACCCTTTATGATGGACAGCCACATATCATCTAGACTTACATCTGTTGGTCACTGTCTGTGGTTTCTTGGATAGGCACGTCACGAAGGCATTCTGGCACTTTGCCAACCACGCCTGTGCCTCAGACGCAGTTTTCACGGGGACGTTGCTACCCAGTAACTTGCTCAATTCATTCTCTATGGGGACGGAAAACACAGGGTTGAGAAAAATGTTCATTACAAAACTACTACAAAATATACACTTTCTCCAGTTCGCACTCTGGTCAGTCTTCACACCAAAAAGCCTATGATTTCTTTGTAAACACAAAATGTCTGATTGACATTCACACATAAGTTCTCACTCATTGTCACTGATGCTGTGACAAAAAAACTATTTCTTTACAGTTTTGAGTATACTTTATTTATTCAAAAAAAGGGAAAAGTGAAAAAGTCTCTTTCCCCAGCCAAATAATATAATAATGAAATAACAAAAATATAGGTTAGTATAGCAGTAATTCATAATGGCAGATTTTTGGCTTACAATGCTCGGCATTTGGTAGCCAAACGGGATGTTCATTATAGCACACTGTTTGGTATTAAAATGTTTGTTATGGCAACGTTCAATGTATTCTCGCTCCTGGCTTGTAGCAGGGTTTAAGTCAATGAGATGGATCACTAGTCCATCACAAGTCCTCCAGTCCCAAGTCAACTCACTAGCTGTTCCAATGAACTGAGACAAAGGCATTCTATAGGTCTCTCTCAAATGACGTCATTTCCTACAGACCAGCCACGTGCATCGGCATTTTGAGCATCAACTTGCATAACGCGCATCAGCTGCGTCGTATTTCAAACACATTTTGAACAACAAGCACGCGAGTTTGGAACATTTTCAACACTGCGCAATGCGTGCTTGATTGCAAAAAATACGCAGTTGCAGTTCTCCTACAGAGATGGCCGTCATTAAGAGAGACCTATTGTCTGTGTCCATCCCTTGTTACTTGTGACTGGACTCATGAACTGATCCGTGACCTGACTTGAGATGTACTTCATAAGACACTCAACGACAACATCGGCTCCGAGTACTTTACCTTGCTTGATGCTAGAAGATCTTGGGAGGCTTGGGGTGTAATCTTTGGGCACCGGGAATGCAGAGAAGAGTGGCCAGGGATAGGGGCTGCTGTTGTCTGCTTGTAAGCTGTGAGGTGGAAGGATTCGCTCCGTAGGACCTCCGATTACATTGGTCCTGACTAAGATGTGATTACGCTCAATGGACAGCATGTCAATCATGATGACTGACTCGCTGTATGAATGAGTGAAAAATAGGGCCCACATATAACAAGAAATATATGGATATTGGACAATGGGCTAGAATCCGAGTACAAAGTCAACAATGTAGAGGATGTGTCCAACCTTCAATTTCCCTTCAAGTTGAATTGTGGACTTGGTGGACTATTGGTAGACTCCTGACATAACTTGCACCAGCACACTAGCAACGCATGATCGTCAAAAGTATTGTTAGAATGTAATCAGTACATGACAATGACTGCGGCGATTAGATACATACCCATTGCGGTTACACTCCTGACCCTGTAGTAACATATCCCAGATACATACCCATTGCGGTTACACTCCTGACCCTGTAGTAACATATCCCAGATACATACCCATTGCGGTTACACTCCTGACCCTGCAGTAACATATCCCAGATACATACCCATTGCGGTTACACTCCCGACCCTGTAGTAACATATCCCAGATACATACCCATTGCGGTTACACTCCCGACCCTGTAGTAACATATCCCAGATACATACCCATTGCGGTTACACTCCTGACCCTGTAGTAACATATCCCAGATGTGATATTGAGTCTCCAGCAACAGCAATGAATCCAGACAGGTCGTCAGCACAGTCAACAGCCTGAAATCAAAAACAACAAAAAGCTGAAATGATCTGGTTCTAATCTCTCTAGAGTATAGCTTTAAGCAGAAAAAAATCTTCCGTAAACTGTCACCATTACATCTAAAGGGAGTGTATCTGTTACATCTGCTATTTCTTCAGTAGCATATCCAGGTTTTGGGTCCAGGGGGGGGGGGGGAAGGAGGGGTGGCAAAAGGGGATTTTTTTTCTGGAAAAGGTAGCCATGATGTTTTCCAGTCACCCAAATCGTGCAAAATCAAAAAGTGGGGGTGGGGTGAGGGGGAAGGGGGGGGGGGGGGGGCTGGAAACCACCAGACTATTGGAGGCACTATTGCACAATAGGTGGCAGTATTCAAGTGTGGCCCATAGAGGAGAGTGTTGCTATTAGTAGTAGCTGTGAAGTACCGGTGCTTTCATTCAAGCAAAACACACCAAAATAAAAAGAGACAAAAACGAAGAAAAGAAATAGGCCAAATGGAACTGGTTCATGTCAGAGAATGCCTTACTTGAGCCCAAAGATGTGCGACTGCTCGTAGTTGAAGAGAGAGTTAATCTTAGCGTCAGAATCCACCATGATGAGACGCTCAATAAAACCCTATCAGAAAAAAAAATAAGATGGATGACATCAAAATCACTAAATTAACTTTTTTTAAATTTCTGTTGTCTTTAGGGAAGCACGAATGATGCTTTAGTTTGGTTTTCCAGCAGACACGAACATCATGAGTTCTGTATATGGCTCTACTTAACAGGCTGGGACAAGGTATGTGCTGTGAGGAATATGATGTCATGGTCAGAAAAGGGCCATTCTTGGTGACAGGGGCAACAAGGAATTTCCAAATTTTGAAATCAATTCAAATTCGATCCAAGAGTCACATTTTCCTTTCGGAATTCGGAATCAATTCCAAATTTAACTAGCAAAAGACTTTCTAGAAGTACTTCCATTAGATCACTAATGAAAATGTAGTTAATTACAACAAACAAGGTCATGAAGAGGCATATCATTTATTGTATTCAATTTGTTTTAAAGTCTCTGGAAACTATTCCTAGGAACTGAAGTTTGGAAGCAGGGATCGATTCCTTGGAAAAGTGCAGTCATGATCCTGATTCAAAGTTTGAGATAGAATGACAACCAAGACTATTGAGGACCCTGACGAACTTAGCAGTTAAGGGTTCAGAGTGCCTGTGGCAACTAACCAAGACGTCGTTAGGAGCTTCTCTGAGGGAGTAGGCATCCTTGCGTGGTAGCGGCTTGCTGGCTAGAATCTCGTACAGTGCAGGGAAGGCAGAAAACATGTTGATCATCCGGATAAAGAACTGGCAGGAAATAAGTGACAAAAAACATAACAATATTTTTTCAGCCCAGGTTAAGACATTTTTAGCAAAGTTTCACAAAATCCTGACACGTTTTTTTTAAGGAAACTGGGAAGACTGTTTTGGGGGGCCATTTGAGAAGGGACTGATATGTATACCTTGTGAGCCATGCGGTCCATGGGCTCAACTGAGATCGGGTTGGGTCGGATCATGGGCTGACCATCGCTACCACACTCCAGCACTGACCACAGACCATGTACAACCGCTTGGATGAAACCTGCATACAAATACAGTGAATATGCAATCCATGAACTATGCTTCCATTTCATAGAGTGTGGTTTTCTAAATTTATTTCATTACTATTTCATTACATAAGGTCCTGAACTACAAGGAAGTATAAGTTGATTTAATATCGGGAGTTGATCCATTCTTTCCAAAGAAAACATAATCCTTACAATGCCAACATGTACTGGACTATTTTTCAAATTCTGCATTTTCTTTTTGTTCTAAATAGTTCTTTCTTAGAATTTTTTATAAATTTTCTAGTTTTAAATTGTCCTGTAGTCCTTAACAAGTATGGCAATTGCATTATACAGCGTGCTCACAGTATACGACACGATGTAAGTGAAACACCGACATATTGGTCTAGTACCTGTTCTCTGCAGGGCTACAATGCCTGGAGCTGTGGCAGCAACCTGAGTCACCATGCTGCCATATCCAAACTTCTCTGTTTTGCTGACCTGGGAAATAGAACCCAAAACATTGGTCCATAAACTAAGTATCAATCGTCTATTCTTAACAACTATTTTATTGTATTATTCAAGAATGTATAATATTAATAAAAATATTTTTTTAAATGAACAAATAATGAACATATCATGGTGTTTAGTTCCATTGGGAATGAGAATTTGGTATTTGCTGCACAAACCCTTACAAATTCACATCTTGTTCTGTGTATAACACTTTGAAGAACTAAACTACACTAAACCCTATGAGACACTACTAACTGAGATAACTTTCCAAAAATCTTGTTACAATTAAACATTGAAACAGCCACCTTTATCAATAATGAGCCACTGCAAGATGGGATTGTTTTAATCCATTACTTTTTTTTTAAATACGCCGTCAGAACATAAAGCAAAAAAGTCATGTCGTTGAAGCAACTGGATACTATAAAAAAAAATCTGGATAATTCTATACCTGGAGTTTTCTGGCTGATCTGTTGTACATGTAGGCTATGCATTCATTGATAGCCCCGGTCTGCTGTAGTAAATGAAGGCCCTGGGTACAAGGAAACATAATGAGGCAAAGTACATGAAATGAGAAGCAGGGTCAATATGCAAACAATGCTTCAACCTCGAGCCATCAACTTGCTCTACGATGATCTCATTTTTACTGCTTCAAGGAGCAGAAACTCAATATGAGAACACTCAAGAAAATTGCTGATAAAGAACTATAAAATGAGTAGGAAATTCAAGACTCTAGGAAGCTACCTTGGGAGTGCTGGCAAAGTTGAGTAGGTTATCAATGAGAGTTCGTTCCCAGGCTTGCATAACATCAGCCTCTTGGGTCTTACTGCTTGTCTGCTTCCCAGATCCACCTGTCTCATCATCGTTATCATCGTCATATCCTATCCCGGCATCACTGGGGGTGGGTGTCCCTGCCAACTCCAGCTCTCGACAGACCTTGACAACAGAGAAGGGAATCATTCTAATTAGTTTTCTAACTCTGTATTTATTAAGAAACAAATGGCCAACTTACCAGTTAAGTTTCAACAAAGTTGATTAAAAAAACCTGAAAGCGGCATGTTAAATACACTTGCAATTTGAGTCCTTGGATGGGATTTTGAAATTCATTTGGGTTAAGAGAAACGTGATTTTATCAAACAGCATCCAAAAATCATCACAGAATGCACTCTCTTGTCAAACTTTTATGTGGTGCTGCACTTGGCTTGTAATTTTAGACACTGACTATCAATGATGCTTCACTGTGCTTCAAACAATCTGGAGCTAGACACATACAACAAAATATGTCGAGGGTCACAAACTGATGTCCCTAAATACTCAAGTTACCTGTCTCCAACAGTTGAGGATTTGTTGATGCAATCCATAACGATGAAGAACAAGCAGACCATCGCAGGTGCTGTATAGCTGCCTGCAGACGTATAGGAAGGCCCCCGCAACGCTACGTGACGGCTGCATGCAGAGACTAGACGATAACTTGCCGTCTAGAGCTTGCTTGGTGTACTCTGCGATAGCGTGAATCGGTGCAGAACTGAAAAAAAGGAAGATTATAAATCCTACCCAAATTAATTTCAGCTTTCATTATTTGTTCCTCTAGATAGCTGATAGATGGAGGTGAAGTTTGTTATCGACAAATGTTGCAATGTTGAGAATAATGTTAAACATACAGCCTAAACAAAATACAGCCTAAAAAATACAAGACTAGTCAAGCGTAGTAAAGCTAGTCCTTGACCAATTTGGTCTAATAGGTCATACTTTGGAGCCACGTTGAGGCAAGTCTTATTCACAAGTGATAAATAAACATGTAAATGGTAGACATCTGCATTTTCATCCTGTGTCCTCAATATCCATCTCGTACCTGTTTTCTTTGACCCAGCTGCCTTTCTCTCCGTATAGGAGAAGTTTCCGTCCGACTTCCCAGGATGCCATGGTGGAGAGGACGTCGGCGATGTGTAACATCCGAGAATCACTGCATGCCTGGCAAAAAGTAACACCAATCAGTCAGTGGAGTCTGTTTTTTTCCCAAGGAATATCAACACTCATTGTATTAAAAAAATAACAAAATTCCTTGACTTTTCCATTGCTGTCCTCGATAGCTTCAAATTCCAGGTTTCTTTTAAAAACTGTGGGAACCCTGTGCTTAGCACGTAAACTTTTCCTTTTTAGAAACATCTTCTGCATATAAGGGCCATGAAAGCAGTTTTATTTGTAAGAGACATTACATGTGTTTGTGGAACATTCATGAAACTGTAAAGGTTGAAATGTTCACTTGGGATTTTGAAATTTGTTGGTTCTACAGACAAAATAGGTTGACAGGGAAATACCTTGTTGCGCATCAGCCACATATGGACGGGTCTAAGTAGCTCAGATACTATGGCATCCTTGCACAGGCACAGAGAACAGCTGGACTTGGTGAAGCATAAAAACTTCAAGATTTCAGTCACCAGAGAAGCCAGATCAAAGCCATCTATGGATGCAATGTTGAAAGAAAATATTAATATATTTTCCAAAACTACAAATCTGAAAGTTAACAGATTCATTTGGCAATAATAATTTATTATGTAATTGAATATTTATTAAGAGATACAAGCAAGTAACTGCATGTCACTAGGGACTGAAGTGTTGTAAGGTGCTACATTTGGTAGAAACATTTTTTGTTTGTTTAACAAGCAACTTTGTGGTTTCATTTGTGACAGAAATCAACTGCCAAACACCATATCAAAACAAGTTCTTGGCTTTTCTTCTGCTGTGGATAACAGTGTAGCCATAGCAATAGATTTAATACAAAATCAAACAAAATAGTTTCTGTTTTATGAAGGGCACTGTATGCAGCTGGTTGCTGAGATTTCAGATGGATTCTTACTTTGTTCTGGTGATTTCAGCGACGGCTCGTCTCGCTCAGTGAGGATGTGAACAAAGGACACCAAGAGTTCTGTCACACTGACTGTAAAGAAGAGAAAATTGACAGATTTAGATCTTCCCCTTTTAACAATGATCTAATCTTTCCTCGGCAAAATAAGGCCCACTGGACGTCTGCATTGTCACATCAGTAAAAACAGAGAAATTGTCTGTGAAAGTTTTAGATGAATTTCTTAAACAGATACCCCTCTAAAAATCATCCAAGAAATTACTTTTAGAGGTAAATTATGGTCTGAAACTTTGATAGTACTTTGAAAAAAATGGAAATCGATTCATTTTTAGTCAATATCTCCATTTCAATCACTGTGAAGAAGTGTCCGGTTTTGACAGAACAGACGAAATATACGCCATGGCAACTCTACCTTCCCTGCAGCATGATTGGCTGAATTCTGAAGTACACATTGAGTTGAAATACAATGCCTACACAATGTACGCTTGCATAAATTATTAAAATAACTGACCCACCATAAGAGGTCACAAGGACAACAATGTGCAGACCGTTCTCGGACTCTATATCTGGAAGAAATATTGAGGGAGTTTTCAAACTAGTATTTTGTCCATTGTTCAACAATCTCACTATTACATTCTTACCGTCACCATCTCTGACATTGATAGGAAACAGCTTGTATCCGTCATTGTACATGAGTACACAGCCAAGCAGACTGATGGAGTGATAAAAGTACAGGTAGTCCACTTCACTCTCTGTGTATCGGGTACGGTGAGATGATCCTAAACAATTCAGAAACATCAAAGTAAGAACGTTATGCTCATTTACCCACATCAGGGATGTATTTCCCCATCCAAACTTGGTTGTTTCTCTAAGATTCAGAAAGGTAATTTCATGAAAAAACTGTCTGCTGACTTTTGAAAGAAATTTACCAGAACACTGATAAGATAAATAAACACTGCCTTGATAAAAAAAAATCACTAGTTTTGCTGTTGTTCCTGACGGCTCAAAGAAAACTCTGGCATCACTGTTATGACATAAATTATCAACTGACTCTAACCCTCTCAGTGTCTTCAAAGTTCTACCAGGTAAGACAGAGCAACACACGGACGATCCCAGATACTTACCCAATGAGTGCTTATCCAACATATCTGTGACTCTGCTAACGTCACAGGATTTGTCATCTGAGGAAACATAGTCCATGCACTGCTGAACACATTTCTCCACCTTTGTGATGAAACATTCGTGCAATACTGTGTCAGTATAACTGGACAATTTTAGTTTGTATGCAGAATTTGGCAGGTAGGTGTGTGCAACCAAACTATCCAACAATTCATGTGTACTTACAAGGCTGCGATTTCTTTCTAGTTGTCTGATAACAGATGTACGGCCATAGTTACCATGCTGTAAGTAAACAAAGCAAAGAAACAAGCATTTTACTTCGTAGAACAGGGAAGAACAGAGAAAAAATAAGAAACAAGTACTTTTGCAAGGGTAGACTGCAATGTAACAGACATTTTTGTTGTGTGTGCGCTATTTTACAGGTAAATGCAGAGGTAAAACTTGAAAGGTTTTGGGAGGATAAAAGTGCTGCATCTCACCATCCACTTTCGGAACCAGCTGGCCCTTGGGTCTACAATGGCCATGCAATGGAGCGGGGTAATGAGCGGTTGAGCTGAGGAGCTCCGTAATCCCTGGGGTTCAGTCACAAGGAGATTCATGGTGGACTCCGTCACATCGTCTAAAAATCTGCAGCAAGACAATAATCATTCTGTATTGAGTTGTTATATAGGCTCTGCGCTGGAGCAGTTGAGGGCGCTCTTTAATTAACCTGTTTACATAATCCTGCTAATCCCAAACTATTCTGAAATCAACAGCCGACTCTCACCTGTCTGGAAATCTCACCCAGTACGTTGGAATCTCCAAATTGAATTCATTCATCAAACGAAACTGCAGGTACAAAACAGGTTAAAAACAGAATTGAAATACATTGGAAACGGAACAAAAGAAAATCCATTTGATAAACATAAAATCTTCATTTCAGTCCTTAAATATTGGAGAAACACATCACTGTCCTTTTGGCAAAGTTACTAACCTTTCTGAGCAGAACACTAGTTGCATGATGTGCCATGTCTACTCCGTCCCGCAATGGAGATATCTTGGCGCTGTGGTCGGTAAACATTTCCGTCAGATGCTCAACTATCAGATAAAATATATGTTGGTTAAAACGGAGATAAAAAGAGGTTAGATTGTCCATGCTTGAATTCAACATGGATCTAGCCATAGGATTTAGAGACTATGGTTTTATGTCAAATGAACTTAAAGGTAATATACATTTGCAAACATCAAAAACCAAAACTACCAACTTATGGAATACCTTACTTGACTGTAAGTGAATAATAGTCTCAGGCATCCTGTGAAATCATGGCACCTGGTGTGCTGTCATTTTCAACAAAAGTGGAAATTTTGCTTAAATTTCCAATGATGGTCTGATGACCATTGTTGGAAAAAAACTGAGAGGGTTAAGGTGAGGCAAGTCAAGAGTGCTTACTAAGGCCTTCCTGGTTGAATGTTGAGGGTCTGAGAGGGTTAGGGTGAGAGGAGTTAAGAGTGCTTACCCAGGCCTTCCTGGTTGAATGTGGAGGGGTCTGAGAGGGTTAGGGTGAGGGGAGACAAGAGTGCTTACCCAGGCCAGTGTAGACCTCTCTCATTACATGGTGAGAGTTGGAGGAAAACATTCTGGCATGAAAGTGCAGACTTGTTTCCTGGAACAAGAAAAAACATATCATCTTCAATCAACAACAGACTTGGACTAAACCCCTCATAGAGAACATTGCTTTATGATGATACCATTTGAGTACCTTCCCTTCACTTGATATTGGGACCATATCTCATTATAAGCAACAAAATGTTGCTTAACAGGTTTACATGCTTAGCAAAAAAATGAGCAAAGAACAAGTCCCAAGAAAAGGTGTAGTTTAATATTTGTAGGTAACTTGTTTTTGCTAACCAATTTTTCCTGTGGTAAATAATTGTTTTGGCTTTAGTGTTGTTGTGGAATCCATCACAAGTCCAGTCATAAGTAACAGGGAGTGACCAACAACAAAGGAATACCTTTGACAAAGCTCATTTGAATAGCTTGTGATTTGAATTGAGACTGGAGGACTCGTGATGGACTTGAGATTGACTCGACTACAAGACTGCTTGCCACTTCCACAAAACAGTCCCCAGGATGACGTCAAATCAGCTAACACCTCCAGATTAGTACTGTTGCACTATTCCCCCTCAAATAATGTCAGATTTGTGAACTACTCACAGCTAAGATATCATCTGAATCAGACAGAGCTATCAGCAGGACCGAGCGCAGGCTATCCCAATGCTCACAGGCTAGGATGTCTGATGGCGGCAGCTTGCATAAACCATGCAGAGTCTCACGTCTCATCTGCATAAAACACAAGAATCATGCAATCATATGGAGCAATCAATCACTCGGTACAATCACTTGGAGTAATGAATGATATCATTAGTTTGCAAACCCAGGTTTTCAGCTATTTTTAAGCGTGATGTTTATGTTTTTTTAGTTGCTTTTTTGTCATTTGTGATTTATACTTACTTCCAGAGGTTTGTCGGGGGCCAAGTTGTCAGCGATAGTGGCAAAATGTTCCTGATTCATAAAGGTGTAGGATCCCTAAAGAAAAGTGATGAAAACAAATCTATGATTTTATTCTAAAATGTTACATTTGTGGGACAGAATACAAAGACTCAGTATCTGTCCATTCTCTGTTATTGAATAATTGAACATCAAATCATTACAATCCCAAAGAGAAAGCTGAGGTTTGGATGAACCCCCCCCCCCTCCCCCCCCCCCCCCCCCATGAAGTCCAAGCTGCCATCTGGAGCCCTGGCTCCCCTGACCTGATTGAATGAGGAATCCAATGAGGAGCTGTCATCACTGAAGCAGAAGCTGTTCCTCTTCGGGCTAGGCATCCCTCCTCCTTGGCCATACATGCCGGGGATGTTGCCAAACATGCTGTTCTGGACGGGTCGGTATTCCTCATCAAATAGACGGATCAGTCTATCCACGGCATCCTTGGTGCAATGTTTCAGGGAGTTCATCAGATCCAGAGAGCTAAAATGAAGTAATTTGGTGGGTGCATAAGATGTTACCAGGGGACACCAATTCGCTAACGGGAAAGTGACACTATCTTGGCATTTCCAAAAAAAACACAGATATTTAATGTCAAAACAAAACAAAGGCACTGTCCTTTTAGAAGATACACTGAAGTATATCAAGGCTAAAGTAAAGCAGCCAACACAAGGGTTGAAAATAATCTAAAGTACATGAAACGGCTATTAAAATAGAAACTGTTCTTGTGATGTGTCATATGACACAGACTTTCACCCGAGTACTTGTCGGTACTTGATTTCATATCCCAAGAAAAATGAAAATGTGAACTCCCTAGCCACCACATTTTAGAAAAATTATCACCACAGACTAGTTGTAATTGAAGAGCATTTGATTCTGCTGTGTGATTTTCTCAGCTGCTATGTAATGCATTTGGTTTTTAGACCTGAAATTCTGCTTACAGCAAACACCTTCTTGTCAAACATAAAAACGCCAATAGGCGACCCAACTATAGGGGAGTTCCTGTTACCCAGTACGGCAGTTCACAAAGCCTGTTAACGCACACCCCTACAATGAATATAAAGAAGAACTAACGACTGATTGACTTACGCCTGGTCATTGATGACATGGTCTGTGATCATTCTAACCATAACTTCTTCGCCTCCCTTACTCTGCACATCCAGAGATCGGCGTTCAATCTCCTCCTCAATCAACGGTCCCAGTACCTCCTCTATCCGACCACGAATGTACTTCACAAGCTCATACCTGTGCAAAAAAAAATATAAAAAGAGAAATTAACCTGTGAGGGGACGCAAACTAAAAAATTAATCAAAAGAAAATAAGGGAGGAAACATTTTCACTCACCTCCCTTGTCCTAACCGTGTCTCAACAAAGGGATCTAATTTCTTTAAACCTTTTATTGGATGCATGTTGTAAAGGCACCATTGGATCAACATGTCTGCATGCACAAAACATGTATGCATCATAACATTACAAGGGCGGATCCAACTAGGTTACTGCCGGGGGCGGAGGGTGTGCCAGGAGGGGAAGTGGTGGAAGGGCTCTCTCAAGTGAAAAATGGCCTTATTTTGGTCACTGCCAGAGGACCATTAGGCGCCCCTTCCGCATCCCTAGATCCGCCACTGGTATAGGTAAATGGTGGTAACCTACCCACAATGCTTTGCAATGCTGGTACTTCCACCACAAATTTGGAGAAAGACATTAGCAATTGCCAGCACCCTTGGTAACAAGTGAGATTAAATTTTAGAAAAAGGTAAAATCCCTGTCAATTGTCACCTCCCCCCATTAACTTTATGTGGGTGCAGACTCATAGCATTTTTTAACCTGTGAAAGTTGTCGTCAGTTTCCTCCAAGTGTGTGACCATTTCCAGTGCCGTAGTCTGTGATCCTGCAGCTCTCAGTGTAAGCTTGATGCTGCTGATCAACTGTCGTATGCTGGGCAGAAGATCTTCATCACTCCCTAGCGGGTCCGCCATGTTCACTAACGCTGCAACTGAAGATTTTGAACAACAAAATAAGCTAATGAGGTCCATACGTAATATGCAGGAAGCATCAAGTCCAAACATATGGCTCTCTTATTCTTAAGACTGTGTACTGAATGTTCCAAAATTTGAGAATGTTAAGACACGCGATACACGGGGGAAACAAACTCATGAATTAAACAACTTGTGCTGCCATGCCAACACTACTCACTAGTAATATCAGGCAAATTTCACAAGTTAAAAAAGTGAAGATTATGGACATGCATACTTGTGCACAGTCAAATTGAAAAGTAGGTTGGAAATTTGCCAATATTCTTGGCTGAGTTGCTATTGGCATGATTTTGTTTAATTGTTTACATTTAGCCTATACAAAGTCAACGCCACGTTCACGGGTCTAGTTTAAATCATGACTAAGTATGGAGAGTCCAATGCATTTTCAAAGTATTCCTTGCTCTATGAACAATTAGAAATATTTCTGTCCCAGGTTTGTCTTTTCAACATTTTTGCAATGATCAAGAATAGGCATATTTTAACAGAAATGGGTCAACTCATACCGAGTTAACTCGTACCCAGGTCAACTTGTAAGTTGTAAGTATCCCAAAATTTACACGCGAGTCAGGCCGTACCCGAGTCAAGTCGGCTGATTCAACTCGTACCCGCAGCTCCCAATATTTGCCTATTTTCAAAAAAAAAAAATGTGAAACGAAAGATATGGCACAGGATTTTGCCAGGCCTGCGTGAACACTCGCCGGGGGCATGGGGGGAGAACGAGTTGATTCGGACGAGTTGACCCATGGAGGAATTCCTCCATGGTTGACCCAATTAAACTGCCACAATCATTGTAACTGAACGACATGTTTTTCATCTTTGGATCTCTACCATCAGCCAATTAACTTGAATCTTACCAGTTTAAACCTAGATCGCTCGAGCAGGAGCTAGAAATCTATGAGACTTGATCATAATTCATATGCAGAACAGAAACCAATCTCAATACTCATCAGTCATGTTGTCAGTGTGCAGTGAGAAATCAGTTGTCAACACGACGATAACGCTATGTCAAGTACGTTCCAACGTCCCCAGTTTCTTATTAAGCTTGAACTACTACACGCTCTTTTGAGATCGAGGGTGTATAATTCACACCAAAAAGCTCCGAAGAAATTATTTGTGGTTCAGTCTGCGAGACGAATGAGGGCGCTTCTCCTAGCCAATGCTGATATGAGTTCAGATCAAACACGTTGAGCGACTACGAGTACGCAACGCACAAAGTGCAATGACACAGCACTGAACTTTTATTCACACCAATTTTATTTGACGGTATATCCGCAGTTCTCAGTCTGTGTTGTGGCTTTGCCGAGTTTGTTTTATTGGCGGAATATTCAATTGCCACGAAACTCTCGTAAATGGGATATTTACTTCCAACTCCTACGCGGGCAATCGTCAAAATAGCCCGATGGAGAGAGAATGAATTAAATTGCGGTTTTATTTCATAGTTGAATACCCAAATTTGTCTCCATGACGTATCGGGTTTTGTTGGGGTTTTTTGGTATGCGAGTCGTTACTTTAGCATGTTTTGATGATCTGGTTTCCGGCAATTGACTTCCCACATTTTTTTTGTTTAATTTATAATTTCCATAAATCCCAATGTGTGAAAGCAATAAACCGAGGTACACCGAACTTTTTAAATTGATTTTGACGTACGCGTCTTTTCAAACAAAAAGCTGAACAAAGAAATTGACATCAGCGGGATCTGAATCAGCGAACATGACATCATATACCGGATATTTGCGGTAAGTTTCCCACTGTAGTTTTACAATGCGTATTAAAATATTAAATAAAACTAAAAACTGTTGCTGAAGTTTAACATATTGTTTCCAGAATTTAAATGTCAGTATTAAGAGATGGGTAAGTTCTACACTATTTAAAAGAGAAATAAAAAAAAAGGAAACTTGAAAACCTCATGACATAAGTTAACATGCTTTGGAGAGAAGTTTAATTTAATTTTTCTTTATCTGTTGTGAACACGGTTCTGGCGGGTGAAACATTTGTGAATTACATTTTATCATTTTTTTTATCAGTAAAAAGGCTTAGAAAAGTTAGAGGGTAGCTTACTGGTGGTTCCAACCTAAAACACATGACACTCTGATGTAATTACAAATGTATATAATCAGTCTTGATAAATCAAATAATAGGTGATAGACGAACCACGAAGGAAAACACAACTAGGGAGTCGATCTGACGTTTAATAGCGTGGCCTATATATCATGCGTGGTATAATAAACGCCGGCCAGCCTTTTATCATTTCGACGACATGAATCTATTGTATCCAACAAGATAATTACAGAGATCGCAAACATCGCAAACTTTCTTTGATATCCTTAAATCAAGATAACTATCCACGGTACAGAAGAAAAATGCAAACAACATTCAAGCTTAAGCCTCTGGCGTAATTACATTAAAATGTATAATAAGATATCTTGGCGGCTTGTGAGTTGGTGCACGGTAGGGGTATGGGTGAGGATAATGGGCAGCAAGGGTGGCCCGTGTGTTGGAGTTTGTTTGTTTGTTTTTGCTGACGCTAGGTTCCACGTTTCTTTCGAGGGGGCAAGCACCTGCGCATGGCCCGATGGCAACACCAACAAACTTGTTAATTTAATTAGTGATTCCTATCTCCCAGTCTGACAACGGCCACACAGCAGGGATGCTTGAGTGTCATAGACCGTGTGCATAGTGTGTGAAGCGTGAACGCGCCGATGAACACGCCGACCACCGCGCGAAATTAAGTGCAATGACGGTGTTGAGCGCTCTCCGCCATGGATCTTGGCATACTAAATGGTAGTAAACCCGTACGGCTGCAGACCAGTAAAAGTAGGCCAAAAGTGATATCATAACATAAACGCTGACCGAATCGTCCTGTCAGTTTCGCATATAATACAGAATTCTGTGACCCATGGACCTAGGTTTGTAAGGAACCCAACAGCGAACAGGACTAAACTCTTGTTGCTGAGAAATTTGGATGAAATCGGACGTAAATTTGTTTTTGTCGCATCTATCATGAAACAAATCATCGATGTTTTGCGAGGAATTTAATAATAATAGGAAGCCACATGTTAAGAAAACATTTTAACCTAAGTTTATTCTTACCATCTTAATGGAAGTTGACGCAGTGGGTTTAAAAAAAAACACGATTCCTTTAATCTATTCTTGGGTTTGCTTTTTTGTCTATAACATTGTTCCTCCGTGCGTAACTTCAACTATATGAGAAAAGTTTTCGTTAGGATAGAAACCTAAGCTTTTCCCACGGACGTCCAGTCCGGGATTCTGTCTTGGAATATCACTTTTACACCATCTTGATCCCTTCACAATAATCGTTGGGAAAATTGTTGAAGAGGGGTCGACGAGAGAGACTAGAAAACAAAACAAAGCAAACAAAAGCGCAGTTTTGCTGAGTTTAATTCACGATTTAAAGTAAAATCACACCACACTACCATAATTCATTATTTTAAACTGAAAACTTAAACCTAGGAAGTTGTATTATGTAAAGGCATACGTGTAGCTGTAGGATCATTTGCTTTTCATGAATTTTGTTCGTTTCTAATAATAACACCACACAAAATTTAGAAGAATGTTCAAAACCTAACATGTTGAAGTTTCAGCTCAGTGGATATTACTCTTTTTGAGAAAACGGTAAATAACTATGCACGACCTATTGATCACAAAACACGATTTCGTCGATAACACTCTTTATTTCCAAAAATCAGTCAATTGACTGATCGTTGGAAATCGCCTACATTATTTGATATCTTCTAAATGACAGCAATCCAGACGGAATAATTTAACGGAGTGTTTAGTACCAGTTGGCCTACGATCTTAATCCACTAAGCTTTTGATAATTGGTAGGTATTTTTTTTGGGGGGGGGGGTAAATGCAAATGATCACATATGCCATTAAACTGTACACTATGTAGGAAATTGGTATTCCAGAATTGAACAAATTCACGGAGACAGTGAAGAGGAACCAAGGTCCTTTTCTTTGCCACGACAGTTTTCACGACCGCTTGTTGGTTTTCTAGAGCTGTATTGTGATACTGTTTTCGTGACTGACGAGTCATAAAAGCAATCTTAAACCTTGAGAGTAACCTTCACTAAATGGTTCTCACAGAGTTGGGGGAAAATGTATAATAATCATAAAAACTTAGGTCATCTTGGGTCACAGGACAATCAAAACCCGCTTCAGTGACTTTCAGTTATCTAAAGCTCACCATAAAATGCAAGTTTTTATGAACATGGCTGCGGTTGTGTAATTCAGAGGACCACATCTTTACAGTTCGGTTTCGGATCCCGATTGAAGTCGGCCGACACAAGAATTGAAAGGTCTGAATGGGCAAATATGACAGAATAGCGGGTAAATAAAAGGCGGTGATTATGGGAGTTCATGGGTAACAGACACCATGGTGTTGATGGAGAATACTACGGGAGGGCTGATTGTGTTGACACGCACACACAGCTCACCGGGCGAGAATCGATGTACGGTGTGTTATCTGGGCTGTGAGGCAAAGTGGAGCTATCGTGCATGTCGTGAGTGATTGTTAGGTGAACCAGGATTTCAAGAGGCGCAACTTCACCGAGTCGTGCGGATGAGTTCATCCTGCAAGGCCTTCGAATATTCTTCGACAGCAAAACATGTCTAAATTCACCTTTGACAATAATATGTGATCACTTTTAAATGAGGTAAACCCCTCCTGGCAAACACCTCTCTATTTCTTGAAAAGAGTAAATAATATGCCGGATTTTATGGATGTGTTACAAAGAGAAAGGTCTGAATCAGTGCCGTCATTTCAAAGTGGTAATATCCCCAATTCATTAATGTTAAAAAAAATAGCAAGGCCCCTGTTTCCCGCTTTCGAATAAAATTATCCACCCATTGTTCCCTACTTGATCCAGTTTAAAAACCGACATGCTCCCCTCGAATCATGGCGCGGTGTTACAAGACACTGACCTCCCCCCCCCCCCCCCCCCCCTCCCCGGCCATGTTGACTACTTCAGTAGAAGCTGATAATGATAATGCAGACAGGTATATAGACGGGCAAACATTTTGGTCATGTTTGCCCGTCTACCTGTCTGACTTATCCCCTCAGTCTCCCCTGCCCCGGCCACCTCTGCCATTCCGAGTCACCCAGACAGACCGGTGCATCCGTTCCGTTCCCTCTGTCGTCGCCAAAACCTCCATAATCGCCCTCAACGACCCCAGTTCAAACATGAGGGAAAGATCATCTGTTGAACGACCTGCTACAAATCTCTTTTCTTATCTCTCAATTCAATAATGTTTGAAGTTGTACACACATCCTTTGTCTCAAAACAGATTGTTTCAGATTGATGGCCAGATTTTCCTTGAGACATTTGAATTTAAGTTTGCAAAATGAACCAACAGAAAAGGTTGAGAGAAAAAAGACAAAGTTGACAACTTAGGAGTGGTTTTGCAGAACAACAATGAGGAGGATGGGAATACCTTACCCCGTTGAGGAAAAACAACGAAATATTTGTAACAAAAAAAATCTTAAGTATTTCCTAAAAATTAGTAACTTCAAGAAAATAAAACTAAATAAAGGTTCACACCCAAATACCCAAATGTGCCTCTTTGTTCCTCAGCAGCACGTGTGGGAATGAGGCTCCCAGAAGACGAAAGGGCGTTAACGGCGTTAACCCAGTGAGGCTTTCAAGTTTTACTTTAAACAAAAAAGACCCAAACTAAGTGTAGGTTGGGCTGGGGAGGGGTCCGGATGCAGATTCGGAAACAACTTGAATCACACGGCTGAATGCCGTTTACTTCGTCAATGTTATTTCTCGCCATGCTTAATGTTGGAAGAGCTTCCCACCTATTCGTAGAAACACATCACTCATGTTCACAAAACAATTTTGTCGTTGCTGCGAACCTTTCCGACGCTGTACCAGATTACCGGGTGAAAAGGACGGGAGTACTAGTTGTTTAGCCCCCCCCCCAAAAAAAAAAAAAACCCAAAAGCCTCCCCCTAAAATAAAGAACGCGAGAAAAATTGACAGTTACTGGACTCTCCACGGAAATTAAGTCTAGCAGCGTGCTGACCGCATCGTGACAGACCGGGGACCGGGAGCTTGGCAGCCCGATTCGGTGTGAAGTGGACGGATGTTGCGGGTGCTATCCGATTTGTGGGTGCTAAACGGATTGGTGGGTCCGCCCCTCGCAAACTCATCCTGTTGGTGCCTTGAGGAGGGCCAAAAGTCCTACTTGAAGAATGACTCCTGTGAATAACAGCTGCGGATATAGGAACAACCGTACCTTTGGACCAAGGTACTCGTTTCAAAACGCCAAGTGCAAAATTAATCCTCGGACCGAACGTATTGGATGTTATTCATTCACTATTTTTACAATTCAAGAGTTGATACAGTGCAATTTTAATAGACTCGTGTTCTGTATAGTTTTAGAACTGATTTGAAATCACACGCTTCAGAAAATACACACCAATTGTTATATAGTTTGGACTAGATTCCAATCCTCAGTGCCAATATGGCGATTTCAGTGTACACAACTGACAATAAAGGTCTTGACACTAAGTTGTCTGGGTTAAATGATTTGAAAGAGTGTGTGAAACTTGAAAGAAATATTGTATTTGACATGAAAATTATTCGCTTCAACATTAAAGTTGATCATGCAATCATTTAATGCGTCTTTTTTTTCTCGATGACACTATTCATGCCTGCTATCGGCGAAAAGTCGAAAAATGCTCTGTTATTGGACATTTTTCTGAGATTGCTTACAAGAACACAGAACTTGTTGATCGCATTTTTCTTGCCTTCGAAAAAAGTATTGATTAATTTGGACAATGCATCAAAAGTAAAAACAAAATGATAACGGCGATTCTTCAACTAATCATTAAAATTACTGCGTAGACTCTTGTTACTTCCCTGCCAACTTTCTGGACGTCACCTTTATACTCATAATCCTATTTTTTCTCAAGCAATTCTTTAAAAGTTGCAAACATTTGTATTTAGCGACTCTCCATCCCCTGCTGGCCCTTCCGCCATCTTTGATCGGAACCATTATAGCCAGTAATGATGAATGAGTCATCCAAATAAAAAAAGCGCGTTTTTCTCTTTCAAACTAATCACGATTAAAAGACCCTCAATGAGTGGCCCAACTAGTGAACTTCACCGACCCGACTATTGGACGAGTCGGTCAGGTAGTTTGATCCGCCCGCCCACGGACAATAGACCAGAGCACCGACACAGAGCGATAAAACGGGTTGCCGCGTGGGCAAAGTGCCGTCCCCCTTGTGAACGGCCCGCCCTCTCATCTCGTTTGGCTTTTATTAGTTTGTAATGGGTCGGTAAGTTTGGGCTACCGTCGTGAATGGCGAGCGTCCACCACTCCCGACTGTTCCTGTAACCTTTCCGTTGACATAAAGCTAATCCCAGTTAATCCCCTGTCACTTACCGGCACTGATGTTTCGACTTCTACCGTCCTGAGACCTCTGCTACCACCATTGCTTTCTCAGACTCAGTCGAGACAAGTCACTCTACAACATCCTCTCCAAAGTTTGCTCACTCTTTTTTGATTCTCATCGCCAAGATGGTTGCGACCAAGAAGACCGAGGAATGCCGATCCACCGAGGATCGAGCCGAGATCAAGGCCGTGCTCAGCGCCGTTCGTCCCCGTAAGTCTACCAAGGGCAAACAGCGACCCACGTACCGTCGTCGCGTCAAGCCTCCGCATTCTTACGCTGAGTTGATCACTATGGCCATCAAGGTGAGTTGTCTATGCTCAATGCTCAATTATACAGTAATGTTCATCATCATTTCTGTGAAATGCTGAAAGTTTTGTGCTTTCTTTCACCTGCTGTAAGTTGGAGGAAGACATAGACCCCTCCATTTTTATTAACGTGCATGCCCATTATAAGGCTACCCCAAATCAAAGACAGCCACTCATTTTGAATAATATTGTGTTTTAGCAAGTTTAGGATTTTCAGGAGACCATTGGTCAGTGAATTTTGCTTCAGATTAACGACTTGAATCTTACAAATTCCCATATTACCGCAAACGGAGTTTCTGACAGAGTTTCGTCCTGTGTGTAAGCTTGTTAGGAAATTCGCTTGTTAGTTCTATCTACCCTAAATTATTGCGTTTTTCTTCTTCTGATATATAATCGTGAATGGAAGAAAGTTATTTCCTTAAATATATAGGCCAAGAATGGTAACAGGTCATCTCGTACCTTGGGAAACTCGTACCTTGGGAAACTCGTACCTTGGACAACTCGTACCTTCAACTCGACGTCATTATACCGAGTCGTACCTTGGACAACTCGTACCTTCGGCAAGTCGTACCTTCAGTTAAGACGACTCGTACCATCACGCGTAAGTCAAGTCGTACCGTCAGTCAGGATAATGATCCAAGGCTGAATAAAGTGGACCGTAACTCATTGAAAGTGGACTGCTTATTAAAATAAAGGCGAATCTCTTTTTGGTACGGTATGGGCTCTCTTTCCCCCAAAAAGAGGAATTTATTTAGCGCGAAGCCGGCCGCGACCGCGGCAGGTTACACGCACTGTGTGCGCGGCATGCACAGGCCCACGCGGTACGTCACTGTGCACACTAAATCACGCACGTACTCTACTTTTTATTCTGATGGTACGAGTCGTCTTAATTGAAGGTACGAGTCGTCCAAGGTACGAGTTGTCCAAAGTACGAGTTGTCCAAGGTACGAGTTGCCCAAGGTACGAGATGACTCGAAAGCCCAAGAATGATACGGCCCTTGACATCCACAGGGAAATTATATTTCCGTGTCGAGGAATTCTGTTTTAGGTACATCAGTACACAATGGTCCGAAGAAGAGATCCAGTTTTCGCACTGTTTGTTGTATTATTTTAAGTTTTAATCTGAATCTAAAATAACCTTTTCTATTTCTTTCATGTTGACAGTCGTCACCGTCTTGCATGATGACGCTCAGAGAGATTCTGGACCACATGTCTGCTTCCTACGAATGCTTCAGAGGTTCCTACATCGGCTGGAAGAACAGCGTGCGTCACAACCTGTCAGCCAACGACTTCTTCGTCAAGGTTCTGCGGAACAACCAGCGGCCGTACGGCAAGGATAACTTCTGGACCCTGTCCCCCTCCTGCCCTCACTGCCTCGGGGAGTCCCCGGACCGTGAGCCATCCGCCGGGTCATCGCCGCTCCATCAGCCGTTCCAGCCCCGGGTCAATTCCTCCTCATCGCCGATCAACGCTGGAACGTCCCATCACTCCGAGGAGGCCGCCGCACCGTACCTCTCTGCCGTCAACCAGCCAGCGGCTCCCGTCACGCGATGTCCGAGTCCCACCCCGGGATGCACGCCAGAAACCGGTACAGCTCCTGCCTCAGTTAACCACCAGGCCTGTGACGAGTGGAGCCAGCTGGAGGATCTGTTTGTTCCCGATGCTGACATCGACTTAGCGCTGTACGATGAAGACTTCGAGTTTGCCATCCCGCACCAGGTAAGAAAAGTTTTGGTTTTTTTGTTGTTAAATCGGACACTCTAAAACAAAAAATGAAGAAGGTTGATTTCATTGGACAGGTACCAAAAACGGTCGAGTTACTAATCACTTACAACGTATGCTGTCCCGATCGGGAAGCTAATATGTACAGGAAGAAATACAGCTAAATGCGATCAATTTATGCATTGGTCTCGTAATGAAGTTTGAGCATAACGACTTTCGCGTGTTTTTTTTTTTTAAATGAAGAAAACAAATCTGATTGGTTACAATACTGATTCTACAGCAAAGTTGTACCTGTGCTAATATTCAATTGTTTTCTTGTCATTTTTAAAATCTTGTTTTCCTTTTTTTCATCAGCCTTCAGCGCCAGCTCAAGTCTGCCTCGGCTCTGCTGGTCAGGATCGTTCTTCTCTCGCCCACATCAAGACCGAGTACCACCCAAGCTACCCCGAGTACCTCCCGGCAGACTACGCACCCTACCAACCCCGCCACAGTCTCTTCCCTCACGGTATCACCGAGCGACAGATGAGGTTTCTGCCTCACATCTCCTCATCAGTCACCGCCAGACTACGCATCAAGTCCGAGTACACCAGCACCACTACCATCGAGTCCTCCAACTTTGTCTGCGGAGATCCCGGCTCCTATCCGCCATCACCAGAGCCGTTTCTCCACGAGGCCGGCTACCCCGCCGAGCGACGACCGGACCAGTACCGCCTGGGCTCCATCGTTGCCTCGGCAATCCGTGGTAGCTTGAGTCTGGACTTGGATGAGTCTGCTCTGCAAGCCATCGAACGATCGGTCAGACTGCTGGATCGACCTAGGCCCGATGATCTCATCTGCGCTTGATAGGACTTTGTGAACTGATACAACTCCTTCCACCTTAATTCTGACTTTGACAGTGATCTGCAAGAATTAAAAATACAAACAATGTACAAATATTCAGGATAGTCTAAAGTTACCTAAGGTTGTGTTTTAATCTTAAAATGTATGGATGCAACTAGCCTATAGGGTATCGGTAGTAAGTTTCGAAATTCGGTTGTCATTAGCTTTCATTACGGCACCGGCAGTGAAATTAAACTTCATTCACACAGACAGACAAAAGATAATAGCCAAATAGGCACCTGGCCTGTTATCTGGTAAAAAAAACACCAATTATTATAATTATCAAAATCATATGGTAAATTTCCAGTTGCGTTTTGAGTTGTTTTTAATTGACCAAATGATTACTGTTGAATGATAAGATAAGTCGGTTTCAAGCTTGATTTGGTGTTTTTATATTTTTAAGGCATTTTGTACATCAATGAAAAATTAACATAATAATCAAAATCACCTGCTAAATTTCCAGTTGTGTTTTTGTGCTCTTGTTTTTAATTGACCGGATGATTACTGTTCAGCGAAAAGAAAAGTCGATGTCGAGCTTATTTTGCGTTATATTTTATCGCTTTTTTAAACTAATAAAATAATGAAAACATATGGTCTTTTGGCTTGAATTTTCTTCCTCCATTAGATTTATTTTATGCGTCCTCTAGAAGGTTTGAAATAAAACAATGCATGTTGATCATGTCTAAAGAAATTTCTGTGTTATGTTGAAAATAAATGAAATATTCCTGATGATTTAGAAAAAGTTTGGTACTACTCATGAAGAGAAAATTGTTGAGGGTAATTTCCAGATTTTTAAGTAATTTGAATGGGAGGACAAAGGGAAATTGATGAACAAGTATAACATAATTCCTTAATTCCAGTGCTTCTTAGTATAACAGGGAGAAAACACATGAATACTTAACAAATTCCCTTATTTTGAGGGGGGGGGGGCATAGTGGCATCCCCCACTTTGAAGAGTTTTTAAAGAATGATGCGGTTTTGCCGCCTGGGTCGACGGTGACACAAGCGCAATTTGTTCGATAAATGTCCAAGATCGTCCGATTGGAACAGCGCACCCAGTAGTCAGACGCATGTTTAGGCTAGCACACCCATCAGCCGAAGCCCAGAAACCACAAAATCTTCTGGAGCCGAGGTTTTAATAGAAAATCCAATTCGGTCCGCGATGACAGCGCCACCAAGCGATGCCAACGTAATCTACGATGTTCGGATCCTTTTTAACGGAAGCGTAAACTGCCACGGTGACCGTTTAAGCCGATTTTCGGCTAACTTTGACAGAATGTTTTTTGCTACAAAACGAGTTTGACAAAAATTTAAATGAAATGGATTTTTTGGGCAGATTTCTGGAATTCTGCAAAAAAAACCCAGGTTATTTGACAGCAACAACAAAGCAAATATGAAAAAAACTATACATTTGTTTAAATCTGATAGATTTTCGAAGTGCATTTAGCAGAATTTGGCCATGACCAAGCTTACGGTCACCCGGCCCCTGGCCCCCTGGCCCCCTGGCCCAAGTCTGTACTTCAGAGGTCAATCCTCCGGCCATGGTCCAGTTGAGTGACAGCCCAGCAGTAGCATAGCACTGTGACTGAGAAAAGTGACATGAATAGCCTAAAATTATGATGGCAAAACGGGCAATAGAAGAGGAATTCGACCGACTGTAAGTTAATTGGAAGTAGCCTAGGTCGGTCTCCTAAAATGTTAAGCTCCACTGACTGAGTCCCAGTCAGTCCCAGTCCCACTCCCACGTCCCAGTGCAAAACTTACAAAAAAATTGAAGAACTCTCCTTGATTTTGAAAAGGGGTCACTTTGCATAAAATATCAGCCCATCACAGCATCAGAGTTAGGCCTAGATGACATTGCATTGGTGATATTGAATTTTTGAAGTGAAGGACCTGTTCCCCTTACATCATCTACTTTACAATCTAGCTAAATAAAACAACAGTTAAAAAAATGTATTCATGAGTATAATCTGCCGAATGAACCAAAGTACTAATTAACTACCTGTTTGAATCTGTCTTACAGTTATTCAGATTTCATTGAGAACCCGGAGGCTCTCCCAAGACTGAAGAAACGAGCCAAGAGATGCAGACAGTTGACAGAGAGCCCTCAGCACCAAGGATCCAGCTCATCTACCATCAGTGATGTAACTTGCTTGCTCTCGTCAACAGTAAAGACTGAACTTGCCTGCCCAATCACCACCAAGTGTTCATCTTCAGCAACAGAGGGAAATGCGTCAGTCTGGGTGTCTTCAGAACTAGGCATCGGTCAACAGCAAGACACAAAATGTGAGTGAAATGATTAATAAGAGCCTTTTACACAAATCTCTGTGTTGGAACTGGGGACATTCCTGGAACCCCTTTTTCACACGAGCATGCATCCAACTCGCTGCAAGTTCGTTCTACACAGATCCAGCGCTGTACTCGGGTAAAAAGAAAGTGAGCAAAGGGGGATCCAGGCCCCAAGATACATTTCTCTAAAACTCAAATGTTTAATTTGACCTATTTTCCACTTAAATCTTTACAGATTTACAGCCCAAAAAGCCCAGCACTCATTCCACCATGCCTGTTAGCAGTAGTTCTCCAGCAAATAAAACTGATGATCAAGAGGAATCGTACGATAGAGTCCAACCTACTCATCCAAGTCAACCCAGCATTGATGAGGTCACTGATGATGTCATCAACTCTAGTCATGGCAAGGAGGATGCTGATATGACAGCAAAGATTCAGTTGGGAGAGCATGAAAGTCAAGCAGCCAGTGACATCTTCATGCTCCACAAACCAAGAATAAACAGGTTAAAGTCATCCCAGTTTCACCTTTTTTCATTTTTTGCACCAGCAACTTCTGAAATTTTCAAACATCAGGCTTCATACAGTAAACTGATGGCACAGTCTTTATGAAGCCCCGTGATAGTAGCTGCTGGAGTCCACATTCCTGCAAGTACAAACATTCTACCAGGCCAACATATCAGCATTTCACCATTTTGGTGTTAGATGCGCATTTCTGGTGGTGTAACTACCTTATGAAATGACCAAAATCTATGTCTGAGCTGCATACGTCCTCCGTGCTGTCATCATTTCTAACGGTCCCTTGTAGTAGATGCCAAACACATGTGTATTTAAAGTTCTCTAAAGTTGCCTCTAAAACAATGATTTTACAGAGGTTTTTTTTTCTTTCTGAACGAAAATCAAGACAAGGCTTGTCATCTTTTTTTTTGACATAAATTATAAAGCTGATCAGTAAAACCCCATAGTCCAGTGGTAAGGGTCTCCCACTCGTGTCAGTGTGTAGATTCAGAGCAGTCAGAGATCATGGTGCTTGTGTTCTTGGGCAAGACACTTTACTGTGATTGCTCTCAACTAAGTAGTATAAATGGGTACTTGCTGGAGGAGAGAATGTATTACGCTTATCTTGAACTGCTGCATAATATCTCAGCCTGAGGAATAGGGCCATCAATCCTGAGTCACTTTGAGATATCTTTAGGACTTGCTATATGAGTACCAAATTATTACTTTTATCATTTCAGAGTCCAAAGTCAGCAGAAATCCCTCAACCTGGATGCATTGTGGGCCTTATACGCTAAGACGTGGTTACTTCCTAAGCGTCCTGCAGTAAATCAGATTCGCCCTGTGTTCTTACAAAGGTAAGATGAGTCCAAGTGAATTGAGACCATATCCCAAAATTTAGACATATTACGATTCGTCAACATTAATTTTCAGCAAATACATGTATTTCAATTGAACTAGAATAATTGTCATCTGACGTTGTAAATGTCAGTTGTTGGATTGAGTCCATGTTATCCAAGTCTGAGTCAAAACCAAGACTGGCACTGTCCAGGTCAGGTTCAAGACCCCCGCCTCTATCATACATACTTGAGTGCTGCAACACTAATACATAGGTTTGTCACCTTATATGTAAGTAACAAAATGTTTTGAGTTGTTGTAACCCAATGGTGACAGAGGCCTGACCAAATCCCGAAACCTTTATTTAATAGTCTTTGTACATGTATTAAGTATTCAGTTTTCCAAAAGTGTATCTCTGTATCTGTCGCAGGAACTTGCGACGGGGCTGCATATTCTTCAAGAGGTATCTCATCCACCAGAAAGCGCTGAAGGATCTATCCAAGCCAAAGCTGTCAAGTCATCAACAAGAGCCACAGGCAGCTGGGGAGCATGTGAGAAGCAACTCCAGCAAGAAAGAGGCTGCCGTCAAAGAGGCGAAGGCGAAGGATGCAAGCAGTGACTATCAAAACAGAACTAAACTCAAACTGGAAAGCGGAGAGTGCAGCAGAGCGCAAAAAAGAAAAGACGTCAAGCCAAAGCCAGTCCTTTGTGTCATTAAAAAGCCGCTTCAAACCAAGACGGATGCAAGCAAAGTAATGCCAAAGGGATATGGTCAGGATGTGGTCGCCAAGGTAACAACTCTCAAGCCTGGGAAGCTCGCCTCTAAAACGAAAACAGTACTTCAGAGTGACAGTGGGAGTGGTCAGGTTGCCTTCGCCAAGGCAAAACCTGTCAAATCTGAGAAACATGCTGTGAAAACAGGACCACAGAGAGACAGCAGGAAGGTCAAACCTGTGCAGACTCGTAAGCAATCCTTGAAGAAAGAAGAAGCTTCCTCAAGGAAGCCATTGTCGACTGAGTCCTCCAAGCAGGTGTGGACCAAGGAGGCTTCTGGAGGAAGACAGGTGGCTATTTGCCGACCGAACACTAAAGGGAAAGCTTCAAAAGTAGACGCAGCCAGCACCTCTGAAGTCAAGATGAAATTCATTGAGGAGGAAAATCCTGAATGTCAACTACCTTCAACAAAGCCTCCCCAAGAGAAACCCCAGGCATTCCCAGTTTCCTCGACATCAGCCAAGGACATGGTCAATGCAGCTGAGGATGTTGGTGTCAGTGGTGGGATCAAGCCGTTATTCTCTGGAGGGCACTGCGGAGGAATCTGGAAGTCCATTGTGGATGAATGCTGAATTCTTCATACGTGGCCTTTTAATGTAAATCAAATCCACTGCATAACATATTCATCTGTATGTTTATTCCAAACTCTGCAATGATGATGACCAACTTGTAAGAGATTTAGAGGATGAAGTTTCATATCTCTATTTTCTATTTATTTATTCACCTTTGGTTGCCAAACCTTCATCTCGATAGCAAGCTTTAACAGGATCCCATTATGGATAAAATAAACCCTTCTATAAGTTTCTGAAGACAAATACTCTGTACAGTTCTTTTTCTGACTTTGTGTTTTGCAGAAAGCAATCTGTACTCAAACTTATACCGACTCTCATAGTGTGGCATGGTGTCTCCCCGCCCCCCCCCCCCCCCCCCACATGTACCTCTCCTCTCCCCTATCCCTTTTAGTTTAATATTAAAAAAATGCTGAGAAGAAAATTCATGCCCCCAGCGGACTCCATAAACAGAGAAACTCGAATTGAGTTTTGCCTTTGATAAAGATCTTGCTTAGATCAAAACGTTTTCGGCTCTCCAACTTCTTTTTGATTCAGTTTGATTTAACCGGTTCGACCCAATCTAAGCTTCACCTTCCCTCAAGCTCTAGATTCTATAAAAAAAAAAAAAAAACCTATTTACGACTCTGAGCCAAAAGAAAACACTTAAGTTTTTTTTTGTGTAATGGCCTTACACCCCAAAAATATTTACATTTTTTTCTACGAAGTGTTAAATTCAGAGCACTGCGCTCTAGTACAGCTCGCCGGTGATTGGAATGATGCCAAGTGTCACTTGAAACGTCATGGAATACGCAAACGACCTTCATCACAACTGCACCTTTAAACACAACAGGCTGGTGTATAGATTTACTTGCGACTGCCCACTACTGCATTCGAACCACATACCAGAGATATTCGGCCCTCTATAAGTTTATATTCATGAAAGGAAAGTTAACCATGGAAAGTTACCTACTAATTAATGAGAGTGGCATGTGCATGCCTACAGTACCTAAAACAGCTAGACAAACACAGAATGGTTGTAGAGAATGAACACATTTGCAACTTACTTTGGCTTGACGGGATTCAAACCACGACCCAAAAATATTTACGCCAGTAGCACTGAATAAGTTATCCTCAAGGTCCGGGGAACTTACAACTCGTCAGTAACACAACTGATTTGCAGGACAGAATGATGTCCCCAAAAATATTGTCATTGGCAAGAATTTATTTCTGCAGCAATTTGAATTCTAGTTGCCTTTTCCTGTCAGGTTATATAGGACGATTTGGACATACAACTTACTAACTCACAGGAGCTAAGATCGGCGCTCAAGACGCTCAATGTACAACCTCAAAGCTGTATACGCCCCGACTATGACTTATGCACTGTAGACTCACATATTTTTAATCTAAGTGGTATATTATTATTTCAAAACGCATCATAATTGTGTTCTAAATTCAAACAAATTTAAATAATTAAACAAGCATTTTCCCTGATTTTTCTTTCAATATATTTCATATCACACGCTAAATAAATATATATTAATATATTTCTTAACGTCTTAATTTCTAAATAGATTTTTCTAAAATTTTCCACTTTTACCGAAACGAGGTATTCGATTTGGATTAATATTGAATTAAATATTTAATTTGAAGCGACGTTACTTCAAATCTAAAAATCTGGAAGCTTCAAACTTTGGCCAAAAAAAGAGAATGACAAATCAATATCTCTGTGCATAATTTTTTTTTCTAGCGTAGGAATGTCTTCTTTTTTTTGCACCACAATCTTAAGTTTTCCGCTTTACAAACTCGCACACAATATAAAACAATAAAATACTTTACAATTTCATTGCATACTTAGATTGCAAACACTTCAAAAAATAGTATTATTTAGGCCCTATTATGCCTAATAAATTCATCATTTCAATTGCCCTATGAAACGATTAGACAACAGATATAGCCAAGCTCTGGACTGCACCCCGTTTCGGACACGGCTTACTTTCAGTTTCACTTGGCTCACCTGTTATTTTCACATTATCATTCGCCTAGTATATATTAAATCGCCCTCTATCTAGCACTCATATTTAAAGTGAACATTATGGTAAATACTTGTAGATAAATTTGCACACTGCATAATTATACAAATGAAATTTCAATTCATACAAAAATAATATAATTACAAGAGATTGTAGCACCGTCAATACTTGACCAATTCTTTAAAACAAAAAAATTATCCTACCAATGCTGCCAGGCTAATATAGGCCCTAGATACCGGCCGTAAACACACGGGGAACTACGCCAACGTCAGTATGCGAGATTCATCAACCGTAATCACAACATGATTCTCATTTATCAACCTGTTTTCCATTTATTTAATTTGAGCATATGGGCACCGGTTTAAAATAATAAGCTGCTAAACATTCTAAACTCGGAATGGCTTTCGCCCGGAGAGCTATGTTATTACTTCATATTCCAAAGTCACCCAAATCTCTACAGTGAAGGTACTAAGCCTTTTTTGACAAACTGGAAAAAGGACTTGGACAGAATTTCCCCTTGTAAGCCAACACTAGCTCGCAGAAACTACGACCGTAATGTTAGCAAATGAATTCCATTCCAGGCCCTCTACTTGTCATGGAATGACGCCGTTATTACACGGCTGTTGAGCGGCATAGTCGGTCGGTAGTTGTCGCTCAGATGCTCGGGGTGACCACTTTCGGGTTGGCCGCTTTGCTTGTAGGACAGCAAATCTCGGAGTGACTTGATCTACAGAAGTGTGAAAGACAAATATGTCAGGATTTGAATCTTCATTGGGCAGTGATTTTGGTGAGAGCTACCGTCAAATGGGGTAACTTCGGTCATTTTTGAGACATATTTATCAGAGTCTGTTCGTTCTTAGTCCCTTTTTTTAGCAATATATTTTTGGTTAGATGTAAATGTTGTACGTTTGCAATGATGACCGCCAACATTTTGACAATCACTGTTTGGCAAACAATTATGACTTGTATTCGATTTCATTGCCCGAATTCGGTGCTTTAAGGCTTTACCTGTTGTGCAGATATCTCGACGGGTTCCCGATAAATGATGAACCGTACACTCTCGTAGCACGGCGGTGTCGTCAAGGATCCTTCGTATGTCCAGTAATCTTTCTTATTCTCTGGAAATAGAGAATAGAGACAAGCCTTTAGTAAAGTTGGACAGGCCCAATTAGGTCTAAGGGTGATTAAATTATAGGTATAGTCACATGACTCAATTTGTTCGGCCAGGGTGCATCAGTGAGCCGCATAATACTGCATCATACTACCTGTAATCAACTGGGTTCTGGTGCTTTTGGACTTTCGGATTTTAAACGTACCTGGAAGTAGCATGGACGGATCGAAACCATCTTCAATGCAGCATTTATCATCCTAATAAGAGAGAAGAAGATAAGTAGTCAGATAATTACGTGGAAAACAGACAAAGTCCAAAACAACTTGGAGAGCCAAATATAAGTGCTTTATATCCGGTCACAAATGCAAAGTTCATCCGTAATTTGTTATTGCAACGGGGGAGGGGAGTGGGGGTGGTGGAAGGGCAATTTTCAACTGAGCACGAACATTGCCATTACTATGGACCATTAGAAATGATGCGCGTATACGAGAATCCATTGCGGCAGGGTTAAAGCAGCTAAATCACCATTTTGTGTGGTTACCTCACCAGACCCATTGTGTGTTTCTCCAGCTATCGTCCCTGAAGTGACTAAAATGCGCCATCGATTCGTGTATACATGCATCCTTCGGGCATTTTCCCAATTTTCCAACTCCGGCTATATTCCCGAAGTAAAATTCTCTCTATGATAAAGTCAAATGAAATCGTATAACATTCTGCCAACATGATTTGATGTTCAATGGGCAATTCCAAAGTCAGGACCTTAAAATCACGCGTACTCATAATTCGCCTTTATAATCAACTTCTCTTGTTCGTGCATAGGAGACCGTGCTAGCGAAAAGCAAGAACGCCGACGACCGTGTTATCTCGATGAAGCTTACATTTTTATACGCCCCAGATCATTTCCCGGCGCTAAGTTATACATTCACAGACGTTTAGATTATGAACTCACCATAATAGCTTGTAGGAAAATCATTTTGACGATGATCGGTGAAATATGTAAATTGTGGCTTAGGGTACCATTTTATGTAATACAATTCTTGCCATTCTCGTCATTGTCTTGACAACGTAAGCTTTCGTTCCTAGCTTTTTGATGACACACGAGCATGCTGGTTAATATTAAGTTAAAGCAGTACGCAGGCCCCAGGATGATAATTGATGTGGTCATTAAAGAGCCGGCCAAAGTTGCCTTATTAGCGGCTGTTGAACACACACAAGCTGTTTGATATTATATGTCTACAGTCTGATGTCTATGGTTCAACAAATCCAATTTCCAGACTTAATCATCAATGTCTGAGTTTGCGCGGGACAGACCCCAGAGCGCGCAGTGACCGGATCCCATGGCAAGTGCAGTGCGCGGAAATCATCAGAAGGCCCAGAGATGGAGCAACTCGACAACGTGACGGGCTACGACGAGGCAGTCCCACCAGAGAAAGAATGGTCGGTGCAGAGAATCCTTTCGGTGACGCTCTTTACGCTGAGTTTTTTCCTGGTTGTGATCCTTAATCCACTCTGTTTGATCGTCATCCGAAGGGTTCCGAACATCCAACCGTCCACCAAGATCTTCATGGCGTCTCTGACCGTCTCCGACTTTGGTATGGGAGTGTTTGTGCTTCTCCCGTACACACTGTACGTGATTGTTGGGTACTGGGCCTTTGGTGCTTTCATGTGTACCCTTTTTCGAATCACCAAGTATTTCTTCTTTTGCCAGTGTTTGCTGTCGCTGTTACTGTTGACTATTGATCGCTACATCGCCATTGCCTGGTGTCTGCATTACCCCCGCCTGGTGACCGTACGTAGATCGACAATCGCGGTGGTTTGCTGTCTGTTTGCGGTAGGGTCTGTGTCCGTTTTTGGTAATGTCTTCAACGAGTCCCGGAAGTTCTCGTGCGGTCCGGGTAATGAGCGGCGCGCCCTGAGTTTCACTCTCATAGGTCTGGCTTTACTTGGGCTTGCCGTGACAGTCATTCTGTACGCACACATCTTGGTGATCGCTCGACGCCAGGCCCGCCGCATCGCCCAGCAAACCCGCCCAGCGGTCACAGGGCGCCTGCCCAACTCACCACAAACCAACACCAAGTCTTTCACTACTGTGATCATCATAACGGGCGTGGTGGTGGTGGGTTGGGTACCAACCATTGTGTGCCTCCTGATGGTGTACCATGGTATGACCTTACCCAACGACATCGATCATGTCGTCTACGCTCTGTTTTACACCTGCAATTGGGCCGATGCAATCATCTTTTATTTGAGAAACAAGGATTTCAAAGAGACTCTGCACAAAATGACCACTGCTGCCTTAAGAACCCTCAGAAAAACGTTTGGAAAGTCATGAGTGATGACGCGACAAGCTCAATATTTATTCCACCAGACACAGCGGAAGTGGTTTGTGAGACGGATCACACACGAGCTACTTCATGAAATTGATGAGAAACTACCTTCGATAAGCAAGTTAACACGGTACATTGATGAGTTAACTACCTACGACATCAATAACCAAAGTTGAGTCAAGACTGTCTTCTACTTATCCCAAGGGACTCCAGACACTGAAGGATGTCAAAGATACTCGGTTCTGATTTGCTCATGAAACTAATGCATGGAAACCGTGTTTCCCATCAGTCGCCAAATCCAAAAACTGATACCACGAAATGATCAAGATGATTGTTAATCTTGTGGGGAATAGTTCAGCCATTAATTGTATATTAGACACCTATCCACTTGCTTATTGTGACAAAAAATAGTGGTTTCTCGTCCACAGAATGCCGTTTGAAATTTATCTTCGATACGTGAACCGCGTATAATGCAAACAGACTCAATATCGTACATGTTCTCTGTTTTCCAAGACATTAATGATTCTTTCAGTAATCTTGTCTTTTCTTCCTTCTAAACATGTTATGCGAGAAACTCAGCGTTAGAACTTAAAGCCCGAAATGTCAAAGTAGTTGATAGTTTTCCCTGTGAGCTTTTCGCGATGAAGCTAATGACAAAAATGCAGATCTTGTGAATTGGAATATAATGCAGTTTTTATCGTTAAAAATGTATCTATAAACGTATAGTTCCAGGTCATTGGCCTACGTATTTAAAAAGAACTATTAACATAACAAACGTCCATCGTCTATTTTGTGTTTGGTGTTGCAAACGCTTCAGTACATGCAGTATTGCCTATTTTGTTGTTAACTGAATTAACAATAAATAATGCAGTTTTTATCGATCATCGGTTATTTTTGACACTTTAATACGCAGTGTTACATTTTGAGCGGGACGTTGGGGGAAATCATTGTGTGTATGCTATAGCGCTCACAGTATACCAGTTAGGCCTAATAAGAAGACGTTGAACGAAATGCAAAGTAAATTCTGGAGTAATCGAATTGCTAACCAATCTTGTACATAACGGACACTAATTTTTGGAGCGCTGTTTTACTAAACTTTGACTAAATGGGGCATCTCACTCTCAATAATGTCGCCAAGACACTAATGGGTTGCCATAGTGGGTTAATGACCGACACCTAAGAGACGCCGCGCTGTCGCCGTCTGTACGTGCAGGAACCGTAATTGATGTAACTTGACTGCTGACTGAGTCACGTATACTGAAATAATTATATCACCATTTGAAAATAAAACAAGTTCGAGCAAGTTGGGGCGCGAACTTCACGTATATATACTCAGTGACTAGTTCGACTAAATTCTCTTCAATATCTCTTCAATTCACCGATTGTATGGCTCTCAGAACTCCTCCATGAGGGTGTAACTTTTTATTCATGAGCTCGGCGGATGAATTTAGGCCTATATACCGGTGTGCACCCTTAGGACGCAGTTCGTGTTATGGATATTAAAAAAAACTAAAAGGGGACTTTACTTTGCACTTGACTTTGTTCAAGAGCGCCACCAACTTGGTCCAGCCGGAATTCTCCTTGCCGATCTTGACGAACGCTGTCAGAACGGCCAGACCCTTGTCGTGTGAAAGGGCGTCCCCTGTCGTCTGGAAAAGATCAGTGTTCCAATGGACCATGTGCAGCTAAAACAGAAGAAAGGTTAGAAAACTGTCAATGCCTTTGGTCAATCAGAGTCAGACGGCACAATGTTGTATATTTGGCCAGTGCTGCTAGCAACATCGGTAATGCTGCAAATCTGGAAAATAGCGATCTGGGATGGTTATTAGAAGAATTGAGTTTGAAGTAGAAGATGAAGTTTGTGATACGTACCTCAGCATCATAGTGTTTTCCATCTATAGTATGCTCAGACCCTTGACCGTCCTTGCTGCCCCAATGACAGTGAAATTGAGCCAAGCGGTAGTTGTGCAACAGTGGTCCTCCACTCAAGTCTTTAACAGATTTAGTTTGAATGATCGAAAGAAATTTAACAAATTAATTTTTACGATGGCATTTACAAGTTGCTTTTAACAAATATATGTGTATACTATTCAAAATTCATAAATACCTCAGACAGTTTAGCCATTCCTATTGGTCGAGAGCCCGTCACGTGGCCGGTATTAAACGGATGATAAAGACATGGCTAGCTGGTCTTAAACACTTTTCAAGTGTCACAATAAAATGTGGACTCCTAAAAATCCAGTGCCTCTTATCGTTTCATTGGTTGAACGTTCACAATCCTCACGTAGGCATGCGCAACACTACCAGGGAGTTAGAATTTTATAGTTCTAAATTCAAAACGCAACGCGCCAGGTGCGTTCTGCGCGACATCGCGTAGAACATGATACGCGCGCGTCAATCTCCATAAAAGGGTTGTTTTCATCTTACTCGCCAGCTGAACACTCCATTATTTTGCAGGAGGGATGATTCAAAAAGCATAAAGTGAATTTGTTGAACAAAATCGGGATGTTTTGAACGAATTATATGATTTTTTTTTACGGAAAAGGTATTTATGAATGGGAATAAATATGTACTCCGTCGGTATTTATCACTCTGTTTAATACCACTTAGAGTCTGGGTGCTGATAATTACCCTCGCCTCCGGCTCGGGTAATTATCAGCACCCAGACTCTAAGTGGTATTAAACAGAGTGATAAAAACCTCCGGAGCACACATTTATTCCCTTAGTAAAACATTGGTTTATTCCAGTGTTGGATGGGTGCGAACGAATCCCAAAATATATACCCCAAAACAGGATAGTAACAATAAAAACTACAATTGCTCACTTGTGTCGCTGGATTGGGCATTCACTTGGAATGCATGTCCGTTGTTAACGATCTCCGTGCAACGAGCGGAGCTGTAGTCGATGGTTAGCGGGCCCTGCGACGCGTCCACCAGGGCATTTTTCGTCACGATGTTGACAGGTGACTGTCGGTTCCCGTTGGCGTCTGGGAACTTCTCACACCAGTGTGCTGGTCCTAATGATGGGGGAAAACATAACCAGGAAGTGATAATGTGATGGAGAAGTTAAAAACGGTGATTTAAGGCCAAAAAAAATAAGTCGGTCTCTGGTCAGCGCGCGCGTCGATTTTAATCATGCGCGTCGATCTTTTTTTTTCCAAAATGTTCCGCGGTAGCTCCAACAGCGCCCTCTATTTCCGCACCTCCTCAATTTTTTTTTTTACCAAAGAGCACCAAGGAATGGGAAATTGCACCAAGGCAAATGATCGAAAGCACCAAGGCAAATTATGGAGGACACCAATGTACATGAGGACACCAAAAAAGCAAAATAGTACCCACCTTGTCTGTACAATCCAAGCTTGAATAAAAAAAAAAAAGCCGCGTGGCCGCGTCAATTCCGGAACTTTGGTCTGACCAGAGACCGAATATTTTTTTGTTGGCCTAATAGGAGTGTGGCCTAGTGGTTAGGGTTCGTGACTCATGATCAGAATGGTCAGCGGTTCGAATCCAACTGCTGGGCATATGTTGTGTCCATGGGCAAGCCACTCCTCACTTGCCCCAGGAGTATAAATGGGTGCCGGCATTAGCTGGGGAGTAACCTGCGATGGACTAGCATCCCATGCAGGGGGAGTAGCAATATTCTCAATCGTTTCATGCCACTGAAACCGGAGATAAACGCTGGCCTGATGGGCCACATTGGCTTGTGACAGACGTTACATGTTCTTAACCAATAGGAATGGGGATATTTATGAATGTAAGTTTAAAACCATAAAACTGTATAAAGGCCTTCAAAAAAACAAGCACATTTATTTGTTACAGGCATTATACTCCTTTAATTTTCGTTCGGAATTTCGGAAAAGAAAATCGAAATTTTGAAAAAGCACGTAGGCCTATAGGCCTACAAACTTTAGGTCGAAACAGGCACGGTTTTGAAAACGCATCCTATTCATCACCATCATGCAATATGCATATCACGTCCAATTTACAGAAGGGATTAGCAGGTGCACAATGAGAACTTATTTATCCTCTAAAAGGACGCACAAAATGTAACATGCAGCTTCACTTAAGTTCATATTCTGACCAATGCATTTGACTTTTTGACCAATACAAACTAAATCAATTAGCTTAAATGCTGCCCCCAAAACCTTATGTTTTCAAAAATATAATAAGCCCTATATCCTTTGCGGAGAGAATTACCATGCAGTTTAAGGAGTGGGAATTTGCACTCTTTTTATGTAACCGATTCAGCGTTATTTTGCGAAGTTGCTAGGAGCTTTTAGAAAGCTATACGGTAGTTAATGCACAAAATGGCCATTCAATCAAACGCAGTAACGTACGAGTGAAGGATGATTAACAATGATATCAATAAAAAGATCCATAGTCCATGCATGTTCACGGGAATAAAAGATAGTGTAACAAAGTTGACCCACGCGTTGTTGAAATTGATCAGATTAAATCCGTCGATCAAACAACCCTTAGGCCTATAGGTCGGCATGATTGGCAACCATTGAAGTGAAGATGACGGTGAAATTACTCAAAAATGAAGATACTGTTCCTCTTCCTGTTATATTATAAAACATTGAATCACTCCATGAGATCCAAAGGCGGATCCGGGGGGGGGGGGCAACGGGGTCATGACCCCCCCAAAAAAGGCGTCGCAATAAAGGCAGGCACTGCGTACACCACCATCTTTTCCTCAACCAAAATTGGTTAAAGTGGTCAGAAATTGCCTCAGATCGCACCACAGAGCGATCCAATTTTGTTTCGAGGCCCTTAAGAGGGCCCGAACCCCACGCCGTAATTTTTTGGGGGGACCAACCATTTTTTTGGCGCCCCTCCCAAAAGTTCTGGTCTGATCCGCCCTTGATGAGAGCATATAGTACTGTGAACACAAGCTTCTAAAACAAAAACTATTATAAACTGGTTATTATAAACCAAACATAAAACGGAAAAACAGAAAAATAAATCGAGGAGTCCTGAGTGAGTTGGTTTACCCCCCAGTGGAACCAAGGGTACGCTACCGAAGCAACTCATACTCTGTGGTACTATGATCTCGATGTTTCATATCAACAATAGTCCAGGATATCTTCAATGAAATATCCTACAGTTTTGATATGTTTCAGGTTTCAGGGTTATTTTCATGATACATGGGGAAAAATTACTGGAACTTGGAATTACAGTGTATTGGAGGTCAGACAAAAAGCCGAAGCTTGGGTCTGCCCCCTTCACAAAGAATACATGTAGTTACACAATGCATGAATAACCAAAGTAGATTATTAATAATAACTCTTTAAATTCATAAATTCATGGCCTACTAAAATTAACAAATTACATGCACTAAATTACCATCCTCACCTTTCAATGTCAACAGTGTTATTAATCAATTAATTTGGTAATTAAAGTAATACATTTGCTGTTATTTACCATTAACATAACCGCAGTGAGTTTTTTTTATAATACCTTTTACAAAGGTATTATAAAAAAAAACCTATGTTGCAAAGTTTTAAAAGCGTAATAAATCAATTGCTAAAACCAAATCATTTAATTTAAGATCTGAACGGAATATAATACTTAAATATTACATTTGATGTATTATTTCATATGTCAAGTGGAAATCAAGTCAATAACTCCTTCCGTTGAGCGATGGGTGAGGATATAAAAAAACACCTGATATTTCATGGATATTTGAAAATTCAATATAGGAAGAGTCAACACATATATTGGACACTTATGGTGGCGCCGTTTACAACAGAACTTGTATTTCCAACAATTTTGACACCCCGGCCCCCCAAAACAATTTTTTTTTTATTAAAGCGTGAAATATTAACGTACCTCTCTCTCCGGAATATGCCCAAAGTGCCATCATTACAAATAGATTTCAGATCCAAGAAATCTTTTATGAATAAAAAGCCGTCCCGGTCTTCGCAAATCTTGCAAGGTCACGGACACAGTGCGGAGAACTGTCGGATGCACGACATCCACCACGTACGCCTTCACCGTCGAGTATAATGAACGATGTTTATGATGATCGCAATGTCAACTGGCTAATTGACGGGGCGTGCATTACGTGTCCGGGTCACCGTGTGACTTTGAAATTAAGGTGCATAGTACACCCACTTATTGCTCCATGGTACACAACACATAATAATGTCTGTATGCTGTCAATGTGTAGGCCCTAAATGCGGCATTATATTTATTATATAATGCATAGAATAGAACCATCAAACGGAAAGGTCTCTGACCCCATCCACGAAGAACACGAGCTAATCACGGAATAAAGACCATGTCTTACAACTTCGGACATAATTTATACTAATCAGGAATAGCAGAGTTAGACTGTGTCACTGCTTCATATCCAGTCATTTCAGTGAATTACCTTTCTCAATAGTCAGAATATGATAATTGATACATGTACATGATGTATGGTGCACCTGCAGTCGTCCATTAAGCACAACTGAATGTATGCCGGCCGCATGTATGGTTACCTACTTATCGATGCATTATCGATACGTATGTCCTATTATCCAACAGGGAACCAGGCTGCTTGGATATCATGCTGCGACGAGAATTTGCCATGTGGTCACCACCGTGACGTGACAGTGCAGTCCACGTTTGTATTTTAGTCGTTGACAAAAGTCAAAAAGGCAGAACGTACGAACAATGATACAAGCCAGTGTTACTTTCGGTATACAGCGGTATATGGTGATATGGAATAATATACTGTACAAATCAAATACTCGAGGCACGCGTCAGTTCATAGATGGCCGCCGGCGGGCGCGGGACGTGGTCAATCAAGGTCAATCAATAGCCGGCGCGGTGCACGTGCACATCGTCGAACGTGCATTTCCTCCTGTTAAACTTAAAGGGTTCATGCAATGATTTTGTTTCCTTAGAGTATTCCTTAGAAACATAATCTGTGCAACTTTTTCTTCCTCATAACTGTATGAAAACTATTTGACTTCCCTTTTGGTTAATTTTATTAAAAAGCACACCTTTAAACATGCCGCTTCCGGACAACTGAGGGCGCTGTTGCTGTGACGTGTTGCGTGTCATCGGAAAACAGTTGTGAGACAAGGTTTGCTCATTGGCTATTGCCATGCATGTACTGACACAACAATGAATCACCCCCCCCCCCTCCCCAAGGAACATTTACAACAGCAAACTATGCAATTCTGGTAACTTGTGGTGCTTAATAACTGTAACACTGATATTTTCTGTATAGGCCTACACTTTGAATAATCATACATTTGCATTGGCATAAAAACCAAAAAGGGCACCAAATACCCTTGAAAATGGCAAAACGAAAAAAGGTTAAGTGGCACACAAAGGTGTATTTTCAAGGATTGCATTAAAATATTATGATTGAGCCCTTAAGAGTAGATGTCTTCATCATTATTCCGCGATCCGTCCGTTCGAACGAGGAACCGACGGAAATGCTTGCAGCTTTAGTTTCCGTCGTCAACAACTTTTTAATTTTTTTATTCGAAGATGGAGCTGTGACCGTCCTTTGTGAACGTCACTTCGTCAGTCGTCAGCTTAATGGTTCAAGATTTGGCGGGGCGGCGCAAATGGCGATCTCCTCTTTCCTTGTGAAGTACCAAGTACCACCAAAGCTACCGAATACTTCAAAATCTCTTTCATACCGTAATATAACACTAAGACATAGCTCGTCCAACACAACGGTGTTGGTACGTCTCTTATTGCTTATTAAAGTAAAGTAAAATGGCAGAGACAAACATTTATTAATAATCTTACAATATAGCCCCAAACCATGCCACGCTGAGTGGTAAAATATTTAAACGGTCCGCCCTCAGTCAGTATTAACCATGGCCAAGGTTTTTGTTAAGGCGAGCCAAATGCATAATTAACATGCCCTTTTATCTTCCATAATTTGAGCCAAAATGAAGAGGCTATAATATAATGTAATAGATTAAAACCGCAGGGCCTTGATACAATTGCAAATAATTCATAATGCGTGTTACTTCGACCGCTACATGGGGTGAGTGCATTCATGCGTGAAGACCAATCAACAATCGCGCACGTGCGTGTAGGGATAGTATCCATGGCAACTATAGACGGCAGGCGGGAAGTTAAAGGGCACTAATGTTGGTAATGAGTTTCGGCTCGATTAAAAACAATCTTTCACCTTGGCACTTAAAAAGAAATTTTAAATGGATTTTCCAACTTCATTGAACGAAGTATAACCGTGAACGATAAGACAGAACTTGAAGACATTGAAAAACTGGGAAACCACCAACATATAGGGCTAGATGGCTCAGTTGGAAGAGCACTGGAACGGCAATCTGGAGGTCGAAGGTTCAAACCTCGTTCCATAGTCAATTTCTTTGCTCGTTAATTAATCATTCTTAAAACACGATGGCTCAGTTGCACCAAACGGAAAATGTTGGTTGGCTTACTAACAATAACAAATAATCTTCAATATAGCATGATTTAGCATCCTAAATAATTAAACACTGACCTAGTTTTTTTTATTTCACAAAAGATGAAATAGGACATATCAATTTTAATGTGGGAGTTTCGCCACATGCTACGTTCGGGAAAAGAAACCTACGGCTGTTGTATTTATACCTGGGACATGATTACGCAAAAATCATGCATGAAGCAGTCGTAGGGCAGTGTTTTCAACGCGTTGCTGTGCTCAAAATGGCGGACATCAATTCAGGTAATTTTTCGTTTCGTGTTGCAGAATTAAACTGCCTTTTGTGAACTATTACATTGTACTGGACCGCAGAAAAATAAATTAAAAGATAAAGCACGAATGCTGCGGTTTACTATGCTATTATGAACAAAATTGCTCCTAATTCGACTTAACAATAACATCATATCACAAGCGGCGATTTTGTCGGCCGTATAACGCCTAACGCCGCGGCCACGGGATGTTTTGTGTGCGAGTCGCTGTCACACTGACCATGGAGGTTATTTTCACGCTTTGTTCGTCATTCAAAACAAAATTAAACCTAGCAAACTCGGTCAAATTGCATTGTGGAGTAATAAAGCTCCAAATCACTAGATAGTTACTTTGTGCTCCTGAAAAACCTGCACACAGAGAGTGCCCAATCAATTAAAATTGTGTGTTTTTATTTAATTTTGAATTTTTAGGCCAGGGCTCATTTTATTGATCTGAATATCAAATCAAATCTTTACGGACACTGTTTAATATTTTTCTTACAGGAGGTGATGCTAATGACATTGTGGAACCAATGGAGTTCCAGGAGGAGGAATTGGCAAAGTCAAGGTAATTCTAGCTGCTTATTGGTGACATTGGTAAAGCTATCTGTGAAGCCTTACTAGGATTTCATGCACGGTGGGGGAAATTCAAAGTGGTCTCAGTAATAAAACAAAGTTAAAGTTAAATGATTCTGAGTATACATGGAGGAATAACCCCTCCATGAGTTTACAATGTACTGTGTGCTGTGATGTGTGCAGCTTATTTTATAACTATGACGCATGCTTATTTTAAGCCAGCCACATCCTATGTGCATTCATATGACAGTAAAGTCCTGTAAAATGCAATTTAACTGAGAAAATTACATCCAAAAGTTACATTAATGTATGTTCTCTTCTTTTGACACACAGCTCAAGTATAGCAGAGACTAAATTTGACATGACAATCGGCCATATAGAAGACATTATTATGGGTGAGTTTCCTTTTTATACTGGGAAATGTTTTGTTTGTTCCTTTAGTATCATTATTGATGAAAAAAAATCAAAAACTTAAATAAATTTTTTCAATAATCAAAATTGGTAGCTACAGGTACCCACCTACAGGTACTCAAAAAATAATTCCAAAGTTTTGTGGATCAATATTTTTGTAAGTGTATTCGTTTAACTTGATTCTGATACCAATTATCTAATTGCACAACTTGCACTGCATATTGACTTGGAGTAACATGATTCCATGGTTTTTTTTGGCAGAGGATGAGTTTCAGAGACTACAGAATGAGTTTATGGAGAAGAACTACCTTCACTTTGAAGACACAGAAGAGAACAAATTCATCTACACAGACATCTTCAAAGAATATGTAAGATATGTGTATTCTAAGAATCAGTCATTTGACTGCTCCAAATATTGTATTTTTAAACCTCACAAAAAAACATTAAAACCTATAAAAGCTGTAAAAACCTACATTTCAACTTGGCAGCCTATTTCAATCGTCTACATGCACATTAATATCATATTAAAATTTGGGGATTCAGGACATTTGGGGTTAATTTTTATAACCAGTTTTCCTTCCATAGGAAGAAATATATAAAAGAATTCGCCTATATTTCTAAATATATATGTAATATAAGGTTATTCAAAAAGTGCAATTTCAAAATGTAATCTTTAACATATAATCCCAGGTCAAAATGCAAAATTGTTGTAGATTGCATTCTGTTGTATGCGCAATTTTTATAATAATCTATATTGTTTCAAATCTTTCCAGAATCTCTTGATTGAAAAGTACATTGAGGACCAGCTGACAGCAAGAATACCGGGCTTTGATATGAAAGACTTCTCAAAACAACTGGAGTAAGTTCACCCCCCAAAAATGAAGCATCCAAGATTGCTGGATATCTCATATAGGAGCCCATTCCTCACAAGCATTGCTTCTCTATGGGCCCCTCCGCAGTATCACTCATCTTCCATACTTATTGTTTGCTTCATCTTCATCTTTATTTTAAATTTTTTTTTTCCTACTATTCTCTAAATAAGATTGTCATTGTTATTGATATATTAGTACTGAAACTGAACTGAAACTTGATCATCTTGTAGAAAATAAAATGTGATGGGTTCATGGTATTGTCTCGTGGGGACATTTTCCAAATGTCGGCCATGTCTCCAGCTTTGACTTTTTCTCGGGCCCAACAAGTACTCTGAAATCTTCATTGTTAGAACGTTTAATAGGTGGAGCTAAATTGAGCCAAAAAGAGTTTCAGCTCCGTGGCCTAAAATCATAATGCTGAAGACTGAATCAAAACCACAGCTGATGTTTGGAGAAAGACTCTGAAATTCATCTCTTATATGATGAGAAAAAGTGAGAAACCACACCACACAAGCACTGTTACAGTAAGTTTCCTTCTTTTGTTTCTTCCATGTTCAGAAAGAGGAATAATCTTGAAGGAGAGATCTTTGAGATCCTGCTGACGTTCACAGACTTCATGACATTCAAGGAGATGTTCCTGGATTTCAGAGCAGTGAGTACATGCAACCTTTGACCTCAGTTGAATAATTAAACCTGTCCTTGGGCGTTTAATTTTGATCCCCCCCCCCCCAAAAAAAGGCAATTATTTTCCATAATAAGACAATTTTTGTTCAAAACTGCAAACCTGTTATTACAAATGCACACCCCAATGCTCTTCAAAAAAATGGATTTCTTTCGTCCTTACAAATGTTCAATTTGTATTTTTTTTTTACCAAAATTTACCATTTTTATCAAATGAATCAAAACATAAAATCAGCCTCATTTCTACGCACTCAAAGGAAAGACTAAGAGACAAATTTGCAAATAACTCCAAACCAGAACTATTCTATTCACTTTTTCAAGTTTTATTTTAATCCTACAAACTAAACAAAAATGTCCTTGATGTTGGGCTTTGTGTACATTTTGTCGCATAACTGTTGGGGAAAATATACCACGTTATAAATTGGTTTAATTATATGCGTACTATGCGTTTCCCAGCCTACACATGCTACCTATCATAGTGATGTAGGCGGTATGTTTTCTGTTGATGCTTAATGTGGTCATTTATCAACCCAGAAATTCAATGTTATGTCTGCCCTACTTTCATGGTTTATTATTTGGAGGGTAGTACATGTATCACTGTCATCATTTGGAAGGAAATGGATCTATGAGTGATTACTTTAACTTGCACATTTCAAAGAAAATTAATATTGGGTTTTGCCCTTACCGATAAAATTGTTTTACTGTACTCTTAGTGTTGCCTGAGGGCTTGTGAGGACATGTTCACAAGCTTACTCGGTGGGACTCGAACCCATGACCACCTGCTGACTAGTGCAGGCATCTTGCCTTTAAACTTTCACCCATCATCTTACGGTCTGTTGTTGCTGCTCTAGGCAAAAGAAGGCAGGACAGTGGACCTTAGTGCAGGATTCGTAGTCACCCCATTCTCTGTACCAGAGACCAGTGCACAAGCCGCGACGCAAGGGGTGAAACAAGGGGTGACGCAACCCACCACAAACTCACCCGACACATCACAGCAAGGCCCATCATCGTCAAAATAGCCTTAGTGAAGTCGGCAGTTTTAGGTGCTCAGAATTTTTTTCTTTTTTTAGCTTAGTGTATTTGACATTGATGACACCTTGAGTCAGTCCCCATTTTGTTCGTCTTATTTGACCACAGATTTTGATGTGCTGACATTATTTTTAATGTAGATTTGTTGTAAATATAACCGAGCCAAACTTACTGGCACATTTGCAGAAGTTGTACACCAGAACTTGTCCTCAAATGGTATTCCATTGATGTAATGGTCGTTTTAGATGCATCACTCGTCATTTTTTAGCCTTTTTATTACCAGCTGAAGGCATTTCATATTGATATTGCTACAAATTCTTTTTTGCTTATTTAAATTCTCTCAAATGTTTTTGTATCTTTGTTTGTTATGGCAGCCAGTTAATGAACTTAAGTTTTGTGAGTCTTAAACTGACATTACATCAAATGGATATTGTAAATAAATGGGAGAAAACACATCAATTCAGCTCGGTTATTTTTTTCTGTATGATTGCGTGAAAAGTTTTGATGAAAATTGTATTTCTCTTAAATGTTGTCTAAGTAGGATTACCAATAATAATTCAGCATATTGCAGCACATACAATTAATTACTCGTTCACAGCTCAAGCTTATAGATTGTCATCTCCAATGATCAAATGTATACAAAAGTCTGGCAGCTGTTCAAATATCCAAAATTTGAAAAACGTTTGAATTGAGATACGGTGCGAAATTATGATTACATTCTCATTGCAGATATTTTTTATCAAACTGTGAAACTACATGTACATCTTACCAGTGATTGTATTCTAGCATTTTCAGTAAAAATTGGCCAATTACAAAAGTACTTAATTACAAAAATTCCAACTGTACTTACGTCTATGCTTATACATGTACTAGTTACCCTGTACATAATTCTAAAGAATCTTTTGGAAAACCTTTTTTGAAATAGTATTCTGTGATTGTTTGAAAGTACTTGTATTCATGCGTTAGCAGTTCGGAACACTTGATTAGTATGTTAATGTATAATGGTTTACAGCATTCTTTTTGAGGCCGTCGTCAAATTTGTTCAGTTTTTCAGATAGCATGAGTTTGGTTTTCAGATAGCATAGAGTTTGGTTAGCCATTTTAAAGCTTTCCAAACATAGACAACCAGACCTACAGTGGGAACATGTGCAACATTTAACACCCATTATCAATAAACTTTATTGAATGTGATGCGAGATTTTGCACGATGCCGAGTACAACTTTGAAGAAGTTCATGGATTCATCATATGAATCCATGAGACAAACTCTAAAGGAAAAGTATGATTTGGATAATATTCCTATTTCTTTAAGAACATACTTTTCTTTAAGAGTCAATTTGGTCTATCTGCAAACTTTTCCTAAGTAAACTGTTCTTCTGTACAAGCCTTCTATCATTCAGCTGTTATAAGAAAACCGTGTTGTCTAATTCAGATACATGTATCATTTACAACTTTACAAGGCAACATGGCAATTGTAATATTTATTTGTATATAAAGTGTTACGTTGACATTTCAGAATTAAATGAATTGTGAATTTCACACAAGCATTGTCCAATTATTTGGTGATATTGTTTTTTTCTAAACAGTGAAACATGAAGATGAACAAACACAACACACTTGCGACATTTTACATACAAAATTTATTGATACAAAACTCCTCCAAATAAACATTTCATGTTTCCAGTAATTGTATCAGTTCTTAGCAATGAAATGGATCCTACAAGATCTCAATTTAAACTATAGGTTGCATGAGAACAAAAGTAATGCTCAACTTACTCAAAAGTTTCCATTTACTTCAAATCCCATCATGAACTCCAAGTATTTCTCCCAAAGCATGAGAACGTTAACATTTTATCCGCCAACATGCATGTATGTGCATAAACATGTTGCAAACTGTACCTAAAGAGTCCTTTTACTTTGATAATTTGTCACAATTTTGCCAAAATATTTTTAAATTACAAAAAAATTATCCGCAATAGGTCCGTTGCATCAAGAAATAGTCGCAGGATTCTGAATAACTTAAAAGTACCCAAAATCTTCCTGTGATGAAGTTAACAGCATTGTTTACAAACTCATAACATTGCAGGAAGATTCTTGGAAATTGTGCAAAAAAATTTGCAATAAAACACGTAAAACAATGGCCTTTTGTGGAAACATTATTCCGCTTCTTATCCCCGCTATGGAGCCAATGGAGTGACAGCACCTTCTGAAGTCCTATCCTTGTTAAAAAAAATCTGGCTGTGATATTCTGAATTCAGATTAGAGTGAAGGTGGTTTCTTTCGTTTAGTTCATGAGTACTTCCATCTGTACCAGCCTTGCATTGGTGTCGCCAGGCATTCGGTAAGGCAGCATTCCAGCAAAGGTGATGAGAGACTTGGCCTGCCTCCTCAGATCAGCAAGGTACTGAAAAGAAACAACAAACAAGGATTTTATTTCATATGGCCAAAGGTTTAGGAAACTGCGGTTTTGTCTCGGCATCAGATTCAGGCTCTAGTTTCATGAGTTCATCTGAAGAAGAAAGTATTTCGTGAAGCTTACCGATTCCTTGCCACCATCCTCGGATCGGGCCGTGGGTCTTCCCTGGGCATTCTGCAGGGTGGTGTTACGTGTGTTCCGGTACTTGGTATGTAAGATGTTCATCGTGGCCAGCAGTATGTCAGGCATGTTGCGTCTCACCTCATCCGTGTACTGTTTGAAGGCATTCACTTTGTCGTCCACTGTCTCTGGAGTGAGCGGCACAAGCTGTAGCGTCTTTATCGTCTGAAATTGGAAAATAAAATCAGAATAATGGTTTCCGCAACTTTAAACGTTTTTTTTCAAACCCAGGCCCATCTCCAAAATCAGCTTTCTGCCTCATTTCAGGATCATTATGGTTATGGTATCAGACTCATTATGCTATGTGTCATTGTGTTGGGGTTTTAACCCTGTCAGGGAACATGGTGCATGTGTTCTTGGGCAAGACACTTTACCACATTTGCCTCTCTCCAGATCCATCCAGAGTATAAATGATTGAAACCAGATTGCACCCATCTCCTGCCGCTGCAAAAACTGGTCTCATGGCCAGATGAACAGGGATAATAACTTTGAAGTGCTTTGAGACCTTTGGTATAAACAAAACGCTGCATAAACAGCACATAATTATTATTTGAAAGCCTGTAATGTCCAAAATAAATAAAAACAAAAACAATTTGTTTACAAGTGATAAGCTTTGTTGTTTCCAAAGCCCTGAAGAAAAAAACAAGCCCTCAGTGAGCTGACTGAGGATCCTAGAATTTCCTGATGCTGTAACTGGGCCTGAGACCAAGATTTGGGAAAATCCATCAAAGATGGAAACATTTTGGTGTTCTTTGTCAGAAAATCACAGTTTTAAAAGAAGCGTAGCATTTGTTGTCCAACCTCTAGAGCCCGATCGAGCTCTCTGCCGTGGTATTCATCAAAGAATGTCATGAGATCAAGAAGAAGGTAGAATGACTTGGTGTTGGACTGGTTACCGGTGACAGCCTGAGACTGGAACCTGTTGACAAAGACAAAATTATTATTATTATTATTTATTCAGCCAAAGAAAAAGAATACAAATATACAATAGACATAGACTACAATAAATACAACAATAACCAGGAGAAAATAAAGAGAATAAAAAACTAATCACCAAGATGGGCTGGGGGCAACAAAAGCCAAATAAATTACTGTAGTCCGTAGACCTGTTACCCCACATCTTGGTGAGGTAACAAAGAAAAATGACACAGAGAAACAAAAAGGAGTACTTTATGCCTACTTATCTATCTTTGTCAAGCTGATAATTAATACAAAATGCACGGAATTTCAAATTTTGACATGCTAAATTCGAAACATATACATTTATTTGAGTAAAAATCAACAAACTAAACTAAATAAAGTAAACTGAAATCACCGTCCAGCAATAGCCACAGCTAGGGCCTGCAGCCGCTGTCTGTTGGACTGTCCACTCTTAGGCACTGCAACAATCGGACTCAGCAACCGATTCAAGATTTCAAGAACTTTGTCTGCATTCTGCAACCAAAACAAAGCAAACAATTCCTCTTTATGGTAAAACGAAAATAAAAGACACCAATAAAAAAAAACATGATAAAGGCCAGAAAAGGTGGCAAAACCTACAAAGAATACCTCAAAGTTGCTCTACCCGAGTCTACCCTGATCTTCAATATATTTGATTTTATACATATATCTGAACAAAGTCTAAATTTGTGTACGCTTTATTACATGGAAAACCTTTTTTTCCCAGTTTGTATTCCAAGTAATTACAAAGTTAAGAGTCAGGGGCTAGTAATACAATCACAGTATAAAGTTTGACAGGCTAGAATACAAAACTGTACATTAAAGAAGATACAATTACAGATGTTCCGTGTTGGGGGGATAAAACCAAACATTTCTTTATCGTTTTCACTTTTCCTCTAGATTTCTGGAGGCTACAGTGCCTGTGCATTTGTCAGGAATGTTTAGTTTCATTACAAGGAAGACACAAAGCCCACTCACCCTGGCCAGATCGTACAGCTTGACGGCATCTTCAAACAGTCCCTTAGCCTCCGTATCCCGGGCCACCGTCTCCAGTATCCGCTGAGTGTTGGCCTGGAATTTATCCACGGCGCCAGGCCGTCGGGTCCCGTCCTGTCCCAGCTTGCCCAGTAAGGTCTCAAACTCTCTGGTCTCTATCACCATCTCACTCAGGCAAGTGATGAAGAGGTTCTCTCCTTGGTGATCCTTAAGACCTCTGAGGGGGTTGGGGGAGAGGGGAGACAGATTTGTAGTCAAGTTCTCACAGGTCAACACAAGTCGATCACAAGTTGATCATAATCCTCCAAAACTTTGGATTTTGAAGGATGTGGGAGTAATGGTGTCAACTTGAAGAAACCAGGAATGCTGAATTTGAAAATTCAAACCTTAAATTACTAGGTACATTTGTCTTGAATGCTGCCCTCAGACCCCAGGCCCGTGACCAGCAAATGGTCCACAGGACCCAGGGCTCCCTCTAGTGTCTAGCATTGCACAGCATTCCACTGAACGCCAAAACAAGTCTGGTGTCCAGAGTCCTGCTATGCTACGAGCGCAAGGATTGGTATCATCACAGGGCAACAGACTGGTGGGTTCTCCAAACTGGTATTCTTTGCAATTGATTGGGGAATTTCTCAAAAACTGTTCGATGTTTTTTTTAAAACCTTTTGTTTGGCATCTTTTTGTGCAACATAGGACATTTGAAAATGTGAAGAAAATAAGAATATGGTGTGAATACTCCATTCAATCAGCACAAACAAAATTGCAAAATATAAAAAAATCTGACCTTTCGACCCCATTTTCAAAAGGCATGTAATCAGAAGTGGAAGTATTTTTTTTGGCCAAAGCAGGAGATTGTTGGTTCAAGTCCTACCTGAAAAAAAGTTGTGAGTTCTTGCAAGCCCTTGGACACGGCTGAATATAGTGTTTAAAAAAGTTTTCAAAGAAGTGCAAAACCAAATATTGAAATTAGGTTCAAATTGAGAAACACTTTAGTAGTGACATGACTTTAAAGAAAGAAAGAACTCACAAATTTTTTTTTCACAATCAACCCAGATTAACACCGAGTATACAGTGTTCATGAAATATGATGGTGAAGGGCAAAACCCAATATTGAATTTAGGTTAATTCCATCAAAATTCCATCTCATTAATAACTGGAAGCCCTCCCTACCTGAGCAAGTAGAAATACTGCAGGGCCTCTCTGGGGTCTGTATTCTCAAACTTGGATGTGTACATGCTGATGAGACGGGCAAAGTTGAGTCTCCTCATGGGCGACGGGTCATCCAAATGCTTGCTTACTACAACAAATTATACAATCAGAGACAGAGTAAGGAATCATCTCGCTAAATAACCAAGAAACTTTGCTGGCAAGTTATTTGTAATGGGCCATTAGTTACTTATTCTGAACAACTGGCCCAGACTCTTCCTGCAATAATATCAGTTTTTACACAAGGTAAGAACTCACAAACTTGCGTCTGGATATTTGCTGGCAAAACAAGCAGCCCCATCTCATACAGGACGATGGCTGTGTGCACGGCATGGCAGCGCAGTCGCAGATCTGACCGAGAGAGGAACTCAATGGCCGCCTCGAACTGAGCTGAGAGGAACAGGACCTGCAAGCAGACATGTTATAATACAACATTGTGATAAGTATCACAATATAGAGTTAACATTTTAATATGCATCACGATATGTAACATCAAACTTTATGTCCTATGAACCCCACTCACAGGTACCCTCTCAACAGTTCTAAAGGGCGAGTTTGGAAAGACCACTGGGAGGGATATTCAAACACATTGCCGACGAAACGCGACACTCACAAGAAGACGCTATGGGCACATTTTTAGCTCCATTGGGGATCCACGTCGTGTACGTACTGGTTTGCTTGCGTATGGCGCGAGGTACACTCTACTACTTTTATTCTTAATTGCAACAAAAATGTGAGCGTCATGCGCCGCTGGCGATGCACCCCTCCCAGTATTGTCCCCCGACCCTCTCTTTGTAACAGTTGAGGGGGTACTTTACTGCACAGAGTCTATTGTAAGTATCAATGAATCGTTACACCCCTACCTGGAAGTAGAGGTAAGGGTTTTGATGAGCGCTGAAGTGATTCTCTCCATACTCCTCCAGCAGGGTTGTCTGTAGCTGTGGGAGGGTCAGACGGTCCAAGGAACTGGGGCCGGACTCCTCAACGAAACTGACTTGACTCAGCTGGGGATAAAATGATAGAAAAATGATTTTAGAAATCTACTTCAATCATATGCAATTGATACAATAGGCCTTGGAAATAAGTACTATCACTGGATGAGCTTGGGACAACTTTCACTTCTTGTTGTCTAGTTGAATTTTTCCCCCTGAAATGTGCTATACCTTGAGCCAGAGATAGTCCTCTGTCTTACTGATGACTTCGGAATGACTGTCGGTCGTGTCACAACATCCGATGAGGCAGTACACAGCTCTGTGTGGTTAACGAGGGAAACGATGAGAAATAAACATTACTTGGCTAGTCAGTACGCTTTTCCAAACTCGCAGACATTTTTTTAAGTAGGTCGCATCCTAATTACTTGGCTACAGCCGCTTCCATTGCCACATGTGTAACTGCTAGCCGTAGCCGCATAAGGCCGTATCTGAATGACTTGGCTACGGCTAGAGATTACACACATGCCTATGGTAGCTGCTGCAGCCACTTCCCATAGACATGTGTGGTGTGTCCAGCCGTAGCCATGTAATTCAGACACGGCCTTATTCAGGCTCACCACATAACACAGTAAACATACTGTGTTGGATTTCATAGAACTCTGTACATGTGCTACATGTAATCTTAGAACTAGTGTCCACATCTGAACATCTGATAAACAAATGATCAAGACATTCCAAGCTGATCATTGATGCAGTTTGTGCATTTTTTCGCACAACGTAAAATTGTGCAAAGAATAAAGAACAGAATTCTACACAACACTGACACTTACCTTTTGTATGGATCAGGGCTGTTTCTGACGTTAGATCGGTAATGTATCCGTAACTTGGTCTGCATGTTTGGAGACAATCTGGAAAGAGGGAAATATAATAAAAGCCTACTTTACAAATGTCCCTTGAAACGCCATAAACGTCATAAAGCCAATGTCATTTTTGAAAATGGTCAAAATCACATTTTTATGGACTAAAAACAAAGAGCAGATAGACTAAAGTCACATTGTAGGAGAAGTTTCACCAATGTTCCTACATCTAGCTTAATAAAATGATTTGCAATATTTGGCTGATAAAAGAAACCTACATGAAATAACTTATTTTCAAATAGTGACAAAACATAACTTTTTTTCAAACTGATAATAAGCATCGGCAGAACATGTTTCATTATAAAAGACAGGATGAAATCCTAACTGAGGAAAAAAAAGCTACTCCTTGATCATTCTCACTCAACATATAACTGCAACATATAATTTTTTTCAAAAGAAGAAAACTTATAGCCCTTACCTTCTGTCTTCACTATCCATGTACTCCTTCAAGTATTCTTCAAATTCACCCAAATCCTGACTGAAAACATACAAATATGAATATGAAAAATTTAGTTCATATGTCTGGTGTTTACAACAAGGGCGGATATGTTCGGCATTTGGATGGTTCTTCTGTGGAAACTAGCAAGCATGAGGTCCCTGGTTCAAGTCCCACCTCAGCTAGCTTGAACATACACCACTTAGGTAAAAAGGCTGTGATTGATCCATTGATTTATTACAGAGTGGTGGATTTAGATTGAAGAATGTTCTTAACAATAACTGGCTTACGCTGCTCTCTGTACGGCATGCAACACGGCATCGAGATCTCCGCAGCGAAGACAGTAATAGATGATAGGCCATACAGGCTGGCCATTGACTTCACCATCCTGGGCAGGGGGAGAAAGACAAATGGTTTGAATAAAATATGAAAAATATCAACTTTCCCAAGCAGTGTACTGTGCAAAAATAGGACATTCTCCAACAGGGAATAAATGTTGATACAAAAGTGCACGGACAACTAGCATAACCAATATTCAGCTGCCACATGCAGAGAGTCGAATTCTTTTATTAATTAATTAGAATGCCCATCCTTTACAAAAGTCTTCAGCTAACTACTATCAAAGGTTGAAAAATATCCAACGTGCAATCTTAAAATCATATGGTGGTTGGGATGATAGTGCGATGCTTTCAAAGTGATCAACATGACCTTAGTTCATACATAAGAAAGGTTGCTACAGCAATTTGCAAATTTTGTTTTAGTTATTGCTTTGTTTTTGTTTTTCTAAAAATTTGTGGATTTCAATCAAACAAAAGCCTTTTAAATCCTGAAGAACGCCATTTTCTTCAGTGAGAATTTGCATAGTAGTGTTGAATGCTGCCCTCAGACCCCAGGTCCGTGACCAGCAAATGGTCCACAGGACCCAGGGCTCCCTCTAGTGTCTAGCATTGCACAGCATTCCACTGAGCGCCAAAACAAGTCTGGTGTCCAGAGTCCTGCTATGCTACGAGCACAAGGATTGCTATCATCACAGGGCACCATACTTGTGGGTTTTCTAAGCAGAGAAAGTTAACAAAAGTTCAAAGCAGATCTGAACGTTTTTGAGATGCTGCTTTACCTCAAGTCCAGGGACGGGATGCGGCAGTTTGACTTTCATAAATCCTTGGACTCGATGGAAGGTTCCTGGGATGCCACCGACCTGGGCTCGTTGTAGATTCTCTCCGACAATGGTGCTGATGTACTTCAGGTAGCTGTGAGAAATCAGACAATAGGATTCCATAACATAACTGATGACCATTCCAAGACATTTATCGACAGTGACATATCATCATTTCAAGGCAATAGCAGGTTGTGCCTATTTAAGATTTTAAGATTTAGGTAGGTAGACCCCCGACACTCTTATTTCACATGGTCTTCATGCAATTTGAAAGTTTACAATTACGAGGAATGCCGCCATTAGTTTCCATTACAGTGGAGGATATTTAAAGATTTAGGAACGTCCCTGGTAAAAATACATTGGGTTTATATTTATTGGGGATTATTTTAAGAGTGTATTTACCTGTTTTCTAGGTAGCTCCGTGCCTGTCGTACAAACGCCATCTGCATTTCCTGTGCGCTCCTAGCTTGCACTGTATCGACTGTGGATATCAGCGGTACTGACGTCATCTCTCTGACCATAGCCCACAACTCACTCACACGCTGTCAAATAATCATCATCATCCCAAACATTTATTTCAATGGTGTCCTTCATAACAGTATGTACAATCGTATAGAAATTTAAATAAAAATACAATGTACATTAATATGATGCATGTACTTTAAAGGTATTGCTTTGTCTGGCATAACACAATGTTACTAAAAAATAAACACACATAATTCCATCCCATATTTCTTCAAAAATACAGTTTACTGAGAGTAAATTTGAAAGCATTTTGTCTGACCTTATCTTCAAACTGAAGGCTGATTTGCTCAAATAGCTGGATCAGGTTGGGTCGCACACCGCCATGCACAACTCTGTCATTATATAGATAAACCTACGCACAGGAGAAAGACCAAGTTTAAAGACCAAAACAAATGCGAGTCACACATAAGGTTTGCAGTTTTAAACGTGTTGTATGTGGCTAACTTAATACATCAAACAGTGTGGTACAATGTAATACATGTGCTGATGGTTAAGCAAGGTTGTGTTTGGTCCACACGCCATAGAGTGGGGCCTGTCTAGTACCTGTCTAGCATAAGCCATCTCCACGCTATCCATGGTACTACGGCCATCCATGGCTACTGTCTCACTCAGCATGGACTCAGTGTCAGGACCGATGTCTAGCAAGTCTTCCCCTGAGCTGATCAGGGCGTTCAGGATCCGCTGCCTCTGCTCCTGCCACTCTGATTGCATGGTCTCCCAGAAACGCTTCTCTGTCTGTTGTAAGGTCTGGAGACGAGAGGAAAGATGATGGGTTACCAGCTAAAGTGCGACTGGTACTTAATAAAAGTTGACTGAGCGAGCCAAGTTTTCTAGCGGTTAGGGTCATGGTGTGAGGTCCCAAGTTGAGGGATAAGAACACGTTCCTGTGTCTTTGAGCAAGCCACATGACTTTTTATCAGAGGTTCAGGTTCAAATCCAGCTGCTGGTGATGTGTATGTCCTTGGGCAAGCTATATTACCCACACTTGCCCCCCTCCATCCAGGATCTACTGTCCAAGAGCTGTAGTGTTTTAGCAAGAAATATTGCTCAGTAAAGCAATGTGCAAAATCAAAACTTTCGCCGAGTTTGGCAGTCACAAGAAGCATGCTTTGCATGGCATTTCAGCTGATACCTGGTTTTTTTAAGCAAGTAATTTCTGTTTTTGTCAAATCTTTAATCTCAGAAGCTTCCTGGAAACGGAGCGGTTATTCACCAAAGAACTGTAAGAATTCAATTAACAATATTCATATTTAAACAATGACTTGTTTGTCTAAGGGCAGGATTTAGGAGGACGGTACTTACATTCTTTTTGGTTTCTTGGATGACGGCAAGAACAGCATTCTCTCTTTCATTTCTCAGAAAACTCTGGAATAATCAGGAAAGTAAAATGATTATTTATGCTCCAAAATATGCTGCATATATCTGCCACTTAGCTCTTTGTTTTTTATCCTTTTTGTAAAAATAAATTATTTTTCCCTTTTATAAAAAGGTGTTCTGAAAAGAACTTTTGCTTCTTGAAAATGCATCCACAATTGCAAGCACTGCATTTTCTATAAAATTTTTGTCTTTAAATGTTTTGCTACTACAGAGTAACTTTGGAAATAAACATCTCACTGAATGATTGCCTTGAAATATTTAATTTTGTGCACCTGTATATCAGTGTCTGCGATGGGTTCCAGTGGCTCAAACGTCTTGGTAGCGCTCAATGTCTCCAGTCTCTGGGAGATCCTAGGCACGTCTAGTCCCTTGGAGCCAAGAAGAATTGACCTGAAACAAACAACAAGAATATCTCAAATGACTCTATTGTCGTTAAACTTCTCAAGTTGAATGCCCTACTGATGTTAATTTTGCGGGGATACAAATTATTAATAAAAATCTGTATCCTCATTGAGTGATCCCTGTTTGCTATTTTCCATGTTAGCAGCATTGCTAATGTTGCTAGCATCGTGACTTTGGGCGTAATCCCTGGCTACATGGCATATATGGGTTATGGCTTCTGACTAGCGCCCCTTGAACAAAGACACTGACAAATTAGGGAACCCCAAGTTGGTAGAGCACCGGAACAGCAATCCAGAGGTCGCAGGTTCAATCCCCGCTGCAGTCAATATCTTTGTTCAACTTTGAAAATATTATTTATACAAATTAAATTCAAAAGATTTCTCACGCTTTGACATCGGCAGCGTCTGGTACGCCAACTTGCGCTGTCTTGGTCCACAGACGTTGGCTAGTCTCCATAATCTGATGGAGGTTGCGCTCTACTCTAGGTAGCTCTCCTCCGCTGTCCACATTGGCCGTCAGCTGCTCTGCATCCCGTAACAGATCATCAAAACTGTCCACCTCCATCTTGGCTTTCTTTGATTAATCCAAGATTCTTCAAAAAAAATATAAAGTGAACTTTTACTGAATCTTATAAAATTCAAGATGGATCAAGTTGGACCTTTGTAGGAAAGAATTCAGCATGCTGATGCCACTTTAAACGCTGTGTACAAAGTCTCTGGAAAGGTTTGAACATTTCTTGCAATAACATTTTCCACAAAAAATGACTTGGTCCAAAATTTGTGTCAGCCTAACCGTGATATTTTTTTTACCACCATTGACATCATACAATGTACATGATAAAAAGTGGTGTCAAGATCTTGCATTTCTAAAATTCTACCCCAACCTGAAAAAAGAGCAGAAAACAAATTTCCACACAGCACTGTTACAATGTTAAGATTTTTTTTTTACGTAGCGGCTATCGTTATGGCAGCCGTAACAAACTTTTCAACTGCTATCGTTACGGCATTGCAAAAACACCATTGCAAATCTAGGCCTATATATCACATTTACAACTCCCCATTTTTTTCTTTTAATAGTTTTTTTTACAGAAAGAATGTTGCAGGCGGACTTTTTTTTCTACATATATCATCTCAATCTCAATATGAAAAAAAGTGGTGCCAGGAATGGCAGATACAACATTCTTTCCGTTCTTTGTGAAGATGACTGCGACTATGTGGGCGAGTCACGACCGGACCATCCCAGAAAGTAAAATTATAACAATTTTGTAGTAGACCTAGGCTAACGGAGTGCCTTCTGATTGTAGTAGTAGGCCCTACGAGGCTACGGCGGGCCTAGGCTAACTTAAGTTACAATACAATTACAAACATGACAAACAAAACCTGCAAAATAAATAAAAATGTAAAAATAGGCCCGCTAGGCCTACGATACGTTTGAACATGTTGAACCCACTCGCAATGAGTAGTTATCATTGATTTTATGATACAGTTAAAAGTTGCATCAGGATAACTACATAATTACGATATTTCCCATGCCAAATATGAGAGTTAGTTTAGTGTTCGATTGTGTCGAAAATAGACGTTTGACAGCAGACCCCACGTGGCTGTGCATGTGACCAGTCATGCCTGTGTGACGGCCGGGGCCTGTCGCCTGTGTCGGTTTGGAAATTAAAATAGATTGTATTATAAAGCATGGAATGAGATACTGAACGTCCAACCTTCTCTATACCTTGGTCAGAATAACTTCACAATATGCCACAAAGAAACGTGTTTGAATTACTAAACTGAGAAGTCAAAATAAACTTACCAGCGGAACTAAAAAAATTAACGTCCACACTAGTCGTAAATTACCGCGCACACTTAATTGGCGCCCTCTTTAGTTCAGCTCAGTTCAAGGGTTGTATTAAAAAAAAAAATCGATTTATGGTTAACAAAGCTGTTGAGAACATCAGTTGCAACTTGCAAATTCACATCACGTGGTATTTTGCTTAGCAACTTGTTTTTATTAAAGGGAATATACAACATTTGCAAACATCGAAAAATAAAACTACCAAGTTTTTGCGAAATACCTTAATAGGATGTTGGTAAATGACCGTCTAAAGCATCCTGTAAAATTATGGCACCTGGTATACTGTCATTTTCAAGAAAAGTGGTATTTTTGTATCAATTTCCAACGCTGATCGGCCGATCAGCGTTGGAAACAACTGGCTTTTTTTCAAATACTGGCCCCAATTGACCATTGCACTTGTTTGCAATCGATTACAAACCTATGAACGGGTACGAGCCAGCTAGACTGGTTCCCTGACCTTACAATTCCCCAATTTATGTAAACTGCTCTGTTTCTTCTTATATGGAGTCAGGGAACCAGACTACAGGAAAATGATCGTTTTTCTTGGTTTTTATAGCATTTTCGAACCCCAAACCTCCAAAAAGTCAGTGTAACTATATTTGCTTTATATTTTCAACCCCCCAATTCCATCCATTTCTAAAAATTACAGCAAAAGCAAATGATGTATATTCCCTTTAAGCGATTTTTTTTCTCTCGGTGCAGAAGGTGATGTGCTCCTCAACTCTGCAATAAACAGTGAAAGTTCCGTTTTTCCTGATGGGTTTACAAAAAGACTTGACCACTTTTTTAAGCTGTCTTTGAAACATCTTTTAGTGATGAAGATTCATTTTCCATTAAGAATAAAAAATATCAACCGTACTCCCTTAAGGAAAACCCCCAAATACCCGGATTGAGCAGAAGAAGCCTTTCAAGGAGCTTTTTTTTTTATTATTTTGAAATAAGTATTAGTACAAGCAATAGCACCAAGCTGATTTGTAGTTCAAATTTTTTTTGAGAAAATTTGCAAAACTCAAATCCTGAATGTAGATAGAGATAAAGATGAGTTTCGAGAGTATTCATTGTGAATTTAACTGGACTATGCTATAAAGTTGATTTAGTGAAAATCATCCAACATTTAACAGTGGTGTGCTATATTTATAGATTTGGCTAGTAGTGGATTGATTAGGCTGAGGCTAGGGGACTGAGCAATGGGTTACTGTTGTCACATCAACAATAGAACAAAGAACACACCTCAAAAGAAACTATTTATGAGTTAAAAAAATTGCACCCAAAAGTTTATTATAGAATTCAAAAGTCCATGTATTCAAAATTTCCATGGAGATCTTACAGTAACGTAAGTTAGATACAATATTGTTAAAAAGTTGAAACTTAGTGTAAATATCTAGATCAATTATATTTCCACCTCAAACTGGAAAACTTTAAGAATATATTGCCAGAAAACTAATCTCTTGACAAGTACTTCAATAATATTTCGGTTATTTTTTTCAATTTACGACTCATTTGTCACCTGAGCTAGCTTACACATCTCATCCTCAAATAACCAAACAAAAGAATATAAAACTGTTAAACATCAAGGACTCAAATATTGAGTATATAACATTGGGACAGTGGGACAGTGTTCTTTCAATTTTAAAAAAATGTCTTTACCAATCTGAGTACATGTATGCCAAACTGTACAAAACAATTTTTATGATTAACAAAATGTAGGAACCCCACAATAATGTGGAAGGTTTTATGAATACTGAGCACGAGGCCAACTTTACTCACCCCTCAGCCTTCTAATGTTTATTACAAGATTTTTGCTTTAAGAGCCTAGAGGTACTACATACCCGAGTATTCAATTCATATGCAAATTTGAGGTGTTCATTTGAACAACCTTTTGCATAGAGTTGATGTCACCTTTTTGAAAAGCTGGATCATTCAGAAGCTGACCATTCAGAGACTTCCAAATTTCAGCATAGTTATACACCATTCCCTTAAATAGTTAAATTTCAGATATCAATTCAATTCAGTTCAATACAACTTAAACAAAGCATTTAGTTCATCATGAACAAAATTTAGTCAACAATTATAATTACAAATTGATATTAATAACGATGGGCATCGATAAAAGAGAGCAATAAATAAAATACAAAACACACAATGAGTTTCCAAAGATAGAAAGGTGCTGTGTTTTCATTCTGTGGCCTTAATGCTCATGAACGCAAGAAAGAAGTCTTCATTTTGTGCCACATGAACTTGTGGATAACAACTATGGCAGTGAGAAAACTTAACTTGCAGATTTGCCAATTTGCTTGAAAATTCAAGTTCAACATCAATTGTTCAAATTCTGTCTAATTAAGTGAATTAATTCCAAAGAATTAAACTTTGTGGGCCAGCTGTACCATAAGTGTAAAGGCAACTTCCTGAGTTATATACAATGTAATTATGGCCCAATAATGCACTTCAGATGTGGGCTTCACACTTTCCCCCCACATGGGTGCCCACAGCACAGCCCGAAAAATACTAGTACTTGTCTATACTGCCCTCTGAGAGCCCACTGCATTTCCCTTGCCAGAAATTTTCAGAAGCATGCCCTGCGGAGAAGTTAGCAGATACCTTGTAAAGAGGACAGTAAAAAGAAAGGTACTGAGCTGAGAAGAGCATCCTGATTAAAAGGTCAAGATAAATTCTCTGGTTTTTCTCCGACCAACGCATCTCTTTTTCGAGTTAGCAACTTCACATGATCATCCACAAACTTCTCGACAAGGAAAACCAAATGGCCCACAATGATGATTGTAGAGTAAGCAGCATTCTCATAGCCAAAAGTGTGGATTCCACACATAGGAAGTTCTGAAAAACTGGCTTTGTCTTGGGCTGCATCATCTTGAGCTTCAGAATTTCTTACAAGGCTTCGTGTCCAAACTAAAAATGGAAATATTTAAATCAATTTCGCACGTTATAGGATCTCTTATTACACGACAGAGTTGTAACCAAGTCAGTCCCCAATCACCACAATTCAGTCACAAGCTGATCACAAGGCATCCCAAGTCCCCCTAATCAGGAGGTCCTGATGAAGCCGAAACATCCAGAGAAAACATCTGAGGTTTCAAGCCCCAGAAAGATCAGGAACGGAAGGCGTAATGTGCAGTGATAAAGGGTTTTAACCATGAGTTGGTTGCTTAGCCCCTAACTGTGAGGGATACAGCCTGGCCTTCAGTGGAAACCGCTTGCCAGCAATGTCAATCTCGTACTGCCCCTTGTTGACGAAGTCGGGTGTGACCTCTAACATTTGACCCGTGTCAGCGTCCCGATTGGTCAGCCAGCCCAGGCAGGTCATTTTGCCCTGTGTAGGGCCGTAGCTGCTGCATGTGGTCATCCCAGCATGCTGACCATTGCGGTAGATGGGTTCCCGGCCCCATGGCCACAGGTCTGTGTTGATGTTGTGGTCCTCCAGGATGAAGCCGAGTAGCTGCCGCTTGACGCCCTCCTGACGCTGTTTGAGGAGTGCTGATTTGCCGATGAACTCCACACCCTGAAAAAGTAATGAACAATATAAACAAACTCGCAGTCAAGTCTATCATAAGTCAAATCTGAAGTAAAGAACGATAAGAAAGGAACGGCTTTATCACAGTTCATTTGAAAATCTTGCCGCTTGATTTAAGACAAGAGTGACTTGTGAAAGACTTGACTACATCTCTGGTACTTGAAAAAAAGGTGAGCTTTGGTATCACAGATAAAAGAAGAAAAGGACCTACTTTGAGTAATTTAAAGCCCAATATTAAATCAATATCTTCCAAACTGAAAAATTAGTGAGAAGCTGATCAATTTTTGAGTACATTTTTTCTCTCAAAAATTATTCATATACATTGTTGAAATATGGAAATACAGTGTTGGAAAACCTTAGTTGGTTTATCGTCACTGATAGCACAAGTAAACACCTTGTTCTAGTTCTATCCATAAAAATATATTAAAAAAATTCCCACAGCAATGAATGCCAGGGCAAACAGTCTGTTAAGCTGCATAATTAATTTATAAAAAAAATGTGTATAGAAACAACCAAATTCAAAGCAAATTTCCAACAATACTGATGTCTCACTTTGTCAAACTTGACTCTCATATCTCGGCCGATCTCATACGGTGTCGTGGTGGAGTCGAAATCCTCGCCCCAGTAGAAATAAAATTTCTCGATCCGCAGCCACCTGAGTGCGTAGTAGCCAGCGTTGCGGATTCCACAATCCTTACCAGCCTCAAGCAAAGCATCGTATACCTGAACAGCTGTCTACAAACAGAAGCAAAGCAGTTTCAATAGAAATTTTAGGGCAGTCGCTCTTAAAAAGCTGCTGAAGGTTTAACAAACTAAATTAGCCACCATCTAATATTGGTGACTTTTGTAGGCTTATTGACTCCGTGCACAAGTACCTCTTCAACGGTTACAAAAGGGAGAGTTGGACCCCACTGAAAATAAGGCGAAAGACTTTTGTGGTCTATTCCGACCGAATGCCAAATAATTATAAACAGATTTAGCGTGCACTAACCTCATTGGGTATGTACAGCACCATACCGTCCTCCCCTGCATGTGTGATAGTCATAGCTTTCACTCCGGTCGCAAAACCTACATTCAACTCCTTTAAAAAAATAAAAAAATAAAAATCACAAGTTAGAAAAAGGGTATAAAAGTGTAAACGAGCAATTATAACTGGAGATATCAAACGGACTAGAGGACTTGTCTCAGAAAATGGACCTGCCTGAATCCCCATTCAAAAATACTTTTCTCTCCGGTTAAAAATCACTTTAAAAACTTGAGAAAAAAAAATTGACAATTTTGTTTCATCATTTTAACATTATATCCATGCTTTGGCCACTTATCTGTTATACTTCTCTTGCTCCATATTTATATTAATGAGAATCCCAACCGCGGGGCCAAAGCCACTGAAAGTGGCGACTACAAACAAGACAAAAAGAAGCAGGTTAAATAGACAGCGGGAATATGTCAATAGTTTCCTTGAACTTTGATAAATCATAAGAAGAGGGAAAACAACATTTTGACTTAAATCAGTTACTTTGTTGGCCAGTATTTTTTGACTCGGAGCCACTGACCTTGAAGGAGAATGGCCTAAAGTCGGCCGAGCTGAGTGATGTTGTGGTCAGTTTCTGTAGCACATCCCTGGCCTTAGGCCCCAGGACATTCAGGCCAGCGTACTGGTTGGTCAGATCTCGCAGAGTGACCGAGCCGTCCGGAGGCAGGTGATTGGAGATCCAGTGATGAGCCTTGACCAGCTGAATGGTTGGACAAATGATGAAATATCTGCAAACGGAAGAAAGAGTTAAGGGTGGATAAATATAGATTATTTAAACCAAGGTATTAGATTAAGAATGTCCATTGAATGAGAATATTCTGCATGAAGACCGGAGTACATCAACTCATGTACATGAGCTTGATCATTGTCATGGTTGAATTTTTTGTTTAGCTGCTTTGTACAATACAGCTGCACAAAGTAGGTAACGTGTTGTTGGCTTGTTATTAACTTGTGATGGGTTTGATCCCAACTCTGAGGTTCGGACTCCCTTGATGAAAACTTTCAACATAGCTCTAATTTTTGAAACGAGGCTAAAAACCAATCCCTGCACAAGTTCCTTTGTCTCTCCCCCCTATGTGACAGAAATACAAAATGCAACAACAACCTACCATTACTTCCAGCGAGAAAACATTCAAATAAGTGCAATGACCTTTCTTATTGATCTTCAAATAATATGATTTTCTTTTCATTCAGCCTCATTTGTTCCTGTGTGTCATGTCAAATGTCTTTTCTTCTGTGCCTTCTTATTTATGTGTTTCAAATTGATTTGACCAAATAATTTCAGTTGAGGTTTTTATTAGTTTTAACATTGCTTCTTGTTATATTTCTTAAGTTATCTTATTAACATTATTTCCTAATTTCTTTTATTATTGTTCTGGTGTTTTAAAAAAATGTTTTATGACAGTATTTTTTTTCTCAAAAATCTGAAATTGGGAGGGGGGGGGTGATTATCTTAATCGATCTGATATCTGACAAACATTGTACTGATTCATCGGCCCATTTTTTAGATACTGAAAATACACAGTGTGAGAGCAATAAACTTTAAGATGCTAATCACAGTCAATTGACCAAGTCATCTTGTTCGCAAAAGCAGAACCTCGAAGAGTGTGTGGTATCATGTCTCCAAGCGATTAGCGGCAATTCTTTTTCGCAAATACACAGCAATGAAGTGTATTCTCATGTCTGCAAGCAGTTAGCGTCTCCTCCGTCACCACTTCCAGTGATTGATGTTTCTTAATAGGTCCAACTTGAGTGTGTGTCTCCAAACAAACGTGTCTTACAAGTCAATTCACAATACTAGTTTTCGTTTTTGTACGATAGATTTCAATTCAACTCCAGAGCTTACTATGGTTGAATACATTACTTTAGTTGTGCCGCGCCATAAAAAGACACATAACTCTGGTAAACTGTGTTGATAAAATGATCCATCACTAGCATTTTAACATGACATCAGCAACATCGTGCAGCCCCACTATACTCTGCACACTGCTGTAGTTTTGAACCGGTACCTGAGTGCCCGACCGCTGATGTCAGATCGGATGCTTGTAACCAACTTTACAAATTAACTTCTCAGACAATGAAAAAGAAAGGTTTTGAATACCAATTTTGGGGAATTTTCAAAATGAAAACCAGGCTACATGGAATACACAAAAACAGATTTGCATTTTACTGCACGACAGATGACGCTCGTGAAAGTTGGGGTTTTAAGCCGCAAAGCTATAAAGCCCTTCAGACAACTTCCGGAATTAGAATTTTGGGGTTGGTTTTTTTTTTACAGGTACCCGGGTACCAGTGTTATACTCAAATAGGTTACCCGGTGCCCGTACTACCCATAAATGCACACCACTATCAAACACAAAACTGCCGAGAACTGAAGACTGTTTTGCAATGTCTACAAACACAAGTTGATTTCTTACTATCCTGCACCGTGGGTAAAGCAGAACTTAATTATGCCGTGAATGACAGCTTGTCATGAACCATTCGAGTTACATTTGGCTTGTGTAAGTAAGACGATGGATGACTAAAACAAGACAAACATATATCTGTATTAATGTTGTAGGGACAGCGGGACATCATGTTGAAATATGAAACTGTCGTCCTTTAGAAAGCATGTTTGGTATAATTGAAGAACGTGTCTAGTGCAGGTTACTGTTAATGCATAACTGTTTCTTTTTATAAAGGCGTATAGTATTATTTGCTTTTCATACATTTTGTTCTTTTCAAATAATTACACCACTCAAAATCCAAAAAAGTATCCGTTGGAAATTCCAGCTCAGTGGATATTACACTTTTCGAGAAAACAATGACAATCTATGCACAACCTTTTGGTCACAAAACACGATGTTAATTACTCTTTATTTACAATTAGCTGATCAATCTGAAAACACCTACTGTACATTACATTTTTAAAAATAATTTCAAGGGGTGTTTAGTACCATTGTGACCTCTAATCCAACTAAGTTTTTTGATGACAATTTGCTAGGTAACTTTTGTGATAAATGTACATGATCCTATATATGCCCTTTAAAGAGTACAATGTATATTTTGAACTGTACCACTGTACTTTTCTGATGAAGCACTTCGACATTAAAAAATGTCTCACACGAACTTGTCGAACTAAATGTCTTGCAAGAACAAATAATGACATGCCATCGGCTCTGTGTAATCCATTGCCAGTTTTAATGGATAACACACAAGCGTGCATGTAGCATCGACGAGCTACTAATGTAATTTGAGTTAATGTTACAGGTTTGCTTGAGCTAACGGAATTATAAATGTGTTGGTTGCTCTGCAAAGTGAATGTGGAAGATAGGGGACCCGTTGTTTCCTAGATACCCTAAAGCGTATTACGACAATAAAAATGATATGTAAGACTATAAATAATATTAGTGGAACACAGAATAATGTGTCTCTGTCTGTGCCCCATATGACACAAGAATGAAGGCTGAGTGGTAGCGGTATATGGGGCATGGACACAGTGACACTACATTATTCCGTGTTCCACATGCGCAAGTAGGACAACAAATTTATCTTCAAGCAAATCTGACGCACAGTAAAGATGGAACATGCACACTGTACACGAACTTTTCAGAGGTTATCAAATTACATGCGCTTGCAGCAGGAATGGCGCGCACATCTTAGAAAATCGTGATATGTAGAATGCCATATGGCCAGACCATGGTATGTGGGATAATGCCATGAACGACCAATCAGAATCGAGGATTCAAGTTTGCTTGAAGATCCATGTCTATTTAAAGACACATTTCTGAATTATAAAAGTTTGATAAATTAGCATTAGCAGTAGGGAACAAGAAAAACATTGACCAAACAAATGGACAAAATGAAATGAGGGGTAATAAATGATTGATGCTTGTGGATCTAAAGTTAAAGAAGGACCAGTTAAAATAGGACGTAACTACAATAATCTCATAACAAACTTCAGATATAATAAGTACAACAAGGACAGTATCAATAACTTTTTTTTCAAATAAAAAAAAGAAGATATCTGGTTATCAAAAATGTGTTTACCTTGTAAAAAAAATTATCAAAAGCTAGCAGGCCATTTGTTTTATAGTGTAAATGTTCTCATGTTTATGGGAATACAGACGATTGATTGTAACAACACATGCTGAATTCTCATTTGATAACAAACCTACAGTGTACTTATATTACATCCACATCAAGTCCAAAGTCCCAACGTTTGTAATTTTACGATAAAGATTTGTCTTTCATTTTGCTTTTTTCTATTGTGCCAATTTTTTTTTAATAACAACGAAAAATTCTTTAGAATTGGTTAAATATGAGCAAATTGAAAGAAACTTGTTGTGGGTTAAAATCCATTCCAAGCTGGACTGTGCATAATTCTTAGCTGATTCTTTTCTACTAAGAATTATTGCGAGAAAGTTTGATCAGAGCCTTTTTCAAGTTGACGTTACTGTGCAGCCTCTTCTTGATTACCAGGCCATAAGATCGTAAAGTAAACCGACGTAAGCTGGTCATCCTGGTCACAGTTCAATGACGGCTCACAGCGGCAGATGTAGACTGCCTTTGGTATCTTCCATGATGGCAAGTGTGCCTCCTGGTCAATGATGCGTGTGTCGGTGTCATTGTTGACCATGTATGCTCAGATATTGTGAACAAATGCTCTCCGAAAGCACTAATCTAAACATGTATCATTTCTATCACAAAGGCTCTCTTGTGCTAGCTGTGGCTTTTGCCATTAAGGGGCTCCCCATCATGACTGTACAGTGGTCACATGACAAAAATTGGTGAAGGATAAAACGTAATGTTAAAATAAAGAAACTTATTAAAGTTGAGGCATTCATAATCCTCATAATATTTCCAATGCCACATTTTTTTGGAACTACAACATCGGTATGTTCACAACTTTATGGACATATATTTTGCATATTTTTGGAATTCGTTTTGGAATCTTTCTGCAACTTTTTTCCATCTAAAGTTCAAAGTGTATTTTTCATAAGTTGTACAGATTCAGCAATCAATGCAGTCGCATTTGCGAAAAACTTTACAGCCAGTGGCTGCCATTTTGCGAAGCGTCTCCCTGAATTCCTTGTTTCTCAGGCAGAAGACGACTGCGTCGATCCAGTTGGTGCTGAAGAAGAGAAAATCTGTAGTATATATGACGGCAGACGGAACGTTGACAGTGTCCACGAGTTCAATTATTAGTGATGGCATCCAGCCCACAAAAACTACCGCGGATATAATAATGACTGTGCTGAAAGATTTGGTGTTCTTTCGGGCGGGTCCCGGTATTGGCTGGTTTTCCTGTGCAATACGCCGTGCTTGGCGACGGGCAATAACCAAAATATGCAGGTACAGCATCAAAATAATAATCAACCCAATGATAATTAGTACGACTAGGATATAATGTAGCACGAGTCGTGCTGCCAGGTCACATTCCGTGCTGTCGATTGTCTGATGTTTGTGAAAGAATTCCACATGTCCGCAAAACGAGACAATGAGTGCTAAGATCCAATTGAGCAGAGTGATGGTTTTCGCTCGGCGCAGAGTCATCAGGCGGGAATAATGCAGACACCAGGCGACAGCCAGGTACCGGTCAACCGTCAGCTGCAACAGGGACAGGAAACATATCAGGCCAAACATGTATTCACCGACCACGGAGAAGGTAGCACACAGGAAACTGCCGAAGGGCCAATAACCGGTGATTAACGACAAAGTTACCGGAATGCACACCAGGAGCCCGTAGAAGAAGTCAGCAGCAATCAACGATGCCATGAAGACTTTATTGGTTGACTGGGTGTCCGGCACCCGCCAGATGACACACAAACAGAGTGGATTAAGGGTCAGTATCAAGATTGTAGTCGGAACGTTAAGCGTTACACTAACGATTCGTAATGTTGACCAATCAGTGTCCGAGTCCGGATAGGTTTCTGGCCAATCAGTGCTTGTTGAGTTGACCAGCTGCTCCATCGCAGTTACATTATTAGCATCAGCCATTATAACAATATCGGATCCTTGACTGCTGACAGCAACACAACCGCTGACCACCAGAAGTGCCCTACTTTGCAATGCAAGAAATGCATTCAAACAAATGAAGTGACAAAGCATCATTTCTCCCAACAATCCAAAGAGACACAAGAATTTTCAGATGTTGAGGTTTCCAGGCTGAGCACAAGTTCAACACCGTTTCACAAACTGAAAGCGTAGAAATCAGAGAGTACAAGTAGATGACTACCGACCTGTCCATGTGGTGTCTCCCATACACACACACACTCTAAGTCCCAATATTTGTTGCCTAGAGACCAGATTGCCTACTGCTTCATGTATTCTCTGGAAACACTCCTTTTAATCATTCTGGCGAGCAGATATGTATGAAGAGTAACTCGGTGCCAAAGTGCAACTGATTATGTGTATATGAATAATCAATGTTTTAGAAACCATTTTGAAACCGCAAATGGCAAGTCAGGCAACGTATTGATCAGAGTACAAACAAAACACACATCTGCTTGGGACTTCATATCAGCGCGCCAGAGTACTGAGATGAGGAATTTAAGAAATCTAACAAAAGAAAACGAAAAGCTGCTTTTTAATATTCAAAGTTTGGCCCTTTGCCTATGGAGTACCGAAGTGTGACGTCATTTAGAACCAGAAAGTGTAGTGCAAACGAATAGAGTACGCGCACGTGTTGGTTCACGGGCCGAATCACGCGCTAATGTCTTTCACACACATTTTGTGCGCGTGACGTATTCACTTCGGTACTCCATTTGGCATTGAACAACATAATACTCGTATTGCTTTATCACTTCCACTTCATAAATGCATCGGTTTTAATTGACTGAACCTTTGACATCTGGATTGCTATTCCAGTGCTCTACCAACTGAGCTATCCAGCCCTATGCTGGTGGTTCCTCAGTTTGTCAATGTCTTCATTCAAAGACATTAGTCAGAACCCATAAACCTGTCATATGTACACTGACACATGACAGATCAGTTTAGCACAACAATTTACCAAAGTAATTGCATATGGTGGCGCCAGGGAGTATTATACTCATTTACTCAATAAACCGGATGATAAAAGGGCAAACAAAACATCGTTAGTTACCTGGAAGAATCTTTTGATTAGGCCCGCATTATAAATTGCTATCAATATCACAATTCTGAGCCTCAGAGTGAACTGAATAACTAAAGTGTGGTTTGCAGATAATTCATCTTGATATAAATGGTTTCTTGTTTCTTCACAGATGAGACTAATATGTCATGCAATGGTATTTGCCAACCTCACCGCCAGAAGATTGATTATTTAATTTGATAACATTTGCTGTGAATCAATGCTGCATTCGTCATTGATGAATACCGGTAAGTTAAAGAATCTATGAAATGGACTTTAAACTCAAACAATTTTGTACAAATACCTTTTCTGTGAAGGGTACGAAAATCACTCTTTTTTGGGGGGGGGGGTCCCTCGCCTTTTTTTTCTGTGACGTCATTGAGATGACAGGAAAAGCATCCTCAATTTCAGGAAATTTGTTTCTGAGAGGCTGTGCACTGCTTTTTGTTAAATCCAAATTGAAATTTGGGTTGTTTTTTTGTTTAAACTTTGGATGGGATTTTGTTTTTACGTAGCTTCCTAAAGAAAATAATAAAAAGGAAAGAAGAAACAAAGGCTGCTTCAGGCACACATTTTAGAGTCTTGGATTTACCAGAAAATTCAGACCACTTACGAACCCAAAATGTAGCCCAATGAAAATATTAATTTGTAAAGACTGCACCAACAAATATCCTTGGCAATTTTGAAAGTGGTAAAACAATCTTAGGAAATCACTTTTTTCCCCCAGATTATGTTGAGCAGTCTGCCTGTTTATTAATTACTAAAAAAAACCAACAAAAATCAATTTACTTAGACATTTAGAAATAATATGATCAAGCATCCTGTTAAATCGTTGCGCCTAGTATGCTGTCATTTTTGAGAAATAAGGAATTACTATCATTTCCCTGGGATGATTAGGACCAAACCATCGCGCTGTCAAGGGAAACCTGTGCTTTGTGTCGAGAAAAATGAAGATGCATTTTCGCCGATTTCTAAAAAAATTAGTATCTACCGAGCTGAAATTTCGACAGGTTATTTTTTTTTAATAGTCTGCCTCAGATTTATTGTATTGTACCTTGAATCAGCAAAAACATATTTTTTTTTCAAATTGCATCCATTAGCTTTTAAAACAACACAAGAGTCTTACAAAGAAAGGGAAAAGCAAGCGATGAAGTCAGGGTATGGTAAACCATTCAGCCGAGAAGGTTTCGGATGACGTCTTGATCAACCACCACCATGGTAAACACACTACCCTGCACAGGCCTTGCAATAGGACAGTGGATAGTCCTGTTTCACCTACGAAGTTTGGATGTTTTGGAGCTGAAAAGCCAACAAATTGTGTACGTGAGACAGCATCACATACAGACTATGTGAACGTGGGCCTGTCACCAACAGCTCTTTATAGAAAGTCAACACAGAGACACATTGAACATGAGACTAATGTTTTTGACATATTGATTCATCTGCCATGTGCTGCTTGGCGACAGGGACATTTTCACTTAACACTTGTCCTCTCCTCATAAACACTGTACTCTCCCATCAATTAGTGACATGACGTGAGACTAAATAGGGACACACAAGACAAGTACTAGTACATAAGTACATTCACGTTCAACTTTTCAATAGTTCTTGCTTTTCTTTAGCTTTCTTTGGTTTTCTTGAAGTTTCTCTTTTGTTGTTGATATCCTGATATTATAGGGATTATTTTCTGGAGAATTTCGGCTGACTTGGTAACTTTGATTTCTGGGGTCTTTGGTTTCCAGGGGTTACCTTGGATTTTTATTTAAGTCTAAGTTTGTCAAGGAATCTTATTTTTCCTCGTTTGTCGTGGGTTTTGAGGGTTTCCTCAAGATGGTCATGGGATCTTGGGGATTTTGGGGTTTTCTTAGGTTTTCCTTGAATCTAGGATTATCTGGGGTTTCTGATGATGATAAATTTTCTTGGAATCTTAGGTGTTCTAGTGTCTTAGGATTCTTGGGATTTTGAATATATTCTTGAGTATGCTAGGGCTCTAGGATTTTTCTTCATGTCTTTGGAATTCTTGTTTTTTTTCCCCCAGGCATCACATTACTCACACATTTGAGTAAATACAAAAGAGTGTATCTACTCTTAATTAACGTCCTCCTATTGTGTCAGAGAAATTGACAGAAAATTAGATTTTGTATTACTCACCGATTTGTATCAAGCCGTGCAATACTACAGTCACACTCATAACCACCTCTCTCGTTCAGCATTCCTGTATGTACAACGCTACCGATGGGACAGTCTAGATCATTAGGGCACAGGCGCTGTAGCAACATGGTAGCTTCATTTCCCAGGGACTAGAAAGCAAGACATTTGAGGGAAAGTTAATCAAAGCCGAGTTGTACTCAAAACCTCACAAGTAATCACAAGTCAAATCACAAGTCAATCACAAGTCCATCACAAGTCCATCACAAGTCAATCACAAGTCAATCACAAGTCAATCACAAGTCAATCACAAGTCAATCACAAGTCCATCACAAGTCGATCACAAGTCCATCACAAGTCACTGAAAATCAATCACAAGTCAATCAAAAGTCATCACAAGTCAATCAAAGTGCCAAAGATTATAACCTCAGTCTCAATCTAACAACTTTTTCTTTGTCACCCAATAGTTCTCACATTAATGCTAAACATTTGTGATATCTTGGGATATCAGTCACTCACCGTAAGCTCCAATTTAGTGAAGGCAGACATATCCATAAGGCAGACGGATTCTCGACAGGCCCAGTACTCAGACTCTACCAGGCCAAACCACTGGGGTTTGCCAAACGTCCCTCGCTGAGTCTCATGGGCAAACTCATCTAAGAGAGGGAGTTGAAATCAAGGCATCCCAAGTCATCACATTTTAATCTAAAGTCAATCACAGACCAAGCATAGATCTTTGATAAGTGATCTAGTTGCGTGTTAAACGAGGACACTTTATTTAAATAAACTACAACAAATTACATTCCTTTGTCACTGTAAACTATCTAAAAATCACATTTTTAAAATGAACACAAAAAATGGTAGGTTTTCCAATACTAACTATGTCATTCATTCCATACCTGTATCATCAGGTGCCATATACCATTTGGGACGTTCCACCCCCATTCGTTCCCCAAACACCGCCCCGCCTTGCCCCAGCCTAGAATAGAGGGGTGGGCAGCGTAGCTTACGCCCAGTCCTGTGGGAGAACGCTGGGTAAGCTACGCGATAGTGAATACCTAGGATTTGAAAGAAAAGGGCTTGATATTACAAACAGGTCAGTTGTTAATATTGCATGGTACAAAAACTAACTTAGCCAAGTGGGACCCATTGCAGTTTTGGTTGAATGCTCGCTGTTTGTATCCCATATACACCTTTGCAGATCACGCCGTCCTTGACCAACTCGTTCATCTTTGAAAGTGATTAATGTGTCCCTTGTGGATGCTGTCAGATTAGGTCACCCACAGGTGTGCTTTTTGGATACAGGGGTGACCCTTGTGACCATGTATGTTCCTTAATTTAGCCCTTCACACCTCGACTTGCTCTCGGCCTGATGATGGGGATTTCCATTTTACTTTCCATTTTTCCTTTAAAAATGCTTCAAAGTAACTTATTTCAGGAGAAAAAAACAATTGTTTTAATAGCCAGCAGCTCCAGATTTACTTTCTATTTCTTTCACTCTTGCTCGGAGGAATGCCTTGCTGTTGTGTTGTGGGCTGAAGCGTTGTACGTCGACTGGCCAGTAGTCCATGTTGGTGTGGCCGATGGCGATCAGTCTGGCAAGGAGCTCTCCCGCACCTCCGGCATGCGTCAGGCCGAGGGAGCCAAAGCCAGCAAGCACAAAGTAATTCCTGACCTGGACAAAATTAGGAGATTATCAGGGGCGGATCCAGGAATTTTTGCTCGGGGGGGGGGGGGGGGGGGGGGGGGGGTTCATCAGCAAAAAAATCTGAAAATGTAGAGTTTTTTTTCTCCGGACACTTGGCCTCCTTTTCAATAGGAGGCGCTGTTCAAATTCGACACTAGATTACAGAATGGTGTACCGTATTTTGAACAGGCGGACATTATACCAGAGCTGGGGGGGGGGGGGGGGATTCCTTACCTCCGGGGCCTCCCCAATGATGAACTCCCCATCTGGTGTGAAGCTCTCAGGACTGTTGTAGAGCTTCTCAAACTGAACATCGCTAGCCTGGGGCACCCTGTGTAAGAAACCCTCTAGCAAATGTCCTGAAGATGGGAAACAACACTTGATGTTTATAAAATTGCGCCAAATTTCATGTGCTAAGCGGAAATATGCTGAGAACATTTACAAACATACAAATATTTTATTTTGGCCGACAATCATTTTCTCCACTCAGCAATTTTCTGTGTTTATTAGCACCAAGGAATTGGCCCATGTATAAAAGGTACAGCTTCTGCTGGTTTGACAGTGTTGCTACTTGATAATTTTGTCTTAAATAAATTCAGATTGCTGCTTGTCATGTTAGGACAAGGAAATTATCAAATACATGGACAACAAAATACGAGGGTGATTGGAGAGGTCAGAATCGAACACACTTTTTCTATGATTTGAAAGAAATAATGCAGAGTTTGATGTTCTTTTGTATGGAATCATCACGTTTATACACAACCCACTTTCAATAAAGGTTTATAAAGATCTGTAAATGAGTTAACAGACTGAAGAAAGAATATAAACGATAAAGAAGCAGATGGGCAAACAGTTTGAATATTTTGTGTTTTCTAAGCTTGCAAATGAGACTGCACAAAAAAATGCAAAATATATTATTCTTTGCAAACAAACGGTGAAATCAAATATAACAATCTGACTGAAATTTGAAAAAGAACTGTACAACCATACGCTGAGAGTATAAAGTTCCAAAAGAATCTTACGAAAGTGATCCCAATCATCCGGTAAGTGGATGTGTTCCGAGTCTTTCTTGAGTGGTAGACCCTCCTCAAAGACAGGCTTTCCCTTGGGTGCGTAACCTCCAAACAAAAAGCCTCCACTGTGCTCCTGTATGTAGAGTAGGCTGTCCATATCACGCACAACTAGGGAAAACGAAAGCACTACAATCATTTAAGGAATTTACAAGACCAGGAATGTTATTCTTCTCTTGGGACCATTAATTTTTGGGAACACAATTCTTATGACTAGGTTTTTACATATATGATCCGGGAATTTTTATCCATAACGGTCTTCAGGTTTTCTCATGACCCCTGGTGAGCCCAACTACTGAAAGTAACAGAATCCAACACAATTTGCCAAAATTGCCCATTGGATAAGGGATTAGGTCTACTCACATGGGCCGTTGCCGTCCAACGTCCGACTCTTGATCGGCTTTGTGATGAGGTACTGCTGGGCCAGTGGGTACAGTGGCACTCGGACTTCTGGTGAGCTGGCAAGACCGAGGGCACGGGCCCACTGCATTGTGGGATACCAACACAAGAAATTTGTTTGGATTATTCATTTGTTCAAGCTAATTTGGTAATTGTTGAGGCCATTTCAGATGTCAGGCAATTTGTTCTAGTGAAGGGTTGCGGTAACACCATGTAGATATCTCTTTTGGGAAGATGTGTGGTTCTGAAAAGAACCGATTGGTTGTAAAACTTGACGTTTCGATCAGTAGTTGAAGAATCTTCATAATTTAGTTTTTTAAATTACATAGAAAATCCAAATCAATTTGAAATCTTTTGCAACATTTGATTTTGTTTTGGTCTGTCAGGTTTTTTTTAGTTATTATTTATAAATTCGATGTGATACGTACCAGTCCAGCACAGTTGACAAACGCCTCACATTCAATGCTTCCCCTGTCTGTGTGTACACTAGAAACACGACCGCCACTGCTCACTACTCGCTTGACTTCAATATTCTCTAATAACGTCACACCTGTTTTATAGCATCGGGAAATGTATTTTACTAAAAACTTTTCAGAAAACCATTTAAACAACAGAATGACAAACAAGCTTCTCAGTTGAGTTGACCAAAAAAGTTTAATTTGGTATTCACAGTGGGTTCAGATATCAATTATTAAACAATTTTGAATGTATAGATTTCTGCAACACTTAATGTGAAGTTTGCGGATTTGTGTCCCATCAAAAGAAGTTTGCTTCCTCGGAGACCGACAGTTCTAATTCTTCAGAATCAGTGGGAAAAACTAGGTGTTGGATTTAGGTATGGTTGGAATTTTTGCCAAGATTTGTTGGTCAATGTGTCTGACTCATATGCAGAGGTAGGTGGGTTTAATGATTCAATCCCCAACATTGATGGATCATGGTATTTGTGTTCTTGGGCAAGGTACTTTACTACAATTGTTTTTCTCCCCAAAAGACTGTAAATAGGTACCTGCGAGGAAAGAGAGGAAAGAATGCTGATTTTGAAAATAGCCCGATGAACAGAAGCAATAACTCTGAAATGATTTTTTTTTGGGGGGTAGGGTTTATGAAAACTACTAACTGTACGTTTCAGGTTGATGCTGCTGCAAACTTTTACCGAGTGTTACCCTATCAAAGCTTACCCCTATCGTTAGCTGCCTTAGCCAAGGCACGAGTGACTTCTTTCACCTGTACACTTGCATCATCCCGGACAAGCAAACCTCCTTCCAAGTCATCTGCTCGTATCCATGGCAATAATCTGTGTACATCTCCCATGCTTAGGAGCTCGCTGTCTATTCCCCAAGCCCTGGTTTTGAAGAAGCACAAAAATGAAAAATGTCAAATTACCAGACAGTCAGTGCTGTCACGGGCCCAATGTCACATTGTTTATTTCTGTGTATACATTGAACTCAATCTATTGTGGCTAATACCTGCATAGTGTTGATATACTCTGTAGAGGTATAAGTGCTTTTGGGCAAGACTCTTCTGAGAGAAATTGCTTCTCCAAACCCAGGAGTCAAACGTTATTGCCCATTTTTACATATGACACAATAAGAGGTTTATTGGTGTTTACTAGGATGCATTCTCAATCAATATCCTCCAACTGCCTCCACGTAACAAATTAGATACAGCCTCAATCGACTGGCAATTGCCTCAATCCTCCATAATCCTCCCAAAGCGCTGGTTGATTTTGGAGGATTGAGGATGGTTAGGGTTAATCAAGCAACTTGTTAAGATGCATGTATGGAAACCAATGTCTATAAGACTTACTTTGCATTTGCGTGTCTTTTCTGCAGTTCCACCATAAGATCTTTAGTCTGCCCTATATTCACACTGCCACAGCGATGTAAACCTGTGAAAGCAGAATACCAACGACATCGAGGCTGACTGATTCTACAGCTCTATTTTCCAATTGGTATGTTACAGTAAGTAGCAGCAGCAACAGACAATAATGCCTGCTTTGGACATGACGTCACCAAACCACTAATACACACAGTTATTGAGGAAGGCAAACATTCAGTCACACATTTCACAAGTGAACCAAATCTTCCAACCTGAATTCAGTTTCACTTCACTTTTGCAAACGGATCCACAAGCAAAGTAAAACTTCCAATGAACGAATCACGGCCAGAAAACATGACTTAGGGAACGAGGGGAACAAATTTAATGCTTTAGGAACAAACGAGGACAAACAAGATGGCAGCGCCCATGGTCTTCAGCGACAGTTCACGAGAGGGAACCATACCAGAACTGACGCAAGACTGCAGTTTAATAAATTCAACGATACAATTATTGAATTGCAATGTTACAACATTACTACCAACCAGTCTGGATTCCCGTCTCTGCCTCGAGTTGACTGTACAAATCGTAGCTCATCCTGCTTAGTCTGGTACGGAAATGTGACCTCCTTAGTATTCCCAGAATACCGGATGCATTCCATGTTGTACCGCTGGCTAATCTGTGATGGGGAAAGGGAACAATCAAACAAAATAATGTCATTATCTTTCAGGTATCCATAAACCAGAGACATTTAATAAGTATCACAAGTACAATGACTCAACAAATATGTACCCTGTTTCATAACTTGCTTGATTTTTATTCACATTTTAAGCCAGTAATCTGATACAAAAAACATTTTATGGAATTATTTTTCAGGATTCCTCTTTATATTTGAAATTCTACTCAGCCTTCTAAATAATCATCCAAAAATAAAGTTTTTAAGTTTGTACTATGAACAAAGATGGTTATTCATTATACATCAACACCACTTAAGGAAGGAGCAAGATGCTCCACTGTAAACTCCAAATTTGAATGCTGTTCCTGTTACTTCTGCCTGTGGGCCAATTAAAAACCCTGGAACTTGCTCTGGCGTGCAGTCTAGTTGGGTTCCATGACCATAGGGTTTGGCGTAAAGAACAAAAACTAAAATGTCTGTTTTTCTTACAAAATAATCATGATGACTCACTTTCCCTGTTCCAGAAGAACCACGTCCTTCCAGCCCAGTTTTGCCAGGTGATAGGCTGTGGACAAACCTGCAATCCCACCGCCGCATATCACGGCGCGAGCTCGCTGAGGTAGGTCAGAGGTGGTGCTGTGGTCAGCATCCTGAGAGAAGGCACAGCTGCAGCAACTAATGAGTGGATGTCGTGTCGACCTCAGCAGAGTGCAACTGCTGCTGTTTATCAGGACACGGCACATCGGATGGCTTGAAACTCTCAACATGGTATTTTCTGCATTTTTGTTATCTACTAAAGCAAAAATTTTCAATTTTTAAGTTTATACAATAGAAAAGGGAAAAATTTAAATAGGCATGTGCAAAATGCCTACTGCAATAGCAGAAGCTATATGAAGAATTTTATTTGATTATGAAGTAATAATAAAACTTTAAAGAAAATGCTTGTAAGTTGTATTAATAACCTTGAAATTTTTTTTTTGGAACGGTCAGCCCAACTCGGCCACCATCTTGAATCTAAAAAATGAAAAACATGTCAGTTTACCAATACGAGGCTTATGACTATCTATGACACTTCATGGATACTCTTGTGGTTCATGTCATTTAGAATATACCCATGTTCACTCAAAATACATGCAACTAAATTTTTTAATAAAACGGTTCTACGCCCTATCCATTCCGTAACACACACCCCCCCCCCCCAAATGTCCGAGAAACTTTGACACTTATCGCCTGTTTAAACATTCGGACAGTTACTGTCCGAATGGCGATAAGTAGCATCAAAGTTACTTGGACCATGGAGCAAGGAAAACGGCTTGGACTACCCCCCCCCCCCCGAAAAAAAACCATAGGTATTCATTGTCCGGAAACTGGGCCTATATAAACATGCAGCAAAAACTCAACAATCTGGCCGATTCATTTGCTTCATACATCTTATCTGTAGACATTATACTTACCTAGTATATGTCAAGTCATTTTCACCTCTATCTTTATTCGTTGCTTTCAACTTTTCGACTGTTTATTATCAACAAGACACAGAGCAACGAACCGAACTTCCGTACGTGCAGAAAACTAATAACCCGACTATGTAACGCAGATTGTATGCGTTTTGTAGTGCTGTGCTTGGGAACAAGACTGAGCCGTTTCTTAAAATCCGGCTTCGTTCTGTTTCAGGCTTCAGTACTTCGCCAAAACCGGACACATAACGTAGCCGGGGTTTTAGAAAGAGATTAATCATATTTCACAACTTCCTATTGGTCAAAAGTACGAGAAAAGGGCTGGGGGGGGGGGGGGGGTGCGCAAACTCTTGTAAAATAAAACAAGCCCTTTTGTTAAACCAAATAACCTAATAATAAAATTTAAAAAAATAACAATTGGATCCAGCCCCCAAACCCCTCATTTTCCAAGCAAAGAATGACCTGGGAAACATAGCAAAAGATCATGAACACACCAAAAAACAAACAAATCATGACAACTGCATTACTTTTTTCCCGATTGTATTTAATACAAAACCAAAAGCTACCCCAGAAATATTCAGTGAGAAGAAAAATGTCTCAGTTTATAACCTCCAAACATCACAATGAAAACATAAACTCATATAACATTGTCACAGCCCAATATCTAACAAAGACACTCATTACAACAAATATGGGTCTTTTTACAAGAAATCCATCCAAATCTTCTCGAGGTTCAGGTTGTTGTGGCCATAAATAAAACTAGGTACAGTCTCCCCAATATTTCTTGTGCTGTATCTTTCATTACATAGGAATTTACTTCGGAAGATTGAAAATTTTAAGTTTCCAGGCAGTGCCAGTTATACAGCATCATTAAAAATACAAAATGATTAAAAATGCAACAACGGCTAGCATAATTTAGTTACAACCTATAAGCTCCAAAATAACATTATTTCATCGAGCAATAAATACAGAGTGGCAACAAACGATGTACAGTTTGACATTAAAAAGTGCTTGAGTGATCTCTGGGGCGAGTCATTACTACAGACCAGCGGTTTCAGACGTGTTCCATATTTTGAAGTGACTCAGGTTGAGCTAAAGTTGCAAGCATAACCACTGTGGACGAATATGAACCATTTTCTATGTTCATAAAGGAAATGGATCATTGCCAGCTCATAGAGATGATAGATAATGTATCTCTAGTGTAGATGCATGGTGCAAAGTGACACCAAGCACCGACATACTGAAGGGAATTCTCAGCTTTTCAACATAGGAGGGCCATCATCTCCATACAGCTCATTCAAAGAATTATTACCAACAAATTCAGACCGTCGTGCATGACAGATGATCACCACATTTTTTATTAGCTTTTATTCTTTTCTTTTTTACAAAACAGTACACTTAAACCCTGTCACGTATTAAAGTGCTCACTGAAAAATTTGTTCCGAACCCTTGGTCCAACAATGCAGAATTTATTGCAGAATGCAATGACCATTTATGTGCTGACCTAAAATGAGGTGAAAGGAGTCATAAGCAATGCCAATTGGACTGGCAACACGTATTTTGAATTTCCTGCATTCATCACATGTCTGAGCTTTGTAATTCAGTTAGTAAAATTGAGTAAATTTGCACATCAAAACATCTCCTCTCAACATGGCGCCAACTACATGTATAAAACAGAAATGACCTATCCTGCATGGGACTTGCAGTTGGACTATTTTTTAATTGTGTTCCCCTTGTTCCCAAGTTTCAAGTTTCACCTCGAAAATAGATTTGCTTTTTCAATTGCTAGTTGCCTAGAAATACAGAAGTTATTCACTTTTGAATGAGACATTGAACCAAAAAATCCACTGACGTTTAGTTATTTAATTATTTCCCCACAAAAATCTCACTATTGGCTGCCAGACAATAATTCAGCTCTCGCAGTGCGGGCTCAACTGTGCACAAAATATGAAATTCCTTTTTCAGAGGGTTGCAGATGCTCACAATTGGAACAAAGTAATTTTTTTGTTATAACAAAAATACAAATTGAATATTCGTGAAGAGAAAAAAATCAGTCAATATTTTGAAGAGCATGGGATATGCATAAGTTGAAAAATTTGCTGAAGAAATAATTATCAACAGACATTTGCTCAGAAAGAAAGATGGCTCAAAGGCAAGTTCATTCTTTACATGTACACAAATGTGAAGCAGATTTGACAAAATATGACATTCAAGGACATATCTTCCAATGTTCAAATGTGTTCAACTTGTTCAAATTCGCAGCACGAACACTTGCCGCGATGTCGCAAATTTGTTGAGGCATTTGCATTTGTGCCGTGTATTAACCAGTGTCATATGAAATTCGGACTCCTATGAAATCTGGTCTCTTATGGATTCTAACCCTCACACGTGACCTGTTACTGGCCCAAATATCTTAGGCATGCACAATACAACCAAGGAGTCCCTATTTCATAGAGTCCAAAGTTCACGCTACACCGGCCCTAAATTGAAAATTAGTCTGGTGAACTCTGTGCCATAATATGCACACCAACATAACTGTGCGGATGAGATTTGTCCTTCACTGCTTCTCGTGAGTAGTCTTATCAGTGCCATCTAGAATTCCTGAACAGTGTGTATAGTCTCAGAACACTCCCTTGTTCTCTCTGTCTTTCTTGCAGTCTCAATCATCAAGGACAATTAGATAATCCTCATCGTCCTCCTGTTCATTCACTGACGGCACCATCTTGGCTTTTTTAGCCGGCGTTGGAGAGGTCATGACCCCTGCGCCTCCTTCACCTGATGAGAGTCTGCGTTTCTTGCTGACCGGCATCGTTTTCTGGATGGCAGAGGCTTGGTCCATTTCTTCTTCTTCTTCATCAAGCATGACAAGGTCATCATCATCGTCGTCTCCTGAATAAAAAACAACAACACAATAAAAACCCAGAAAAACCAGAATGATTACTGGTAAAACAATGAGCTGCACCTAATGTTTTTTTAGTTTCATTCCAAAAAGTAGATTTGTTTTTAAATTGCTATTTTTCTAGCAAAACAAAACTTATTCACTTTCGAATTCGACATCAAAAGAAAAAAAATCTGCCCGCTTTTAGTCATGTAATGTTTACTGTACAAAGTTATCGTTTAGTTCATTATGGGCGCAAAAGCAACTCAAATCAAAGCATGTTTTCAGAAAGCTGAATTTGTCCAAAAATACAAAATGGTAGCTTTTTTGTTAAAAATATATACAAACTGAAAATTTGTTACGACAATTTTTCTTTTACATGTTAAAGAGCACGGGTAGAGCAACTTTAAAGGCATACAAAATTATTTTGGAGCCAGAACTAGATACAGATCCAAGGTTTGTAAAATGCCCAAAATCTGTACCTGGTGCAGGGCCAGCCTGACCATCGTTGGTGTTGCTAGTTGTACTAGGAGTCCGGGTACCATTCGTGCTGGTACCCGGTTGAGCCTCATCACTGGTTCCCGATGGTAGTTGGTCTTCTGTAGATTGCAATGGTTGAGGTTCTGAAGCTGCTGATCTATCCATGACCTCAAATTCCTTCTCATCTTCAAGTTTGTCACTGTGAGGAGATTTTGCATTTTGTTAATGAAATGTAAGCTTCACTAAAATGTCAACGCTGTAAACTCCCCCAGACCCAGAGTCCCAGTAACAAGTCACTTGGTTTGAGTCCGGTTCCTATTAAATCCATTAAATTAAAGGATACACGCATACATCCCATTCCCCAGAAATCATTGATGAACATCGTTCAATAATCTGGATTTTTATTCCTCACTTCACCAGTGTTGAGCAGTACACTAATTCATGTTCTTACATAATGTCCTCAACATTGTTGCTCGCGATTGCAACTTTGAAAGTTAACATCATAATTTGGTTTTCAATATTAAAATAAAAGAGATGGTGGTAAGAGACCAACAAGTCACGATTCCTCAGAGCCAAGTCTGAGTCATGATTGTCGAGTCTGAGTCTGAGTCCTTTGACTTGAGTCATACAACTTTGTCAAAATCTCCAGATGCAATTTCCAATGATCTATGCTCAATAGATTTGATGACACCGAGGCGGTGTGACATTTGTAAATTGTCCACTGAATCCAAGTTGGTTGAAGAAACAAATGGAATAATCTTAGCACTGACCAGTGAGTAACATTCAGCGTCAGCTGGTAGTTCTGGAGGAAGTCGTCTGCCTTGAGTTGCACCCCGCTTCTCATGAACTGGCCAAGTACCTTGAAGTTGTTATCTGAGGAATGCAGAATGACAAAGCAATGAATGCACAGGAGACAATTTCATGACTCTGCTAAGCACACAGATAACAGTGAAGGGCAATTTCACAGCCATTTTTGTCTTGTGCGTACGTTCAGGGGCATTCCTTAACAACTACAATATTAGGTGTTGGTGCAAGAAAGTCTTTCACTGGCTCTCACGAGTGCGCCATACAGGCGGTGGCATAGCAGCCATAAAAAGGGGAGGGGCAAGAGGAGGGAAGGGGAAAAAGGGAGGCTAGCCACGCAGAACGATCAATGCGCTGAATGTGCTCTCTACACACGACCTGTACACAGCATTGTCTATAGTTTCTGAATAGAATTTATGAGGTATACCTTCCGTTTCTCCTTCTTCACTAGAGATGAGAATCAACCCCCTTCCATCATCTATCTCCACATCTGGCGCTATCATCCCAAACTCCTGCTTGAAGATCTGCAAGAACCCAAAAGAGCCAAAGACGTTCAAGATCCAATCATGAAATACAGTCCATTTATGAAAAAAACCCCAGCATATTGAACAAAGATAATTTAATCATAAAAGACACAGGGCTAGATGTTTGACATCTCTTTCTATAAATTACAAACTTGCTTAGTTAGTTTTTAATACTTTTAATGTCTTGAAGTATTTCATTATGACAACAATTGTTAAAAGTCTACTTAGACTTATAAAGAAAACTAAATGTTGATAGAAATAATGTAAAACTAATAAGGAAAGTCCAATTTACAAACCTTTTCTTCTAGTCCTTTCACTGTCATTGTACTCAAGTTTAACTTGACTGAGGCCTGTGAAAAAAAATCGATTCAATTGAAAATGTTATCTTTCCTCTACTGAAATTCAGAAATTCGGCAACAGGAGTGTAAATGAAACATACTAAACAATGAAGTTCTCTCCTTTTTTTATTTCTCTGCTCCATTGCTTTATTTCTGTACCACAGAAAGCACAGCCAATTCATGCACATTGGCTTCAGCTCTGTCTCTGGCTACAGTACAGGCACTAATGTTATGTCTGTGGCTCTGGCTTCAAGGTTAGGCATTGATGTGTATGAAGTTAAAAAGGTAGAGGCCACAAGCCAGGTAGCCATAGTCAGAACCTAAAGCCCAAGTTTGAGAAAATAGTCCATGCATACCTCTGGTTTGGGTGCGCAGACGTAACACTTTGGATTCGGCTTATCTAACGGACATGTCAGGAAGAGTTTGTTTCTTTCATTTGCTGTCCTCTTCAAGAAAATCTGTAAGAAATGGAATTTAGAAAAGTCAGTTTAAGTAGCAGTAAAACCATACATAAATTCAAACAATCTTTAATTGTAGAACAATCGTGAAGAAAGTTAAAAGACCTTTTTAATACTGGGTCTTGCTCTGTGCCCATATAATTGCACAGACATTTTATACTCAGTGCTGTTCAAGAGCTTGTGAGAGCAAATTCACAAGCTTGGTCAGGTGGGACTCGAACCCATGTCCTCCTCCTTACAAGTGCAGATGTCTTAACTCAACATCTCCTCAATGCAAAAACTCACTTGACATTCTCCTCTTTATAACAATAGAGGGCACTTTGAGCCTGTGTATTCAGTGTTTATGTTCTATTGGGTTGCAAATGATTTCTTCTGAAAAAGATTCAGACCAGAATGACTAACAAAAGGAAGAGACCAAACAGTCACACCAACAGACAGACAGAGAAGCTAACCATTTTGCACTGGTCCAGACGTCCGCGTAGCACCTTGAGTGCTTCCATAACGATAAGACCAGCTACAATGGCATTGGTGGTCGCTATTGCTGGAATGATGTTCCCTGCCATAGCTGTGATACAAAAATAATAAAAAGACTCATCAAATAAACCAAAAGAAAAAGAAAGAGATCAAATAATTTTTTTAATTTCATTTTGGGTTGCCGTGAGCAGTCAAGTTGAAAAGCCAGCTGCACCTACCAGTTAGTCTGTTAATGGCAGTTGACTAGTTACAGTGCCTACAAGAAACGAGGAACAGGATTTTTTTAAGTGACTGTGAGTGTTCAGATAGCAGGAGCATTTAAAATATAAAAATGAATAAGATGGGTGTTTTGCATAGTATAACTGTATTTGTTGTTGCTTTACTGACTTGAACCCTCATTCTGGTAACATTAAATATTTTAACGTGAAATTTGAGCATTTAAAAATTGAACTTTTCTAATTGACCCAGCCATAAAATGTACAGCAACGCAAAGCTTACATTTTATAGTAAACCTTGTATTTCTTGCGATTCCAAAAATGTAGGCCCTGATGTTGGAGGCGCAGGTGACAAAATCCATTGCTGGCTCCTCATCCTGAATATTGAAGAAAAAGGCAGAGAAATGAATGCATGAATAATTCCTGCATTTAACTTCAAAGGGCAAGTTTCAGTCTGTAGCCTGTCATGTTTTTAAAGCCTCCCTTCACAGACATGCTTTAAGTCTGTCCATCAGGCCAGCATTTATCTCCGGTTTCCTTGGCATGAAACGACCAACTATTTCTACTCCCCCTGGATGGGATGCCAGTCCATTGCAGGTTACTCCACAGCTAATGCCTGTATCCATTTACATGTTTACTCCTGGATAGAGGCAAGTGGGGATAAAGTGGTTTGCCCAAGGACACAATGTATGACCAGCAGCTGGATTTGAACCCTGAACCTCTGATCATGAGTCACAAACCCTAACCACTGGGCCACACTACCCCACCCTGACATGTTTGGTGAAGGATAGAAATATTCTTGCAAAATGAGTAAAAAGGGTTTGTTCTCAAGTCAGTTGACGATGATGCAGTGTGGTCTAAATGGGATTGTCATCACCAGCAGCCTTTGGTCTAGGCGACCTTTATCTTGAGAGACTTGCTTAATTGTGAGCATTTTCTTGTAATCTCAACATAAACAGCATCAATCATACAGTGCTTGTAGAGAACTTAATGCTTTTTGTCCATAGCCTTGTGATGAGAATTTGTGCTTTGCGGTTTAATGCTTGGACTATTACTTGTTTCATTTTGCAATCTTCACTAAGTTCACTTTGTAGTCCATTCAGTGTCACACCCACCTTGTCCCAGACCAGTTCGCCTCTCTCCTTGTACAGCTGTTTGAGAGAGTCCAGCGAGTCTTTGAACATGCTGACACAATCTCTGATGCTCAACTTCCTTTGGTCATGAAGCAAGGTGCTTTCTTGGTTCTCATTCTGTTCTAAATCTGAATAAGGAGGAACAAAGTAATAACTTCAACTCTTGTCCTCTTGATTTTTTTTTGGCTATAAATCGTGATCGAAAGAATGTCAACGTACAACAGTTGTCAAAATGAGAAGCCTGCTGAGAGTAACAAGATCCAACGGGAGCAGTCACCCAAGGCCAAACGGCCTCTGTGTCTGTAGCTGCCAGAAGCAACAAGATCCAATGGTGAAATAACTTGATGGGACTAAGTGTACATGATGATGACCTGCCAAGAATCTTATTTGAGACCTAGATTTCTTCTCCAATTTCAGTGGCATTTACATTGCTTGAAATTTTTTATAAAGCTTCTCCATGTAAACGTATTTATGTAGTACCGCACGTAAACAATGATGATGAACTTTAGGACGATAACTGTAGGAAATAACACTGAAGTTGAAAAGTGATGCCTTTAAGGCAAACACCTCATGGCACACCTTGAACCCCTTTGGTTTGGTTACTACTACTTTATCACTTATTTCTGATGTCAAATAAAATAAATCGGAGAATCTGTTTTAAGCAATTAATGTGGTGTAACCTACCTTGTTCCTGAGGTAAATCTTCCCAGTCTAGGGGGACTGGCGGCCGACGTTTCTGCCATAGTTTGTCCATGGAAAGTAGGTACTTTACATCATCGTGGAAAAGCTAGCATGCACAAATGTCAAGAAAATGAAACATTAAGGTATGAAGTCAATATATTTAAAGCAGGAATGCAATATGTACTTTTATTCTCAAAAAAAAATACCCAAACACTTTGAAACTAAGAATAAGAATAACAGTTAAGTAAAACTAAAAGGTCAAAATTTATCATCAAACATCAATCAACAAACTTAAGAGGTAATTTGAAGACAAAAAACCTATAACACGATAATGTGATGATGTACTCACAAACCTTTTTAAATAACTTCTGGGCGTTGTACTCTGTAGATTCGGCCCACGCCCTTGTGGAGGTTCTCTCGACCCCGCCTACTCCACCATCCTTGGGTGGGTCAGAGTTCATGCTGTCTTGACCTGCGTCTCCGGCTGCTTCGGGGTCTGCTGTGTCTGGTGAGACGTCTTGGTCTGGATCCTCCTCGCCAAACAACTGGCTACAGTGAACAAGAATAAAAAATTTAACAAATTATAATATCGGCCTCTTGGGATCTTGGGAGATCTTGGGTTTTATGGGGGATCATGGATTTTCTTGGGCACTTTTGAGTTTATGAATCTTGGGATTTCTTGGAACCTTTAGTTTTCATCTGGATCCTGGGTTTTCTTGGGATCGTGGATTTCTAGGGATATTTTCAGTATCTTGGGTATTCTATTGAATTCTAGATTTTTCTTGGGAACTTGGGTTTTCAGGATTTATTTTTTTCTTTCGGGCTAAAGAGTTCTTCAGGACATCTTGGTTTTTCTTGTTGTTTTTTTATAAAGGACTTACACAATTAAATCATTGCACAGCTGCAGACGCAAAACATGTTTACTAGTTTATTGATGTTTACTAGCTTACTTGAATAAATGTTTGGCCCAGACGATGCAATGGATCGGCTCGGAGGGCGTGTTGCGTATCGTACAGCCAGGGAAAGACTTCTGTGCTTGCTGGGGTAGACACTCGTAGCATTCCGTAAATCCCTGAGAACCAAGAAACAAGAAAATGCTCACATTAATCGTTACTCCTAGGCATCTTTCTTGAAAACCATCCTGAATCTTTGGAAATCTTCCACTGTGCAAGAATCTGATGGGGCATTCATGAGAGTTTAATGTCCATCAAGCCCCATATAAAGGTAAGGAGTAATCTTGCAAGATGTTCAATATTACCTAGTGCACTTGGGTCACTTTATAAATGTGGGGTCCACTTTGTATCCTGTCCCTGTTACATCTGACATCTATGATTTTATAATTCTGACGCACTCCTTAATGCAGTCCTCCTCCAAGAGTGTTTACGAATAGCCAACTACCTACACAACAAATCAAAAATCTTCTGAAGTCATTATATAATACTCAAATGGCAAAGTTACAATGTACCATGGTAACAGGGACAGAAAAATGTTACATTTTGGACCCTAAATTTATACAATGACCCTTACTGATCTTTTCTTTTCAACCTATCAACGGTCACACATATTTCACAGGGTGAATAGTCACCCACTAGTGCCCTCCAAGCCAGTCAATATATTTATATTGTTACCTTCTTTATGACAGCCACTTGGCCCAGGTAGCCACCAGACCCACTCTCAATCAGCGGCACATCGGCAGCTAAGCACATTCTGTTGACATGGTTGCGGGCCGCTGAAGAAAAAACATGGTACAATATATGTTCCCATTTTTTATCTACGAACACAAACTATAATTAGCACAAACTATTGTTGGCTTTGTGCTGTTACTCCAAGGAGCCTAGGAGGGGGGAGGCAAATTGTTAGGAACAGCAAATTGTTAGCAAATGCAACTGTTTTTCCACTGAAAATACAACAACCCACAAACCCAATAAAACTGTCAGAGAAACCAAAACTGGGAAAGTCATTTCCGCTGCTATTTCCATTTGAACCAGTCAGCCTGACCCAGCAAGATGGTGGTGGAGTAACAAAGATGTCTGTACGAGCACGCAGATCTTGGTTTGACCCTCACTTAAGCAAGCTTGCATAATTTTTCTCTCACAAATTCTAGGATAGCATTTAGTACACAGTGATTATAAATAATAACATCAGTGAAGAACAAGTACAACATCATGAACTATGGATACGAGTAGCAGAACTCACCCCTGTTGTCTAAAGCATTCATTACCAGCGTAAACTGCATGAAGAACTCACGGTTGTACTCTGGACTGGAAAAGCAAACAATAACAAATAAAAAAATTATGGATTATGACAAGATGTGTGAGATGGTCAGGACATGATTTTTTTTTGCGAAGCAAAATTCAACCAAGAACCAGCCACATTTAATACAAATCACTGAACATTATGACACAAAACCTATATTTGCTTCTAAAGCAATATTTTCTGTGCATATTTGTCCGCCTGGCACTCAATGAAATTGGCACAGAGACAATGGACTTGTCAAAAAAGCTAACAGAAATCCGAACTTACGTGGTAATGCTGTCATGCCTGGCATCTATCTTGGCGTTTGGGTTGAACCTCAGGGCACTTTCCTTCGCGACCTGTGAATTAATGAGCGCACATCTCCTGTTATTCAATCTTCTGTCCAAAACAAATCCTACACTTTTCTGTACATGGATTTGAAAGAATGTTCTCATTTTTGCCTTTTGAAAATTGAGTTTGTTTTACTGGTCCCACTTCTTTTTATCAAGAAACTGAAAGTTGTGACAATGGACAAATTGTATCAACAGAAAACAGGTCTTTCTAGTTGAATGGATAGACAGTCAAGCTATCACAACAGTCTCAAGTAGTTTAAGTATAGTTGGTCATTGGTCGACTTATTTGAGCCTCCTAATTTCAACATCTCAGCCCCATCAACTTTCTCTGTATTCTGTGCCCCACTGTCACATGTAAGGGAAAAGTGTGGACATTTTGTGGGTTTTTCGACTTTGAAATATAGACTTATAAATTTAATATTTTTGAAGCAAAACTGGTTACTTACACAGGAAAATCAAGTTGGGCATTCCTAGATATCAAGTTTCTGTGTAATTTCCTGAGGAAATCATATGATAAAAGAGGAATTTCAAAAGGAAATTTGCTTGAAAAATGTAAATTTTCCACACATTTTTCCACAGGTAGCAGTGGAGCCCAGGATACAGCAGTCTAGTTTCAAGGCCCCATATATGGGGCTAAACTTTAGCCCCATATAAAATAACCCACCTCTGCCTTTGATTTGCCGACATGTTTCTTGTGGAAGAGGAACTGTCTATTCAAGTTGCTCACATCAATTGTATCCAGATCAATCTATCAGGTTGGGAAAAATAATAAATATATGACAATTCAAAAAACACTACACCTAATCTTACTGCATTTCAATGGTTACAAATAATATTCAAATTTCTTTCATTCAGTGCATAATGTTAAGCAATTCCTTAAAGAAATTTGGCAACTTGTACGTAGGTGTTCATACTTGACAAAATTATAGCTAGTCAATTACGAATTGTTCAATTTCAAAAATTGATAAATTCATGGCAATTTAACAAGCATCCTACCAACATCAATGAAATCATGAGTACATAATGTACAACTGACACGACGGCTTTTGGATGTTGTACTTAGCATAAATAATCGAGGGGCCCTGTGATGGGCTCTTCTGATCCCTGCATGCAAGTCTTTTCCCACGATGCTACGGCCATAACCCAGGCACGGCGCACTTTAAATGTGCACGTTAAAGTGTCTCCACGTTGCTTCGGTACGTAAAGGGATTTATTTTTTGCAAAATCAGGACCCGTTCTTTATTCAGCACAACAACGAATGTGACTCGAGTACCAGACATGCCAGATGGACTTTTGGGGGCAAAATGTACTACAGTACAGTCTACAGCGTTATTTTTAGCACATTATGCAAATCAAATATGTTCGTTTCTGTCCTGTATTCATGTGGTAGTCTAGTTGTATATTATAGCAAATGTTGGTATTCCAAGTATAGGGCTCCGCTTCACGGAGCCATAGTTTGTAAGCTATACTTTAGCCTAGTCGTCTTGACAAAATTACATTTCTTTAAAAAGTTATATATTTATTTAGAACTCTACAAAATATATTATTTGTATAGCATGTATTATTTAAACTATAGGGCCTATATGTTATTCTTGCAAAGAAAATCGGTCGAAATATTATGAAGTTCATTGCATCTGCAATTTAAAGTTAAACAGACAAGAGTCAAGAGCATGATGAAAATCATGAAGGAAACTGTCAACAAACAGACAAACATGACAAACAAACAACATTGAACAAGGTCATTGAATTTGTAACTCGCAAGTTGCTGATTTGCTGGTTATAAATGCCTCAATTACCACAACAATATCCTGGAATCCTGTCAGGACAAGGTTCTTCAGGAGTTCGCACCCAATACCGCCTGCTCCCACCACTAAAACCCGGCAAGCAGAGACCATTTCAGCAACATCTTCGGGCAAGATTCCTCGCACGCACGCCGCCATCTTCGCTAAATGCACGGCGCCCTCTTGTGTCCACTTCGGTTTATTTCTTTGTCCCATTCTCGCCTCAGAATCGAATGAACAGGTTAAAGCTGATCTTTTATTGTCCCAAGGTTTCTTTTAATTTCTCTGTGGTCCCACCAAAACAAGGAACACAATTGAACACATAGCCATTGACAATGTTGAAAATTAACGAAACCAAATTCCATACATTTTTCAGGTGGCACTAACTCCTTTGTCTCAAGGAAGATTTTGAGTTAAAACTCGTGATTTTAAAATTGCTCATCCGAAAGTCATCCAGATCCGTCAATTAAAAGTGTTATAAATTGTCCCTCTTCCAAATCAACTAAAATCAATGCCCTGAACTCCAAACACACAAACAAAGCACAAACAGAACTTGACTACATGTCCATTATATCTATATCACAATTTTATTTGTCACATGGAACTGACATTTACAAGCAATCAATCAGAAGTTTTCCATGCCTGTGTTACAGCAGGTTTTTTCATTGGAAAAATCAATATTTAGCCATCATGAGTTGTTGACCTGATAATTATGTATCATTCTTTATCACAAATCATACATAAAGCCACCTTACACTGCTTTTGAAGACCCTAACTGAGAAATATTTTACAAAAGGTTCTAGTAATATAAATAATTTGTTTTAATTCCTGCAAAATATTAAGTAAATTAAGGCTACATGACTTTGGAGGGGTTAGGCTTCAAGCAAATTATTGAGCTGAAAAGTTCAGATACAGGAAACTGCCACAGTCACTGAAATAAAACATGCACCAGCACTCCTATTATTCAACTCTTGAAGTGGTAACCAAGTGCAATCAACTGTCCACGCGCAGAGTCTATAAAAACACCATCGCAGAAAACCTCATGCTTGGCATCTTCCAATTTCATGCAGTTTTTCAGGTTAAACATTTACCTTTTCCATGTGCTAAGAATAAATCTGCTGATGAGCACAAGTTGCAAATGATGTCACTGCATCACTGCAATGATGTTTTGGCTGGTAACCTGTTTTTGCTAAGCAAATATAATCTACGCTAAGCGTATTGTTTTTTATTAGGAGCTCCATAAAATTGGCTCTTGGTGATGTATGTTACAATTGATTTGGGTTTTCTATGAAGCAGGCCTTGCCTGCAATCTGCTGTTATAATCCTTTGTCTTCTCCTTGCTGTTCTTGAGAAGATACAGGCATCGTAGAGTTATAGTGCTCTCCCAAACCATATGCGTGTCGATGATATCTGCAAAGGCAATTGTCAAGAATAAGTTGTTATCTTTGAATTCTTATAACCATGGATTCCTAGAAAAGAATTTTTTGTGTACATTACTTTAAATTCTACAAATTTAAATGAAGCACACAGGTCTTGTTCTTTGGCAAGGGCAGATTTCCAAGCATAAATCATGAATATGTACAGTTTTGGAATGCTGATTTTTGCAAAGCTTTCAAAATGGGTCAAGGAAACAATAAAATGGAACTGCTAAACAGAAAAAAAGTCAATGTATTGAGCAGAAGTCAGCCGAGAACAAGTCAGGAGCAACTCTGCAGCCTCTCTTTGGCTCTGCACTCCACACTTCTTTTGTGCCTTGCAGCTCAATGGATTAGCCCCAGAATGACTTAAAATATCACCTTTCTTAAAATTAAAGTAACCAATGAATACTTACGAGAGAACAAGGGGCTGTTGTTGGAACTGTTCACCGATGGTTAATGTGGGGCTGTCTGCCTGGATTATCTGGATGGGTAACTTGAAGAGATGGGTCATTGCACTTATCTGCAAAGGACAACCACAAAAAATCTTCTTTACGTGGACTTATTTTGTATTTCAAAATATAAGGGAGGCAGTCAACTCGCTAGGGTCAAGGTAAAAGTGGAAACAATTAAGTCTAATTTACAAGTGACAGTTAGTCCATTAGTCTGTCAGTCAGATGGGTGCAAAAGGGATATTAACCTGGCCCTTTGGGACCAACAAAAAGTACACTGTCAAATTCCAGACTATTCACAATCCACATGGCGGTTTGGATGATTTTGCAATGCTGAGGGAGATTGTGCCCTGATATTATTTATTATTTATTTATGAAGTAATTCACATGTGCTTGATGTAAAAGACACTCCTACACTTTGCCTGTTATCAATTGCTTCTTCATGGCAGAAAATACTTAATTTATAAAGGATTATTTGCTTTTCGTGCCTTTTGTTTATTTCCAATAATAACACCACTCAAAATCCAAAGAAGAATGTTCAAAACCTAACCTGTTGAAGTTACAGCTCAGTGCATATTACACTTTTTTGGGACACAGTGAAAAACCACGCACAACCTTTTGATCACAAAACACGATTTCGTCCAAAGAACTCTTCTATTTCCAAAAATCAGTAAATTGACTGATCATTGGAAATTGCCTACATTTCTTCTAAATGACAGCAAGCCAGATGGAATAATTTCACGAGCGTTTAATACCAGTACGATTTTTAATCCAAGTAAGCAAGTGTTTGTTGGGATAAATGCAAATGATCCTATATGCCTTTAATATTTATGTAAAAAAAAAAACGACAGAACTATTAAGAGTAAGGGTTTGCCTACCTCATGGTGACCTCCCCATGCTGCCGTGGTGGCAATGTCTCTGCAGTATTTCTCATAGTCCTCTGTTGGGAAGATCCAAAACAAAGAAACAATTTACCATACTGTGAGAAATAGTCAATAATCACATTTAGCAAAGGTCAAAATATATTAATATTTATGGCCTTCACAAACCATCCACTAATTCCACTGGGAACAAAGTCAGAAAAGATGTCATTTTATGTTGTATCAAACACTAATTGTGATTAACACATGATGGAAGCAATGGCCACTCACCTAATGTATATGGGTCTCCAGAGTCAGGCTTGGACAGGAAGCACATGAAATCATCAGCATGAGACTGCATGTAGTCTGAAACCTGTTCCCTCAATTGCTGCATTGAAACCTGTATGATGAAATAATATTAGAAACTTTAACACTTAATACAAGGCAAAATAAATACAGCTCACAAACTACTTAACAGTAACACCTCAGGTGTATGAAAATCATAGTAATATATGTCTGTTAGGCTGCTGCAATGCAACACAAAGCATGTTGACACAACACAATTGCAATGCCTTATAAATGGTAATGTAAACTGCGATACAATGCCAACACCTACAACAAAACACACAACAATCATAAGCAACTCTATGAAACATAACCCAACCAACCCAACCCATCCCGACACAACCTAGCTCAAACAACTGCACTCAAAAGCTGTTGTATGTGATAACAGGCCCCCCCCCCAAAAAAAAAACCAACTCTTAACTGATTCAAACTGGTTAGTTCACAAACCTTAGTTCCGCGTAGCCCAAGTTGATATTGCACTGCATTGTAAAGACAGTGTCCGTCTGAAGAAATCTGAAGAACAAAAAACGATCAATTTCATTACACACAGACAGTCATAGGACTTTTAACCATACAAATGTTCTATTTTAACCCATCCACTGAAATGACCCTCAGAATTTGAAGCAACAGAAGGTGCCACTGGGTGTTAGAACAGCTGTGGATTTAGGAGGATTCCGTTAAGCTTCCTAATCAAGATATCCATCTGGTACAAAGCTCACCTCCTTAACTCTCAGCCCTCTCTCAGCAAGCAGAGCTTCCATCTTCCTTTCCTCTATCCTCCTGGAGCTAGACTCCAAGTTAGCAGCATCTTCCGCAGCCCTAGCTTCTCGCTCCTTCTCCTGGGCTGCCTTCTTGTCCTGAAACAAAATTGCAAAGAATGTAAAACTCAGATGAGAAAATGTCAGACTTTGGGGAAATGACTATGGCAAAAATTGGTTTTTACCTCTTAATCAAATGGACCCTTTCTGCCAGTCAATCAATCAAGCAGTGCATATTGACCAATTGGATCGCGACTTTTGGCCAGTGACCATGATAGCTCAATCAAACATCCTTCTTGTTGGACACTCACTCGTCTTTTCTGTGCTTTGCTTATTCTGGTAGGTTGTGCATCTCCATCTTCTCCCAAACTCAGACTGCCAACTTGTTCAGGTAAGCTGCCGTTAACCTGCAAGAGAGAGACAGAAATGCAAAGCATGAGTTTACAAAAAGTCTCCCCACCAAAAAAGAAAGAAAAGATTCCTCAATATTACAAGAGCTATGGCTCTTTACCCCATGGGCAACTTGCAGGCAGCAGCTAGTCGGTTGGCCGTCTACAGGTGAGATACTGGTGAGGCTCCTGAGAAACCACTAAAATGGAATAGATTCTACCATACCTGATTCTCAGTATGTGCATCGTCTTCTTCTGCTTCTTTTAATGAACTCAGCTCCTCTTCTTGTCGTTGACTGAGGTCTGATTCCAACTTGGCAATTTCTGTCGTCACTTCTTTTTTCTTCTTTTTGTCTCCCTTTGGAATGGAGCGCTTCAAGGCTTGCACCTGAGCTGAATTGAGAATTCCTAAATTAATGTGTTTAATTATTTAATTCTGAGTAGCTTGAGTAACTCCAGCTGACATGCTCATATTCATTCACATGTAGCGCTGGAGGAGTGGTCTGTTGGTTTTATGTGGTAGCAAGAGACCCCCAAAAAACGGCCTCTCCAAAATTGTCCAAATTTCACCTCTTTTATCCCACCCCAGATTCTACTACCTACCTCATACCATTCAGCAGTCATTCACGAAGCTACTAATCGACTTGACACCTAGTCGATGTCAAGTCGATTAGTAGCTTCGTGAATGACTGCTGAATGGTATGAGGTAGGTAGTAGAATCTGGGATTCTACCTAGTCGATGTCAAGTCGATTAGTAGCTTCGTGAATGACTGCTGAATGGTATGAGGTAGGTAGTAGAATCTGGGGTGGGATAAAAGAGGTGAAATTTGGACAATTTTGGAGAGGCCGTTTTTTTGGGGTCTCTTGCTACCACATAAAACCAACAGACCACTCCTCCAGCGCTACATGTGAATGAATATGAGCATGTCAGCTGGAGTTACTCAAGCTAAATTCTGAGAGATATACAGTTCACCACACGCTGGCAAAATCATAGCAGGTTGACAAAATTAAAGAAAAGTTTTTGTTTTGAAGTCAATGCAAAATTTTGATTCTTTTTTACAGCACTATGGCATGATTTAAGATGTTTTGTAAGCTCAAACTTTCGTGAGAACAAAAAGTTTTCATCCTCTTTCTGATTAACGTTAGATGCAGAATTGCAGAATGCTGATTCCCTCGTAGCCCCACTAGTGTGGCCGTCGGTATGCTGCGCTGAACCTAAGGCCACACACCATGGTCCGCGCACTACTGAGGACGTTTTCATAAAATTTGCAGGGAATTTCTTACATATGGTTGTATTCTACGATGTCCCATCTATCACTTCTGGTATGCTTAGGTGTAATGAGGTTCAATTTTTCGAAATATTCTTGAATCTTTCTGGAGCCCATATGCACTCGTGAAACGTCCGGTGATGGCAGCCATTTTGAATGTGACAAGAGATGACCTCAAGCTGTGACGTCGCGTTTATGCAAATTGCTTGACGAGCGAGGGCGCGAGTTGCAAATGCGACGGCTGTTTCCTGTACCATGCATTTATCGTCTAGGGGCCACGTGCACTGATCTCTTTTCAGGATCTACGGCACAGGAAACAGCCGTCGCATTTGCAACTCGCGCCCTCGCTCGATAAGCAATTTGCATAAACGCGACGTCACAGCTTGAGGTCATCTCTTGTCACATTCAAAATGGCTGCCATCACCGGACGTTTCACGAGTGCATATGGGCTCCAGAAAGATTCAAGAATATCTCGAAAAATTGAACCTCATTACACCTAAGCATCCCAGAAGTGAAAGATGGGACATTGTAGAATACAACCATATGTAAGAAATTCCCTGCAAATTTTATGAAAACGTCCTCAGTAGTGCGCGGACCACGGTGTGTGGCCTTAGGTTCAGCGCAGCATACCGACTGCCACACTAGTGGGGCTAATTCCCTCGCCCTCGGTTACCATGTCCCTCACAGACTTGTGTACTACTTCTTGTGTGCATTCATCTACTTTGTCTATTACAGGAAACTAAACCTACAAAAAAGTGAGCTGGAAATTTCAAGCTAGTCAAATAACAGTGTGTCAAAATTACACGGTTAATGCAATGGACGGTTAACAAACAATGATCTTCCGATCCCATCTTCACATAGCAGTTCACGACACAAATTATCTTTACACAGCTTCGTACATTCCCTCCAATTTCTTTAAGTTGTCATTATTGAAATGACAGGATTGCGCGACTTGCCTTGCAGTTCTTTCCTCTCCTTTCGATGTTTCTGAAGCAGAGTTTCTTCGTCGTCTGCCATTTTCAATTTTATGTACTTATCAAGTAGTTCGTGTCGATTTACATTGTCAAGGAGAAAACATTATGCTGGAAACATGAACTGTACGATAAAAATACACAAGGTCAAAGGTCAATTAAAACCACACATGACTGGGAGAGGCAAGGACTGAGGTTGCACCCTGCTCAAAATGGTTTGTTTTGACAAAGAAATGTAGAATATTTTGGGTTTTCTTTTACAATCAGATTTCTTCAAATGCTAATCTGTATGGCATGAGAAAGTGATAGTATCAAAAGCACAGCAAATCCCCACAAAGAGGCAAATTAAAAAAAGTTTATCACGTTTATAATCTTTTTTGCCAATTTTATTTTATGCAAAAATATAATTTTATTACCTTTTTCTGTTTTTTTTTTAACATAGGTTATGTTATTTTTGTATTTTCTTATGATGCGATAGTTTTGAATACGTTTATTTTGTATGATGCATTTTAGCGGTTTCCAGTGGGTGTTAAAAATATAAATAAATGAATGAATAAATAAAAAAGAAATAACAACGTTGTCAAATTGATTTTGCAGGGTTATGTTCTAACAGTAGATCCAGGGGCCAATGGGGGCCATGCCCCCCCCCCCCCCAAAAAAAGTGATGTTACAAAAAAGGCAGCCACTAGCCTACACCACCATCTTTTGCTAAAAACAAATTGGTTAAAGTGGCCAGAAATTGCCTCAGATTACACTACTGAGCATCCATCTAGAATCCAAAATGTTTCCACCACGCTGTAAATTTTTGGACCCACTTTTTGGGCGATTTTTTTTGCCCCCCCCCCCCCAAAGTTGTGCTCTGGATCCGCCCTTGTTCCACTTTGATTTTGTGCCCTGTCTGTTTTAGAATTACCAAAATGCAAAATGGGCAAAGAAAAATGTGATACTTCATTAAATCATAATCATGTTTATTCATGATGATGTTGGACTGATGAGGGTCTTCTAACATGTTTCCTGTGTTTTTTCTTTATTAACTCAGCACGGCCGACTGAAAGTCAAGACCACAGCTGAGCAGCAGGAGGCGAAGAGGAAAGAAAGAGAGAAGAAGCTCAAGCTGTACACAGGAGCAACTCAGAAGGTTTTTCAAAAGGTGGGCTCAAAATCCACAAAACTTTAATAAGGATTTTCTTATTTTCGAACCTGAATGGGGTATTTCTTGGAACTCTGCTTAATTAAAGATAATGGACATCAGTTTCAAACATTCAAAAATGAAATTATCCCTCTTATAATCTTGCCCTGCTTATATATCTTCTTATTTCTTGTTGGTGATTCTCCTGTCAAGAGGAAGGATGGAGAATTTGACGATGAATCCCTGGAGATTACCAGCCAGCTGCTGTCATCCAACCCAGACTTCTACACTCTCTGGAATTACCGCCGGGAAATATTCCTGGATCTCACCAAAAACAGGTTTGTTGACGGCCATACTCGCTCTTTAGAAAAACAGAGTAAAGTTGGAATTTCAATCCCAAGTGTCTGTGCACTTTTTAGGAAGCCTTGATTTCTTTCCAGGAATAAATAAAAATATTTTCTTTGTTTGCTTATGGTTACTTCCAAGGTAAACAGGACCTTTGAGTTTATTTCCAGAAACAAAAAATAAATATTTTTTTTCTGTTTGTGGTTATGTCCAGTGAATCCCAGGAGATGCAAGACAGATACAGCAAGGAGCTGAAGTTCCTTGAATCATGCCTGATGGTCAACCCTAAGTCTTACGGGTCATGGCACCATAGAGGCTGGGTCATGGACCACATGCCGGAACCAGACTGGAAGCGGGAGGTGGCACTGTGCAACCAGTACCTGGAGTACGACGAGAGGAATTGTGAGTCAGACTTTCTTCAATTTCAAAATTGTATGATATCAACCCGTTAATTTAGTACTGTAAGTTTTTCTTACATACACCTTATAATGATGTGGCGTCAAGCTCCTTGCCAATTTCTTGGTTTTCCTTTCAGTCCATTGCTGGGACTACCGTCGCATTGTTGTCTCCAGGGCCAACGTCCCTCCTGCCGATGAGCTCAAGTTTACCGACACCAAGATCTCCAGTAACTTCTCCAACTATTCCTCCTGGCATTACCGCAGCAAACTGCTTCCATTGCTGCATCCAGACCCAGAGAACAAGGGAAGAGTCAAGGAAGACATACTGCTACAAGGTAAGACGTTGATGGGTAGACGTTGATGGTTAGCTCAAGCCTATCCACTGCTGAGCCAAGTCACCCAGGCCAAGAGTGTGGTCATTTTTTATAGAATTTTCTTTGCCTCAGAAAGTATGCCAAGATTTGAGGCACCTAACTTGGACGATGTACATAGGTTCATTTTAGAAACTAAAAAGTGAGAGTTATCTCTCCCCTCTTCCTTGGTCAGTTGTAGTGATTTCCTCACAAGTCAGTCAGAAGTTCAGGACAAGTCAGTCACAAGTCCTTTCAGTCCTCAAGTCAAACTATTCAAATGTGATGCCGAAGGTATTCTTCTGTTTGCTTGAGATGGACTTGTGATGATGAATAGCCTAGTGATGGATTCTCCTACAGCAAAAACCTGAAAACACCTCTTAACCTCAACAAAAATCCAAACCTAATCGAACAAAAGGATCTCAAGATGTTGACATTTTGTTTGAAACACCAGATATATGTAAACAGAAGTTTTAAAAAATATATGTTTTTGTTTCATTTTGTGTATTATCCCTGTCTTCCCAGAATGTATACAAACTGTCCCTGCCAACTCATTTCATTCTAGGTATGTTTACCAAACCAATTAGTGACAGCTCATTGATGCTGAGTTTCTTTTTCTTTCCATTGCAGAGTATGAGCTGGTTCAAAACGCCTTCTTCACAGATCCCAACGACCAGAGTGCCTGGTTTTACCAGCGGTGGCTGCTGGGTAGAGGTCAGTGGACAGGTCAAAGAGCAAAGGTTACAAGTGATCAACCAGTGAACTTCAGTCAACACTAAGACTGTAAAAGTTTCTTGATAAAATTTGGGTAAACTCCTCTTTTTAGTAGATAATGGAATTCTTTTTTTTTTTATAACCAACAGCCGAGAAACCACAGGATATTAATCTGCTTTACGCAAGACGAGAGCCTAGTAGAATTGTGGCTGTTTTTGCTCAGCCTGTTAAACTCTCTGAGGATGGCGCTGCAACATCTGTGACAGTAAACGGCAGTGGAGTTTCTGGAACATGGAGGAACTCGCAGGGAGCACATAACCACGCCTTGGTGTGGGTATCCTTTGTTGGATGAGAACCAAGACCGATCGACCTGTAATCTTCCAATTCATTTATTAGGTGCAGTTTTCATTGTATGGTTCTGCATTTGTCCTGTTTTCCTTGACTAAGCCAATTTGTGACAGGTGTATTTGATGAACAATGATGCACTCTCTGCCCAAGGCACATTGGAAGTATGCCTGTCAGTAGATGACCTGGGCGTGTCTAGACAATGCACCCTGACAGCAGGTAAACTAGTATGTTAGCCGTATTCAGAATAGCCTGGATTAGCCAATCAATGGGTGGTCATATTTTAGTTGTCCAACAGGCAGAATCTTCTTTGCTCCAGCATTCCGTGAAGAAAACGTCAAAGAAATCAAATTTTTATTAAAAACTTTCTTTCCTGTAGTGAAGTGTGTGCAGCTCCTATGTGTTAACCGTTTAGTCTGCCTGAAACTGCCCCAAACCGCCCTGCCTATCACTCACTGTACCTCCCAAAACCGCCCAAGTGGTTTTATTGATTCTTTAGTGAATTAATACAATGTGATAAACAACTCACGGACTTTGGATTGGTGTCGTGTGAATTTCTGAATTTGGATGGCACAAAATGAATCTTGTAAATCCTGTGCGTGGTCATAAAAAATAATTGATCTCAAGGTCAAAGTTTACAGCAGGTTTTCACTTAATGAAGCAATTAAATTTGTAGTTTTCTCACATTACCATTTGTTTTGATTGAACAGACCAGACTGAAGGCTGGTGCCATGAGTCAACAGACAGCGTGGAGCTCTTCACTGCACAGTTGAGTATGGAGAAGTCAGGGGTTCTGACCCAGGAGCTTGAGTCTTGCCAACAGCTACAAGAACTAGAACCAGATAACAAATGTAAATATTCAAGCTGAATACTGACCATTGGATTATATTCAGACAAGGATAAGCTTGTCCTTCATCATAAGTAACTGGATTCAGTGGACTGGATATCTCAATCCACAATATTCTTAACTGCATATTCACTGTATTCATTTATTTCCATCCATGATACTTGTATTATTCCATGTTTATCAAGATCCCTCAGAATTTTTTTTATGAAAGTAAACTTATCTGGACCAAATTCAGAGAGCCTCTTTTCAGTAAGTGGAATACTTGATCTCAAACAAGAAACATATTTCACAGTCATAACATTTAAACACCTTTGCATTCGTTGATATTTTTATTTTAATAAAAAACAACAAACCACCTTAATCCACATTTAATGGGAACATGTTCTAAGATGATGAGGCCTCTGCCTTCTTCTCCTTTCAGGGTGCTTACTGACCATCATTCTCCTCATGAGGGCCATCGACCCCCTCAAGTATGAGGCAGAGACGTTACGATATTTTGAAACCCTCCTACAGACAGACCCGCGCAGGGCGGGGTACTTCCGAGACCTGCGCAGCAAGTTTGTCATCGAAAATGCCATCACTCGAAACATGCAACAGCAGTCCGCTAGTAGAGAAATAGATTTATCTGGGAAGGTAAATATGTATGTGTGTATATAGCTATTCTTGTGAAATGCTTAATTGTCATTGATTTTAAGAACTCTGTGCACACATAATCTGTCATGATTCCTCATTTTCTAACATTATCCACTATGTTATCATGTTCTTTCTTCCATTCATATTTTTTTCTCTTCAGGAACTCACAACCCTCCGCCACACAGAACGCATGGTGCTGATGACCCGGGTCAATCTCTCATCCAATCAGCTTCCTTCTCTCAAGGGATGCCATACGCTGCTGTGTGCACAGACGCTATTGGCCGATAGCAACTCTATCCGAGATTTGAAAGACCTGCCCTCTCTGCCGTGTCTTGAGACGCTATCACTGAAGGCAAATTGTATCCTTTTTCAATGAAAACCTTGAACTCCCCCCCCCCCAAACAATAAAAATTGATTGCACATAAATATTAAAGCTTCATCTTCTGTGCATGTTTCCTGAACTCCTCCAAACAATCAGCCATAGGAACTGTGCAGGACCTGGCACCCCTACAGACCAGCACCAGACTACAGAATCTGGATCTAAGATCCAACCCTGTTTGCGACATTCCAGACTTCCAGCAGAGTGTGAAAGCACTTCTTCCACAACTCACCACACTGAATGAGGAAAAACTTTGATGTTGATTCAGATCTTGTTGTCTTAATTGCATATCCTGTAAGCATTTTTTTCTAAGATGGTTAAAGGAATAACATCAGGGGGTGTGGAATGGGGCAGGGGTGGGGGGGGGGGGCAATGATGTCTTCCTTATAGGATGCAAATGTTGTAATATTTAGTTTAACTGACAACTTCAAATCCCTAATATAAAACTTTTTAAATTTGCTTCCTTTTCCCCTATTTTGCTTTAAAAAGAGTTCATTATAAACTCTTTTCTATTTTAGTGGGCTTTGGAGGAATTTTTTAAGGGGGGGGGGGGTTAAATATTCTCCCATTGCAAAGTGCATGTATACAGAAGCCCTTAACCATCTTAGAAAAAAGCTTAGTGTCCAAATAATATACCATCATTAAATGTCTGTCGTGTCTGAGGCTGCTATAAGTAAATACTGTTTAAAAAAACACACATTTGCATGGCTCGCAGTCAATATCAAAAGTAGCTTTATTATAACACGTCAAAACACAAACTATAAGGCATACTTTTGTCATTTTTTAAACACTTTAGCTCCTGAAAAACCGATGTTACTTCTTTTAACAAATATAATTGTTATTCATTCATATAGATTTTGCATAGAACAACAGCTTAATTTCTGAAAATTTCTTATTCAAAAAATATAATGATTACATTGCCAGAGAATAATTCTTCCCAGATCTTACAAAATTATAATTTTTTTCTTTTTTTTCTCGAGCTGATATTGGTGTATTGCACAAGTGATACACCTAATTATGAAGGATAAACTTGAAATAATACATTTGTACATTTTCACCTGTTTTTAAACTGTACACAAATTAACACTGAAATTAACAAAACAAGAAGCCCTCGTACATACTGCAGATGAACCAAATTCCCTTGACTTAGTAATCTTGAATGTGCATCAATTTGTTAATCCCTTTCTGTTTCATATACTTTGTAGAAAGTTAAGCTTCAAATCCTGCACAATATGAGTATCTCTAGTTCTTATGTCCAGAGATATATCCTTTGTGTGAGCTGTAGTAGCAAACCATTAACCCAGATCCATGGTTTGGGACAGAAGGGGTTTGTACAAGCTGGATAGTAGGGCTACAAATCCTTGGACCCTACAAGTCCCGAGACCTAATAGTTTTGGGGAAATTACCAGATGAAGTACATGTTTCCCGCTGGTTTGCATTTTGTGCAGTAAACACCGTAGCAACCCCTGACAGTACCACGCGGTGCTTCCTTCATCTAAACCTAAATGTACCTCAAAAGTGGGATATTCCCAACAAGCAAGATGAAGTACATGTATATGTTTCCCGCTGGTTTGTGTTTTGTGCAGTAAACACCATAGCAACGCTTGTAAGCACCACGGGGTACTTGCTACAATCTAAACCTAAATGTACCTCAAAAGTGGAATATTCCAGACAAACAGACCATCGTTGGAAAGCTTGATAGTAGGATTACAAGATGCGCAAATCTCCAAGTCCTGACAGAGAATACGATTTTCCAACTATTCTGTGCTTATTTTTAAGTATGTGCTTATATTTCTCACACAACCAACTGTCAGACAAGTTTGCTTTTGCTTCAATGCTTGAATAAACACTCGTCAGCATTTTTTCTACCGTTTTGAATAGGTACTGAGTCCAACATTTGACCAAGAACTCTGTTTCTGATAATGCCAGCAAGCAAACAAAATAGCTGTTTGATGAAAGTTTGTCAAACAGAGTTGGCAGTACATGTACACATTAAATAGTGCTACAAAGTACGAATGCATGTTACTTAAGCCCATCTCTAATAATGAGAACTTGTCAAAATCTGCAATCGCACAATAGGCAGCACCATGTCAGCCAAGAGACACCAAGCCCCATGTAGAAGTATAGTGGTTGGACTTTGCAATCCTGCATCCATCAGAAATATAGGCATAGAAACAAGAAGCATAGAATGTTCAGAGCCAGCATTTGCTGACAATGTCAATAGTCATGCAGTAGTAGAAATGCACACTATGTCATGAAATACTCTCACAACGTCTCTGCTAACTGTCAAGCTATCATGAATTTGATCCGATGTCGCAAACTGCCGCCATCTTTGTTTGATACCCTGAAGCCAAGGCAGTGAACCAAGTTACAATTCCCAATCATGATCAATGGCACCAGACTACTTGCTACTCCAACCTGCAAGTTGCCCTTTTAAGTTTAGTTAGACAAGTGTAGAATATAGCAGTTAAAAAAAGTAATGTTACTTATACAGGTTGAGGTTGAACCATGCGTGATAAAAAAACAGACCGTGTTGATATTGTTTCTTCATCAGTAAATCCCATCATGTTTGACAAATCTTCTCGCATTTTCCTCTTTTTTATACAATGTAACAATATGACATTGCTCAAGTCTTGAAGTGTAAGCAGCAAATTATTAAAATTGTAAAGGAAGATATTGTTCATTTGTAATGTGGTGGTATGAAAAGTATAGATGCTGACATTCTTATAATTATCTTGTATACTTTGTAATGTATTCATCATGTGTACTATTAAAATCATATCTGGTACCGGTAGACAAAATCACAAATTGTGTTGTCTACGGGAAAATATGCAAAATTAAAGTTGTCAAATCAGTGTTATCAACACAGACTTACATGTACTCTGTACTTGTGTTATTAACTTACTAAAAACAGGCTTAAAACTTCTCAGAACGCAAAGTATTTCAAAGAAAACAATTGTTTAAACAAAACTGAGCCAGTACTGGCACTGTCCACTTTTGGGCACACACTACATCTTTGGCATAACTGATTTTGAATAATAAAAATGAGAATTTCTTCATTCAACACAAAATCAAATTCTTGTTTGATAGTTCCTTTATCATTTACAAAAAAATAATGGAAAAATGCCATTTTCCATCAATGAAAATATGAACCTTTTCTTTCTCAAATTAAAAAATAAATATTTTCACATATCAACATAGATTACACGTATTTTCAAAATAAAAAACAGGAAAGAATCTTGAAAGTATCACTGAAATACAAGAATGACAGAACTGCACTGGAGCCGACAGATAAAAAGCCACTCAAAAAGGTCCTATGAGTTGGCCTTTCAATGTTTGACAACTTTTCCCAAAAACGACCCCACCAACAATGGCTTCAACCCAGTCTGTGATGGTCTGACAATATCACTCAAGATTTCCGACAAATCTATCTAATTCTCAAGGTTCCAAACCACAGCACACAGCAGACAAACAGCTACAAGGAAACTCTGAATTCTAAGAGCAGTTCAGAGGTGGCCTTACTGTTAAATAGCTCGCCCCATGAAGATCATATCAACAATGCTTCACAAACCCAGTCTGTGATGGACTGACAATATCACTGAAGGTCCCCGACAAAGTCCCTCACGCTTCAAATCACCTGGCAGACAACCAACAGGGCTAAGAAAAAGATGCCCTAAAATAGAACTTGGTGGCAGATGGAGGTTCAATGGATCTCCCTATAGATCTCAATCTTGTAAGTGAAGGATGCATGAGGTCCCAACCGCGGCACCACAAACCTGTTACATGCTAAGAAGTCAGTGCTTAGAGCAGGGGAAGGCATGCCCTTTAAGCAAGCTAGAGTTTCGTTCATTATCAGAAATTACCAGAAAAATTGCCCAACCGACTGATAACAGCCACAAACCATTGCCCACAGAATCAATGAAGAGTTCGCAATCTGTCAAATTTAAAACACAGGTAACTTAATCAAAACACGTTCTTCCTGAAGTCATTGCAAGTCGATACACTGACCAAACTATGGCCTGATATTTCTATATGGTAGATGTTCCATGGAACTCCAGAAAACACCGCAGAACAGAAGAGGGTTATTGTGTTCATCAACAAACACATGGTACAGCTTAACCAAGGTAGACATCCTGCTAACATCTGTCGATGTTCAGAAGGAGACAGGGAGCCAAAACAGACCAGAACTCTCCACGGACATCAAAGGACCAAGAAGTCTGGAGATGTGAGGAAAATTCCTCGCTGACCACTATGATTTCAGTGCTTCACATCCAAGCCAAGTTGTCTGTGTGTTATCTATTAAGCAGCATTCCAAATACATGTAGTAAATCTAATGTGACTGACTGTTAACTGATCCTCAACTGGCCAAGACAATGTCATTTAAGAATCAAATAGTTCAGATGAAAAATGCCTTGCACATATTTCAGTATTCGATTACAGAAAAACAACTTGTACTACTTCATCTCAATGTCAAGCCTGTTGCACTTCCACACAGAAAACAAATCATATCTTCTATCTCTTTCATTTCTGTCGTCAATCCTCAACATCGTGAATCTTGTCTCAGCTTAACAAATTTAGGAAAATAAATAAACTGCTGCCAATTGCTTGCTGACTGGATTGACCTGAAATATACAAATCAACAAAATTAGACGGCCTAACATCTTATTGTCCTTGCAGAATCTTTGTCGCAGACAAATTTCATCGTAACGTTAAACACAAGCTGGCAAGCAGACATCAATTTATATACCATGGTACTTTGACTAGTGACCCATTTTAGATGATGCACCTTGAAAGGTTTGCGGAAACACCATGTGCAAATAATTTCTCAACTAAGAGAATGGTTCTGAAAAGAACCAGAGGTATAAACCAGAGTTTATACCTCTGTTTCTTTTCAGAACCATTCTCTTAGTTGAGAAATTATTCGCACATGGTGTTTCTGCAAACCTTTCATTATTTAGTATCTCCACCATGCAAAGCCTCAAATCTTACTTATGATGCACTTTGCTACGCAAGTGCTTAGCAAAAGTCCATAGCTGACACATTTAATGCTTACAGTCTTTTTAACGATTCTCTTCTCTTCTGGAAAATTGTTTGCTTGCTTAAAACAAAATTATGTAATGGTAAAAGATTTAGAATACAGTGTGCCACCAGATATTTTCCTCCATGTATTAATCAGTCATCCTTCATTATTTACATACAGTACCAAAAAAAAAACCCGTTGCATTGAGGATTCATAACTGCTTTACTGTAAAGCGCAAGGTACCTCCAGAAATTGTTCTCCAAATTGACCTATCGTGTCTTGTCCGCTACCTGTTTCATAAACGTTCTGAGCACCCAGGCCCTTGAACAGCAGTAAACTATGGCATTGCCATGGCTACTTTGAAATGTTCTGTCTTGCAGTGTGCTGGCCATTAAGTACATTGAATATCCCCTTAAACACATTAGGAAACATTGTTTTGGTAGTGATTTGGGTTAGTCACAAAGAAAGGCTTGTATCCTTTTCATGTATGGCTGAATATCAGTGAAACTTGTACTGAATGTGATCAATAGCCACATCGAATGTTGGCTGAAGAAAAAAAACCGGTAACCTTTCCCATTTTTGTAGGAGACAAGGAATTACCAAAAGGGACTTTTTTTTTAACTTACCCTGTTTATATTAATCATCATAATAATAATTGTAAAGCGCTTTGAGATCGTTGATACGATAGAAAACGCTATATAAGCACAATTATTATTATTTATCATTCATGACATTCATGAATACCTAATACAGTTTACCCTTTCCTATTGGTCGAAAGCCCGTCACATGGCTGGTCTTAAACGGATGATTTAAGACATGGCTGGCTGGTCTTAAACATTTTCCCAGTGTCACATGAAATATGGACTCGCATGAAATCCGGTGCCTTTTAATGTTTTAATTTTTGGACTTTAATGTTTTAATTTTTGGACTAATTTTTTTTTTTACCAAAAAGGTTTTTATGAATGGGAATAAATATATGCTTGGTCGGTAATAAACACTCTCTTTAAGACTGGTTGGAGTCTGCAGTGCTGATAATTACCCATCCAGACTCCAACCGGTCTTAAACAGAGTGTTATAATACTTCCCAAACACACATTTATTCCCTTTTTACTTACACCCAAAAAATCCCATATTAAATTGCTCACATAAAAAAAATCATTAAGATTGCAAAATCCAACTGTTACTTAATATAAAATTAATTCGGTTTGGCAATGTCCACAAACTAACTTTAACCATTTTCAACCAGGCACTGGTAATCCAGTAGGACTTTTACCACCAAAGAGTTGTTCTGTATTGTGAATCAAACATGTTAAATTATTACTGTTAAGATCAGGAAAATAATTACAAAGTTGACAGGTGAATTAAACTGATTGCTCTTGAGTTTTCTGGTCAAGGTATTCACAAATAAATCTGGCCTGTCTGCAACCATGCTATGAAGAATGCGGTGGCTCAGCTGAGTTGGAGTTGTCACTGGCATAACCAAACTCAGCGTCTTCATCGGAGCTATTGACCTCCTCAGAGTAGGCTTCTGAGCTCTCTGAGGTGTCTAGCTCTGGCACCGAGGCAACAGGGACAGTGTTCTGGCTAGATCGATTCTTGGGTCTGTTGGGTAGAGCTAAAGAACGTTGGAAAGAAAAGAATGGACAAAAACAAATAATGATGAGAACCAAAACTGAGTAGGGAAACAAATAGAGGCAGATAAGGGACAAACAAATGGCACCTTGAAAGTGTATGTGCATCTACACATTAATTAACCCCTACAATGCTACATCCAAAAAAAATAAAGGGGCAGTTTTTCTGATCAATTGTGTGGTGACTTATGATCCATCACAACTACCACAACCAAAAGGGTTTTTTTTTGTTTTAATTTGAAGCATGTAGATTTGCTGGATTCAACATTTGGTGGAATTTGGTGGGTTGTCTCAAGAAATATAAAACATATTCGGGGACAGTCTTCAAAATGAAGTTAAAACTCCTGTTATCAGGACCATACTTACGAGGTTTCTTCTTAATTCCAAATCTGTATGAGATGTCTTCTTCCGAATCTGAGTCTTCCAGCTTCCAGCGCTCAAAATCATTTCCGATGAACCCAAGCTGCAAATTTAGCAAAAAAAAGAAATAAACAATCACTTAACATATTGACCAATCAGAATAGCTGCATCATTCAAGCTACTAATAAAATTCATTTCACTGGTATCCATGCCAACCCAGTCCATACTGTACCTTGGTTTTGCTGGCAGTCAGCCGAGACCAGTTGGTACCCACTGTCTCCTTGTACAACGTGATCAACACTTCACTGCCCAAGGGTACTGCCGCATGCTCTGGCGCCCTCACACGACTGTACAGATCCAGGCTAAAGGCAAAGTTGGTCTTATCTTGAATGGTGCTGGAATTGACGAGAAATAGATTTGGAAACAATCCACAAATAAGATGATGCCTAAATGTAAGTAGTATTAAGGTAAAGGAATTAAGTAGGAAGGATTTATTTTCTTAAATTTTTTCTCTTTGTTCCAAGAATAAAAGTTGGTTGGAATTGAGAATTTATAATTTCAATAAATAAATATAAAAACTCTTCTATTTCTATAAAATAGAAAAATCCCTCATTATTTTTTATTTCCATAAGAATGAGCAAACATCGACGTTATGTTAAGAGGCCACGTTTAGAGCTTTTCCAATTAACTTGCTTTATAACAATTATAAAGTCAGGGATAAAAACAAAGTTAGAGACAAACCCAAGATTTTGAAAACCCCCATTTTCCATTGGACTGGCGGCTTACCTGAAACTGACGCTGGTAGAGGTCACATCAAGGTCAAAGGTCACGACCCCTCTCAGCTGCACACTGAGGACGACTGAATTGGGACGTTGGGACCATAGGACTTTGGGCTGGGTTCTGAAAACAGCGATGAATAAATCACAAACAGTCATGTAAATATACCGGGCGCATGACAACATGATTGTCGTATCTCTTCATTTATCACTATGAGTTAATTGCCATTTTAAATGGCAAAGGCAGATTTTATCTTTGATTTTTTTTTCACTTTTCGTATCAAAAGGGAAAAAAATGGGTTTCTCCTTACTTGGGCAGTGAAATCTCGGAATCAACCTCCAAAGGGGGCATATCATCGTTGTCATCTGGTAAACCTTTGGTTCTGTCATCCGTCACCTCCTGTATGCTGATGACCTTTGACACGGGCTGCTGTCTGTGATTTGGCAACTGAGTAGAGCCTGATTGGTTGGCAGTCATCATGGGGCCCCTGCCAACGGCAGCTGATTGGCTGCTGGGTTGGTAGGTTTCCTCTGATTGGTCTGCTTGGGTCTTGGTGTGTTCAATCAGACGAATGTGCAGCGTGACTAGCAGTCGGTGAGTGGTCTCAGAATGACTCATACACATCAGCTGACTGGGGAGATAAGAGAGAGGTTTCCAATGAGACTGATTACAGATAGCGCAACCGATAGGTCATCAGTTCGTGTATTCTTGTGACGTCATACAAGACTCGCGTACATGTGTATGGGCTCCATTTGTGAACAAGAGAGGGCGCTCTTTGCTCACTTTCAAGGGCTCTGTGGACGGGACACATCGTATGCATAAACCAGGGCACGCAGGTATAGCGAGATGTACGCATGATTTATTTTATTCCGAATGTTCACAAACCCATAGCATCATCAGCAATGCGTTTGAATAATAAAAATAATAATAATTTATTGATATATATTTCGCCCATTCCATTCAATGTACACAAGCACATAACAGCAAAAAAAAATTAAAAATAAACAAATGATACTATAAAATTCACAAGTTAACCAATAAAAAGCTTGAGAATTTCACAGTAAATTCATAATGATATGACATAGAACTCCTCATTCAAGAATATAAAATTACAAAAATCGATAAAAATTACAAAAATCGATAAAATGTCCCTCCCAGGGGTCTCCCCAAACTCTCCCTTTCTTGCCGTTGAGGGGGTACTTGTACTTGTTCACAAGCGTAGCTAGACCTGACCACAAAAATCAGTGCTCAGTCTTCTGTTGAACTAAGCACTTTTTCAGACATACCCAGTTTCATTTTCAATAGGATAATTTCATCTTGCACAAGCAAAGTTAATAACACAAGGCACTCACTGATCAACAAAAAGCATGGATAAGAATTGGAGCAAAACATAAAGTCAACTACTGAAATCAAATAAGTTGCATCCAAGCAGAGTAAGTGGCTTGCACTTCTACACAACATGCACAAGGTTCACTGATTAACTTTTTTTCAATCAAGGAGTGTATTTGCTCATTCAGTTGACATGCACTCATCAACTTGGTCCGTCTGTAAACACTATTTGCTTCCTGTTCAGACAAAGGTTGCTACAAAATTTATCATCTACTCACAGGACTTTATGATGCGTAAATTGAGACAAAAAGAACCCAACCCAGGCCCATAATTCAATGAAAAAAAAAAAACAAACATCCTAGATTGGACCGCAAAGTGAGTTGGTCCAAAGTCCAATCAATTAAGACAATACTCTCGATCAGGACCAGTTAATGAGTTGTAGTGAATCGCGGAGATATGGAACGTCACGACGAGTTGAGACAACGGAAAAAAACACAACATTGAGTACCGGGATTAATCAACTTGTCTGTCATACCACGGACGGATGGTTTGCTGAGATTGGAGGGTTGATAAGACCTTGCGTCTACTTGAGAATAATTAGGTCGGATGTCATCCCCCATCCAAGCAATTTTTATGACGAGATTTCAACGAGATATAGTGGCGATCCACTTATTGGAAAACAATACTTCATGGTTCAGTGCTTGATGGCTCCGTTAAAGAAAACATAGAGTGATTACAAGGCAACAGTTCCTCAAAAGCACTTACTGGACTTACAGGTTGATATTCCTAACATCAGAGGTGCATTTTGATATAAATTGCAACCAAAAAGGTGCGGTTCTTCCAGCAAGGGAGGGACATTTCAGCAGGATTACTGATGGTGAAGAACTGCCTGAGCACCAATGCTGCCCCAAACAGCTGGGCAACAAATAGTGAATGAAAGGACATTCGTCTGACTTGTTGCAAAAAGGGGAGATAGTCCCTTCTTGGACTGTTGAACAACAAGTTACTGGCAACTTACAAGTATCACACAGGGTTCTGAATTTCAACTGGAGTACATGTAAATCACCCTTATACCAACTATGTCCACGCAAAATACAACCGACATGATCACTACTGTGGCGCCTCATGAGTTACAGTGGATGTGTCAAATCCTGACTGTGGAAGGAATCTTTGGCGTGCTCGGAAACCTCTTTGTCATCTTCGTCATTCTACGTGTCAAATTCCTGCACTGCATGACAAATTATCTACTGGTGAATTTGGCCGTGGCCGACATGCTAAGCTGCTTGCAATGTTTCGTGGTGTATCTCTTCACTCCGCCAAACTGTGCGCTGATAGTTTACATCCCAACCAGTGCTTTTGGGAGAGAGATCTTCTGCCGGTTAGTGGACAGTAGGTTCTGGAGTTGGATGTGTTCCTTCCTGGCTTCCTACAGTCTGTGCATGGTTACATGGGAACGCTATGTTGCCATAGTCCAACCCCTAAAGTACCCGAGAATGCTCGCCCCAACAAAGGTAGTGACTCTCATAGTCGTGATGTGGACTGTGTCGTTTCTGTTTTCACTGCCGTTTCTGTTCATTAAAAGAGCCAGTGAAGACCCAAACCAGGCTTGCACCAAGATCGATTATCCTGACATGTCGTTCCACGTGTCTAGGAGTGTATTCGGGTTTCTAATGGCATTCCTACTGCCTGGAGCACTCATGGTAAGGGCCTACTACAAAATACATGTCACTTTGAAGCAACAAGTCGAAGCGCTGCACCGTCAACACGCGAGGGCAGCAGCCTGCAATCTTCTGATTGCCAGACAGCGTCTGGTCTACATGCTGACCATTGTCTTGGGTGCTCTGATAGTCTTCTGGGCACCAGGTTACGTAATACCGATCATCTGCTTGTATTCCAGGGATTACAGCACCCTGCCTTACTATTGTCGCACCAAGGGATTTCAGATTGTCCGAGAGTTCACCAACGTTCTTTACTTCCTCAATTCTGTGATTAATCCAATTATCTATGAGTTGAAGTACAAGCGATTCCAACAAGGAGTCAAAGTGGCTTTTTGTAGCTGTTCCGGTAGACAAAGAGGAAACAGAGTTGGGATCGAAATGGCTACTATGTAAGTCTTCTGAAAGGGAGACGAGCATGCAAAGCTCCACATTTAACCACTTGCCACTGGGATTATTTTTGCCTAAAAAAAATTTTTTTGAAAGAGACAAGATATATCGCCCAATTTTAAAATCAAGTCAAACACCACAAATACTGACCCTAGAAAGTCATTTGTACAATAGTTTGTACAATACTTGTATTTACTTTTCACAGTGACTTCATATTTGCAACATTCTGATACCTGCCATGGAGCGTTATTAGTTACGATGACAGCATGTCTACAGCGGTCAAGTTCAGAACACGGTGTTTACAAAATCAATGGGAACCACTGACGTGTATACACGTCCACCGCAGGAGACTTTGGGAAAGCTTGACAATCTAACATTGCCAGATCATGTTGACACATCCTCTGGCATTAGCTGGTTAAGGGAGTTTAATTTTGCAGAATTTCTGCCCAACTTCAAATTACTGCACCTCGAGAACATGTGAGATGTATGCTGCAACGTAATCTGTTGAGAATGCGTATGCTTTTCACGTAATCCGATGAGAACTGACAAAAAATTCCGCCCAAAGAAAAAAACAAGTGCCAAGGTACAATCTGGCACCACAATGGCACACAGTGTTTATGAATAAATATTAGAGGAAATGTGTACAGAAAAAAAGAACTCGGCCAACTCCATGCACACTGCAACAAAATTAAACTTACTGGGAATGATAAAAGGATCCAGATGACTAGAGATTCATAAGCCTTGAGATTTGTACAGTATGCATGCTTGGGTTGGGCTTAGGGTCAGGGGTTGGGCTTAGGGTCAGGGGTTGGGCTAGGGTGGGGTCAGGGGTTGGGCTAGGGTGGGGTGAGGGTTTCATATGGGATACTACGAAGAGTGAGTGTGGTGGGGTTAAGTGGGGTTGGGATGGGGGTTTGAGTGGGTGTTTGGGTACATGGGGGTTCAGGTACAGGTTTGGGGTGGGAACTTGGGGTTTGGCTGGGCTTGGGCATGAGGATGGGCAAGTGGGTGGGATTTGGCGTGGGTGTTAGGATTGGACTTGGGGTTGGGGTGGGGGTTGGGATACAGGGGGGGGGGGGGCTGGTTTGGGTAATTGGGATCGTGGTGTGGGTGGAGGACCAGGAGCCATACCTTTCCACACAGTCCATCAGTGCTTGGTCTGTCATGACTTCCAGGTTCAGTGGATTGTTGCAACTCAATGAAGTCAGAGCCTGAGCAATGAGGTGAACCACGGGACTGTCCACGGTGTCCCACAGGAGATCACAGAGAATGAGTAGACCACCCTCCTCACGAATCTCATCTCTGGTCCTACACACACACAAATGGAAGACAATAATGACAGTTCACAATACGGTAAAGATGCATCATACAAAAAACGTCAACATCAATTGATAGACACTGCTCTTTGTTATCAATGCCAGTGCAGGACTCATTTGTTTGTTACACTTGTCACTTCCCTAGTTATTTTCTAAGGGTAGTTTAATTTCCAAAATTACTGCTTTACAAAAAACAAACAGCAAAGTAATGGTTCCTCTAAAGTTCAGAATTGTTTGAGATATGTATCTCTTGATTATTGAGTGTACATGTGAAATGGAGATTAGCACAACACAAATCGTGAAATTTCAATTTGCATTCCTTCTGATTCACATCTTTCTGTAACTATCTACTTTAATGTCATCTGCCCTGGGGTCAACCTAATTTGCATAATTATGCATACACAGCCTAAGAATGGTGTGTCTGTGTGAACATGTAAGCTCAGAAATCCTTCAGGAAATAAGGTTTAGAATTAGCACAGCAAATCTTAAATACTGACATCAAAACACTAGCAGGCCGTTTGTCTGATCTTATGAATACACAATTGCTCGGACTTACCCTCCATTGGCAGCCATCTTGGACAGCGCCCTCAAGAGGTTCATGAGACAGTCCTCCTTCCTCATAGTGCCCAGCAGCTTGCAGATGGTTCTCAACCCACCTGCCTCGTTCACAGTACATTGGTTTCTGCAGGAATAATTCACGTCGGATAATTTCAATGATAACTTATTGACATTATGAACTGTTGTACAGTAAGAGTAGACTTAATTTTGCTTAGAACTTAAGCAGGTACTCGCCTGCTGAATAAATTGTTAGAATCAAATAAAAAATTACTCAAATACAGCTCTATTCAAATCATTAATCACGCATAATTTAATGACATGAGTGAAATGCTTGAGCTGATATTTTAGAATACAGTTTCTAGCTTTCAGCACTTTGAGCCAATACATTGCTGTGTTACACACAAAGAGTTTAAGTGGCAATTTTAAAGCAATTTTGACGGCTGTTATAAACTTAAACACAGCTTTAGAAAACAATAAAGCAAAATTGAAGTTTAGAAAAAGCTGTTATACCGTTTTTTATTCTTTAAAGGTTCCTAACCTTGCAAAATGTTCACCTTTTTCAAATGGATATGTCGCATTTTGAAAATAAACTCTTATTCAGAGAAGAGTTTATCAACAGGCCGTGAATATACTTCGTGGCGTGTCAGCAATCTAGAGTTTTGTTTCTCGTTTGTAAGACAAAACCGAGAAGTTAGAGGAAAGAAGATTGATTGCCGACTGCCTTACTTGTTGTTGTCCGTGACGAGGGCTGCCAATGCAGCACTGGCCTGATTGACGATGTTGACATTGGCCGGCGCTGCTAGCACACCGCACAAGGCTTCAATGCCGCCATATTCCAGGATGCTCCTAAAAGGACGAGTAATGACAATCAATGAGACAGTACACACATACAGACAGCCACACAATGCACAGAGATGAACCAGAATCTACAGTAGACAAGCTGGCACTCATCTTTGTTGACGACTGAGGGAAATGATGTGCAAAAAAACAATGTGCAACATAATTTTTTTGAAATGCAATCTTTGTCAACCTTATTTTCAATTATCATTTTGCTAATTTCAAGGGTATTCTGGTGTTTTTGGTTTTATGCTAATGCCAATTTCCACATTCATGAGCAAAACTGTGATGTCATTTCAGGCAGAAACGTCAATGCTACAGCTATTTAAGCAAAAAGTTGCCAGAATTGTGCATATTTTGCTGTCTTGATTTTTTGTTCTCTTTGGTGATTTGTTGTTGTGTCAGTACATGGCAGTCAGCCAATGAGCAACCCTTTCTCACAAATGTTTTCAACGAGCCAATTTTGGGTTCACAATTTGAACAAAAAAGCCCTAATCTGAACAGTGTCTTCCTGAAATGACATCACAGCAACAGTGCCCTCAGTTGACCGGAAAAGCATGGACAATCTTAAATGTTTAAAGAAGTGCACTTTTAATCAAATTAACCAAAAAGGAATGTCAGATAGCATTCATACATTTAAGAGTAGAAAAGTTGCACACAATGTGTTCCTAAGGCAAATTCATCTCATGAACCCTTTCAAATTAAACTTGTTTTTGGCTTTGGTATTCTGTTGTCTTTATTCGCAACATTTTTTAATAACGACAACTGCTTTTTTTTTGGTCAGCACAAAATTCTGAAGTTTGATGCAAATGCCCACATCCGTAGGTCAAAAACTAGGGGTATATGCATCCCCCATTCCCCCCTCAGGATTTATGCTCTTGTAGACAAGTTTTCAGATTTGAATTTTAAAATGAACTAAGAAAAATGGACAACGGAGAGCTTTGAAAGACTGAACTCCAGAAACGACTCTAGTAAATGAGTCTCCTGAGCTGCCTAGTCCTAATTTGACAGGCTCCAAATAAGTTAATATCTTTGTGTGGACGGTGTATGCGATTGGATAATATCTGATTGGATTGTCAAAGATTTGACAGGTCACTGGGGCCGTGGCTTTTAAAGTCAACCCACGATGACAAGCAAATTTACTGAACATGCCATATTGCAAAGAGTCATGTCAAATGTATGGAGATCACTAAGTAAGAAGTAATTGCTTTTTCCTGATTGTCGGTTCCAAGACCACATCACCATGATTTTCTTTTAAGCAATCACATCATGATTGTTGCTATATTGGTCGTGGATGTAAATGTCATTTGTAAAAATGGAGTTGGGTTTTAGTTTTTGGGGTTTTTTTTGGGGGGGGGGGATTGTAGATTCAAATACCATCTCTGCAATGATGTTTTTAAGGCTGTTCCTATGCCACTTGGTGCTAAATTGGCCGATGGGAAAAGGAACATATTTGTAAAAAGTCACAAATCAGTGTTTGTGCTATACTTACGTGGGATTCCCGGAGGACAACATCAGAACATAGGATATATATTCCTGAAGTTTGACATCTTTAGTCTGTGACCAGAAAAGAAAAAGATACTTGAAAATAACTACATAGTAAGAAAAAAAAAATGAAATTTCTACACACATGAAAATAAGTAAGATTTGAGGCTTTGCATGGTGGAGATACTAATGAATGAAAGATTTGCGGAAACACCATGTAGGAATAATTTCTGAAACTAAGAGAATGGTTCTGAAAAGAACCAGAGGTATAAAAATGTAAGGATTGGCATAGTTCTTAATTGCGTTCATGATAAACGTAAGATTTACCTTCAGTAGCAATTGGCATAATTCCTTCAGTCCTCCACTTCTGCACAAAACCTCACAGTTCCTGTAACCACAAAATGAAAATAATTATCAAATATGATTACTTCTAGAAACATGACAATGGTCTTTTTGAAGAAAAAAAGGATGGGAGGAGGAATCTATAAAATGAGCATCAGATTGGTCACATTAGTCAAGAACCTTTATTTATTTATTTCTTTTTTGTTAAAGATGGCTAAACGTTTGGAAATTTGGAATGTTTGCAACTTGTGATTTCCCACAAGGTGAAGGAATCATTATTGCATGAAAACAGATTCTGAGACAAAACGCTGTAGTTCATCACCTCTAACAGCTAAACACACAGATACATGTACGTTAAGAACCTGGCAAAATGGCATAAAACTAAGAAAAACAAGGAATCATTTATCATTTCGTAATTTTTCAACTTTAAAGCAAGCCAAATAGAAAATATTATAGGCTTACAGAAAAGATGACGTTCTTGCTTAAAGAATAACACAAATTTCCATTTCAGACAAAAATTATTACAAAACTCTCTAAATGAATTTTTATTTAAGAGTGAAAGTCAAAATTACTTGGGACTTTTGAAGCAAACTAGGGCCAGACTGGTAGCCAGGCTATCAATGACCCGCTGATGACCCCGTCTGCATGCCACCAGACGACACAAGGGGGCTATGTCCACTTCAGTCAAGCAATCCAATTGGCTGGTTGAAATCAGATTTACATATTATACATATAGTTAGACAGCTCAATAAAGTGTCAGCAATTTTGTTACTTTGCATTGGCAAAAAGTTCAATTGTCTCCAGAGAAGAAAATCCAAGACAATATGGATAAAATAATGAACAGTTTACAAAAAAAACATCACTGGAGTGAAGAGGACAGAGTTTAAACTCATTTAAACATAAGTAAGCAACGTTGACGGTGAACAGCCAGAATTTCTATACCAATAACATTCGCTGAGCAATCATAGGTTCAAGTATTTATGAATACAATAATAACTCCAAAATGTTTCTTCTTTCAAAACCTAGGCATTTTCTGCTAGAAGCCTTCAATAATAAGTCTCTCTCAAATGACGTCATTTCCTACAGACCAGCCACGTGCATCGGCATTTTGAGCATCAGCTTGCATAACGCGCATTGGCTGCGTCGTATTTCGAACACATTTCGAGCAACAAGTGCGCGTGTTTGAAACATTTTCAACACTACGCAATGCGTGCTTGATTGCGTAAAATACACAGTTGCAGTTCTCCTACAGAGATGGCCGTCATTGAGAGAAATCTCCCAAGTGTTCCACTGTGCAGGGAACAGCTGGTGTTCTTTGTACAGATTTGTTACATTTGGACATCGACCCGCATGTTAGGTAAATGTGGCCGAGCTGAATTTTCTCAATCCTGCACACCCTTTAAAAACCTGTAGGTGGATTATGACGGATCTGTGAGGGCTAGGATTAACCCAAGAAAAAGCCATCATCAGGAAAAAAGTATCCAACGACATAGCTCGTTATAATTTTTGATTTCGTCTTTGTAAAATACATATAGCAGAGGGATTTGTTGCTACCTGAGTGTTGTTATCAGCTCGTTGATTTGGCTGGCTACGTCAAGCTGCTCAGACTCACTCTGCTGATGACAAAATCACAATCAAACAATTATTGACAGGAGGGAATAATGCTGATATGCACACAGAATATTTAGATATATTTCTTAAATTATTTACAAATGCCACCTATAACACACAACGTCTCTGCTGTAAACCATAAAGGAGTGCCAGAAAATGGCCCTTTCTTATCAATCTTTCTGGATACCTTTAAATTGTACAGTTCTAAGCAGAGCTGAGACAACATGTTGCCAATCTCGGTTGACAACGGCGGTTCAGTGTCGTCATCTACTGCAACAATCGGGAACATGCTCTGTGAAGGAGAAAAGAAAGCTTGCACATTCAGTGGAAACAATGGTCAAGTATTTCAGATCATTAACAAGCTTATATTTCTGTAAATCAAACAAACTTTGAAGAAAAAAGTGTTAAATGGCAACAAATTTCTGCCAGCAATATTTAAATTTCTTTGTACGACATCAAAACCCTCTAACTTTCAAATTACTGAAAGTATATAGTGTTCATGTAATAGAGTGTGAAATATTGCACATGCAAGAAATGTCCCTTACTAATTCTCTAGAATAACCCCCACAAAATGTCATCTGCTGTTCCTTCTCAAATCCATAACAGTGCAGAATGTTTGACGAAAGAAACACAAGACTACCTGAAACAAGGCTTCGTTCCCTGCGGCATGCCCAGCATGTACCAGTTCCTGACCAATCACAACGTCTCGCTCGCTTCTGGTATCAAACAGCTCAATCTCATAGTGGGACGACCCAACAGGCCCCGATTCAGATCCTGACCCAATTTCAGATATGATCTTGGAATAAAAAATAAAAAATAGATGCAAGAAATTTTTTTTTGAATCATTTAACATTTTCACTGAAATTTCTGAACTCAAAACTGATAAAGTAAAACACCACACATGGATATTAGCCATCGACAAGCCTTGACTTATTATCACTATTAATTTTGTGCAAATGTCACCTCTTTTTATTTCCTCAAATTCACTGTAATCGTCAAGTACAGAAATCATTAATTTCTTTTCGAACAGAAAAAGTGTTGAATGCAAACAAGCAACAAAGATGTGACAAAATGTGTGTTTACAAATAGCTCATGATTAGTCAAAAAGAGACAGGTATTAATTTTTCGAGGAATAGACTCGGCTAACAAATCCAAGATTAGTGAAGGGAAAAACATCATGACTGCTCACTTTTGCCATCAGTAATTTCTTGTCGTCGCCGTCAAGGCACATATCCCACAATGCATCACCAGCAGCGTCGCTCCACTCATCCTCATTCGGGGAGACGTTGGTCAGACTGCACTGGATGGCCTGGAATGGCAGCTAAAGACAGAAAATTGGAACCAAACAAAAATTCATGACTGGAAAGTTGATAGCAATCAACGTGTTCACACACATCTGTATGCATGTTCTTGTTCTACATAGCCCACAAGGACAGACACACAAAGGGAGAACAACAGATCCTTTCAGTCCTCGGGAGTTGGGTCCTCTGTAGTAGGTTTGTGTGCTTAATCTATGGGAGAGTGTTATATTACAGGGACAAAGGAAAACAGAGGAAAGTATCGTCCTCGGGAGTATAGTAAAACAAGAGTGAGTGATCTTGAGGTGTGATGAACCTACACGTATGAATGAGTTCATGAGTGCATGCTAACACTCAGCGCAATTATATAATTGCCAACGAAAGATACATGAATTTGTGTGTTGGTATTTGGAGGAGATGTAAAATTTTGAAAATTGGGTTTTGCCCTAATTTTAAAAACAAAGTAGCACAGATTGTGCCATGAACTTGTGCAGTTTCTTGATAGCTCTTGGATGTATAACATCTTGCTGATGCAGAATTCCATCCTCCCAGTTACCTTGAGGATGTTGTTCCATGCAGGATGTAGCCAGTCCTTAGCAACCTCTTCTCTATCACCGTAGTCCAAGTAGAACACCTCATATCGACCGTCTCCAGGAATGTCTAAGATGCGCACCCGGTTCCATCTGAGAAAATGAAATCATACAATGAAAAAAAAAGCCTAGTAAATGCAGCGATTGATTTAGGATACAAGCATTTGTCATTTGAAGCTATCAATTTGATCAAAATAAGAAAAAATGTAATAGTCAAAAGTAAAGTCAAATTCATGTTGAGACAATTTATCCCATTGGGCAGTGGTTATCTAAAAAATATGAAACATGAAAATAGGAAAAATATGAAACACGGGTATTTCAGTTTGGGTTCTGCTGTTCGCCAATTATTTCAAGCACAGTGCTGCTTGAGGATACTGCCAAATTTGGTTGGCATTTTATACTTCGTTTTTGATAATTAGTCAAGGGAGACCAAAATACGTCCAACAAAAACTAAATAGCAAACTGGGCTAAAGCTTGGCCGAATAAAAGGCTTAAATAATGCTGGGTCACTTCGAGTTTGAATGACATGGAACGTAAATTATGGCCAGGACAACTTGTGTTTTTGAAGTGATTAGGGACAAATGTGTAATAAACCATGGTTCAATATCCACAAACGGAAGACAATGTCTCAGAGTCTGGCCTACCTGTCATCCTCATGGAACCTGGCCAGACACACTTCCCCAACTCTGGGCTGCCAATCTTTGGGCGGTGGGGGAGCATTATTATCCGATAGTTTGGCATTGATTTCCTCCATTAATTTATCCAGTCTAGAAGGTAAAATGAAAATTGAGTAATACATTATACCCCAAAAGGTCGAGGTTAACAATCTCAAAATAACATAAAAGGGCTTGGATTGTCAAATGGCAAAAATTAGTCAGTCGATTCTTGCAAAATTAGGAATTTGTGAGACAAAAAGGATGAAGCACTCCAAAGCCACAGCAAATACGTCCATATCTAATTGCCGACAAATAAAAAGTAACAATTAAAATAATTAATTCCTTTTTTTCAATGGTAAAATAGCACTTGAGAATTATACATTTTAGCTTGTTTTACACCTGCATAAACAAATACATCATTATCTGCCAGAAAAATGTACCAAAAAGAAGTAACAGACATTTTATTGCAGCCTACCTGTCATTATACTTGGCTAGTTGCAAATACAGGCATCTTGGAGTGTGGACAGATGATACATAGACAGGGTAGTAGTCATCAGAAGGAGACAGGTAGATAGGGTCTGGAAGGAGCATGGGCTGGCTCCTACAAGAACAACATGGAGAAAACAGGAGACAGTGGTCAAGGAATATGGAATCATTTGTGTTTATCCTAAAGAAACCCAGCAATTTATGAATAAATAAAAAACTTATCTGTACTAAATACTCTGTGAAATTATTGCATCTGGTTTGCTGTCATTTAGAAGAATTCAAGAAATGTAGGCGATTTCTAACCAACAATCGATTGACTGAATTCTTTTAAATATAAAGAGCGCTTTTTAATGAAATTGTGTTTCTTGATCAAAAGTTTGGCTTTTCACTGTTTTCTCGAAAAGCGTAATATCCACTGAGCTGAAACTTCAACAGGTTAGGTTCCTAACTTTCCTCTTTGGATTTGGATTGGTGTTATTATTGGAAACAAACAAAATACAAGAAAAGCAAATGAAGCTTCATGTATTTCAAAATACTACGTAAAATGTCTTATTAAAAAGATTAACCCGACAAGAGCAAGGAGGAGGGGCAGATTACACAATCACAATCATTGTCAGCACCATAGTGGTTGATGGTTAAGACATCTGTACTTTCAGTCAGGATGTCGTGTCAAGTCTCCTCCCATCAAGCTAATGGATTACTTTCTCAATCTTTCAGACAGTTCTGAATATACAATGCTCGCAAACTTTAGCGGGGGAAGGGTTGTGAGTGGTGACCCAGTGTTAAAACATCTTCATTTAGAATATTAGCGATACCATTATATTTTCTTCATGGTATGTAAACTGTAATAATATATAAATATATATATTTATTCCGATATATCCTAAAACTGTAATAAAATTACATTTAATCAGCACCTTCAAAACAAAAGAAATAAAACAGTTTTTCATTTTTAAAATACAATTCTACAATACCAAAAGCCAATTCTGTCAACAATCTTAATTAAAAATGAGAGTAAAATCTTGTCCATATCATTACACATGCTAACATGTTACCCATTTATACAATGAATTATTGTGTCTCAGAAGAAAAATTGAGACTGTGTTGGTGGAGAAAATGGAATGTCTTAATTAAACAATGAAAAACTATGGTGGGTAACACAAAGAGCCATGGAGCTAATGGATATGGAGGGCACTCGACAGCGACAGGAGCAATATAAGAACAATCTCACAGACAGGACTGTCACTCTGAACGACCTTCGGACCCGGAGCAGTCAGAGCTCTTGAGTGCCTCATTCTTTGTACGTCAATAGTCTGTAAAGCCACGGATAAATTGGCCAATTAATAGTGCAGCTACATGTACATGTCGCTCAGCGAGTCGAAGAAAGTAAATTGACATAAAGAGCACTTGACAAACAGATGAGCTTGTTACAAGCGATCTTGCAAAGCTGTTGATTGATTAAAAATATGAAATTGGGTAATTGGATCTGATTTATTTCTTATCGCCACAGAACGCTGTGAACAATTCATCACTGGAAACTAAAACGTTTGAAAAAAATTTGCAGATGTGTTCTTGAGTAGCATTGCTTTGTTTGGATTCAGAAGGGAAGACATTTACTCCAAACTAACTCTGACATCGCCAACTAAAATTACTTTTAGACAGTGTATTGGAGCGACATGTTTTTTACAAATCTAAAGATGGCACTCCTTATATTTCATCTGCTTGTAAGCAGCAGCACAGCCAGCGCTCAGTATTGTTCAGCGGATATCAGCAGTCATACAAAAACTATGTGTCCCACAGGATGGGCTTCATATAACAACGCCAGCTGTTATCTGTACGTAGCCACCACGCTATCTCACAGTGAAGCCGAGGCGCACTGTCAAAGTTACTCCAAGCCTGGAGCCCCTGTTCACCTTGCCTCCATAGGCAGCAAGGAGGAAAACACCTTCATCAGGGATGCAAACCCCCTGCCGATGGTAGCCTTTGACAGCCAGTGGATCGGCTACGTCCAGGATCAGCAAACAGGCCAATTTGTTTGGACAGACGGGAGCCGAGGCAAGTACGACAATTGGTTCATAAGGCAGCCTAGTCAGGGCCCCGAGGAGCACTGCATCAGCATGTTCAGCCTGTCTGGTACCTGGAATGATGATGACTGTGACAAAGCTTTCAAATTCATTTGTAAGATGCATCTGCGAGTTTCCCATCTTCACATTTGAGATAGGAGGCCGGTAGTCAAACTCTCCTCAACTCCAGCAAGAGACGATACTGACAGTTTTACACCAAGTAATGTACACTTAACCCTCCTTTTGTTTGGTCAGTCACAGACAATCAAAAAAATCAGCTGTTCCCGAGACACACAGCGTATATATCATACAAACGGGTAACGACAGGAAAAACGTATTCGTGCTCCGTCCTGTCCGATGTAAACAACCGCGCTTTTTTTTCGTCTTTTCTCAGGAACGGTAAGACATTAGGTTGGTTTCCTTTCAACCAGATGTTTGAAGTAGGATAAGTAAACAATCCAAAACATGAAATTTTCGGGGATTTCAGGACCTAGTGCCCCTTTAATGCAGTTGCCCTCCAAGAGTGATTATGAAGATTAAACTACCTACCAAACAAATTATCATTTGAAGTATTTCTGATACTTTATTGGCAAAATCATAAAAAGGATTTTAAACTATGATCTACAATTCGGTCTTAAGAGCGAACTTTAAATAAATATTTATAATAAGTAGAGAAATTACAATATAGACTTTGTTTAATACCCAACTTGTAGTTATATGCATGTATTTGATTAAAATGATATACAGTCGACTCTCATTAGTACAAACTCTGTTAATACAAAATTCTGGTTATAACAAACATAAAGCCTTGGTCCCGACTGTGCAGTTATGTGCACAATGAATGGGTCTGATGTTCCTCTTAATACAAAATTCTGATACAACAAACAATTTGGCTAGGTCCGAACGAATTTGTTATAATGAGACTCGACTGTATATGATATAATTCGAGAAAAGTAACTTATAGTTCTTGCAGTGTGTCACCTTCTACTGAATTCCCAGCTTGGAAAATTTCCACGAACATCAGAAAAGTGTCTTGCATCAGCAGTCACATTTGTGTGAAATGTGAATAATTAGGCATAAAATTGCGATCTCTGCATTCAAAGTTCAACAGACTTGAATCTTTCAGTGGAATACACACGAATGCCAAGTAGAATCTACAATTCCAGACAAATATCTGACGATTCCTTACCTATTCTCATGTGCCGATGGGACAACCATGTCTGGCAGGGGCACTTTTCCTTCACACTTCCTCCTCAACTTGGTGATGTGCTATCAAAACAAAAAGGAACAAGTGCAGAGTTCACAAATCAAAACCAACAAGTGATTGAAGTTTCACATGCAAGACTTGCAAGTGCAATTTTGAAAAAGAGCACAAGATCTTAATTCGAAGGCTATTTTAACAATAAACTCAAATTTTCGAAATATTTACAATCTTTCTTTTTTACTATTTTGTTGTGGTTAATGTGCAAGAAAAATGACAAAATCAGCTTTTTTAGAAAACACTTGGCTCAAGATACTTCCCAACATCAAAATGGAATTGATTGCTGTATTGACATACGCTCATGATGCCTGGGCCTGACGACTTTACATGTTTTTCAACTCCATGAAGTTGTCCTAAAGGAAGTCGAATGTAATGTTAAAAAAAGGCACACTGCATTATATATTCTGACTTTTGGGGACGCTGTTCATAGTGGGCAATCTTGATCACTATCAAACAATAGGTGGCACTCTTCGTTACGGCATATTGGCCAAAAACCACAGCTTTATCGACAGGACAACAATTTAACTGGCAAAAAAAAACAACCAATAGGGGTGTACAACCACTCCTACATCCGCTCTAGCGACACCCATAGAAACAGCTTTTTTTGTTCGTTAAAACCTATATGCCACTGCTTGTATTGACCCCAGGTCAAGCCATATCTCTCACCTCTGGGTTGTCTACGGCCAATCCAGCGTCCAGTAACTCTTGCCGGACGTTGTACATGTTGACGGTGGTCTTGATGCTGGGTAGATGAACACGCTGCACTACAGGGTCTAGCCATAAGGTGTTGTCCAAGCTACAGTGCCAAATAAAAAAAAATAAAAAAAAAATGAAATAGACTGCTTCTGAATTACCTTCACATAGTAGTTAGTAACACAAGAACTTATGGGAATTGGATTTTTACGTGTATTGCCAGCTGTAATCAACTTCTTAGATTCAATGTTTTTTCTATTTTTCTGTTTAAAACACTCTATACTTAGCATCGTCTGAGGACTTATGAGAACAATTTCACAAGCTTACTCGGGTGGGACTCGAACCCATGACCTCCTACTTACTAGTGCAAATGTATTGCCACTCGACCACTGAGCTTGCTCACATCAGCTGGCTGGTTCCAAAAGTTGTCAATCATTTCTTTGCTTGCTTCAAAAAGTTTATATGCAGGATTCGAACTTCAACATGCAGAATCCTGGAATTATCCCCAAACCTCCAGATGGATTAGGATGTGTCTGGAAGGATTAATGTTCAGACATCCTCAAGACTTTCAAACCACTCCACTCTTACCTTAGATTAATCTTCCCTTCCATCTGTTTGTCGTGGATCATGTCATGAACGAAGAAACCCGCCTGAAAACAAAAATATTTAATTACTCTCCACAAATATATGAAAAGATTTCACAAATACCACTACTAAAGAGAGATTTCAAGTGTAATTTACTTAAATCTTGTCTGGTTTGTATATTGATTTTTACTGTTCTGATGATTGTTTAACTACAGTTATCCGTTAGGTCATACTATATTATGTTTATTTATTTAAAGTTTTGTTCTTACTTTTGCACACTGACTTCATGTTTCATTTTGTTTTATATAAGTTTCAATTACTGATTATATTTGGTGTATTGTCCTATTTTTATGCAACACAGCCCCTTGAAAAACAACCTTGGTTGAATGGGTTACCGTGTATAAACAAGTTTAAATAAATAAATAAATAACTAAATAAATAACTAAATAATAGAAAGAAAGTGGAAAGGACAGCACTTTTTCCCTGTCTCTCACCAAAACAAAGTGTAAGCATGTGAGGTACAACGTGCATATAAGGCACTGACTCCTATCAACTAAAATGTTTGTTATAATCAGTCATATTTCCAAGCTTCTACCAAAACAAATCCATATAATGGGTTTCCTTGTTTCCTTATTATGGAAAAAAATCCAACATACCTGCGTTGTCCACTCAGTGTCATCATCTACCGGCTTGACTCGACATACGTAAATCTCCACAGCCTGAAATAATACAGAGCAATGAATTATCTCCATTACAACTTCTTGAAAGCTAGTCACACTTTTGTCCTTTCGGAACAGTCCTACACTTTTACAAGAAACACAATCATTTCAGAAATCCCTTCAAAACAAATAATACTCAAATGTGTCAATTCAAACCCATCATTTGGCTAATGCTTGAATGAGTATTGACGTTCTGATTTCTAGAAAATGGAAATTTGACTGCATTTCTGCTTCCTTAAACATTTATGGCAATATTATGCCAAAAAAATGAACATGTTTAACAAAATTTGAAAATTCATCAACTTGACATCACAACTTAACCAAACGATCACATTCATGAGAATTACATATGTGGGCTTGAGTAAACTGCAAACTGAAATTGACAAAATATAAATTTGCTTGGGAATTGTTTTCCTACCTGGTATGGTTTGGAATACAAATGATCCGGTAGTCTCATCAACTTGCTCACTGTTACCCGCTCAATTCTTCCCTGGTCCACGAACTGAACCTTTTGGACCAAAAGCACAGAAAATTATAGCCTTAATGTTTCTAGAAAGAAAAGTAAAGGTAAGCAAAGAAATCAAAAATTGCAAAATTGGGTTTGTCTTAAAAAGAGCACAAACCATCGTCTTAAATTCCAAAATTTGAATAGCTGAATTCAAGAATTTAAGAAAGCAAACAAGCCCACCTCCTTCTCCTCTTCAGTGAGTGCACGTGCTGACCTCTTTGACCTCTGAACTTTGACCCGATGGAAGACATGGCGTGCGTCCTCCACACCACAGAGGTCACCAGCCATAGGAGTGCCAATACCCACACAGTGGGCGGGGTCACTAAACCACCCAGCCATCTCAAAGGCTAGGTCAAGGTGGGTCATCGGCATGGCAACAGGGTCACTAGCCTCGGTGCTGCGATACTCAAGGATGCGAGCGTAGAAGTTAGTCGCGTCTACAATGTGCGTGATCAGAATCTACCAAATTTGTTGAGACAAAAGTGTCAGGATACATGTGTTGTATGAATAAAAGCTGATTAGTACTTCATACGATTGTTCAAATTTTTCAAATTTGAGACAAAAACAATGTGCGTGATGTCATCAAGTTATATTCGCGTTCCCAATTGCACAAAAAAAGAACCAGCTTCAAGCTACAATAAAACATACTAGAAAAAAGTCATCTAATTACGCTGAAAAATATCCTCATCACCTAGATATAAAGAGGATAGCCAACAGACCCAAGTAGTTCTTACCTTGACAACACCAGACGATGGGAGACGGATGTGGTTGGCATGGCAACCCGGTGCATCCGCATCAGCAAACATCTCATGACGACCAAGGCAGGAAGATTTATTCCTGAAACACACGAACGAGAGTAATTTTAAAGTTTTGTATTGGAAAAACCTTAAACCTTCAAAACTCCACCAAACTGAACACCTTGCTTTACTGGAAAATTGTGTTATATTCAGAATGCCTTACTTTACATTTGACTAATGTAATGTGCTACTTGATCAATGGTCTGGGCCAAATTGTGACTTGTGAATATTTCAGATATTGGTTACTTGAAATAAATCCCAGCAGGTTAAGGTCAAAAACTTACAGTTCTTTATCGTGTTAGTTTATAAAATACGCCCAAAAAAAAATTGATATTATCTTTTTTTTTCCGAGTTTAAAATATAAGTGACAATTATCTCACAAGATTGAATTTGGTATTAATTTTCTCAATTCTGCTTCCTTTGTACTTTTCTTTGCTTATAAAATATAAATGAGTTACAGAAGTATAGAGGGTGGCTGAGGATATTTTTAATCAACTTTTTATCCTCAAACATTCTGGTTCTTAAATCTACCGATTGGTTTTTGTATATTACCTGCATTCACCAAACGCCTTCAGCTGTCGACACAGGGCTTTGCCTTTCTTGTTCTTTTCTTTTTCCTGGGAACCAAAATTAAAAGCAAAATTTGAATATACTGTATGCATATTTATGATTGAGATTTGCATAATTGCATATTTTCAGATGAAGCTCTATAACAATGAGGCAAGGCCCCTGCAACTTTAAAAAACTCAACGAGCAAAAGTTTTCACAACTAAATGAAAAAAAATGATCAGATTTTTATATCAAACCACTGCCTTCTGCTCTGCCCTTATAAGGTCTAGTATACAAATATCAACCTTTTTTTGAATGGTATAATCCACTTTGCTCTATCAAAACATTACCGTGATGGCCTCTTCCACGTTGAGCTGGGAGGGGATGGCAAAGCTGCACCTCTTCAGGAGGTTGGCAAGTCCAGGAATGAGAGTCATGTCTTCTCTAGAGATCAGCAGTATCGACCGGCAGTCGGAAACTTTCGTCTAAAAAGAAAGAAGAGAAGTGTGTTGGCACTCACGCAAAGACACCATGGCTTCATGCAGATTCAAAATAAAACAAGTCGTGCGTACTTTACAAGACGTGTGCACTTTATGCAATGAACCACAACGAGGTATAAATGCCCTCTCTTGTTCGCGCACGGAGCCCATATGGACAACATGCACGCGTACCCCCCTCAATGGTGACACACAACGAGATATGACAGACACATGGACGCAATTGCCATTGCGCACCCGACGCCCAAGCAAAGACACTTCAGGCTTACACACATTCACACACAAAAATAAGCCTTAAATACTTTGGGCAGACACCAGTGAACCAGTGGACATAATGCACAATGTCCTGTAAACTGAACCTTTTGTGTACGAGGTCACAAATAAGAACCTTTGGAGTTCATGATGAATCCCATCTATAAACGCCTACCTCTTCTATCTGAGAGGAGTAACTATCCATCATGCAGCTCAGCCGCAGGCCAAACTTCTGCTTAGAGGAAGGGAAGTCGTAGTGGACCACGGTGTTTGCACTCGTGATGCTCAGGTCCTGAATAACATCGTCGGTGCACACTACAGGAATGTCAGAGTAAAATGAAATTATTCCAGAAACTGGCATGCAATAAGAGGGTCCAAGATCCACCACAATCTGTTATTATTCATTGTGCATCCTGCGAAGCACTCTTGCACCTTGTCCGAATCAATAAATGAATGAATTAACACATGCACCTATGGAAGCCACTGGCTAGAGGCTGCAGCCACTTCCCATAAACTCAGTGCTATTGCCGGCAGTAGCCAAGTGGTTCAGACTGAGCCGCTGTTCATCATTTTGAATATAAGCCTGACATACTGATCAATGTAGAAATTATATTGGATGAAACGGCCAATTCCAAAAGTGATCTATGGCTTTGCAAAGTGAAGAGTACAACTGAGCCTGTATCTGAACCAATGGCTACGGCTGGAAATAAGCACCAATGGAAGCCACTGGCTAGCGGCTATACCCACTCCCTATAGCCTCGTGTGTTATTGCTAGCCGCAGCCAAGTGATTCGAACACCACGTGCAGTGACCTACCCTAATAGAGAAATGTGTGGTTAATAAATCAACTTATAAAAGATTTCTCCAAACAATAACTTCCTTTCAGAGTTAGAAAGCATCTAAACAGTTGTCTGTAAAAAACGTCCACATTTGCAAAATCATCCAAGTTCCAAGGGTTTCATATTATTCATTCATTCATTCATATTTATTTCCACTTAATCATCTTTATAGGGAAAAGGTTTAGACAACAATTTTGATACACGGATAAGATTAAGCAGTGGGCTTCTCCAAAAAGCAAGAGTCTCTTTTGAAGGATTTTCAAGTGTACATGTTGGGAACCCTGTCTCCTACACCATACAAGGCCTACTTTAAAGCAGGGAACCTGACTCACCCAGGACTTGTTGGGAATTGCTGTGGTGGTGTTCATGCCATTCTGTCTTGACCGTCTCCAAATGGTGCTGTGGCATGCCCTTGAAGGCCAGCAGCGCGTAATGGCAGAAACCACCGACAAGAACCTGATTACGTGCAAGTATTAAAATTCACAGATAAACAATCCAATCACTCAAGACGTTCCTCTCAATGCATAATTGACTGTCTCTTTTCAACATAATGTTTCAAGAAATGACAGTGGCGGTTTAATAATATAACGTGTCACTTGTGACAACAGACTAACCTCCTGTAGCCGCTTAGCTTGCTCCTTGCTGTTGGTGAAGATGATCATCCGTCTGGCTTTGGTCGGGGATCCAGAGTCTAGAAGACCTCGGAGGAAACCATCTCGCTCACTGGGCTCCTCTCTAAGCACGACCTAACGAGTGCAAAGAAACAACACACAGAGTGACCACTAATGCTGATAACTATACTAAGCACAGATAACATCTGCTTAGCATAAGCAGGATACCAGCCAAAACAATATAAAATTTAAGCCCGGTTCATACTTCGTGCGAATACAAAGCTAATTGCCCGAGTTGAAATATGTTAAACTTTCACGGATTTGCAGCACGAATACTTGCAATGATGTCATAAATTCGCTTCGCTTTCGCGCCGAGTATGAACCGGGCTTTATTGTGCCTTTGATTGGTTCTCACAATTTTTTATGCTTAGCACATAAATTTGCTTAGCAATATTTTCTGCTGTGTGAAATTGGCCTATACAGCCGATTCCATGAAACAGTGTACAACTTATGCCATGTGAGGACTTATGCAACAAATTTGTTGTGAAGCTGCGCAATAAGAATGTGTGCTGAATTTACACAATCTTATAGCAGCTGTGACAGCGACACAAACAAACTTGGAGCCCAGCTTTATGGAATGACACCTATCCCTTTACCTGTCCCACCCGGGCATAGACGGCCGCCTCCAGGGGCGATGCGATGACCACAACAGGATCAGCCATGTAGGCACGTAGGAAGGAACCCAGACCCATGGTCCATTGGGAGGAGAAGAGGAAGAGTTGACGGGGAGCGGTGCGGGAACTGTTGGGTCTGGAGAGGACTGAGGCATACTCAGACATCAGCTCCTTAACCTGGGGGATTGGGGGGGGGGGGGAGTGATCAGCAGGAAATCAAGGTCAATCATCACAAGTCAAATCATCACAGTCAATTATATATCATCACAAGTCAATCATAAATCATCGCAGTCAATCATAAGTCATCATCATAAGTCACAATAATGACAAAAAAAACAATGGGCTTTTTCAGCAATACCTTATCTGTGAAGTCTTCACAAAGGATATCAGCATCATCAAGGACCTTGAGAAGAACCCAAAAATGTAACAGATTTAAGGGCATTTAAAATTGTACAGATTCTGATATGGATGACTCAAAGTTTTCTATTCCATGTCTTTTCTACATTTTCGATTTTTGGGGATTTGGTTTAAATATGATTATTGAAGTTGAACCTCGTCCTGCAAAAAGAAAAACTGAATTAGGGTAACTTAAAATCCAGAGGTTAAAATCATTCAACTCTATTAGGTATATTGGAACTTCATTATATTGGATAATTGAATTTCATTATCCTGAGGGGAAGTGGTGGATACAGTTAAAAAATGAAGAGACGTTCATAGCAAATTCTTGGGAGGATAAAGACATTCCAAATGCCATTAGTCAGAAAGACTGCTTTGGAGGCATTTTCTAAGCATAAGTTGGAGTACATAATTGCACACCCTAAAAATATCCTATACACTACAGCTAAAAAACCTCATGTTGCAAATTTGAAAAAAGTTTTGGGGCTCCACTACAGGGTTTGAGTTTTGTTTTGGACTTAAATAAATTCACTAACCAAGTGACTGAGTCGATTGAGGCTTGTGTGGTTGTCTCTCAGCATTCTAAGAAGACAGGGAAGGGTTGCCACCAGAATACTGCAGCCATTCAACAACTGGACCTACTCAACAAACAGACAACAATGGCTGATTGAAGCATGCATAATGAACTGTCAAGAAACAAACTGACCAACTGATTACTGCAATCAAAAGACAGTTATTGGTCAAATATCTTTTTGAAAACATTGTCTGATTCCATCATTCAAGTCAATGACTGCGGTGCCTGCTTCTACTTCGATTTTGAATCACTCCGCTGACCCTGGAAATCTTTCTTGGTTGAGTACTTTAATAAATATCTGCACTTATAAACAGGAGGTGGTGGGTTCCAGTCCCACCAATGCAAGCCTGTTTCATTTTTCCTGACAGCACTGAGTATACACAATGTTTATATAAATGAGCCTGACCCAGCATTAAATTTCTCAGTAATTCTGGAGAAGACAGCAGCTGCGTGATGTGACAGATGCTAAATGCTACTGGGTTTTGCATATTAAGTGAAAACATACACAAATGCATAAAGCAGTCTATGCAAAGAGCGCCCTCTATGTTTATGCACAGAGACAATAACCTCAAGGCATACCTCTTGTTGTTCCTCAGATCCAGCACCATGAATGAGTATAACCCTACTCCCCCTCTGGGTAGGCAGAAACTTGCTGCACTGGTCGTACACCTCGGCTGCCTTACGCCAGCTGGGACTGACAATGATCACAAGGGGCTACAGGAAAACAAATCATGAATATTCATTAACCCTGAACCCTGACCCCTCTGAGTAGGCAGAAACTTGCTGCACTGGTCGTACACCTCGGCTGCCTTACGCCAGCTGGGACTGACAATGATCACAAGGGGCTACAGGAAAACAAATCATGAATATTCATTAACCCTGACCCCTAAGGTTCCTACTGATCCAAAAGGCCCCGCCCCAATTTTGACAAATCAAAGCTGCGATTATTCACAAATAAATATTCGCTTTAGTTTTTTGACTCACCCCGTTGCCAGGCGGCAGTGATGAATATGTGGACGGCTGTAAAGACTGTGTGATGAGTGGAAGCAGGAAGGCTAGGCTCTTCCCAGTCCCAGGGGAGGATATGCCCACCATGTCCCTCCCCCGGAGAATGATCGGCCAGGAGTAAGCTTGAATGTCGCTGGGCGATGGGAAGCCCAGTTTGGTCAATTTCTGTGGACAGGAGAAATATGAAAAGTAACATCATAACTATGACTGAAGCATCGGTTATGATTTAGGCACAAAATGACAACTTCAGAACAACTTATTGTTGTGGTACACTATTCCAAACACTGTTCTATGTGAACTTTTCTAACCAGGGATCAATTTCTCTGTCACCATATAATTCTGTGCATTTGCCACAATTAATGCAACAAGAATACCAATCGAGCATCAAGAGCAGACCACAGGAGCGACAATCTCTCACCTTTTGGATGGAATCAGGGAACGGCGACTGCTCTATACTCATCATGGGTCTCGGCGGCCGGTCACCATGAATCAAGACACGAGACGTCTTCTTGATATGAGAATACATCAATTCCTGAATGTCAGATGCTGGGGATGCAGCATGAGTCGAGGAAATTTGCTTGAGAAGCCTGGGAGGAATGATAAAAAAATGGAATCACAAATCTACAATTTAACTTTCACTCTTTAGTTCAGAGTACTATTTGCTGATGAAGGACACAGTACACTGTCTGAAAAAGAAAGAACAATTTTCACCTCCGGTTCTTCTCGAAAAACGTACTTCTTCCTAGAAGAGATTAATTCCATTGTGTAACTGGAAATTTTATTGCACCATTTCACCTTGCAACGCTTCACATTTCAATAAGGAACCAAGGGGCCGTTCAAAATTTAAAAATGTTTTTAAATTTTAATTGTTTTTAAATTTTGATTGTTGGTTGCGAAAATGTTGGTGAGTAGGTCAAGGAAATTAATTGAAAATTGAAAAAAAAAAATCAATTTTCAATTAAAAGATTTTGTTTGTTTGAATGTATCAATTCTCATCGATCACAAGACCACCTCCTCACAAAGAAGACAGAACCACGGTCATATTTGTGTCTATGAAGACTGCAACCAGTCATTTCCAACATCCTATCAATTCATGAAGTACATAAAGTCATCTGGGTACATGTGCAACAGGAGTGGACCAACGGCTTCAACACACTGTCACTGAACTAGGCATAGATGTATTTGAATTGCATTGAATAGCAAGTCAATTTATTACGACCAAAATTTGAAAACATTGATCATTTTGAATGGCCCCTAAGACTGTTGGAATCTTATTTACGGGCTGTGTAACATTAAAAGATCCACACATCCTCACCTTTGGCCTATGACCTTTGACTGTGGCATCACAGATGGCACATACTGACTGGGTTCATCAGAGGAAGAGTAGTAATAATCGGGATCTGAGGATGTATCACCTCGTTGGGATTTTCTGAACATTGAAACAAAAAAGGCAATGGATATTAAAATGGTTTAATCATATTCAATTGTTTTTCCCTGACAATTTTTCAATTTGTATGTTTTACTGAAACAGAAAAAGCTACTTTTTCTCTGTTTTGGACATTTTCAACCCTCTGAAAATACACTTATATTTTGGGTTGCTTCTGCACCCATCATGAATGAAAAAAAAATATGCCTGAATTATTGCCAGGCCACAAATAATCTGAAATTTGTAAAGTAACCATTCCTTAACTAAATGTCGGCAGAAATTTTTTTTCGATTTTTTTTTTTTTTTTTTTTTTTTTTCAAAAATAGCAATTTAAAAAACAAATCTGATTTTTCGGGGTGACACTCAAAAATAGCATGCAGAAAGCAATTTTAAAGTGACAACAATTGGAAGCTTTTCCTAAAGTGGAAGCACACTTGTGTGCAGATTACACTCGCAAACTTATTTGATATTATGCATCTTTGACCAGAAGTTATCAAGCTTCACGTATGCCTCAAATTTAAGAGTGTGTGTGGCATGCGCATGTGCGTGGTGCCACCTTATTAATAGCCTCTAATTGTGGTTACCAGATGAGTCTGTATGAACATTAACTGCTTTGAGTCTTTAGCTGTAATTGAGGACAGACACACATACCTCTGGGCTTGTCTTGCTGGACTCTGCAATGTCTTGGGCAGATTCACGGCTCTCGCTGCTAATTCCTCGGGTGACACGGTGAATCTTCCGTCGACAGCGAACGGTAATCTGGTGGCACCCAGCAAGGAAGAACTGGATTTCAATCTCGTAGCACCTGTTGGCAGAGTTGTTGTTGCGGTGGTGGGGCTGAGAGTCTGTGGGCCTGTTTGTGAGGGTGAGCGGTCACCTGGTTGTAAGGGATCGTGTCTGGGTGTCTCTGTGGGTGTTTGTCGCTGTAAGGATTCAGTGGACATCTTTGCTCTTTCCTTGATGGCTTGCAGTCTTGCCAAAGCCTGTCTGGTGGAGGTTGCAGACAATCTCAGCTTGTCTGCGTCATCCTGGGAAGACAAAGTATGCTGCAGTAACCCTTCAGCCTTCCCCGTTTTGGACGCGAACTGAGAAGTCGAACTTGGTATGGTTGAATCTCTCCCCCTGCTGGCTGGGATGTGTGGCGGCGATCCCTTGGAGGACAACCCCCGTGCAGCAAATGGAAGCTTCCCAGATGACTGTTCTGTATAGCTTGGCTTGGATGATTCCATTTGTTGTGCAAGGGTACGGTCTGGAAGGGATCCAGGTGAAGTAGTACTAACTGTTGAGCCGGCCATGAGTTGGTCCTGGTTTAAAAATTACAACAAACAAAACAGACGCTCAACAACAAATTAACTCCTACAAGTGTTCATCCCACCCCATCTCAACCTAATCCATCCAACCCAACTCAATCCAACCCATCCCCCCTCCCCACTCCAACCTAACCCATCCCAACCACTCACTGGTCTCAAAGGTGGCAGACCGATGTACTCCCTCAGAGTAGTCTTCTGCCTCCCATCCCTCGCCTCTCTGTCAGGAGACACCGATGCCTCACGCTTGCTCTCCCTGCCTCTAGCCCCATCCAGCTTCTCAGCACTCCCTGGGGACACAGAGCGCGGAGAACAACTAAGCGGTGATCCGGACCCGTTGGTTCTGTTTGTTGGTCTTCTCTCCTGTGTTCTGGCTCCAACTGTTGATCCAAACACAGACATGGGACCAATACAAGCAGACAATTTTACTGACATGCTAAGTAAAAGAAGCTTAGCCCCAGGCTCCAATTCCTGGTAAGCAACAAACATTGTTTAGCAGATTCTCATGCTGTACAAGAGTCAGCTGAATACCAGTAACAGGCAAAATACACTGTTTTTTCAAAACTTCTAAATGTCTGTGCTTCTGTTAGAAGCTCAATGAAAAAGGCGCCTGACCCAAGAAAATTCAATCACATACCTATTTGGTTGAATTCCTGGGCCAAATTTCATAGCTCTGCCCACCGTGGAATTCCAAGCTTACAATAACTGTTCTGTGCCTACAGCTCTGGCACAGAAATACAATGCTAATTCTCTTTCATAGCAAAGAATTCCATAGTTATAAATCTATGCATGCAAGGAAACCAAATTCCTCACTAATATTCGAAATACGCTGACCGTTAGTGCACAACAGTTAGCAGGGAGTTTGCTTACAGTAAGCAAAGCCATGAATTACAGCCCTGGATTTTTTTAAAATTTGCCACAGAGACCTTTGCGGTTTGCGGTTTGCGGTTTGAGAAACTTTTAAAGAAATTTTGACCAAAATTTACCTTCAAGTGTTAACGGTTCTTCGATCCGAGCCGCAAAGTTCAATCGCAGTAGTTCTTCATTTACATTGACCTTTGAAACATACACAATGAGACACTAGTTTACATACTTTTAAGGAATTTTTTAAATAAAAAAACACAATAAAACACGCATTAAATAATTACAAATCATACAACTGATGAAAAACAGTTTGTTTTTAGGTTAAAAACATTGGTTGGTTTTTAGTATGTATCAAAAAGTTTGTTCTAAAACATCCATTCCAAGTTTTGTTGTTGGTAAATTTGAAGAAGAAAATATGAATAGCAAATGGTATTGTCGATCTAAATAAGTAAAATTTGACACATTTCTTGAATTAATGCTTTCCCAAATTCTTCAAACCCACTAGGTTTTTGACAAATTTAGGATACAGCCTGGCCACTTTCAGTGTACATGGGCCTTGGGACTCACTGTCGAAAAAGTTCAAAGGATGTGCCATTGGTTTCTGTGGGTTTACAAAGATTCAGGTTTCTACAAAAAACAAATATTTGGGGAGTAAAGCGAACAGATTGTACCTGTTTCTGATCAATGTTGACGTAGAGAGTGACCAGAGAGACGCCATCTTGCCTCACGTGATGAATGTCCACCTTAGCTGGTTTATCTATAAATAGATATGATGTCATACTTTGAATACAGTATCAAATAGATATGATGTCTGGCACTGAAAACAGTTCACAAGTACGAAGTCTCTCTATTCAACAATTTTATACGGGGACAGGTAAGTTCTGTCACAATAGCAGTGTTTTCCCGTTATACATTTGTAAGAGTGGTTTGAAATTGTTGACATTACTTGAATAATCTAAAACCTCTTCTATATATGAATCAGGATGCAGGTCTTAACTGGAATGAAACCAAAGAATATCTTGTGTTTTGAATCAGGAATTAACTCACCGACTAGAATTTCATCAAAGTATTCAACAGCTGCCGTGTCCCATTTAACAGCAGGCCTAGAAAGTGAAACAAAATAATAAAAGATACACTTGTTCATAGGATCATATTCTCTTACTGTATACTGTTTTGTTCGAAACAACAATATTGCTAAACAAAAATTAAAGGGACTGCATAACAACTAAGCTGAAGTTTTAGCTTGATGGCTACTTTACATTTTGAGAAAACAGAAAAAAACAGTGTTCACATTTTTCTGGGACATCGTAATTGGATTTTGTTGCGACTGCACGTTAAAAAGAGTGCCCGCGTAGACAACACAGCTTCTTACTATTAAAGTGTCCCTTCTTACTAGACATGTGATTGTCAGAATAATTCAAGAAATTAAGCCGAACTCCCTTATAGATTACTTCTATGGACTTCATTGGCCGGGTACACTGCAGTGACTGAATAGTCGAGTACCCTCCAGCGTTTTATACTGTTACTGGATCTGTCTAAGCACCTTTCTGGATTTGGTCATAAGCCCTGCCTACTCTTGGTTAGTGCACATTTCTCACAGCATGTGACTGTGTTTGATCCAGGTATTGTGGTCACCTGACCACAAAGTTGTGATCTAATTGGTCAATGTGCACTGTTTGATGGACATGCAGGACAGTTCAATGGAAGCTAGCGATGCATCCCTGTTAGTATATCCTTATCACTACTGTAGGACTTACTGCATTGTGGCCTGATCCTCATCAAACGAGACTTTGAGCGACAGTGGTACCAGACCATACAGACAGTACTCTCTGGCCTGGAAGGGAAGCTGGAGGAACTCTGCGGGGATGTCACGCAATCTGAAAGAATCCAACAAATTGTCATGAAGGTAATTCTGCTCATAAAATATACCATGTGCCACACAAATAACAAAGCACAGTGATGTTATTAGCAATCTTGGGAAAAATAACGTGAAGGTTTTATTTCTCAACACAAACACAGAACAATTCTCCAAAGCACATCCTTCATCTTAAATATCCTGACAGGGTCTCCGTTTATTCATTTTGGGCTTGGACTACTTTTACAAGATACCTGGTGACAAGAAGAGTGATAAGACGAGGGTCACATACCTGTTCATCGGAAGTTTGATGGTTTCTCCATAATCCAAGAGGAAACAGCTGAAAAGGAACAAGATAAAAGAATTTGTTCAGAAGCCACTGGTACTTTATGGGCTCTGTGCACAAATACCCCCACAGTGGTAAGAAAGAGAGAGTTGAGAGAGACAACTTGGAGAGCCATTCAAACGTATTGCCGATGATGCCTGATGCTCACACAAAGACGCTATGGTTTTGTACACATGGTTTTATACACATCGTTCGTGAATATGCACACGAACCAGTAAATGCAGTGTGTCCCGTCTACGGGGCACTCGGATGTGGAGAAACAGCGCCCTCCCTTGTTTGCGCACAGAGCCCAAATAAAAGTCATCTCTGACACGCAATGAATGAATGTAAACAAAGCCTGATTTAAACACGTTTAAATCAATATTTTGCTGCGAACATTTTGTAACATCTAATAAGATTTGAAGTTGCTTTCACATGAAATAAGAACCTGCCATAACATTGTTGGTGTGACAAATCAAACGTAACACTGTCAAGCACTAAGATAATCTTGCCTTGCTTCAGCTAGATGCTTGCGTAGTATGATGCTAGTCACTCTGGCCCGGTACCAACGATCAGCATCCATTTTCTTTACAAGATAAACCTAAACACAAAATAATTTTACTCAGTAACTCAACTGGGAAAAAATACAGAATCCTACAGCATCCAATGGCAATAAAGGTTTAATTTAAGAAACCCCAATGTCTTGAAAACAGCACTTCTATTCACTGCTCATTAAAGGTACAAAGGACCAATTTGCTTTTTGTGCATTTTTAATGTTTGAAGTAACAAAATTGCTCAAAATCTTAAGGGTGCATAACAAACCTGTTAAAGTTTCTGCTCAGTGGATACCATTCATTTTGTGAAAAAAAGAGAAAATGTATGCACATTTTTGGGTTCTCATTCCTGAATTCCATTGCTAACGCACGTAAAAAAAAATGTGCCTACAGGCACCCAATATTGAAACCACTTTCAATATTAGTTTTCTACCAAACAATACCATTTAAGGCGGAATAATTCCACAGGGTATTCCATACCAGGCCTGTCTTCACATTGGGCAAGGTTTCTGTGCTAAAATCGCTAGGTAATTTTTTAATTAACTGCAAACATTCCTACATGATATTAAGCAAAATGCAGTTGAAATAGTTTCTTGTTACATTGACCTGTGTTTGTTCATAATATAATCAAATAACACACTTGTTATTGCACATACAAGAATATATTTGAAACATACCTCTCCCTTTTTAGGATTGTAGGTGTGCATATTAAGGAACTGATCACGACTGCAGTATTCATCAATGTCTTCCAAGAGTTGTAGAAACTGCCTAGCCTCACTGGTTGAACTGTGTCCAGGGACCTCCTTGGCCCAAAAATGACCGGGATCTTTCACCTAAATATGGAAAAAATGGGTATCTGTGAGAGCAGAGATGGTTATTGTGATTGACTTCAGCTGTTTTGTGCTGAATGACAGCTTATATTCCCTAGGGAGCTCAGATTGTCTTTGGAAGTTGCACTGGCACCATGGGGCAGGGCTTAACCCTTTAATCACTGTAGCACCCGAAACCGTCCTGCCTATTACTCACTGTAGCACCTGAAACCGCCCTGCCTATTACTCCCTGTAGTGCCCAAAACCACCCGAGTACTTTATGTGTTGACCTGTTTAAAACAGAATCAAGTTCAGGGAAGGGGTGGGGTTACCCTCACACAAAATCCTGTGCATTGGCGATTCAATAAGTTTCCATACAGTTGACCCAACAATGTATGCACCTTAATATATGATTCACTATACACAAACAAGTTTTGCTGATGGATGGCTGGCAGGCACCGAAATCCTAGATGTTAAGAACCATAAAAAGGACTTACCCTCAGAATTGTAACGTCAATCGGAGCCATCCTTTTGAAATTCCAAATCTAACTGGACATAACCACTGAAGTGAAAAAAAGGAAACGAAAAAGGGAACAATTTAATAGTTTATTGTCAAAAAGTTACCCTAGAAAAGACCACTTGAGACAATGCCTACACAAAGCAGGATTAAAAAAAAAGAGCTCAGGAAGTTTAATAAAAGAACTTTACAAAACAAAAAGGAACTAAATCAGAAGCTTCCAGGAGTTCTTGTACAGCTCTGTGATATTTCTCATCTACAATGTATCTTGTTACACACAGTGGGGAATCCCCACTTCATGCATGAGTAATCAATGTTGTGACTGCTAAAAATAACTTTGTCCGGTGCGCATTGCATGTATTTAAATTACATGTAAATGAAATAAGAAGTTTTGTATGCCTCCCTTATATGCCCCTTGTTCTAGGAGTGCTTCTCCTTGCTCTAGGAGAGCTCAAAATCAGTCTTGTGGTTTGGGAACTTTGGTTTGATCCGATGTGCAACACTCTTAGGCGATTCATGATCAGCCAGCACCAAACAATGTGCGCCCAGTGGAATGAATTATGCATGAGATCCCGAATGACGTCACAGACATGCATATGTATTACTCGCTCTAACATTAGGGGTGCTCTAAAAGAGGCTAGTGCAGTGTTGACTGATTCCAGGTCCCTCTATTCCAGGCAACTCGACCGTTGGGACAACTCGACCGTTGGGACAACTCAACCATTGGGACAACTCGACCGTCTGTGCGTCAAATGGAAAGACAAGGCGTACGCTGAGACAAGTCGACTTGCATTTTTTTGGGGGGGGGGGGTTGAGGCATAGGAGAATAGTACATTCCACGGTGGGTGTGGTGGTTTGGTGGGTTTGGTTGAAGTTTTATGTACATGTACATTGAGATATTTAAGTTACTCCTGCAGACTAGCGATGTACGGCTGCCCGCCGCCCCCCCCCCCCCCCCCCCCTTGTGCCTTGCGCATCACCGTGTATGCTCTGTCACCGCAGCTTCGACCACGCTGGGTCCCGACGTGACAGCCACCACTCCGCTCACTGTGTGCATGCTGTAACACCGTTCATCTGGGGCTGCTCCCCGCACGGCAATGTCCTGTCGCAGATTATGCGACTTTTAAGTTTTACCCGCAACACAAATGCCCAAACATCAACGGGCACTCAATTGTGGAAAATGCCATGCGCGCTGCTATAATCGTGTACAACGTCTCGCACGGTCATGACGGTCCTGGTGGTCTCCATGTCAAAGTTGACTTTCCCAACGGTGGAGTTGTCCCGGGTTGAGGTGTCACAACTGTCGAGTTGTCTCAATGGTCGAGTTGTCTGACATTCCCTGCATAAATATTGTAGAGGGCGCTAAACAACCACACGATGTTGTTTGGGCACAAAATAATTCGATGCCATGTGAACATGCATCTCCAACAACTGTCTTGACAGTCTGAAATAGAGCTGAAACTAGCCTTGATAAGACTACACTTATTCTACAACAGTATATTCTACCATAATTGGCAATATATCTTCATACTTATGTCTATTTCGAAGAAAAAGAATGACACTGGTACTCACAAACTAACTCTTGTCTCTTGACACTTATTCTGATCAGTCATGTGCATGTGAAGAACACGTGTGAAAAGCTTATCAATAGAGGGCGTCATACATGTACATGTATTGGGCGCGATCGGTTAATGCACGCGATCTCAAGATCAGGCAACACAAACACTTAATTCATTGTTTGCGCTAGCAGTGACAGATCGCGCCAAGATCAGTCGATCACGCAATCGGGCGGTGCTTGCGCGATCAACTGATGCCCGGGCAAAGGATGGATCGCCTGTCAGTGCTGCAAAGTCTCCCGATTGCGCAGATTTAACGATCGCGCACAGAAGATTATGGCAAATGGATGGATGGAGGAGGGATGATGCAGTTCAGTTCAATTCAGTCCTGCGAAAAATGCCGAAAATCTCAATCTGACGACATGAATCTCAACTGCTGAATTCTGTGTAAAGCTTCAATGGTATACTTCTGGCATTGTTCATCGAAGATTATCTTATCTTAACGTTGTATTGTAACAACCTGACAACAGTTTATCATTTCCACTTAGGATAGTGATTTGTTTTTGTCGAACCTGAGGCTGAGGTTCGTTTCGAAGTTTGAATATTGACTTTATTGTGTATGTTGTGCCCATTCTTGAAAATCACGCATTCTCGAGAATGGGCAAGCACATTCTTGAGAATGTGCAACTGGATCCTTGCTCAATCTTGGCAAAAAATAACTCTTCCAGATTGAGTGCACATTCTTGAGAATGCGCGACAAGATAACGGTCTTGTCGATGCCGAGCACCGGCTGCGCTTGGCAAGTCTAGCTGAATCCTCGTTCACTGATTCTCAATAATTATACTGTTGCAACGCAAGGCGCTGAAAAGTAGAGCGGATATGATAAGTAAAGGCGTACGTGCGTATTGATATGAGGGGGGGGGGGGACCGGGAAAAAATAAGAGACATAATAATACTAGTGCAAAGAATTCTGAGTTTTGGGATAATAAAAGCGGGGGGGGGGGGACGTAAGAATGAAGAATGTGAAGAATGTGAATGAATACTGCGACATCCCATAGTGCTAATGCTATTTCCCCTTTAAATTGCCACCAATTTATTGTTCACACCCCACCATAACGTCGCAAAGCTGGATTCTATCTATCTAGTCAAAAGAGCAATTTTGGCAGCTTCTGGACATCGTTTTTTTTTCGTGGCACGCATATGATACATGCAGGGACTTGTAACTTGTCTAGCCTAAACAAAGCACTTCCCAGACTAGTTCCCAGTCCTCCGTTATTACAAAACTTCCCATAGTGGAAAGAAAAAAGCAATAATAACAGGTTTAATTTGATTCAAATTATCGTAGTTATACGAGTACAGAAGCATAGAACATTTTCTTTCCTCTTTATATAAATTGTTTCCCTTTTAACCGCTATACAATTCATTTAACATAATTATGTCGTGCAATGTTTGTTAAGATTGGGCAAAATTCATAAATTGTGCACGTGATATTCCCACCCAATCTTAAGAATGAGCGCTCATTCTTAAGAACGCGTGCTCGTTCTTAAGAATGGGCGCTCATTCTTAAGAATGCGCGCCCATTCTCGAGAATGCGTGATTTTCAAGAATGGGCACAACATGTACATGTTTCTTAATCTTAGCTTTTTTCCGAGGTAATTACAAAATGTAATTTATCATTTGAATTTATCATTCTTAATATAGCAAATTGTGAACAAAATAGTTAATTTTTACAGTTTATTTTTAGATTTCCATGCTGCATTCAAATAAATGACTTTGATTTCATCTGCCTTTAATTTAAATTTAATTAAAATATAAATACTAGGCATGACATGAGTCATGAGTACTTTTAGTCTCAGACCCAGTAGTAATTAGGCACTAGAACCCAGTAGAATTTTTTTTCTTCTAATTTCAACTTTGCGTTGGTCGTTCGTTAGTAAAGTCAACCTTTCTTCGCACTTGAAAGTGCTTAAATTGTTAGACTTACGTTTTTAATTGTATATTTTTATGTTTTTCTTTGGTTGTTTTTACCAGTGACAGAACTTCACAGAAGGCTGCAGGATTGACATTGATGCATTTTTTGGCCTTAACTAATAACTGATTATTATAGAGCCTAATACATGTAAAAGTTGTTTATGAATATGATGTTTAATAATTTTTGTTCATGTAGGTATCTGGCTGGTGTATTGAACTTACGGGATTTTGTTCCCCTGGAGGGCAAAGGTCATCACCATGACGAGGCTCCTGAGTGACATGACTGGTAGTTGGCTCAGCCAATCACAACCTTTCAGGTACACCTTCAACAACTTGAAATCTGATTACATAACTGATAATAAAATCAGCGTATTTATTCCCATTCCCTCATATATCTGATAATCCATAGATAGTCAATGTGATAGCTCTGTATGTTCTAACACTGGGACAGAGTTAGAAAGGCTACCGGCAAATGTGCAGTGTACAAATATCTACATGTACAATACAACAGTTACTGAAGTACATTTTTTCACAACATATGTGAATTTGTTCAACAAGTTTTTCTTTTAGTGCGAGCACAATTTATCTTGCTGCTAATAACCAAGTGAGTATGACCTAGGTTTGAAGACCCTTCTGGGTAGAAATTAGTAGTTTCCTGGATTGAGTTGTTTGCTTAGGAAAAACAGGTTATCAACCCATAAATGTGGCTGTGTCATTTGTCTTGCAGCAGCACCCTCTCCTGGGCATGGAAGTCACAACCCCTGGCCACATCGCCTCCGCCCACCCCTACATCTCCCTCCTTTGGCACGGCCAGCTTCCCAGCAGACTCCTGCCTGGCCGACTGCCTGGGCTGTAGATCCCCCTTGGCCCAGTTAGCCTGCATGGAAACACGGATCTGCACCCGCTTGTCGACCCTGTTAGTCCTGCTCATCTGTGGGGCTTTCCTAGTCTGGGCGTTCCAGGAACAGATCGAGGGACTCTTACCCTGGCTGCTAGGGACCAACCCATACCTAGGAGCCGCCGTCTTCTTTGTGCTCTTCGTCTTGGTGGCGCTTCCGTCTTCCATCCCCGGTTACCTCCTATTGAACATCGCCGCTGGGTACCGGTTTGGGCTGGTTCTGGGGACCCTAGTGGTTGTAACCTCTGCTCTGGGAGGCGCCTACTGTGCGTTTGTTTTCTGCCGGCTTGCTTGCACGGCTTTCCTTCTGTCTAAGCTACAGAATGACTACTTGCAGGCGATTGTTCACATGGTGGAAGGGGAACACTCATTTAAAGTGATAGCACTGACGAGGCTGACTCCAATCCCGTTTGGACTTCAAAATGGCGTATTCAGTGTAAGTCAATCACAATTATTTACAAACTGCTTAGAAGTCATTCTTAATGATGCTTGAATGGCATATTACAAAGTACCAAGGTAATAAAGATAGGAAAAATGTCCACTGTGGACACTAAATTTATAGAAAGACCCACATGTAAAATACATTTATGCATACGATATTGTTGAATACAGACGCAAATTTGCAATTCATTCAATGAGTCAATTTGTTTATATATTGATTTCTCCCTTGTTCTCAAATTACGTTTTGTTTTGGATTTATTCCTGCTGAGATACAAGCTACTGAATTACAAATCCCGTAACGCTGTCCTTGAGAAAAATAAATGTACATGTACATGTATGTAATTATCATAATCTCATTGTTTTCATTTCATCAGATGGCCAATGTGTCTGTGTCAACATTTGTCTCAGCAACAGCTGTTGGTTTATTCCCCAACCAGCTGCTGAATTCATACCTAGGCTCCACGTTACGCTCCGTCCAGGATCTGACCAATCATAAATGGAATAGCAGTCCCATCGTTATTGTGCAGGTCAGCTTATTTCTTGTATTAGTTTCATTTTCATTTCTGTTGGTATTCTTTTCCTATTTTGTTCATTTGTTCTTCAGAAGATTGTTACTAATGTTATTAATTGTTAATAGAAAATATAAACATGTACTTGAATGTGCATAATAATATTGTTAAAGAAATTATGCAAATTTTGTGACATTATGCAAATTTTGTAAAATTATGCAAAGTTTGTGGAATTATAAATATGCAAATTTTGCGAGATATTTATGGGGTACTGACATGGTTTTCTTATTCTTATTCTGTTTCAGGTATGTCTGAGTATATCGCTCTCATGTTACGTAATTTTCAAAGCTCAGAGGCATCTCCACAGGGTGATTCGTGACCATAAAGTCCACCAAATGGAAGAGGACCATGTCACGCTACATGCAACACCGCAGGCCCTTCCAGGACATCCCAGCAACACTGGCGGGTCAGAGGGTAAAGGTCACGACCTCAGCAACGGAGGTGTGCAATTGGTTTGCATTGAGGATGAAACTTTAAGTACGACAACAGGGCCAGTATGTGACAACAATCAGAATTCAAACCAGCAGTGGGTCACCTGATGCAATGCATACCAGAGGTTAGTTTCTCGAGTTGGGTTACTACATCTAATCTCCCGTAGTTAATGGTCTTAAGTTTGGTTTGGCTTGGGAGAAGTCATTTTTACAAAGCAGCATCAACATGTTGCATTGCTTTGTTGAAATAAGCTATTCTATTTACCACAGACAACAGACCGCAGTCCGTGCTCTTTGAGCCTGGTACACACGAGATCTACCTGCTTCACCAAAGTTCATTCATGGCTAATGGCATCAGCAGATAGCTCCCGCGTACGGTTGATTTTACAAAAAGATTTTGTCATTCTTGGTACTGGGGCGAATATCCAACGCGTTTGATAATTTCTGCCACGCGTGGAAAATCTTATTGTGTGCGATGAACGAAAGCTTCGTGTATACAGCTACCGCGTAGGACACATGCATGGTCGAAGGGCACATTACGTAATGACCAAAATGGCTGCGATTTCACCGGGCGCAGCCATTTTGTTGGTTTTTTTACGGGTGCAGGGCTATAAATAGGCTCAAAATTGCCTTTGCTGATTTGTATGCCCTCAGTTTTGTCTGTTTAAGCCCGGTTCATACTCAGCACGAAAGCGAACGAGAATTGTGACATCATGGCAAGTATTCGCGCTAATGGCTTAAGGTTTCAGGCCTACATTTAGGGATGATCATCTTTAGATGAAAATTTTTCCCAAAAGTCATTGGATTATTCCCCAAAAATGGAACAGAAAATGAAAGATAATGAAATAAGCTTGAATTTAAAAACCTTGGAGAGTTGCAAGTGTTTTTTCTGATCTTGAGAAGTTGTGGGTATTTATCACTGAGCTCTATGGCAGTTTATTTTCTGGTCTGCAACGTCATGTGCCAGCCACCATGCATTCATCCTACGCGCTAGCCTCAAGCAGGAAGCTTTCGTTTGGTGCACACAATTAGACTTGTTCTACGCGTGGCAGAAATTATCAAACACGTTGGATATTTGCCGCAGCGTCACAAATGACAAAAATGTTTTATAAAATCAACCCCACACGGGAGCACTCTGTTTAATACGGCATTGGCCATGAATGAACTTTGGCCAGGTTTAATATGGTACAGTGTTGTAGTATACTGCAACATGGTTTGGTTTTTTGTTTTTTTGCGACCCAGTCACAAACCAATTTTGTTACAAAACTTTGCAAACAGGTCTAATTTGTTTTATCATCTTATAATAGCTTATCAGAGTTGTTGGAAAGAATGTTGCAACCTGACGCTACTTCAGCGGTTGTGTACAAAGTCTGTGGAGAGTCAAGACAATTTTCTAAATATTTCCTAACAAAATTGGAAATGTTTCTCAGTCCCCGATTCATGTCTTATCGTCATTTTTGCAACTTCTGACCTCCATTGAGATGATATTTGAAGAAAAAGCAGCGTCAGGTTGCAACATTCTTTCCGAGTTGTTTTACTTCAGGATAAATTATAGTAACGATTATTTTTATTATTTATTACGCAGGATAGTATTGGGTGTTTCCTTCGTTCAGTTTTGAAATCAGGAAATTACAATGATGAAATGTGATTTTTAACCCAATATACAGAGAAATAATTGTGAACCTTTTATTGCAATATAATGCCAAATTGGTCATAGCAATTTTTAGAACCTTTTGTTTGTTGCTAGCATTCCGTCATTGATGTGTGCCAATAGATCATTTAATAAATAAACATATTTTCCAAAGTTTAATAAATGAATTTTATTCAGTAAATTTATAATCAAATATTGAATAGCAAATGAATGTTATGTGCTTCCAGAGATCTAGATGGTAGTGACCAGATATTTTTTTAAGGGAAAGTATAAGTGTGCTGATTAGAAACAAAAAACTTGCTTTGAGGATATTTGATTTTTATTACAAGATTGCTTTGCATTCCTATTTCAGTGGGAAAAAGAAAAGAACATCAGGCTGAAAGAGTAAATTTGTATTTAAGGTGCATGTATCGGTCTCTAAATGTAAATAATGAAGAAGAAAAAACTTATATTATTGTATTTTCAGGTGAAATTAAGTCAGTATTTGATGCGGATTTCAGACACGGTGTAATATATTAAAAATCAGATTTTATTCAAGGTAATCTCCACATTTCAATGAAATATACAGATTTCAATTTTGCAAATGTTTACTGTCAGCTGAGGTGATATACATGTAAATGATATATTTTAACAGAATTTTTATTAGCGATATTTTGTATTATTTATTTCTGGTAATGAAACCAAGGATTCCTCAAAGCACCCTATGCACTATAGCTCGCAAACCTGAATAAATTCCTAATCATGTTCGTATCTGCACAAAGAGGAGACAATTAAGAAATTTTACTTTTAGAGATGGGAACTGAGGAAAACCCCAGAAGAATATTCTGGGAAAAACCCAGGAAATGTTGTATAGACTGCAAACCAATCCACATGTGGACCAAGGCAGGAATCGAACCCAGGCCATTAAGGTGAAGGCGAGGAAAGAATGTATACATTCATAATACATTACCCACTACATACCATTAAGGACGCATAATTGCCAGTTAAACAGTTCATTTACAATGTTAAATGCAGTCGGGTATATGCTGATACTTCTCCTGATGGGCATTTAATGTTATTTGGTATAAATTTTACCTCCCAAACTTCATTGTAAGTTTTAACCTCAGGATTTTATTTAGGTGTACATGTATAGACCATTACAGACAAAAGAAATTCTCTTGAAACAAGTTGCTTATATAAATTGTGAAATTTGTTTTGATTTTGTTTTGTGAAATAATAAATTTCATTGGAAAAGTTACTGAGCCATTTGTCTCCCAAATGTCCCTTTTGATCTCATTTTTTTTATACACAGTACTGGCCATAAAAACTTGATAATTACAAATTTCACTTTTTATAATGACATTCTTTGGCATCCTGTTGTACATAATTTTCAGAAGTAAAAATAAGTCCTAATGAATACAATAATAAGCTACATGTAGATCGATTGCTCGTGGTCCAAAACATTAAAGGGGGCCTCATGTAGTACAGTGGTCATGTGCCCGGAGTCGTCTATAGCAAAACCACCGGTAGAGGGCTTTATCAACACAAACCAGCCTTGTAACAAGACTAAAAGTGCTCACACAGATGATGACTATTGTTATCAGACACGTGGAAAGGCCCTTAAAACAAAAAATGACAAGGATACCGGAAACCAATTGTGAGTGGGTACCAGTTGAATAAGAGAATGACATCATTGTTTAGGACATAACGCAACTACTCCTGCTACATGTACATCAGATTCGAACCAGCTAACGGATCCTGCAAGCTCGGTGGTTAAGTGACAAGACGTCTGCAGTACAAAGCAGGAGGTTGTGGGTTCGAGTCCCACCCGAGTGATTTTTTCCAACTTTCACTTGGGAGGTAACACACTGAGCATACAGTGTTTATATGCCAGTGAAGGGCAAATCTAATATTGATTTTCAACTTCTCCCGTCAAGGGTTACTAAAAAAAAATTCTCATATTGGCCGATTATGATGTCGGCATACATGTAGGCACAATAAAGATGGAAACACAAGAAACTCAACAATATATACAAACGAATCAAAATTTTACATATATTAAAAGCAGTTTCTTTGAAAAAAATATTGATGTCACAGCAATGGAATTAAATCTCAACAACATGGTGCAAGAAGGATGGAGCCTGAAAATACTACATTTCCAGAGCCCACTCCAACTTTCAAAAATATGTTAAAAGATTTTTGTAGCCAAAGTATGAAAATCCCATGGAGACAAATGTTTTGCTTGCTACAATGTCATCCTTAACAATTTGTTAAGATGATTTAGTTTTTTTTACGCAAACCAGCAGCCAATATTTCCCAGCTTGTTTAGCTTAACAACTTTCATTTTGGGGATCCCGCCTAGGAAATCACAATGTAACAAATCACAACCCAATTTTATTGGCTAATAATAATGTTCTACTTTTCCACTTTTTTGCTCATTTCAAAATCTACCCCATTACAGCAGAAAAATTCCTTCTAAAACTTAAACAAACAAAAAATCCCAGAATTTGTCAAAACTAACTAAATCCCCAATCAATTATGACACATTTATAACGATGGTAGAACAATTAAAATGATGGTATAATATCTGGTTCAATTAAACATAATGCAAACATAAATGAACCTGCACATGCATTATGTTTGTATCTTCATTAAGATTACCAGCCATAGGTACCAACGATTCTCATCTGACTTTGTGCATGAACAAAAGATGGCGCTAGTACGCAAGCATCTTTACGGTGTCTGAAGGATGCAATGCATGCGCAGACAAGTTACAAAATTGAACTCAATGCATCTGTATGAAAGGAGGAAAAAGTGACAATAAATTAACTACAGCCTCTAAGCATTGTTCCCCTGGAATCAAAACTAAAACCAATACATGTATATGCATAACAAAACTAGAGGGTACTGATTCATGAGATCCTATCTCTTGGAATGATACCAATTTCATTCTAAGGCTACGCAACACAGACAGGATAGTAGCACCATCATAAAATACTTGTGATGCAGCACAACAAAACCCGATTTCAGAAAAAAAGCAGGTCTTTAAATGTTTGGGTTTTTAAAAAAAAATCGGTTAAGGTAAATGCAACAGGTGTGCTGGATTTTTTAAAAAAGTAGGAAGAGGACTATGTTGATTTGTAAACATCTGACACAAGTTTCTAATTTTTTGGTAATTTTGTCCAGCATTGAAATTCTCAAGACGTATCCTATCATGTGATACCTAAAAGCAGCATGTACAATGTACAGTACATGTACATGTGCATGTTTTCAGACTGTTGCATAAGGCCTGCAACACAAAGCAGATAGAAAATGCGCATATTGAAACTTTTTTTGAAGGTACATGTAGCTTAACTCCTGTTTGAAGGAAGGTTTCAGGTTTTTTCATGCTGGATCACAATCTTATTTTCAATAAAAATTGTCCCCAGTTTTCCTGTCTTTTAATTGAAGGAACTCAAGCTATTTCCCATGATCATGATATGTGAACGTTCTCCGTTGCGGCTATCTTGACGACCTTCTGGGGCGGCTTGTTGGTGTAGTAACAGACCTGGGTCAAGATGGCCACGTCGATGGTGACCTGCATGATACCGCACACCCAAAACTGGGCCGGCGCCTGCTTGAGGATGAAGTAAATGGTCTTGAAGATGTCACCCGAAAACCAACAGCACACCATTTTTATACTAGGGAAAAGCAAAGAGAAATATTACAATGATTTTGATAAATGTTTGGCCTGGCTGATCTAAAAATAAAATTATGCTCTAGGGAAAAGGGTTGGAGCAGTGGTGCTTTCCTTCCATCAACCTCTGTGTCCCTGGGTCGAATCCAGCCGGCACCAAAGGGTTTCAGTCCCTGTTCGATTCCATTATTTTTGCCAAGAATGTTTATCTTGGGTTGTCTTACCACTTAAAACTAAACATGTCTAGATTGTGTTCTCTCCACCTGTGTCTTAACCGAAACAGCACCTGTTCTACATTGTCAGGCATGCAAGTGGGAATTTAGAAAAAATGAGGAAATTCCAAACCACACAAGACTTTGCACAGTATTTTTCAATTTGTAATGGCATTCATGAGAAGTAAAAAACGAGGAAATCAGCGGATCCGAGGAAAATGTGCATGCCTGCATTGTATTACATTGTATTTATTCACTAAAGAATGCAGAAAATCAGTGGGTACTTGGGCAGTTTCGGGCGGTTCATGGACTGGGTTTAAGGCTTGCAACCTCACAGTGCCTTGAGTGGTATTGAACAATCATTTGTTTTGTAACCGGAAAAAAATAACAACATCCAGTCTGAGGGCTGTTGAGTTAATAGTGCAACCCAAGGAAACTTTGTATTATGGAATTTCATGACGGGTAAAATCCAACATTCCATTTACATTTTCTCAACACAAATGTTATCATTTACTAAGGGTTTTTTTTTTTCATTGGGACTTGGAAATCAATGAGCATATATTGAAAAAAATATCGCCTGCTTGCCAGCATCAAGCTGTGCTCACCTCATACCCACTGTAGACTTGTTCTGGAAGTTGCGATAAAACTGTGGCATGCCCAGCATGGCTTCAACAAATACGGCTAAAAATCCCAAGATTTCCACAAAGATGGATTGGCCAGCTAGAAAGTATGTGATCACTCCGCCCAGTATGGAGAAGACGGTAATAAAAATGACATAGTCCACAAAGTACGTCCAATTCCAAAAATGCTTCGTCTCAAAATCTGCAAAAAAAATGAGAATATAATTCCATTGATGATGGTCAGCTGCATTTCTGTCTTGGGATTGTGGAGTTGTACAATCTTGAAAAAACTTTACCGACCTGCTACAATTGGTTATTCAGTACAAAAGCTTTAAACAGGTAGCCAGTAAAATGTTAGGTCTGGTTCACAGGTGAATTTTTGATTATGCACCAATTATAAGCGCTTAGCTGCTCTGTTTTATTTGGTCCCTGTATTCTATGCTACTTTTTTGAGGAATTGGTTAGACCAACATTAGAGTGGGCTGTGAGTTTTAAGAAGGAATGAATGCCCTCTTAGCAGGTATTTGTCACAAAATGATGTTTTTTGCCCCTAAAAAGAGCAAAGGAAAATGGGAGAAACATTGACCTCCAGGAATTTTTCAAGAATTTATGCATGCATGCAAGCACAACAAAATGTATTCCAAAGCATATTACTTCAAGCATGCATTTGACATAAATTCATCATTATTTAACACAAGTTTATCACAGTCCTTCAGTGTCAAGTCTGTTCACAAGCTATTTCAATGAATGTTGACAGAGACATTTCTTTATCATTGTCCATCCACTGTCACTTGTGATGTTAAATATTACTCATGATAATGATGACTGACTTGTGATCTTGTGAAGATCCCCTCCCCCCTAGAAAATTCAAAAGTGTGAACATCATATTTTCCCCTCCCCCTCCACTACCCAAAAAATAACACTGACGGGAGGACCTTAAAAGAAATGAACAAACTAAGTACGATGTTTTTTTTTTATATGGGTGTCCATTCACAGTCATACAAAGAAAGCAAAAACAGTCATATGTATTCATGGTAAAGATGGTTGTACTCAAATCTAATGCTGGGGTTGTGCAAGCACAAATGCAAGCAAGAAGCATGTATGTATAGCATTATCTTCAAGTAAACTTAAATCCTCAATCCTGATTAGTTGAACCACGGCAAAAAGCTGTGCTACATACACAGTCCATATCGCACTCTGCGCATTGCGCTATTAGATGCAAGCGCCATTCCGTACAACACAAACGTGTAATAGGATAACTGCTGAAAAGCTCATGTACTGCGCGCGAGCGTGTTCAATCTTATAGTGCATCAAGTTTCCTTGAAGATAAATTCGTTTTCGCGCTCACGCTCGTGGAAACGGAAAATGTAGTGCGTCTGTGTCCCACATACCACTTCGGCCTCGTGGCATGTGGGACACAGACGCATTGCATTATTCCGTGTTCCACTCGCGCTCTCGAGATAACTACATGTAATGTAAGGGTTGTGTATTCACAAGGCAATGTATTCGCAACTTGTTCCAGGCAATCTCCAAGAGGAAAGTGGACAGGCATGTTGTTCTTCAAAGAAGTTCATACAACTTGCTGTACACTTGGTTGCCGCCAAGTTGCCTATGAAGATTGCCTGATAGGTGACTTAGCCCTTTGTACTGCAGCCTGATTTGGAGGGACTGTTACATGTTTCAATAGCATGGATGACATATCTATAAAGAGTTTACTCTCAAAATGCAATATATTCCATTTGCAAAAATGAAAAAAAGTCCTGTTTGAATGCGAAAAAAAAAATACATGTAAGTACTACCATATGGTGAGCTACGTGTAAAGCAAAAAAACTGAAACATTGCCCCTAACACCAGCCCTTCCTCCCTTCTGGCCTCCTCTATAAACCCATTTCAAGGACCAAAATATTTATGGACTTGTTATATTTTTAGGCAAAAAATGTGAATGATATATAGAGGACAGTAACCTGACAAAAGCAGAACATAAAATGCAAAGCATAACATTACTTGTATAGACACGTCAATGTGAAGTCTAGGACTCTAGGTTGTTACTGAATGAAGTTGATTATGGCTCATGTGTTGTCAAATAAGCAATTGAGACAAGAGCTGATGACATGGGGAGCAGCCTCAAGCAGGCAAACGAGCGGACTGAAGATGCCTTGCTATCCAAAAGACTTGTGTGTGGGAATGCATTGCAACCTACCAAATAAAGTCTTCCTGTATACAATATGACCACTTGTGTCACTACTGAGGTGCTGGTGCGGACCCTTGTCTATCACACAATGTGGCACAGACACACACAAAGGTTGGAAAGAGAAACAAAGAAGTAGAAATTTGAAAAGAGTATTCTGATGACTTATGCACTGATAACAAGAAACATGGACTGACAGGAAACAGTTTGGGAAACATGCATCCAGCACATGCTTGCAGTACATATACATGTAGGCAACAGAGAATAGATTCTTTTTAATGAGAGAAGAGCAACATGCAAATGAAGTAGTTGTTTCTAATTAACCCAAAATCCCTTGTCTTGGTTCAAGCGTGGGGAGAGGGCACTATGAACAAGATGAATCAAATGCTGTCTTGGGCCTTCTAGCAATGCTACTCGAGAAATTCCGAGCATACCTCACACGCACTGCATTCAAGCCAATGCACGTGGGAGATATCATGCTCCAAATTTGTTAGGGTATCAGTGCCAAAGTTCCTAACACTTAACCACACTTGCCAGGGATCAAAACCGGCTACATTGTACATCTGGGTAACAAAAAACGAATCCAGACTTGGACTAAGACTACTACATGTGTAACTCCCTAGTAATAGATCCCACACACTAATGGCAAGGGTTTTAGCACTCTGTTTATATCCCAAGTTGCAGCAAGGTTAGTGTCGTAACAGTGATAGCGACACACCCCAGAACCCTACAATTTGTAGCATATGAGTGGCATCAGAGTTCAGAGAAAACAATTGCAAATAACATGGGGAGATTTAAAGCCATAAAAGAACGTAGTCAAGTCCATCACAAGTCAAATCACAAGTCAAAATCACAACTTACAGGGGTTGAATTATGACAAAGGAATGCTTCTGTCACAAAACTTGAGTTCTAACTTAAGACTGGGTGATTTACGACTCACTTGAGCATGACTTGTAATGACCAGTGAGGAATTGACTACAAATCTTGTATATGTTTTTAAATTGTTTAAATAATAATAAAAAGATTTCAACTTGACTTTGTCATTCCTACCTATAAATCTACGTTTCCTGATTGTGATTTCCTGGATGCGATTGACCTTAGTGCAGAGATGTAGCATTGCCATCATGGTGAACAGCATGATGATGCTCTGTGCTAGAAGAGGCAACTCGAATGGATGGCCAAACCTGGAGGGGGAAGGGGTGATAGAGGTTATATGCAAACTACATCGGCCTCTGGGCTGGAAAATACCCTGCCGCAAGATTTCAGTGAAGATCAAATATTCGTCTATGGACTATGTACATTAGAAAATACACTTCTCTTTGACTTACCAGAATAATATTCTCAATATGTTAGCCACCATTAGAGTTAGGCACACATATGTAGAAAAGCCGTCGGCATTTTCAGTCCTTCGGATGTCCATGTACTGGGGCACAAATGGAATGATTCCTCCAAAGATCATGAAAAATGAGGCGATCCAGGAAACCAGGTTCGTAAAAGTCAGGGGGATCACTGGCAATTGGACCCCAAAGTTGGGCAAAATGTCCAGTACGTTGTTATCCATGACGGATCACTGGCGGATCAGAGATCCACGCTGAGATGGTGGGTAGCAAAAGATGCCCTGAAGCCTTTTCTGAATGGGTTACAAACGGCCCTGTTTTTCAGATCGAGCATTCTTGGTGTTGTCTTGGAATCGTGAAGGAAATCAGAGATAATCTGAAGAGTTGCAGGTCGTGAATTACCAGGTTCTTCTCTTCTTGGAGTCATCCATAGCTGCCTTGGGGAGAATTCGGATCAATCACTCACTGAAGGTGAAATAGTGAAGAGCTGCCTCTACATGAACTTATTCCAATGATAATCTATATGTGAAAAAAATAAAATGTTATTCAGACTATCAAATGCAAAGTCTATTAAGTTAGGTAATAGACAACAGACAATGCAACAAATTGGTTACCAGACCATGAAAACATTTTCCCTTCATAAACATGAATTCGTATACCTGAAAAGGTAGCTCGATTGGTTAAATGCTCCACCATGCCGAATGTTTTGGCATCGAATGTGCGCTATGCCAAACATTTTCCCCCCTTTTTTTGGTCTTTTCATAGTTTCATTTACTTTTACAATTTTAATCAAATCCTACTTTTCATTCAAGTAGATTTCATTTTGGCGGTGGGTATTTGGCTGGCGCCGGCTTTCTTTTACTAATAGCAAAAAAAGAAATTTGAAAATGTTGAATGGGCACGACGGTGCCAGCGCCTCGAACCCGGTATCTGTCACTTGTGAGTCAGGTGCGCTATGATCTACTCGGCCACACGTACGTGCTCCTTAAACACTTATGGTAATTTGAGATAATGTGGCCTAGCCTACTCATACATGCGTCAAAGAGGGCGCTGTGTGATCTGCCAGCTTAATATCGTTTACTGTAAAAGACAGCCAGTACCTGCCAAATATCCACTATCTTTCATTTTCTTCAATTTCGTAATCCGTGGCTTTTTTAAGGGAAATAAAGTCCGAACACCATTCGGTTAATGACAATAGTCTGGTTTCCTCTGGAATATTGTCAGGTCAGGGAACCAGACGGTCGACTGCGGCCGTAACGATGTGTAAAAATAAAATGTGCATTATGTGCAAACTGAATAATTATATCATAAAGCTACACGGTCCTATTTCTACGCACGTTTTACGTGAGTTTTGAGCAATAAAAAACATTTTTTACTCTAATTTGTTCAAAACAAAACAGGGGCCCTACACTAGTACACTACATAATCGCCGAAAATGTGCTGTATGGCACAGCGTCCGGAAACTGGACAACAACACAACGTTCAATTTTGGGAACTTGGAAAGTTGGGAGTAATTCAAAGTATTCTATTTTTCATGTCAAGTACTCCCAACATGCTTTGGAAATACTCTGTTCATATCAAAGCTTACTATGCTTACTGTGACTGTGAAATAGTTTGTGAGTTCACGTTTTTCACTACTTTTTCGTCCGGCTTCCAAACTCCCATCTTTTTTTTATAACATCGGTGTCATTTCCGGTTTTCAAAGCAAATTGTTCCCGCACCTACTTTTACTTTATGTATTAAAAGAAAATCAAAGTATTCCTCTTTTATACAAGTTAATTTAGGGTGGAAAGAGGTTTAATTCATGTGGGAAATATTTAACATGTTTAAGTAGATTTAAGGCATTTTTAAACCCAAACATTTCAAATCGAATTTCAAAAAAACAGGGTGAAAGATTTAATGCTACACCATGTTTTAGTCTGGACCGTCAATTTGCCTTATCTTATTATGAAATTACATGGTATCAGCAGGGAGCAAGACTGCAAAGCAGCAGGAAAGCCGCTTCCGAAAATTGCCCCTTTTCTGTCTACGGCTAATTCACTGTGGGATATGGATATTAATAAACCAGAAGCTGTAGCCGTTGGCCGAATAAAATAAACAATTTTGGGTCAGCGCACCGCGCGCAGCCGCGCAGTGGCTATACAGTGCGGCATGCAGCAACTAGCAACAATCAACGGCGTTGATCTCACTCCCTTGAAAGGTTTTCTTGGGCCGGAGTGAGACAAAAAATATTTATTGAAATATTTTTTTTCCTGATTTTAAGAATACCATTTTTAGCAGTGTACTTGCAGAATATTCTATATTTTAGCATAGACAACTTGCACAGAGCATGCCATGGAGGAAGGAATAGAGCGCCCTCACTGTGGACAGGTTTTTGTAACGCAGTGGCTATTGTTACGGCAGCCGTAACGCATTTCCCATTTTCTATCATTACGGTAGACTGCAACTTTTATAAAAACATGACAAGAAAATATAAAATTAGAAGGAAAAAAGTGAATTTGAACGTTATTAAATTTGGACTTTATTTCCCTTTTAAAAAAAATCCTCCAAAGCCTCGGGTTAGAAAAGGAAAAAAATTCGAGTACAAAACTGAGATTCGAACCCTCAACCTCGCGGTGCAAAATCTTACCCTCTATCTACTGAGCTGTCGCATTGCTCGCTAAAACGAATTATATACCTGTGTGCGTATCAAAAAAGTATCGTAGAGGGCACTAAACAACGACTGCCGTAACGATAGCCACTTCGTTTTTCGTAAATTTAGTGACAATAAAACTCAACTACCATGACTGCAATTAACTAGCTTTGGTCTACTCATCACAGACAAACAAAGACCCGTCCACAGGCAGTGAGGATGTTCTGTGCAAAGTCTGTTGTTTAATTAATTAATATATAATTATAAGGAAATTTATTGCATAGGCTAGGCCTACTTCTATCACGGGGAAGCCCTCACAAGTCACAAGTCAATCATTAAGTTGTCAAGTATTATTAAGTCAAGCATGTCAAGTGACCAGCGGTCTTCATGATGTGAACTGTTGCTAAAATGATATTCCGTTGTCATTGTAGTTTTGATCTGTTTTATTGATTTGTACAGGATTGGTAATGAAGTGATCGATGTGAAGAGTTAAAGATGTCTTCACTACTACGACCATCTTCGTGGATGGCACATGCTAGTGTCTATCACCAGCTAATTGCTACTAAGAATCTACTGTTCGGCCGGTGCACATTGCTCGCAAACAGTCATGTGACTTGCTCAGCATCTGCGATTGGTCTTGCAGCAACCATTGGGAAAGAGACCACAGGTGGACAGTTTTTCATTTTGAAACGATTCATGGCGACGAAGAAACAGACACTTCGAAAAGACACCAAACAGGTTGCTCAGAGGGCGCCGGGTACCGGGCAGGGAGAAGTGGCCATTGGCCAGAGAGGTTGGTATCTTACAACACAAAACTTAATTTGGAAGAATTGAATCATCCTCAAAGTATTGTGTACAAACTGAAACTACTTCCCAACATGACTAGGCACCTATAGTAAGAATTATTTTAATAGCCCCAAATAATCAGTTTGTTAATTACACCTAATCCCATACACTGTATTCTAGTTTTTGTAACTTTTAAAGTTTAGAACATTTCTCGTCAACCAGTTTCTTGTAGGCTGTAAGCTGCACTTTTGAAGTAGTTACAAAACACAGCTTTATATGCAAAACACCAGAAAAAAATTACTATATGTAATAAGTTTTTATGAGGTTTATCAAACTTAATTACTTCAAATTGTGCAACTTGTATCTGGAGAGCTAGCTATATAAGTATAGCAAGCTTGCTTCAAACTCATAGCTCTGCATAATTGTGATGAGCTTCAAAGTAATTTAGTAAAAATTGTGTAAATTCATCGTTTGTTCTTTTTTTTCCCTCTGTGCAGTTGTACAGGCTGGTAAGGATGTCAGCTATATGGGTGTTGTCATTGTCGGCATCGGTGTAACAGGTTAGTCCACAGAAGTAATGTGACCCATAGTTATGCAAATTATAGGTGTGGCCATATATGCAAATTAAGGAAGGAACTTTCAACCAATGAGGACTTAAGAGCTCTGAAGTGACATCAGAACTCCTCAAGCATGTGTACTCAAGAACTATGGTGAACCATATTGTAACTTTTTACCATTTTTATAACTACTCTTCCAGTTAACCAGTGTGCTTGATTAAAAAAAATGTTTAAAGTGGGATTTTTGACCAACTAATAATGCCCAGTTCAAGCAACAATAATATTTTTGTGTCCGAATATAATCAATTTGGTTAGTTTTAAGTACATTGAAGCTAAGGGAGTGCTTAAATTGTTTTTTTTTTTTTGCCTCGTATATCCATCTTTTGTTTCTTGCAGCCATCATGTTTTATGCAATTGGTAGGGAGTTATTTGCCTCCAGTAGTCCCAATGCCGTCTACACCAAAGCCTACAAACTATGCAACAAAGATTCAGAGGTACATGTATAACAATTTTGTTTTCAGAGAGAGTACAACATTTTGGACAACTTGTTTTCAACAAAAGAATGTTTCAAAATGTATAACATTTCTTTAAATAACACTTTACTAATTGGTTCTCAGTAATTTCTGGCCAGCTGTATATCTCATTCATATTTTAATATCTGATATGAATTAATCATGATATGCAGATTATTAAAGAGCTGGGTGAGCCAATTAAAGGCTTTGGAGAAACCACAAGGAGGGGCAGAAGGAGGCATGTGAGGTGAGAAAATAAGCAAATATCTTGACATCACACACTGAGCAACCCAGCTTTGGACTACTGTACGAAGTGGGACATTCGACCCCAACATTATAACAAGCCTGTGTGTTTTTTCAAGATGGTCTGCAATCAGAAAGAGTCCTTTATCTAAATCCTTATTATAAACCTGTTGTTTTTGAGTTAACAAAAATGACTTGATACTGGAATTTTTGGAATGGTTCTTTCTCTTTCACAAAGTATTTCCCTTCAGTTTAGCTAGATTCTTCCCAATTAGAAAGTGACTTTATTCTGAAAAATAGGATGACACACATAATGCTCTTTAAATATCACTGTCTACATACCACATATATGTGTAAGTATTTATCCATATGATATCTACTTGACCACATTTTGGCAGTATTCAAAGTAATTGCTTTTGTCCTTTGGCAGTCATTTAGAGTATGAGCAAGATGGAGTGAAGCACATGCGAATGAAGTTTTACATCCAAGGTCCAAAGAGGAAGGGAACAGTGCACCTAGAAGTGAAAGAGGCAAGTGTTTACAACTCTTACGCATATCTTTCGTTTCTACTCAACTACTTAAATTTACAAGGCAGGAAATTTTTCTAATTCCTTTACACTTTTCATTATTCACAGGGAGAGACAGGCAAGTACGAGTACCGCTATTTGTTTGTGGAGTTAAACGGCTACCCTCACAGGACTATCGTACTGGAGGACAACAGATGATTATGAATTGGATTTTCTCTATTGGATTTGTGCGTAAAAATTTAGGGCGCTATATATTGTACTTAGAAGAAGCTGTGGACACATTACACTGATGATTCGCTTGTTCAGAAATCAATATTGTGTATCAATGGCAAAGAGACATTGACTGATATGCACCTGAATTGTCAGCACCAGAGGACGTCGTCGTGGGGGAATTCGCCAACCCTTTTTTGAAAATTGTCTTCTCCCTGCCACTTTTTAATTGCCAGCTACAATGTATAGACTTATGCACTGTGCTCTCCCATTTGAAGAAAAGTTCTGCCGACCAATCGCCAAAGTTCGACACAATAAATCGTCTTCCTATGAAAAAAAATGAACCGGTCGTAGTCTCGGAGGTGATTTTGCCACGTTTATGCCATTCAAAGGCTGCAGTAATCCCCCGTTTTAACTTCAAATGATCGGGGCCCAGATTGCAATCATGTTTGGTCCTTAGTTTATTCAGTAGATACGCTCTTCTTTAAATAAAGATATTTTTTACTTTTTGAGGTCTGCTTTGGACTTTTTGGAGCTCAAACAATGCTTGGATTATTGTCTCTAATTGTTGGGCACGATTGGTGTGATATGCAAGTTTTAACTCGGAATAAAAAAAAAACATAGAAACTCTTTTTGCAACACACAAGTAGACACAGCTCTTTATTCATAGAAAAAAAAACAAATTTTGGTTTGTACATGTAACATTGTCTTTATAAAATTTCAAATGTTTAATTTCAAGAATAAATTATGATCAACATATTAATTACAAATGTGCAATATTTACATACTTTAGTTGTAAAAGTACATGAATTATTTCGGACGGTACACATGACCACAACACACACACACTATAACAAAACACACTTCTAGAACTTTTGGGCACCACTTTTATAAAAAGGCACAAGACGAAATTACTTTTGGAGTCTGTGTAAGTGCGTACTAATACAAAAACATTTTACATACAAATATTTAGTACTAAATGGCAAAGCAACTAAAGTGATTTGACTTAAAATTATGTACAGTTTCCCTTTGCTTTAAGTGATTTCAGTCTTGGAGCATTTAAATCAATCAAAAGTGAGGTTTTGTACTATTTTTATTTTTTTTAGTGCAAGTGGTTACCATGACAACACCTTGTACAAGTGCTTCAAGGGTCATTCACACATAGAAAACCGGGGACTTTTTCAGAAGTTCCTGGCTGCCTGTTGCCATATGTTAACATTTTAGTGAATGGCGGCCAAAACTGTTGTTTTTGTGGTGTATTTTAAATTGGAATAATTGCCTTACTTGGGAAGTGATCTTGGCATTCACTGCTGTACAATGAGAGAAGTGCAGTCACTAAAAAGAGTTGATACATGTATTCAGAATTCGCCTGAAATATCATGTTTGGTATCTGTTTCAGTACACAAGCTACAGGGTCTACTTCCAAAGCTGATGCCTTCCAAAATAAGGCAACTGTCAAGTCTACTTACTCCTCAAACAGAATATCAATTTTCATCGGTGTTCGTCAATCCTCGGATTCATTACCAGCTAGGCATTATTCTTGGCACTCAAGCTGAAACTTGTCCACTGTTTTACTACAGAAACATCACATCATCCAATGTAAGGCCAAAGTTTTGATCATTTTCACTGATTCAAACAGTAAACATTTCCAAATTGGCCGCTTTTTCACAGTCTGTGGTCCTTTGGGACAAATGGCCTCTCCACTATCGTCCTGATGAGCTGATTCTGAAAGATGAAAGTTTTGACTCTTGCTATGAGGTATATGAAGATAAGAAGAACGGCTAGATACTGCACCCAAGCCCATATCAGCACCTGGAAAAACCCAGGGATATACGTGTGTATACGTTAAGGAAAACATTTTTGAAAACTCTTTCCGGTAATGTAACCAAGGGTGACCTCTAAGAAGTGTCCAAGATAGCTTGGATGCTTTAAGAAGACGGGGACAAAGAAATGATCAAGGAATGAGGAAAATATTGAAAGAAGAAAACCCTGGAATGACTAAAAAACCCAAAATGATTAAAATCCCCAGAATGGTGCAAACCCACCAAATGATGAAAATCTAAAAATGAAAACCAAAAGGATGATGAACACTGATGATGGTTACTCTATTACTTGTATGCCAAATATGGTGAAAAGCCAAAGGAGTCATTTTGAAAGGATATACAAGGAGTTCTTCCGGATAGCGCACAGTTCCTCTGATCAGGAATGTTTCACTTGAACTCGGCCCTCTCTGCCAGACTGGGTAGCGACATTCAAAATACGTACTCACTGAAAAATGAAAAGAAATAAAATCCAGTAGATTTATTTGGAAATTCCATATTGTGATAGGATCAATTGGCTCACAGCACACTTATGATCTAAAACCAGCATAATTGCACAAATCACTCTTATTTTAGTTTAAGTCTAGCCATTTTCTGTAACATGATTCCTCCCCAGTGAATTACTGACAAAACATCGACGGACTGTTCTATGTCCAGTGGGACCATTAGGTTAGCACAAGGTTGTTTCAAACATTGTTTCCAAAATCACAATTTACCAGCGGCAAAAGCATCTGGTAAATTTCTAGTTTACAGTTGATTAATGACATAAAAATCAGACATGGGCTCATTCTGGGGGTTATATCCAAGTTCAAAGCAGCATTGTGTGTACCACGCAGAAGAGAAAATTTACCAGGCAAAACCAACAACCAGTGATTGTAAACTTAACAAGAAAATTGAAATGTTTTTGTTTGTTTGAGCACAACTGGACGTAAAAATCAAACCTGTGGTGCAAGGCAAATGGCCACTTACCGTTTCTTGAAATGTAATCACTGAATATTTTGGAGAGTTGGTAGTCAGATACGAAGACACTGTCGCCATTGATAACCGGAGTCTGCAAAGATCAGAAACATTCAAGCACGAGTCCGATTTAACAGACCAATAATTGATGAAAACATGAAACAAATCACAATAAATTCTTGACACGACAAACAATCTGCCCATGAGTAAATGAGTGCCTGTTGGCCCATTAGCTGCTGTACTACAATGTATTGCATTGTGTTTATTCATTGAAGAAATCAATAATTAACCATAGTGTCCTTGGACAGTTTCGGGTGCTAGAGTGTGTAATAGGCGAGGCGGTTTAGGGCAGTACAGTGACTAAAGGGTTAACCCTAACGATCCCCAACCAGCTAAACTCCAACATCAGGGTTTAGTAAACTGACTGTGCATTACGTGGGATTAGGCATACCACAAATAAACAGAGTCCAACCGTTTTTGCGGACAGTTAACCATATGGTGTTGGGATTCGCAAGGATGAGGAAGGTTCCTAGTAAATTACCCTAGGGAGTTAGGGTTAAGGCAGATTTAATTTTATTTCTTGAGCCCTTGAAGCAAACAACCAAGTAGTTCATTGTGTAGCCTGTAATAGGTAGCAATGATCACCATAAGCACTCTGCTAGTACACTATGAATTAAAGCATCCCCCCTCTTTTTCTCCCCCATGCCCCGCCCACAGCTCACATCGTATCTGGTGTCCACTGCTTTGTGGGAAAGAGGCATCTTGAGTCGTAACCTTAGTTCGCCATCTGCGATGAACTCTGACCCACTCAGTGGTGAGGTATGCTCCATGTAAGCCATTGCCTCCATCCTCAAAGACGAAAACCTCTGTAATAAAAACAAATTACTGGAATGAAATTACAAATAGAATTGTCTTGTACACTGTTAGTTCTGAAAAGTAGCATACAGTTCCTCAGCAAAGGGATGATGTTATTCTCTGAATTCAACAAAGACACTCTAGTTTCCCAGATGTCAACATTATGTTTTCAAATCTTATTTCTTTTCCTAAACATTCATCTTCACTTTCCTTAAATAAAAATAATAAAATAACTTACATATAATCTGTAGTCAAAGAGCAGAATGAGTTTGACTCCCAGGACATTTTCAGTTGCCAGGACAGGTACCGATACCGAGAAATGCAGCATGTCGTACCTGCCATCACGGTTGTTGTCCTCCTTTCTCGTCTTAGATGTGTGGAAAGATAAGAAAGGTGAAAGGATTGTTCTGCCATTCAGATGAAATTCTAAAGAATGGTGTGATTGAGTTGGCCTGTAAATATTAGCAATGGCAAGTTGCAATGGTGTTTGCTAAATACAACTTGAGATAATTTTGTGGATAATTTTTTGTTACGCCCCACCTTGGTCGTCAGTCCCTATGTATGTTGGGCCTGTCCCAGCTTGGGCCAAAGTAGATTGTTCAAGTTAGGTTGGGCGCTGCTACTGACAGGTACATACGTACAAATGAGGTTGCTGCCCATTTTGGCCTGCCCAACTTGATCGCCCCAGCTGGGACTGGCCCAACATATGTTGGGGCGTTACAGAGACACTGATCATTTGTGAGAGTTCCCTACCTTCACAAGGGGAATCCTCAGATGCTGTTGCTGCAACTGGTTGAAGTTTTGGTAGGTGCTCCAGGCCAAGTAAGACGCCTCATCTTGGGTGTCCACAAGGAGAAGCATCTGGTGTTTGAACTGAACTGTGGGCTGCTCCCGGTAAAAAGCATTCTTTAGCCATAAACCTACACAAAGGGAATTGAGATGAAATGTTTAATCACTGCTAATAGTTATACGAAGCTGTTTTACTGTATCTAAATGTGTGTGAGTCTTCTTTGAGTAAAATACAAAAAGTATAATATCAGTCCTTCTGATTTAAAAATTAAAAGCGAGTCGAAAAAGGCACACCTGAGTTTATCTAGACGCGAGATTTTTTCCAGCTGTGTGATTTTTCTAGGTCAGTAGGTGTGTGATGTGATGTTTGATGTTTCTAGGCCTGTGATTCTGTGGTCCAAACTGGGACAGAACAATCTGGTATTTTTTATAATGTTCATCTTGGTTAATGGTAAAGCCATTTCAAGAGGTCCAAGTATAATTATGCCGTAAATGTATGCAGAGGTGTACAGACGGATTCAGGCGTGTGATTATTCACACTTCTCGGGAAGCTTTTAGTTTTAGGCGTGCGATGGCGTGGGGGTGCGATCGCATGCCTCAAATCAGAATTTGCCATAAATAATTAAATTATTGTTTTAGAAAATATTTTCCATTGAACTTAACTTTTTAAATAAAATTTGAAATGCTAATGTCAAATGACCATGGATGGGCAAAACAATGGCAATGCAACTGGCAAGTCATAATAAAAAAAGGAAATTCTAAGCTTAAACATAACACAACTTTCTAGCGCTGTTTCAAGTTTAACTGTCAAATGGTAATTTCTTCAATCTCGTCAGTTTCAAACAGCGCCCTCTATCGATGACGAATAGTAGTAAGTAGGCCTTCATTCCAAAACAAAAAAAACCAGACTAGGCCTGGTTTAAAACCTGTCAAATGTTATTAAAATGTAGCTGGAGTTACCCAGCCCTGAGTTTTATCATTGGGTTGTCATCTAGGGCTGGAGCGCATTTTTCTCAAAACTTGTAGTATTTGCAAAAAAAATTTGGAAAATGTTCAATTTTGTCCCCGTTACACACTAATTGCAACTGCAACTCACCCCAAACTTGCCTGGAATAACCATTACACAGGTCCTTGAAGTAAAAAACGATCCACGATGAAGATTCAGCCTACAATTGCAGTGAAAACAGGAGGAATAACCGCTAACTTGACAACCTTGCTGGATTGGCCAGGACCGCTATTGGTTTGTGCACAAAAAAAATTGTGTACAATGAATGGCGGTCGATTAACAGGCACAGAGAGCGATCGCTGTCAACTACTCGTTTCCGCCGGCTGCGCTGGCTGTTGGCGCGTGACGTCACGCGGAAGCGTAACACCCGATGACTGTTTCATGCACTAGTATAAGGTTTACCACTCGCATCACAGCTTTGGTACTGGAACCGCAACCAATAGTGCATGAAACAGTCATCGGGTGTTACGCTTCCGCGTGACGTCACGCGCCAACAGCCAGCGCAGCCGGCGAAACCGAGTAGTTGACAGCGATCGCTCTCTGTGCCTGTTAATCGACCGCCATTCATTGTACACAATTTTTTTTGTGCACAAACCAATAGCGGTCCTGGCCAATCCAGCAAGGTTGTCAAGTTAGTGGTTATTCCTCCTGTTTTCACTGCAATTGTAGGCTGAATCTTCATCGTGGATCGTTTTTTACTTCAAGGACCTGTGTAATGGTTATTCCAGGCAAGTTTGGGGTGAGTTGCAGTTGCAATTAGTGTGTAACGGGGACAAAATTGAACATTTTCCAAATTTTTTTTGCAAATACTACAACTTAAGTTTTGAGAAAAATGCGCTCCAGCCCTAGATGACAACCCAATGATAAAACTCAGGGCTGGGTAACTCCAGCTAATTAAAATGTGTGAAGGCCCCTTCTATTGTAAAACGTAAAAAGGTGGGGGTTCGACGCCTTGGCGTTCCATGCTTGCTTGTCATGCTTGTAATACAAGATGCTGGCCATTCCATACATGCCATAGCGCTACTGGTAAAGCAAAAATACAAGCAACGTTAGAATCCGGCTTATTATGAACACACATTTTAAGTAAACTGACATCTTTTCAAATACCTTCACTCCAGAACACTAAAATAAATGGTGCAAATAACGTAAAAAGGAATGCCGCAATAACAAAGAATGTTGCACTCGTGCACAAACTAGTTTTGTAGCGCTGATAAACTGGGTGCGAGTAAATTTCACGAACCGCCATTTTTTCATGCTATACTATTTGGACTCGTTCAAAATATCGATAAGTTTATTTAAATTTAATATGAGGGTTTTTTTTTTACAAGTACGGACGAAACAGAACTTATATAAAGATTCTTTCGAAAAAAAATAATAATACACAAAAATACTTTAAAGAAGATTATTGTTGCATTTTGACATTTTGGGAAAAATCGGGGTCAGTATGGAAAGCCTAAATGAAAAAATTGGAAACTTTTCGTCGTTCATGTGACGCGTGACGGCCGTGACTACTGCGAGTTGTAAAAATTAAACGACATCATGGAGTGGAATTTCAAGGAACAGTATTCGCTTGGTCAGAACTGTTTCCGGTCACTTATTTCCAAAATGCCATGGCTTGGACCTAGACCATTTTCTTCGAATTTTGACTTTGGCCAGTCGTCCATGTACACACGATAACTAGACTAGCTAGACTAGCAATAGGATTCACCAGCAATAGCATGACTAGAGCTCCATACTGCGCCCAGTACTGGGCGTGGACATCCGGGATTTTCTTTTACATTGGCTAGCACTAGAAAATGTCCTCAGTATTTCACCAACCAAGTTTGCAGACCAAACTCAATTTTTAAAGGAGACATTGCTTCAATATTTTACACATGAGAGGGAAGTCAACTGATTTCAAAATGGGGCTAAATACTTTATTCCTTCCTCCATGGTCCAACCATCACTGACCATGGTCTAGCCCCATAAATGTGGCCTATTTACTGGACTGCCTCCGTAAACATAGGCCACACATCCACATGTACAAAAATCGTGTCGACGGAGCCAAATTTTGATTTTCACATTTAGGCTTAGTTTTTAGGTTTTTTTTGCTTTAGAAGCATACTCACCCTCTTTATAGGCTAATCAGAAAGTGCTGCCTTTTTCAGATGTATATTTTTCGTGAAATTTCCAGATTCATTTTTACACGTTTGCGTATCAAAATTTCAACATGAAATTTCACAAAAATTAGACATCTGAAAAAGGCAGCACTTTCTGATTAGCCTGTAAAGAGGGTGAGTATGCTTCTAAAGCAAAAAAAACCTACAAACTAAGCCTAAATGTGAAAATCAAAATTTGGCTCCGTCGACACGTTTTTTGTACATGTGGATGTGTGGCCTATGTTTACGGAGGCAGTCCAGTAAATAGGCCACATTTATGGGGCTAACCATGGTCCAACTATTTGAAAAGACTGACCTCTTCATTCCGTGTCAATAGTCTAGTGGCTTGACTATGGAGAAATGTGTAGTAAATTGAGACTAGTTCCCGCTTCATGCCACATGACATGTTTCTTAAATTCTTTTGGCATGGTTGATTGTAGTCCGAAAATTTGGGACTCTCAATACTGTGGGTTGATTGATGCAGTACTGAAGCTGTGTTGGACTGGTTGTTTTAGGTGCCAGTCTATTTTCTTGTTTTGCATGTTTTCAATACCTTAAGTTTTGGGACTCTCATACACAGTATTGAGAGTCCCAAAATTTCGGACTACAGCAATCCCAGCTCTTAAAGATTTGCAACTTTTAGCTTTTGCAAATTTTGAAGGGGTTTAACTGTATAGCCTACCTGGTAGTAAAATTTCAGTCATTTGTATTTTGGGTCTTTATATGGACTTGTAATGTTGTGTGTTTTTTATAATCTAGAGAGTCGGTGTGCGGAGTCGGCGAAAATTCGAGCCAAGTATCAAGATCGTATTCCCACGGTTGTCCAGAAAGTTCCCAAATCATCTTTACCTGACATCGACAAGGAAAAGTTCCTTGAGCCTTCAGATCTGACTGTGGCCCAGTTTATGTACATCATACGCAAACGTATTGCACTCCCTCCCGAGGATGCAATGTTCCTGTTCGTCTCAAAGGTGTTACCTGCCACAAGGTGAGATGAACAGATCATATTACAATACCAAGGGCTCAAAGGTCAAAGGTCACCATCTAATATAAGGTCATTATATTGGGGTCATTATAACCCCAGAAATAAACACATTTTCAGTGGGGCGAGCCTGGCCGAAATTTCATAGAAGATGTCCTTCAGTTGCTGTGCATCAAAGCTAATTTATTTTGACTATTGAGAAAAAAAATAACGCATTAACCAATGTTTCCCTTTTTATTTATCTCAAAAGAAGACACAACTTCAAGCAAAGTGTTAACTACATCTAGTGTTGTAGTCAAGTCACTTGTGTCGAGAGGCAAGTCCAAGTCACGAGTCGCTTGGGTAGAGTCCGAATTTCAAATTATTTGGTTTAAGTCTGAGCCCACGTACGAGTCTGTTTCCGATGTGACTCGAATCCAGTCCCAATCACCGAAATTGCCACTTGAAACAGACTCCAGTCCAAGTCCAGGGCTCTAGTAAAACACTGGCTACATCACACATACCTGTTGATTGAAAATGTGAATATGTTACTTTTTCTTGTGTCTTGACAGTGCAACTATGGGTTCGATCTATGAGGAGCACAAAGATGAAGATGGATTCCTATACATGGCATACAGTGGAGAAAACACTTTTGCCTCAACCTGATTAATAATGTTATTACTCACTTTCCTTTCCCCGGCCCTAAAGTATATTGAGATTAAATTCATGATCTATCTAATGGATGAATTCAACATCTAGTTATTTAATTGTGCAAAACTGTACTGTGGGGTAAAGTTACTAAACACATAGAATACATACACATGTGTAAATAATAAGACAGACACAAATTGGATGACATAGTTGAAGTGTGTACAGAGGTTAAAAGATGCATACCCCGGTGGTGCTCTTCAAAATATCATGGGTTTTTTCTCCAATCAAATTATGAATTTTTGTTTTGCTTTTAATACCAAAAAACTATTTTTTTTCTGATGTTGGGCGTCTGCAACCCTCTGAAAAAGTCATTTTATCTCGGGCACTAGGGCCGAACAATTTTTGTGCAGAAATAATTCAATATCTAAATGTCAGTAGATTTTTTTTCGTTCAATGTCTCATTCAAAAGTGAATAACTTATATTTCTAGAAAAATAGCAGTTGAAAAACAAGTGTATTTTTCGAAACTCAAAAATAGCATAGGGAATGAGCTTTAACACTAACAGCTATTACTTTACTTTTGCTAGCTGAAGCCCAGTAACATTCCCAATTATTAAATACGGGGTGAACCAAGTTGGTATTTAAAGTTTTATTTTTATACTATGTTAAACTTTCTTGTACTTTTTAGATGTTTAAAACAAAACTGACAGCAATTACATGTAATAGCCAAAAAATTAGACCTTTATAGATAGTGGTGTTACGGTGTACATAAAAAAAAGTCTGGTTTCATATAAAACCATATTTAGTTCCAAAATGAATGTGTACATTAAAATCATATTTAGCTTGAAGTGTTTTTATATCTCAACTCATTAAATAAATCAACAAAGTAGCTGGACTGATGTTTCGGTCTGAACAAAACCTGCTCTCTTTCGGTCTTAACCAAAGAGGTACATGGCAGTGGTACAGAAACAAACATGTAGGGACTCACAAGCATATAGCTGTGGAAGAAGAAGCACAAAAAAGTGATTAAATGGAATTTTACATTAATTTTAAAATAAACGACAGGGAAATTTACTGACCAGGTACAAAAAATATTACATAAATAGTTGGACACAACCTGATGGACAGTTGGGAGATATATTTTTATATTTTTATAATTATTTTTATTTCTTCCATTTTTTACTTGTACACTAGGAGGTCTGATGTGAAGGTGTAATGCAAAGAAGCTCGTTATTTTCAGTTTCCACTTCTTTGAGGTGAAATTGTTATATACGACTCAGAGGCTGTTTTCAAACGTGTGTCATGTTAGTAGTGTATGATATGCCATGATATGCCCAGCCCTGGCAAATCCTGACACTTAGTGTACAAATTAAAAATGGAAGTTTTACAGTGAATCTGCAAATAATTATATAACTTTCATTTATTACATGTGTATATTTTGAGGTTACTTGAAACAAGATTTTACTTATAAGTATGATAAATATGCTAATTGTCTCATACAATCATTGTGTCAAAAGTGAAATTGCCAACCTTGCAGTTGCAGGCTATATACTGTGTAGTCTTGACTCATTTGATATGGCTAAATTGAAATTGGTTTTTGAAGTTATAGCTCTCTAGAGCTCGCTCTATGGAAGATCAGTGCTGAAAAGTATCCATTTTTAGAGTGGTTACAAATTTTAGGTAAAAGAAAACGGCACGATATCAACCATATGCTTTCAAATATTTTTTTTTAAATTAAAATTGACGTGACTGTCCTCAGGGATATGCCTTTTGTCTTTACTATTGTCTGTATTGGGTTTTGTAATCTCAGGGATGTCTCTAATTCTTTCACAATTCTCAGGGATATGCCTTCGCAATTCTCAGGGATATGCCTTCACAATTCTCAGGGATATGCCTTCACAATTCTCAGGGATATGCCTTTTGTCTTTTCTATTTGTCGATCTGTACATGTATTGGGTTTTTGTATTTTCAGGGATGTCTGTAATTCTTTCACAATTCTTTTTCATACAATAGCCCATACATCAATCTTGTGAGGAAAAAGGATGTTTAACCATCGTTAGTAATATCAGTGCATAAATTAAATGAAGTAGATAAATAATCACTGTATTTGCCACATTTAGACATCTCTGATCTGTTTGAAAATAAATGACTAGCAAATGAAATGAAACTATGACAGTTGTACAAGTTTATCATTTGTTTACATATTATCTGAACGTATTTTATACATTTTGCCTGTTCCTGATCATGGTCTATTGGGAGTTATGAGCGATGCGAGTTTTTAAATTCATGAGCAACATCGTGCACTGATGAGTTTTGTCGGGTGTGGTTTTTAGATTTATTTATTTATATATATATTTTGTTTTGGCTCTCCATACATCTCAGGGGAAACGTTCGCAATCACTGGTACTAAGCACAATCCCACACAAGTGAATCGAATCAAGTGATTACCAACCATGAAGTGTCGCAGGTGTTTATTTTTAGCACAAAACCAAAACAATGGACGACAGGCGGAACTCGTCTGCAGATGATGAGACACTGATTTGTATCGGGTGATAGTGACGCTGATTTGTGCAGTCATTGAACGACAAGTGAAGGAAAACGTTGCCAACGTAGCGGAGAAAGGTTCTACGGTCGCAGTTTTTAGATGACAGTAAAGAAAATGAAGTGGGCCTACAAGGAGGAAACCCCGGCAGGTAAGTGATTTCATCATTTATGTAGACTGGTAGAGGGCGCGGCGCGCGGCGTTGTTTGGTGCAACAATCTTTCCCATGTATTGTTCACCCTTTTTTGGTGGTTCACTTGATTTGTTAATTTTTTTTACTGAACCTGCTAGATTATGACTGCAGAGACTTTTTGAGAGAACATAATCCTTAAGCCATTTTTAATCTTTTAGTTTTAATCAATGCATTCTCAATCAATGATCCTTCATCAACACTTCTTAAAATAAAAACTGGGCGATCGTGTAATGTAAGGCACGGTTCCTAGGGAACAAAATCCACTTTGAAATTTAGTAAATTAGACCGACCAAACTAGTTGGCGACATTCTTAACAAACAGGTATGTCATACTAGAAGGCAGGGTTTTGATTTTTTGAGGGAAATTGGGGGGTTAAATGAGGATGACAGCGCGGCGACAACGCGCAACCCCGAAAATAAAGATGGCGATCACTGCGCGATGTACCGTGAGCACGCACGGCGCACTGAATCGCAAGGCACAAACCGCGTAGGAAAATCGTGATTTTCTACCCCAAGAAACTGTTAAAAATTGCAAAACAGGCCTCATTAGAATTGAGAAAAGTCTGTTTTTTATTGTAAAGGTGATTTTTGAGCATTAAAAAACATTTTTTTTTACTCTAATTTGATCAAAACAAAACAGGGGCCCTACACTACACAATCGCCAAAAACTGAGTGTTGTCCCAAGTGATTGTGAGAAAAAAATCACAAACTACTTGGATGGGACTCGAACCAATGACCTCCTGCTTACTAGTGCAGAAGTCTTACCACCAAAGCTTGCTAGGGTCAGCTGGGGGTCAGCTGGCTGGTTCAAAGTAAAGAGCAGCTGGTACCACAACCAAAGTACTCAAAGGAAGTAAAGGCAAATGAAATAAAACCAAATAATAATTCTGGTTTTTTGGTTATACAATAGACCAGCGGTTCTCAGAAGCATCCAAGATTCGTGCCAAGTATCCAGAGCGTATTCCAGTCATTGTCCAGAAAGCACCCAACTCACAAATTCAAGACATTGACAAGCGCAAGTTCTTGGTTCCTGCCGACATCTCGGTGGCTCAATTCATGTGGATCATTCGAAAGCGGATCCAACTGCCCTCCGAGAAAGCTGTGTTCCTGTTTGTAGGAAAGGTCTTGCCACAGTCAAGGTAAAAATCAATCCATCTGCCCCCCCTCCCATCTCATCCACCCCTCCCCCACCACCCCCTACCCCCTTCCCCACCACCCCTCCCCCCTCCCCCATCCCCACCCCTGCTGTATGATACTACACACTCTATTTAAATGGTAATGTGTAAAGAAGCATGGAACTTCAATTGAGAATGTTCCATTTAGGTAACATTTGGACACCAATTTTTTAAATGCAGGCCAAAGCGCCCCCTCCCCCCCCCCAATTAAATAAACCCATTCAGACAATCGTGTCTGGTTTCCTGTGTTGAAATCCCAATGTATTAGGAGCCATGAGCAGTAAACACAACAGAATATATGCTTTCAGTTGTGATGCAGCATTAACAGATATCCCTTCCTTGTAATATTTTGTATTGCCTTACACCAACATTTATGTAATCAGATGTTTACGGTCACGGGTGAATAACATTTATTGCCGGGCAAGGATGACATCATCCCCAGATGTTACTGTACAACAATTGCTAATTCCATGTAGTTCACTGATTATTTGAAATCATCTGATTTCATCTGCAGATGCATAGCACAATGTAAGGCCCTAGCTTTGAAGTGAAACCCTTACTCAGTCATTAGCTAACACCATTCAGAACAAGAATAACTCTGTAATAAACACATATTGATTTGAAGGCCTATGTAAACCCTAAGTGGGCTGCATTTTGATCAAAGTATTAAAGGTCATTGTGTATTGTGTAAATATGATGCACTTGAAATTACTAACAGCAGTTGTGGTCTGTAGAGGTATGGAGTCATTTGCAGTCACATGTTTGGACTTTGCAGCTTTTAACAAGAGAACAATTTGCCCTGTGACTAGGATTAAACAAGCACATATATATACAGCCCAGTGAATCTCAGACTTAAAATTTCAAAGACAAATCAACAATCATTCCCCATGGTATTTAATAATGGCTAGGTTCTGTCTTCCCCAATTCTGAAAAATACTCCAAAATCTGGTGGATATCAATTGGGGTTGTGGATGAAGTTCTTCACATAATGAGAACATGACATGACAGTTTTTTTTAAAGCAATTCTCAGTTAATATTTATCATTTCCATTGAATCGTTACATCATAGTGGAATACCACTTTTTCAGTGTGCCTTATCAATCTACAAAGGAAGTCAGATTTTATCTGCAGGAATTGACGTTCACATACGTATGATAATTGGTTTGTGTTTCAATTTTCTGTTTGCTGAAGCTGAAAGGATTACAAATCTCATATTTCTATGACTGATTCACGAATTTATCAGAACAATGCAAAAAAAAACGGTGTGAGTGTATAAATATGGATCAGCAACTTAATTTTATCCTTTCCCTTTGTTCTGTTTTTTTTTCCTGATAGTGCAACAATGAGTCAGATCTACGAAGCACACAGAGACGATGATGGTTTTCTCTACGTAGCGTACAGCGGAGAGAACACGTTTGGCTCATCATGAATCTAGACCATGCCACGCAGCTGCCCAGCAAAAACAAAACTGTAAATAGTCACCTGTTGAAAATTCAAGTCGGGTCTGACAGACTCCGTATTGGCCACCTGCTAAAATTCTGGAGATTTATTTTATAAGTCATCTGATCAAATTCATTTTCAAAACTTGTCATTAATTTTTCTCAGTACACGAGGTTCTCTTTGGTTTTTTAGCTAAGAGTATTTTGACGGATCAAACTATAAACAATAGGAAGGATAAGCTATACAGAAGAGAAGGAAAAAAACGACGTTCGCTTAGAAATTCTTGCTTTATCTGAAGTGCATCACAGGAGAAATTGAACATCAGTCTGTAGACGTTGCCGGACACAACTCTGAGGTCAAGACACCCCTGTATTTGCATGTAGCATTCTTTTACAACGAAGAATAAATAATGAACTGCAGTGTTATACATATGTGTACAGAAAGTCGACAGTTTCCTCTGATGTAAATGCTTGGTGATGCACCATATTGTGGATTGCCCCTGTTTAACAGCCATTTATTGCTTGCATTTTGTCTTGCTTACTGTATGGTTCCCTTACTAACTGCAGATCATGCTTACATTATCCCATCCCAAAATATCACGAGAAGTAATTCTGTTCTCACTAGTGACAGATGCCATTTTCAAGAAAACTGAAATTTTTATGAAAGCAGTCTAAAAGGAAATTACCTTATTTCACTGTGCCAAGTATTACTGTGTGTTTTTCAGAAAGCAAGTTAAGTAGTTTGATCACCAATCAAGCACTAACTTACAGAAGCACTCACTGTGTGCATGTCTTGAACAAGTATTAACCCGTGTATATGACCAAAAGAAAGAAAAGCAACAACTGTACTTTACATATAAGCAAGCATTTTGTGAGTATATAAATTGAAATCAGTACTTCAAATTCTGATTCTTAAACTGCCAGGGCCTTAAGCCAGGAGCGTCGCTAGACAATTTGAATGGGGGGGGGGGGGGTGACAACATTTGCTAATGACCATCTGTGCTAAAAGGTAGACAGAATCTTTCCCGGTCTCCCAGCAATATAAGCTGTGTACCAGTTTTAAACAATGCAAATCCTATTTTGAAATGTTTTTTTTTACCTTTTTTTTGCTGAGTAAACAATCAGTGCTGTTCAAGTTGTACTCTGTATAGTATGCTTTATAGTTTTAAAAAAAATTCCAGAGGCTAGCATTCCTTTAAAGTTATATTGTTAGAGAAAATAATTTGTTTAAATAGTGGTGTCTGTATGCTTTAACACTTACATGTATATTTCATTTCATTTCATTTCAGAAACATTTATTTCCACATGAATAAGCACTTTAGAAAACAAAACAATTGTTACATGAAAACTACTAAGTGGAGGCATTACACAAGAAGCCGGAGCTTATAAACGGAATGCCTTAAACACAACAAAAAATATGAAACAAACAACTGGTGCCATTGATGATGTAAACAATTGTACAAACATTTATCTCAACGTCGATTGTTTTTTTCAGAGGCTCATTTTACTAAGTTTGTATCTTTATAGGATGTAATTTGTTTATATATATTATGGATGTTTGTACAATTTTAGTTACAGCTTACCTTATTTATTCAGATACCAGAGGTTTGGATTTTATGTTTGTGGGATAATGTTTGGGAAATGTGAGCTTAAATCAACAAGTAAAAGTTGTTATTGAGTTCTGGTTTTATTGGAGGAAGAAATGTCCATGCAAACAAACAAAGTTTTTTTTTAAACTTTTTTTGGGGGGGAGGAAGGGAAAGGGTTACTCAAAAGTTTTATTTGAAGCATCTGACAAAGAAAATTCAAATATTTTCTTCAACTCAAAATAGCTTTATACTTGCAAAATAGTTGTAAGAGGTAAGTGGGAAATTGTAATGTAATTTGCAGACTAAGAAAAATTTACAATTTGTACAAAATAATGTGAAGAATTATTGCATTTCAGCCATCATGCACACGTGATTGCAGCGATTAAATTGATATGAAATAATATCACAGTTTTGAACTAATTTGTCGCAGTATATAATTGATTTTGTCATTGGATTTTCTCCATGGTCATATTACCTTTTTCTAAATGCAAAACATAACGGATCTCTGTGATGATTAATCGAAGGATCAGCATTTTTTTTTTGGGGGGGCCAACAAACTTTCAAAAATTCAAATTGAATGGCTATTGCTAGGCTCCCTTATAAAAATTGAGACATCACACAAAATCGTTCATATTAACTAATGCTACATGTTATGTTGAGATTAAATATTGAATATACAGTAATGGAAGCTCAACTGTGTCCTTCTGGAAGGGATCCCCCTCTCGCCATCACTCTAGCTCCGCCCACCGCTGGTAATTGCTTAAATCTAAAACATCATCTGAGGGCGCTGTGCAAGATATGCCGCAATTATTGGCCGACTGGTGACTCGGTCGCTCAGCTTGGCCAGCTTTGGGTAATTAGCCAGAATATCCTTCCGCTGGGAGAAACATAGATCCAGGCTGACCCAAACACTGATATCGGCAAGAGAAATCTGGATAAAAAGTAAATCCAAAACTATAAGTTAAACCTTTCAGATGTCGGATGTAAAAACGATGATTATTTACAGATGCATACTCCTGCAATTAAAAAAAAAAGTTTTTGTTCTGTTCTCCTAACGAATTTACCATTGTTTGTGTTTTATTTTAGCGGAAAATACCTACTTTTTGGGGCGTCTGCAACCCTCTGAAAATGTACTTTTATTTTGTGCAGAAAACCCCACCAAACAAGAGCTGAATTATTGTCTGGCAGCAGTAATTCGAATTTTGTGAGAAAAATAGTTTCAATAACGTACTAGTGGTGGATTGTTTTCGTTCGATATATTCAAAAGTGAATAACTTTTATGTTTCTAGGAAAATGGCAGTTGGAAAAATTTTTCGAGACAAAACTCGAAAATAAATACATCCCAGACAGAACTTTAAAACGGTGTTTGTGTTCAAAATTCCGTAATTTGAAAAGTGCATGTGATTTGAATGATTCTTGTACTAAAAGAAAGCTCATTGATTGGGCTTTCGTATCCTATTCAAAAATTGGTCCTGCCATTTGGGTGTCCTTTTTTTACTCACCCTGTATACAAGGTTTGAGATTATATCCTTTCTCAGTAAATGACTGAGTACGATATTTTAGCTAAACAATAGTTAAGGTATTTGAATTACAATGTAGTTGTGAGCACTTTTAATGGCAATATTTGTCGGTGTTAAACTTTACAGCTTATTCATGTTGCCCCCTTGATGTGAATTTGAACTCAATGGAATTGTTTAGTCCCACTGCGCCTGGAACTCCGGTAAAGCTTTACCTTTTCTCCAACGAAGTAGCCATCACCTCCTCCGTTGCTCACCAAGTACTTCTCGAGACAATCCAAGACAACGGGAGCTTCGTTCTCATAGTAGTTCTTAATTGCTGCAGCCTGCATAAAGTTTGGTTGTTTTTAAATCCAATACAAAAGATAATACATTTTTTATTTTCTGGCGGTCTACAACTGTTGATTTCATTTTCTTTAGGCCTACATCCCGGAGAGAACATTTGCGCATCTTTTAAACCTACATAGGTAAATTTGTACAGTTACTATAAGCGAACAAAAACTTCCTTTAACGTTTACTTAAGATTATTCATAAGTATAAAATAATCAGCCGAAATGTGAAGAACGTCGATCGCTCATAAATAGTGAAGTTCTCAGTTGGTTTTCTGATTTTGTGCGGTGTAAAAAATCATATGGTAGGCCTATAGGCCTATACCCTGTTTTTGGCAAAATGCGGGGAACATGGGCCATCTTTGATGTTTGTAGAAAACAAGGCTATTGAAAGTCGACCTTTTTTGTACCAGTTGATATACAAACTGGTGTTCTTCTACTTCGTCTGTACTAGTCGCCCCGCCCCCTCTTCCGTATTTCAAGTTAAGAATCAAGCCTACCTTCTTGGTTTCATCCTTTTCAAGGAAGATCGCATCTCCTAAGGGTCGCGTGAGATCATCGGCGGTGTCACAGACGACGTCAATCATCAATGTCTGCCAGCTATCGCTCCCGTGAAACCCTAGGATTCATGAAGCAAATATGATGAGGACTTAATATATATAACGGAATGAGACGGTTATTTATCAAATCTAGTCGGGATCATTTCTTGAGGAGTCCATGCAGCAACAGTCTCAAAATACACATCCACTTGTTCGCAGTCTTGCCCAAAAAAAAAGAAAAAAGGAATGGACTTTTTTCTTCAGGAATAAAAAAAGACGACTAAAGGCCGATGTGTAGTGTGAAATTTGGAGTCTATGAAACACGAACCATTCAGGTTTCACTGCGCATGCCTCAATGAATATATAATGATGACAGTGACAGGTTGGACGTTACGGCAGGTTTTCCCGCTACAAATTGGCAAACAAATTGAACACATTTCAATTCACAGAGGCGAATTTCGTATAACGAATATTTCCTAACTTCAAATTGGCTCTGCACTCGCGTTAAGTAAGGACCTGCCTTTAGACTTGAATAGATAGCAATCACCTGCGTTTCAATTTTCAAACATTATATCAGTTTGATATTTCCTGAAGAATTTCTCCCTTCTATTCCCTGATTTTTACTAAATTCTCTGGCCACGTACGATGCAATGGCTCTGCTCTGCGGTATCAGTTTCCCATCGATGTCCAGCACTGGTAGCTGCTGCAACGGATACTCTGCAAAGAAACAATGTCACTTGCGTTTTTGGGTCTTGGGCAGGGGGACCCAAACTGGGGGCGCCATTTTGTTTAGCCCCCCCCCCCCCCGGCTACCCCGCGGGTTCCCCCACCCATCCCACGCCGATTATCTCCAGCCTTTCAAGAGGCAGATCAAGATTGCTGAGGACAAAATAACACATTAACATTCTATTTGGCGTTAAGTTTTATTGTTTATGAAATCCAATTTCATAAGCATAGGCCTATTTTTCTTCCTTAAAAGTACTGAACGCACTGCCAGAAACAGCGGGGCGAACCCCTTCTCTTAGCGATAAGTGTTACTGGGTTTTTTTACGTGTATTACACAACATACGGGACATACGGCTTTACGTCCCATCCGAAGGACGAAGTGTCTTGCTTTATGACACACGTGTCAAGAGCGGGACTCGAACCTACTACACTCTGCATATCAGGCACCAGAGCTTGAGTCTGGTGCGCTTAACCACTGTGCCATGACACTTGGTATTATTATCGATCCACTTAGTACATTTTGTCGCTTTACTGGATTTTTGGGCGGCCCAGTCCTCCCCCGGGATCCTGACGTCTTCAAACTCCTGCCCGGCCAGTTTGAACAACAGTCGGGTCGCCTCGGCCCTGCCACGGTTGTTGAAGTATATCAGTCGGTACGTCGGCATCATGAATGAACGGTGAGTAGGATTTCAAGTGCAGTCACGACAAGGGTCTTATATAATGTGCCTGGGCTTTGGTTGTACTGATCGAGCCTGAGTAGTAGAACTTGACGGTTTCCTTGTTACTCCTAGAGGAATTCTAATGAGATCTCAACAGTCAATGTGTCATCGGGCATGAGGGGCTTCGCCCAGTTTCGTTGTGTCCAGAAAGTACTATTGTTGAGTTATGGACAAAACACGAAAATTGCTTTCTCACTTTGATACAATACGACAGGTCACGTTTCAATGGCGCTCGAAGTCCATGTACGATATTATGAAATACAAATGTAGTGTGCAGCGCAGCATCTACAGCATCAGCCTTTGACCCGATGCATTGCAACGATCACCATGACGTATTGTTGATAACGTGGCGCGGCCCTAAAGTCGCGCACTTTGATTTTTCGTTTACGGTGCCTAGCTAGAGTGAACAACCTCAAATATCACAGTACATGTATGAGTGAAATTTAAAGAAATTGTAAAATGTTAACGTGGGATTTTCATGATTACTAAAATCGTTCACAAAGGTTCAACAGCAAGCATTATTAAGGTTGTAATACATGTACCAGTTTTTAACTGAATGAATTTGAAGTTAAAAAAAAAAGCTTGGCAACACTGCTTGAGGAAAGTTTAGGGAAACGTAGTAGTGCGCTACGTTAGGGGACTCCACTATAAAATTATAGGCCTATAGCCCTTCAGTGCAGTCGGCGGCCCTAATAAACTGCGCCGCCCAAAGGTCAAAATGACTGTTGTTGTAACAAAAATAGATCCATATTAACCAGTGCCAGTTTAGTGATTCCATTATAGCAGCACTGAACATATATATTGACACAGATTGACGGGGTTTATTTAAAATGGAACAAAACTGTACGTTCAAGTTCGTGTTAGCCCATGCATGTAACAGTTACATTAATTTGAAATTCTGTTTCAAATCTCATTAATCTTCTTGATAATACTTCAGACTTTTTATTACATTATTGCGGATCTATGTTTTCGTGCAAATGTTGCTTAGGCCTTAATGATAATTATTCAAAAAGGGTCTAATTTTGTGTGTGAAGAATAATAATTGACGTGAAATGCAATTTTCACGATTTCCTTCAGATATCCTTCCGCTGGGCAAAACATAGATCCAGGGTGACACAAACACTGATATCGGCCACAGAAAACTGGAATGCCAGTAAACGAAGAAAATAAGTTAGGAATAATTTTTTTTTTTAAATCAACCTGTTTAATTAAATATTTTCAGAATAGGGCCTAGGCTTATCGGCGAAACGATTTTATATGTCCCGCGTTTAGAATGTTAGATGAGCAAAACTTTTTGATGTGATGGTCATGAAAAAAAACTTATATAGCAATTCACAGTTTCAGATTGCTTTTCAGGTTCAAATTGTGCTTGTTTTGTGTTTGTCATCATAAGCCCAAGAGTGAAGCACAATTTTAACAATTCATGATGTTGATCATTACTTATCAATAGAAATACTTATCAATAGAAATACTTAGCAATAGAAATAACCTTTTGAGTTTTATTTCACCGAATAGGGTGACTTGTATTCCATAAATTGTAATAGTAACAAACGCCTGCGGTTTCGATCTCGGCAAAATGGTCTTCAAATACAAACATTACCTCTGTAATTCAGTTTATTAAAATTTATTAAACTACGTCAGAGTTAGTTTTCTTGCACTGTAAGTAAAAAATTGCCATATCCAATTTTAATCTTTAGCTAACATTTTGTCTTACCAATTTAAATGTTAGAAAAACAAGTTTTTGGTATGGTATATAATTATAACATCAATGGATTCCATTTCCCTTTAATCTATATTGTTCATTGAATATGTTTAAACACTGAACAAAATGTAAACGAACATTATTCTTGGTTCCCGGATGTGACAATCCTAGAAGCTGTCTTATCAGCGCGGACGTACGTCCGGGAGTTAGTTGTCTTGTTCCCAGACCTGTTTACTTAAAACTCAATGGTTCTTCAGTCTGGAGTGCTGAATTGTAACTCATCGCAACCGGTGAAAATGGGTGTGTAAATGAATAGAACTTTTTACCGGATGACGTGATCCCGCCCATGTTAGTCCCGCTTGTTTTGTTTTCGTATACAACTTAATGTATCAGAAAATTGGAGAATAATCGAGGCCCAAGTTTACTCCCGCGCAATAGCACACATGGTATAGTCCGCAGGCGCCCAGGTGACTCCGAGATCACCCTTGAACGATATGGGAGGGGCATGCCTAGGCTTCTTAAAGGTGAAGTGATGCAGGAGGTGAGTGAAGAAGATGAAGAGCTCCATCTTGGCCAGATTCTCCCCCAGGCATACTCGACGACCTGTTAGAGAAACAAATGAAAAGTTTACACGAGTACAAGTCGAGTCAGGTCGCAGATAAAACAGGGCATAAACAGCCGAGTGACAACTCACGTGAATGGCGTGTCACTAAACTTGTGATTGACATGGCTAACTTGTGGTTGCTTTTGTGACTGACGAAGCCGTGTCCGAGACGGGCTTTCAGAGCTACGACTACGTCTACTTTGTTATGTTCTCACGTATTGGCACAGACCATAACAGGCTATATACTCCAAACACGAGATTCGGAAGCGACCTATAATGCAACTCTAACTGGAGATTAATAACTGACCGTTCCCGAATGGGATGAATTCGTCTCGGTGTCGAAGCTTGCCGTCTTCGTCCAGAAATCGCTCCGGGCGGAACTCCCTCGGCTCCGCCCACACCGAGGGGTCAAAATGGCTGTGCCAGAGATTGGCCAGGACAAAGGTGCCCTTTGGAATGTTGTATCTGAAAAAAGGTCCATGTTCAAGTGATTAAGTATTCAGGAACCTGAAGTTCTCACAGACTCTAAAAAGGGTCAGATTTGAAGTTAAAGAATTGCTCCGTTAAAGAATGGCGCAAGGTTTGCTGGTCAAAATGACCCCCGAAATGATCAAGAGAAGTGTAATTTTTGACCATGAAAAGTGTCAAAATAGAACCCAGATTGTAGGTCAAAAGGGACTTGTTACAGTGTACGTACTACTTTACCCTTACCCACTGATTGTAGTTTTCTCTGCGCAGTAATGCGGTGCTGACAGCGGCAAGATGGTGGATATTCGCTGTATCTCGCAGATAGTTGCCTCAGTGTAAGACAGGTAAGCCTTATCTGACAGGACGGGTAGTCGATTGCGACCGGTCACGGCATCCAACTCCTGCTGGATGCGAGTCTGTATCTCCGGGTAGGCCATCATGTAGAGCAAACCCCATCGAAGAGTGGTGGCAGAAGTCTCCGTACCGGCGATGAACAGGTCCCCGACCGACCGTAGCAGGTTGACGGGCGTCAGCCCCACCGATGCCACGCCTTGCTTCTCTCGTGTCTTGCACGCCTTGACAAACTCGTCGATGAAGTCCCTCGGTTCCTCCGTATCGCAGGTCTCCTCGTGCTCTTTGATCAAGGCACTGATATGACTGTAGAAGTTTCTGATGGCTTGGATGTAGGTCCTCACGAAGGGAAAGACCTGGAGCTTGGCGAAGGCAGCCGGAAGAATCTCGACGAATAATCCCGGTCCCGCATCGTGCGTGACGCTCGAGGTGTGCCTCAAGAGATTCTTGAACATCTCGTCGCTGTACTCGAACCGCTTGCCGAAGACAACGGTGCAGATGACGTTGGAGAGTGCGTTATTGAGTGGGTGTGTGGGGTCAATAGGAGCTCCATGATCCTCCCTTAGACTATCAGTGAGGTACTTTGCCTCCGTGGAGATGTTCTCCTCAAAACTTAACTTCCCAACGCCTAGTCCTCTCAAGACTGTCAAAGAGAACCTGCGAAGCTCTAACCACATTGTGCCGGATGCAGCGAAGACGCCTACAAAGGGAATACAAATACAAAGTACCCTCAGAAGGTGTTTGGCTTTAGAGAGCGCGACGGTGAAAATTATCCGCCGCGGTAGCTAATGACAGTCGTGTTGACTTATGATGTTCTTTGTAAGGGTGGTGAAGGTTGTGACAGTGGTATAGTGAAGGCTTGGTGGCAGTGGTGAAGATGGTAACGATGATGACGGACGTTGGTGATGAGAAAGATTACATAAGCATCTGTGACGATTACGACTGGTAAAGGTGATGGTTTTAAAGTGTAATGATTCATGTCGATAGTCGTAACTCGCACATCATGGTGGTGACAATGAAGACGATCCCAACGATTGATGACGATGGCATTGATGGTGTGAACAGATTACTATGCAAGTGATGTCTCATCAGCCACCTTTACAGACGGGAGACCCAATCATGCATGGATATTAGTACAAGAAACACCCCAAGGTTCACGAAATGGTATTCTGTCGTATGATTGGCCTAATTCTTAAATAAGCGGAATGCAGTGCCACTTGCAGTGTCCCGTGATATCTGAATGAGTTGACCCCGCGGCAGAGGTCATAAGGACCAGGACGCATCGGTCGTTTTCATACTCTACATCTGAGTAAAGGATGTTTAGGCTGTTGTCGGACATTAAAACTACGAGTGCCAATCTGCCCACCTCTTCCCGGGAACTCCACCTTGGCGACGTGAAACTCGGGCCTGCTGCTCAGCTGTTGCTGTCCAAACGCTTCCCGCATGGTGGTGTTCTTGCTGATCACCACAACCAGCTTCCCAGCTAAATAGAGACTCATGACATCCCCGTATCTGCGGATACAACACACGTAAACGGACCGAGTTAATGCTTTGAACTCGGACAGTTTGCCTCTTATGGTCTCCTTTGAAGATGTTGGCAGGTTGTTTTTCAAGGGATTGACCATACAGATAAGGGTATATGTTTGGTTTGGGTATAATGGGTGGATCATATAGAGCTATATTAAATCACTGTAGCTCTATGGGGTGTACTACCATGCCGGCGAATTAAGTTTCCGTCTGAAAACAATGATAATTTATGGCTATAAGGAATGGAGATGAATTCGGCTCAGACAAAAGTTTACAGATTACATCATCAATTTTGTGTGTGTGTGTAGTTATATATCGGGCAAACTATATAGGCAATTTGCATCTCACATGAAATGCATGTGGGCCTGGTGCAACTGTGATAATGAAATCAACAACATAATTACCAACTCGCATACCGTACGTCTCCCATTATTGTTGCATCATTTTCACGGTCGATATAATGGTCTCTATTAATTCCCACGGAGAATTATCAGAAAACAATATTAAAGAATGGCCTATTTTTTTTAATGCAAACACCGCGTTATTAGAATTACACTGGTGTTCTTTCAACACTCCAAGTGTTTGTCAAAATAAATGCACCTTCCAGACAGCTTCGACAGGAACTCGTGCGGGACCTGCTTGTCGATGAGAACCGCCCGTGCCATCTGCGGCAGGCAGCCCAGGACTGGCCAGCCCCTGGGCCCTGGAGGGAGGTTCCTTGGTCGACGGAGGAACATGAGAAACCATGCCAAGAGGAACACCGCCAGCCCGACCAGTGCAGATCGTACACCGGCCGACCAACGGCCCAAGACTTGGTCGGTGGAGGCCATGTCACCGGTAATAGAATCCATTGTCAACGCTTGTATTCTGCGAAGAAAAAATAAGAACTATATTAAGGGTCATCTACAGCCTTCCTCTGAAAATAACAAGCTGTACAACCGAATAGTAATATATACTGTGATGAAATGATCATAATGAAAGTATCTGCATGGGCAATAAAATAATGTCTCCTTCCGTCGTAAACAAGTTTTTCTTCGTAACCTATGAAATTGGAAATGAACACAAATTGTCAAACCGGCAAGTTTCACGCTGCGTATTTGCAAAAGATTCAAAGAATTCTGACGATTTTCGTTGCATGTGAATAATTCCTGCTGCCAGGTTAAAGTCCAGCATTTTGAACAGTATACATGAACATCTAGGCCCTAAAGGCCTACGGGCCTTGAGCCCTCTCTCGGCTAGTTTTGGTCCTTGGATTTATATTCCCTTATTTTGCAGTCAGTCCCGTGACAAACGCGGTTAGGTTGCCGCGGCGGTGGAGGTCTCTTGAAACAAGATGAATCAAATCCAGTTTTGGTAATAAAGTTGCGGATCTAGATGGGACCCCCCCCCCCCCCCCGTTCAGCCGCTGATTCATGTTATGATATAGTAAAACGGGGCCTAAAATACTGAATGGAATGCTAAAGTTCATAAATTTGTTGTCTTAGCACGCCTTCACTCAATCCTTCCCTACCTTCATATCCTCTGCAATAATGGCAGCGCTACCCAGGAAATTCCTAGTACCTCACCGGCATAGCTTGAATAAAGCGCGCGTGAGGTATGCTCGAGTAGCGCTGCCAACATTGCCAAGGCTGGATTTCATTCATCTTATTGATAGCCAGTGGCGTAACTACCTGCCACCCTATAACAGATGTCCGTGTCCCTTGGTTCCCCTCCCCCGTTTAAAATCTTCAATTGAACAAAAATATATATAATTTGCCTTCAGTGTCCCCTTGAACAAATTATGCACCCCAAGTGCCCTCCCCTCCCCCACCCCACCCCGACCAGAAGTTTAACCCTAGTTACGCCACTGTTGAAAACAGGGGATAAAAAGCAAATCTAGTCCCGTGCCCCTGTGTCCCCCCCCCTTCCCGGTTAGGCCACTGCCGGGCCCAAATTTAGTAAGCGAATATATTCTGTGATAAACGAGTTTCTGAGCAAACAGCCGGCCGCACGAATTTGACTCCTTCCCCCCAAAAATGTATAGCTAAGCAATACATGTATATGATTTCATGGCACAGCAGAGAGAAAAATAATTACACGACGCTGGTAATCTCTCTGTTTGGCAGGATGTTCAATTATTGACTGACACCGGCTGCGAAACTGTAATTGTATCTTTTCGAAACTAGAATTTGATCATTTATATTTTTCCTAAATAAGGAAAAGAAAACCGAATGTACACTGGATAAGAAGATCTCGTCGGGAGTTATTAAAGCAAAACGAAACGGGAAGTAAAATTTAAGAGACCAGCTACAATATAAGATTTTAATCGGTGGGACAATGTCGATGTAAGTACACGCCATACAATAACAACATCCCATGGCATTTAGGTAAGGGTTTGGCGAATCACCCAGGAAACACATTTCAAGTCTAAGCCAATTACTTCGTCATGACTATGTCACGTGATCACATTATATTGCTGCACCCTGGGAATTCACAATGGCTTTATATACTTCCTTGTTGGGATTTCCCTGTTTCACATCCAGACATTGTGCAATTGCAGTGGTCTCATAAACACCTGAGAGAAAAGATTCAAGGCAGAAGAAGCTTTGGTTACAACCTACCAACATCCACCGTCAATCTTGAACATTCAGTGCCGTGTCGCCGAGGTTTGATACCGTCCCAAGCAGTGTTTGAACGGCCGACAGAGGAGTGAGTGCTGGAAATCAACGCAGTCTAAATTTCCGCGTTGGCAGTCATGGCGCTCACTATTGCCCTGTTACTAGCGACGTGTTTGATGATGGGTCCATCGGTCGAAGCCGAAGTGCGTCCCGGCTTCGAAGCCAGAATCAGCCAGTCTGGGCTGAATTATCGTAAGTCATGTTGACTGACTACCTTGGCAAGGGCGTAAAATTATTTGAACAAGGAATTTGAGCGGGAATTTGTGTTGTATAATTTGTTGGGGTTCAAGAATTGTCGAATTTCCACGGCCGGGCAATTTTTTAGGATTTTGGTCATCGCCCTATCCCCCCCCCCCCCCCCCCCCCCCACTTGCCGACACGTATTTGCGTCACCGGCTTGAGCCATTTTGTGGTCAGTTTAAAAGTTCAGAACACTAACAGAGTAGCAACAATATGCTTACCGAGACACAAGGACAGTCAAGGAGAGACAAACGTCACTACGTCAGACAGACATCAAACAAACAGACGGAGATTGAAAGCTGATAGTCTAAATTAAATAATACAAGGACACAAATTAGCAGCCATTGTTGTTGCTGCTTAGCTGTTGGTTTGCGTCGTTACAGTTAAATTAAAAACCGATTTGAGATTTTGATATTTTTTCTGCATGAGGGTGTTTTTTTAAACGATTTGTTATTGTGCGTATACAAGTTGAGCAAAAAAGAAGTGACAACGTAATTAATTATTTTTCCCCCTTAAAAAGCAATTCAATTTGATACACCAACGAAGCATATATTAAACAAGCATATTCTTTCATTCATTTGGAAAAAAAATTACTGAAATTGATCCATGCTATGAGAAGTTATGCATATTTTACTAAAATAGACAATAAGATTTTACAGCTGTCCACGGAATGCGATTTGAAGCTATTGAGCTGAGTGAGAACCAGAGATACACACAGGCATTCAGATGCAAATGAGATTTTTACAATTTTTGTCAAGATTGAAACATTATGTTCACTGTCAGATTTTGTGTTTGGAATATGAGGATCCCCCCCCCCCCCCACAAATAATGTAATGATGGTGACTTTTCTGTTTTCCTGTTCACAATTTTCTTTCATTCATGGCGGCAGGAAAACGCCCTTGATTCAGTGAATTAAAACGGTTATGATTATTGGTGGACAGCTGAATATTGTGATATTTGTACATGTATTAAAATAGACATAACTTGTGAACATAAAAGTACGTAACTTACTAGCCCAGGTTGGACTCCTCCGGTTGTTAGGCCTCGTTTCCCCATGAATTACGTTTCACCATGCGCTCAACGGGTGTCACGAATAAAATCGAAGGATTGGGTGAATGGGCGAATTTGATGAAATGAATTCATGACCATGAACGACGTTATTCTGATGCGCTCATCAACAGTGGGTGATGGTGTCACGAATAAAATTGCACTGGCACAGTATACAGTCTGGGGGTGTTAATGAATTGATTTTCATTATTTTGGACAGTTCGAGATGCTGGGCTGGAGATCCTGAAGGAGGAAATCAAACATCTGTCAATCCCTGATATCAGTGGCAAGGCTCATGTGTCCGTGGTTGGCAATATTTACTACACAATCTCAAAGTAAGGAAAACTTTAAATCCCCCCCCCCCAATAAACAAAATGGTGCCACAATAAGGGTTCAGAGCTACAATCAACTGACAATTGTTGTTAACATTGCAAGACATCACTAATGACCATTGATATTATAATCACGGGGAGTGATATCTTTAATGGCGCGTTTGGCTTCTTCAGTGAGAAAACAAAGTGTTTGGAGATTGACTTGTAGGTAAACTGGTGGTATTTTGTTTCGTTTCCTATCTGTATAAATAATTGCAAACGACTTTCTTGTGTGAAATTGTCCAAACTTAATGTAGAACTGGTGAATATCTCATTTTTGTTATCCAATAGAATACAATATTCACTCCGCAAAAGAATTGTCAGATTTACACAATGTATTGGCCACGTACTTAGCCCCGTCGCCAGATCCGGCCATATAGGGGGGCTACAGTACAATTTACAAGCGGCGGTGGGGGGGGGGGGGGGGGGGGGGGCACCACCACAAGAAAAAAACACTTTGGTACATGTGTATACAATGTATACAACTTTTAGGCTTATGGTTTTTGCAGATGGGGGTGGGGGGCAGTTGCTCGTCGGGGGGGGGGGGGGGGGGGCGGCTCGTCAGGGGGCAATCAGCATGCTGCTATATGCTGTTGCTGCTACTATACTGGTGTTGCTGCTGCTGATGTTGTTGCTGCTGCTGCTGTTGCTAATACTGATGGTGCTGCTACTGCTGCTGCTGTTGATACTGATGGTGCTGATGCTGCTGTTGCTGCTGCTGCCTGATTCTGCTGCTGTTGCTGCTGTTCCTGCTGATGATGCTGCTGCTGCTGTTGCCTATGCTGATGTTGCTGCTGCTGTTGCTGCTGATGCTGCTGCTGTTGCTAATACTGATGATGCTGATGCTGCTGTTACTGTTGCTGCTGCTGCTGTTGTTGCTGCTGCTGTTGTTGCTGCTGCTGCCTGCTGATGTTGCTGCTACTGTTGCTGTTGATGCTGCTGTTGCTGCTGATGCTGCTGCTGCTGTTGCCGCTGCTGCCTGATGCTGCTGCTGCCTGATGCTGCTGCTGATGATGCTGTTGCTGCTGATGTTGCTGTCTGATGCTGCTGCTCTTGCTACTCCTGATAGTGCTGCTGCTGCTCAGGCTGATGCTGTCCTTTGTGTTGTTTTTGTGCGTGGGTTTCATTACCACGCAACAATTATTTCCCCCTCTCTCTCCATGACTCTGTTGTCCAGCATGCGAATCAATAGCTTCGCCATTCCATCAGCCACACTCACCACCCAGTCTGGAGTCGGACTCGTCCTGCGAGCCAGCGGGATCACACTCTCTCTGTCCGGAAACTGGCATTACAGTAACCACGGCTTGTAAGTCATTGAAACCGTCCTCTTGGGTTTTAGAGGGAAAACACTCTCGGATATTATCTACTGCTTCTAAATATCATAGTTTCGATTTTAAATTGCTTTCAGATTACTGATTTTTGGTTGAATACATTTTATGTGCTTTGGGGCTGTTAAACAAGGACTAAATAAAAAACACTAAAAAATAAAAGGCCTAATAACAAAAAAAAGAAACACCAAAAAAACAAAAATACCTAAAATAGTTGTGGTATTACGTTGGTACCACTGATTTTCTTTTAGAAACACCAATACAACAACGACCTCTATAAAATGAAACTATGAAATGCGATTTAACCTCGTACAAGTTAAACGTCGTTAATAATTCCTTTGACTCGATTCAGTGCATTTAAATTTCTCTTTGTCTTTGTAATTCCTGCTAAACTAGCATTCATATCAGCGATAGTGGTACCTTTGATGCAAGCTTGTCCGGTGCCTCTCTCGCCGTGACGCTTAGAATTGGTAAGTCGATCGTCCTTAAAAAAAAAATCAATATTTAAATAAAATTAAATTCGCTAAACTAACGACCAAAGGCAAGTCAAGATGCATGGCGGCGTTAGACAACAAAACAGAATTATGAGATTATAAGGACTCGGATTTCGTTGGGATAAACTACAAGACGAGTACAGTTGGATTTTGATAAGGAACTCCACAGTGAGATAGTGTGAGAGAGAAAATTTGACAAATACTTCACCGTACCAGTATTTGATCACAAGCCGTGTGTAGGTGAGAGGAGGCAACGAAATTGAATGAGCACGTTGCAAAGTGCATGAGCTCGTTGCAAAGTGGACGAGCTCCTTGCAAAGTAGTGCATGACAACGTTGCAGAGTGCATTAGCATGTTGCAAAATGCATGAACACTTCATCAATGTTAATAATATAGGTAATTGGCGTTTATGTGGTCCCAAAAAGTGCTTCTCACTGTTCGTCAAGTCATGAGATGAGTCTTCCTTGGACCTGTGGCTTGCTAAAGAACACAAAACCCCCGTCCCTCGGGTGGATAAAACCATGTCCCTCGGTGAGGGCGCATCGAGCAATGAGTCTATACACAGTAACCGTATATAGACCACGCTTCTGAGAAACCTTATCATCCGTTCCTTGTCAAACTCTTCTTAATGTTAATTATGCTTGGGATATTTTTTAAGGTAAGGACCAGGCCGGACGCCCAACTGTAAGCTCGGCGAGTTCGGATTGTTCCTTCAATGCGGGCAGCGTTCACGTCAAGTTGCATGGAGGTGCTAGGTAAATAAAAGGAAGGAGATGTTGTTCTTGATAAAACAAAAATGCGGTGGTTTTAAAGGACACTATAAGGCCCTTGTAAGGTTTGGTTGATGGAGAGGCTGAAATAATATTAAACATTAATTTAATTGCAATTTTCAATAATGGAATTCTAAACCAGAAAACAACGCTTTCTAAAGTTTAGAAACCAATTGATAACTCACACATCGAGAAATGACTGAGGTTGAGTAGAGATTCAAACCCTGACGAGACATACAACGATTTGCGTTTGGCTGCTGCTATATTCTGCAACAGAAAAGGTAACTGATCATTTAAAGCTAACTTTTATTATTGCCCACGATTTCAGCTGGTTGTACAATCTGTTTTCCGGAAGCATCAGCAACTCCATCAAAAGTTCGCTCAACAAACAGGTATGATGATGACAGGTTACAATTTACACTGTTTCCAAACGAAAGACTAAATCCTACTATAGGACCAGCATCTAGAGGGGAATAGTGAGCAATGAAAATAGAATTACAGCTGAATGGTCAGATAGTGATGGCAGACTGCAGTGAGGCAGCAGCAGCAACAACACTTTGGCGAAACGTATATTCCTCTACGCAGGAAGTCTGACTAATTTACGAAGCATTTGTGGCGCAATTATTTGGAATTGAAATGAATTCAACTTTTCAATTCATGTAGGCAGGGAGAAAACTTGCCATGACGTCACGAAATCGCGTTCGCTTTCTCCTTTGCGCAGAATATGAACCCGCCTTTAATAAGCACACGTGCACTGACAAGAAGATCAACATTATTAACCTATATAGCTCAAAATAATGATTGATTTTGACAGACATGTTCCATGATAATCAAGGAGGTCAATACGGATCTACAGAAGCAGTTTTCCAAACTGAAAAGTAAGTTCAACTCTCAAGATGATCGAGGATTTTCGTTCTCTTCTATATTTTCTTTTTTACAAATCCAAACGTTCCTTTAAAGTGAGCAAAAATCCATTCAGGCCAGGTTCCGGGAAAAGCCAAACAACTTTGTCTGGTTCAATCCATCCAGTTCATAGACTGAACAGGTAATTGCAGCCAGCATATCGCGAGTGTCTAATCTTTGGCAGACGAGGTGCCCGAGTTATCCTTATGGTGGAACCAGAAGTTCCCTTAAAACAACACCTCCTTAATTATACGTCCCTCATCGCAGTTATTGCTATCTTTACTGGACTCATGCTCAAAACAACTTTTTGGTGTCTTCACGTGCAACTTTGTTCTGTCCATTTGTGCACCTAGTTTATGGTAATGAAATTATAAGACAGAGTATAGTTGGACCAAATGAGCAAGTGACCTCAAAGAAGCTTCCCTCTGAACAGGAGAGAATCAATTGTTCCTAAAGTATAGTAGTAACAAAACAGAGATTATAAACACTTCAAGCTGTGTTCTAGATGTGAATGATTCTCATCTGTTCTACCCCTTCTTCCAGCCCAAGCCCCCATCGACCAGTATGCCGTGATTGACTACTCCTTGGTGACAGCTCCCCAATTCTCTGGCCACGTCGACACAGCCCACAAGGTGAAGATAGAAGCTGCAGTTATCCGTTCCAACAAAACAATTGATCAAAATTAAGATGTCTACAAAGGTCTCGGTAAAGTCTGTTAAAAGCTGCGCCAAGTTTTGAATCATTTTCCCCGTAGACTATCTTCTTCTTTTGCCTATTATTTCGGAACGTCACAGTGGCATTCAGCCATTTTTTACCCACTGCTTTGCCACTTGATTTGACTAATTATTATGACGCAATGATAATGATGTCATGAACATTTCTGCCAATAGGGAGAGGTGTTCCCGAGGGACACGCCCCATAAGGAGGCGCCGTACACAGTGCCCGTCATACCGCCGGATCCTGACGTTTCCCGGCACGTTTTTCTCTGGGTCACCGATTACCTGTTCCAGACGGCTGCCTACGTGTACTACGAGGCTGGCAAGTTTGAGTTCAACGTTACTCAGGATAAGGTACGCAGACTGTGAAGATGTTTTGTTGTTGTCATTTTGGTCGCCAAAATAGAATATATATTAAAGCCAGTTTACCTAGCATTTGAAACCAATTTCTTTTTATCAAAGGACGTTTATTCCTTTTTCATTTATAGTAAAATCACTTAATTAATTAGTCAAAATGTAACTTAATTGATTCATTTTTTCAATTAAAACAGAACCTTTTTTTAGAAGGGCATGTATCGCCTTTTGATTTAGAATCGAAATGATTGAGTTTTTAATTCTCGAATTGTTTGTATAGGCCTATGCGATGGACATTTTGTTTAAGCACTAGAACCATTTACAGAAACCATGCTCAATGAAAACGTCAACAAAACTCCAATCAATTCCATTCAATTCAAATATATTAGCACCGTTTCGCAGCTGAAGCTGAATTACAGGTGTTTACAATCAGAACATTGTAATGCCTAACTTTTGTTAATAAAAACAGTTATTCGTTTTGTTGCAAATTTTCATTCAACTGGATGAACCACAGAGGCTAGTGTGCTATTTGTAAGTTCCCAAAGAGTGAAATTATGAAGAGACGACTTTCAGTGAAAATCACCCTAACTGTATACTTTGAAAAGTAGTTACTTGTCTTAGTGAGTGAAAACTCGATCCATTCAATAAACTTTTTGAATGAATTTCACTTAAATCATCTTTTCCTTATCGTTTCAATTATCTTACTCGGATGGAGTGAATTTGCATTTTTTTGTTAAAAATAGACTTTGGTTCAACTTCAGGATAAAAAAATACTGCGATCTATATATACCGTTTCTGACGTCTCGTCATCAAGTTTTAGACCGTATAATGTATGAAAAGATACACATTGGATTTGTGTTTTATTTACAGATGCCTCCTGGTAAATACAGCCTGAATACTTCCTCGTTCCTTGTCGAGTCTCTTTTGCCTAATGTGAGTAAAATGTGTAAAAACCTGTCCAAATCTACCGCTTGGTTTTGCTGAACTAATCGATTCGGCACGGTAGAGGAATGTACACGTTGCTGAATTTTCGCTTGGACAAAAATGCCCTGGGTTGGGTACCGGACGTCACCTTTCTTAACTTAAGTCAAAATGTACGCGTTATCATTTCTCCCCTTGTATCTTTAGGCATCAATTAAAATTGCATGTCGTGCTTATTGAGGTAGCTTTTAAAAGGACGGAGGGCACCAAAGTGGGTTTGTATGTCGATGTGGTTAAGTTTCGAGGAGGTGGTGAGATTCCGAGGAGGAAGGCCCACCCCCTTAGGCCCCGCCCCTTCGGCCCCACCCTAATAGGCTTGTAGCTAAAATGATCTCTATTAACAATGCTTCGGCCTATTCTAAACCTCATCGACAGTCAAATTTTCAGTTAAATAGTATATCCAGCTTTTGCCATCTCACGATTATCTCTGGACATCAATCACACATGTGTTCTTCGATCCCTCGCAACTGCAGGTGTCCAAGAAGTATCCGAACCTGCTGATGCAAGTAAACGCCAATGCCACAGCGCCGCCAGTGATTAACATCGGCGAGGACAATGTCAACGTCTCCCTCAAGGCCGACTTGGATTTTTTCGTCACCCTGCCCAACAAAACTCTGGTGTATCTCTTCACCTTGAACTCGGTAGGTGATTGAAAATGGGCACCTATGAAAAGTAGCACCTTCGAGCAAAGAATATCTCCCCCTTCCCCCCCCCCAGAAAAATACTACAATCAGGAACCGACTATAACCTAAGAGTAAGCCTTGCTGTGCCATTCCACGCAAAGAAACTGATGACCTTACGGTATTTATTGCTCCACAGACCATCAGTTGTTCGACATTGCTGTCGAGTGATGGCATGAGTCTCAAATGGATGACCGACTCCTTGCGGTAAGTCTCGATATGTTGGTCTTAAAAAGGCGGTCTATGCACCGTGATTGCTTTTGGCCTAAGACTTCAAGACTTAACCCCACCTGTAAGTTGCATGCAGGGATGTAGATAAGACACCATTTAGTTTGGTGAGATTTGTCACAATTATTCAAATAATATCGTGTGTGTTATTTTTTTATGTTTAGTATCGTGGTTGCTTTGAAACGGTCCGCCATCGGAAAAATCCAGGTAGGAATTTTACGAAAATTAGAGAAACAACCGTTCATAAGATTATTAACCAACGACTCAGCTGAATGCATTTCAAGATCTTCTTCCACTTTTGAATATCGGTATGTTTTTCTTTGAAAATTTCTAGATGAAACCGATCAGTGAGGCTGTTCACGCCCTGACAAGTTTCTTCCTCATTCCATGGATCAACGGTAAGTGACTTCGATTCACGATTTGTATTTTCTGCTTTGTTATAAAAATGGAATTTTAATAGACTGTTAACATTTTAGTCATAACTCATTAAACCTACCAATGTGCTATTGAATATATCACGAAGTATATACCTCATGCAATGCAGGTGTATTAGAGAATGTTCTTTGGTTATTATATTTTAGTTACAATGAGTAAGGCACATAATGTTAACCAATGTCTATCGAAGCGATACAAAACCATTTCCTTCTGTGGAAATGTGTGAAGGCACTCCCATATCCTTTGGGGGGGGGGGGGGGTAACATTTGCTGTTTTTCAATTTACGTTAGGGGCGCAGAAAACATGTCTCCTCTCCGGAGTTGAGGAGACACGCAAGATTCAGAAGCCATTCTTTTCTTTGTCCTTTCATTTGATCATGCCAAGGCCCTTTCGAATGCTACTTTAGAAAGTCAGAGTGATGTTTTCAGAAATTATCATGATTAGGTTTTTGTTGTTGCTCTTAAACAGAGGAAGGAAGGAAGGGTTTCCCATTGCCTACCAGCCCTAACATCAAGTTGGAAAAAACAGTCATCAAGC